GACATGAATCTGAAAAGCAGAGAAGCTGTTTTTGTGTCTTCACTGTACACAAGTTAACTAATGATGCTAAAACAATAAACACGAGACTTCAGGTAAACAGGCTCTCCTCAGGACTGCCTGCTGTGAGCTTTTGTTTGGATAACTAGAAGTCACCATCAATCTGTGATCTGTGCCCTTCAAAACAAGCTGCAGTCCACACACACACACACACACACACACTGGCTCACAGGGATGCAGGTCTTTGGCTGTAGAGAAGCGAGCGTTGCGTGCCTCATGGCCTGGGTTTATGAGTTCACAGTAGTGAGTGGCCGCAGACAGCGCTGATCATTGGGTCATCATGGGCCAGGGTGCGGTTTGCGTGAGTGAAGGTGTGTGTGTGTAATTCTGAGAATCTCCATTAACAAATTGCATCTTGGCATGTGTTCAAACTAAAACTCTCACATCAGGTCTTCTATCCAGCTGCAGAGTCAAAGTGGGCCGAGCGGCTCAATAGTGGCTGGTCTGCTCTCACACAGAGAGTAGGAGGGGTTTTTTTATGACAGGAGGCGGAGCTTTTGCTTTAGAGCAGAAAATAACCACCAATCATGACGGGGTTAAGACTCTCCTCCTTGATATTTGTCCTGCTTACAACCTGGTCTTTATGCTTTTTTATCTTTTTTTTGTTTTCATTTTTAGAAATTAGACCATTCTTTCGCAAATGCTCCCTCCTGGCAGCCACATTTCCTCTCTCGGCTCTTCAAAACTTGGATGCTGATTGGACACAGAGTATAACAGATTTTTGTTTTCTCCACCATCAGCCATTTTTAGTGTTTTCTCTTTGTTGTATTTCCCAGCTGGTGAGGTAAATTATTACTTGACCCATAAAACAATGAAACACTAAGACACTGTTAGTGACTGAAAACGCTATAAAATGCTGATAATGAGCAGGTGCTTAAGTGAATGTTGCACGTTTCACTCATGAATCTGTCTTTGCTTCCTAATTTGTGCAGCACATATGCAATCTCTGTGCTATGTGGAAATGTGTTAAACATGCTGTACATTCAGAGCTGCCGCCTCAGAACAGTGGAGGTCAACAGGACTTGGTTTGTGGGGTCAAGAGTTAGAACCATAGACTGTACATCCCTCCTCCGGTGTTAGGGTCTGCACTGACCCGTTCTTGTTTTTAAATGCTTAAAATTTATTGTTTTTAAATTTATTGTTTTTAAATGCTAATTTATTTGGTTCTTAAAAGAACCAAATAAATTAGCTTTTTTGCATCAATATTTTTTTACTTTGTCAGGATCCTCTATTTCAACAAAATAAAAATGGAAAAATTAATTGACTAAATTATAAAATGCTCTTATTAAAATGATTGCACTTGTTGTGTTAGGGTCACTGTTGACCCGGTTAGATCAATATCTAATAATCAGAGCAAAAACTAAAATCACAAGTGTCCTGTCAGGCACCACACTGACAGTCAGATCCTCTTCCAATCATGGGAGATTTAGGAAATTCTCATTTTTCCATGTTTTTCCTGCACAAAAAACAACATCGGGCATGTCCAGACATGTGAGATCAATTCAGTATAGATGTCTGTGTGAGGGGTATACTGACAAAGAAAGGCTCAGAGGACCACAACAAAAACTATTATAATCAATATTTTCATGGATAATGAAGCCTAACAAGGTAACCTAGAGATAAGAACCAAATTGGATGATAGAGAAATATTTTTAGTGTAATATACAGCTGATTTAAGACACGTGTGGAAACCGACCCTTAACCCTTAACATAGTGGGTGCGTAGTAAAAGCTAACACAGAAGGAAGGATATAGAATGGACGATGTCTGCCTCCTCACTGGGTGAAGCCACCCTAAGAACAGCAACTTTAGAAATTTATTACACTAAACATAATTTTTTTCCCCCTGGTTGCGATGTTGACAGGTAGCTAGTGTAAGGCTGGTTTGTGCTCAAATCCTCTTTTTTTCTGTACAGCTCCGTTTTTAAACATAATTAGGGGGTTCATGTTTTCTTTGATTGACACTTGATACAGCCTATTGGCGTACAAGGATTGTGTATCTCACCTTGGGGATACGCTGTTTGAGCCGAGCATCATCACAGTGACTCTCGGCGACTCTCCCGCCGAATGCGCACAATGCTACTGCGCAATATTGGTTTCAGGAAATGAAGAGAAAACGCGGAATTACTGAGAGCTTTTCGGCTTCAAACCCGTATCATGGCGGGAGGTGGAACCAAGTTGCCCATCATATATACAGTCTATGGTTAGAACAGTAAAACAGTAACAAGTCTTAAAACAATTGTGAGCACATTGATGATTTTGGTTGACCAGCTTATGAGGCACAAACCAAAAGTTCCCTACAGGAGCTTTAACAGATGTGACGTTATTCAGTACATTTTGGCGACCCCTGTGAGCAGAGCTGTACCTCTGATCTGATTGAGAAGTTTGTCCTACACATGTTTGTGTTTATAATAGAATATCCTACTGTTGAAACCAAAATTCATAAATGATAACAGGCATAGTATTAAAAAAAGATAAAGAAGTAATAAACCACTCATTAAAAGCTTAGAAAAAATCCTCTATGTGAGCTTTAATTCAAAGAGCCATGAACATTTCCAAAGCTGCCAACCCTCATAACAATGTTTGTGTGGCTGCTAAACTCTCTGGCCAGCGTGGAGTTCCTGGAGCCAAAGTCTGTGTCCTGACTGGACAGAGCGGTTCTTTTGCTGAATTTTGCCTTGTAATGATGATTTTGAACAATGCCACTGCGCGCCGCCAATCTCATTTCACATACATTATTGTGCTTATAGGCCAAGACGTGCGGAATGCTTTCAACTTTTATGACACAAAGTTGTGCCAAAAGCGTTTTTTTTTTCTTCCCCTCGCTGCTTCTCTCTGAGGGAATTTCAAAGGGAAAGGCAACACATGCTGTCATTCATGTCCTGCCGTTCAGCTGGACCATTACGCTCATATCAGATCGGCTCTTTTGATGTGCCGAGTGACAGAACAAAATAAATAGCGAGCGCAAGTCTGTGAGAGATTTGCAATGCAGTGCGTTAATTAACGAAGGGCTATACCAATTAGGCGCCCATGATTGGTGTGTGAATGTCAGTGCAGTCACGCAGTTTGGGGCTGAGCGCAGAGTAACACCACTGTTTACTGAACACAAAGGCCATAAACAAGCACTGGCAGCAAGTGCGATGCCAAGTGTGAATAGCTGAACATTACAAGGAATTTATGGCTTTTCCAAACATCTCTGCTTCATCACAACGGGGAGAAATCTTGTTTTTCGGTGAATAACACTTCACATGGAGAAGGTCTTTAATTGGGATATGGCACATTGAGAACACAGCCATGTTTAAAGCAGACTGACTCTGCAGGGTGAGGAGTCTGACTTCTGATTCATGTAGGATTTAGAGACAAATCTGAGGTCTATTAAAGAGAAAACAGACCTCCAAACCCAGCCTGTTAAGCAAGCATCTCATGCACAAAGGCTGTAGTCCTGCTGCACTAAATGTATGATCAGTTCCCTATTATACTTATCTATCTATCTATCTATCTATCTATCTATCTATCTATCTATCTATCTATCTATCTATCTATCTATCTATCTCGTTACCCTATTAAAATAATGGCCTAAGTCAAAAACTAGTTTATGGCCTAAATCATCTCTAAATCATCTCAAGAATTTATTTAGACCAAAAATGTCATTATATATATATATATATATATATATATACAGTATATATATATATATATATATATATATATATATATATATATATATATATATATATATATATATATATACTGTATATATAGATATACACTCTCCCACACTCCACCCACTACCTTTACATGCTAATTATGTGTGTAACTCCACAACAGCAATGATGCCTTATATATTTATTTAGTTCAGGAGAGTAGTCCTCCTTTATCTGTGAGTTCTTAAAGCTCCTATGAGGAACTTTTGGTTTGTGTCAGTTTTGGTGCCCCCTGTGGACAAAGCAGTCTTTGCGGTCCACCTGTCAAAAATGTCATTTAATGTGACACCAGGATGAGATTCTGCTTGTCCGCAAACATGATTTATTCACGTACAGCACAAGGTAACCAGAGATGTCAGAGGTATTACTTTGTCCACAGGGGGCGCCAAAACTGACACTAACTGAAGTTCCTCACAGGAGCTTTAATTGCGAGCAAAAAAACACTAAACTTTTTCTGAAAACCTGACCAAAATAGATTTCTGTAAACTATCAACCAATCAGAGATGTTTACCACTACAGGCCCCACCCCTAAAGGTTTTGATCGTTGACTGATCTGGGATTTTCAGGGGGTTTCAGTAATGTCTCCTATATTTATGTCACCATTATAATCACTGTGGCATAAATGTTTGGGCTAAGACTAATCCCTGAGACAAAAAGAGGTTCCTGTGTTTGACATGTCCCAGTTTTTCATCATTGATTAAATAAACGTTTTTAAGATGTGCTGGGCTTCAAATATGAAAGAGGTTTCTTTTTCTTCACATTTTTCAGACTTGACAACCCGGGGGTTATTTTTTATACTTATCATGAGATGACACTATCATGAGAAAGTAATGGTTTGATGCCACTCAGTGTGGATTTAAGTTCTTGTTTTACTAGAGAAATGATTCAAAGGAAGTTACTCACATTGTAAAACGACAGGACTCATTTAAGAGGTATGACAGGTTCAGTATCACGTTCTTTAAAGATGAGGGGAATTGACTGAACAGATGCAACAACAATTTCAAGCTTGTACTTCCAAATTTACTTGAAACACTGAACCGGATTAAGGTACCAGCCTGGAAACGCAGACTCACCCTGGAAGAATGTTCCTGGTCTTGACCCGCAGATACACTCACCCCCGTGTTTAAACAGCTTCTAACTGTATTAATATGTTCTCCTTTGTTTTGCTGTTGCACAACCCGACTCAGGGAACAAACACTTCATTAACATAGTGGACCTCGTTTGGTAGTCAGTAATGAGGTGTGTGTTTGAAGAAAAAAGGCGATAATGACCCAAATGTTTGGTTCACACGTATATAATTATGCATTTATTGACAAGAATGATACAGGTCGACTGTGGGACACGCTGAGGTCAAAGCAGCTAACAGGTGGCCGTCTTCACTTCACTTCGCAGACCTCCTGGTCCTCTTGTTCCAGGAGAAGTTCGCTCCGTAGGACTTGACTCGGGGCTTCGCGCTCCTCTTCTCTGTGATGTCGTAGCTCCAGCCTGAAAGAAAAACACACGAGTTAAGTGATGAGGGCGAGAACGTCACGTATATTCACTTTGGACCGGTTCCAGCCACAATGAGGTGTTACTCAGACATCAACAGGCTGTGTGGAGTCAGATCTGCACTAATCACTCTCATGTTGCAATAAACAAAGTAAGTCAGTTTCCTTTGCTCAGTTTCAACAAACTCTCCCAGATGGTTTAGTTCTCTCAATGCAAATGAACTTTCTAAACCACGTCGTCCACAGAGGTTCACGTTTACCCACCCAGGACTCTCATAAATTCTCTCAGGATTGTGTCACCGGTATTCTCTTCATGTTTTATATCTTAATAATGAAATCAGGCCCACAGGGCGACACTGGCTGTCTTTGATGCTATAAAGGTATTTTATCAGGTGCTGTATCACTACAACCAAATATCACCTCATTTGAAAGTTTAATAAGCTGCGAATAAAAACTGTTCGCTGTTAGTCGAGGGCAACGAGGGTCGAAAGCTGAAGATTGGAGTTCATCAAAAGTACACATTTGATTTATTCCAGTAACAATAACTGCATCTGTGTGTTTATCATATGTATGAAATTATAAGGACTTATCATGTGTTTACTGGTTAATCACAGTAGATTAGGTTTGGGGTGTTCAGGGGACAAGCTCTTTATACTTTGTTTGAATGTCTGATAGCTTGAAGTTCACAGTCTCATTATGCATCATTAGTCAAGTTATTTCTGAGGTTTTCTGCTTTAATTGAGGAAGTGCAGGATAAAGGAAGACATGCGGCAAAGAGCTGCGGTGATGGGAACCAAATCCTCCGTACGTGGTGTGTGCATGGCGACAGATTCAACAAACAGATTTGAAATAAGCTAAAGAGGAGGATCTTAAAAACAGCAGCCTGATATGACATCAGTGTTAAAAAAAAGTCGACCTGAGCTTTGTTTGAATGTTACGACTGATTTCAAAGATCTGTAAATATACTGATATGCTTTACCGTTCTTCTCGGCAAAAGCGATGGCATCTTCCTTGGAGGAGAAAGAGAGCATCATGTTGGACAAGGGATCACCACTGGAAAAAAAAGAAAGGAAGACAGTCACAACAGAAACAAGTCCCTGATTCCTCTTACTGTTATTATAAAGTACAGGCAACATGTTCTTACGTTGAGGCCCAGCCCATCAGCGGGTTCTCCCAGCGCTCTCTGGTGTCAAAGTCCATCTTCCACTTCTTGGTGCTGTTGACTCCAGACTGCATGGCCGTTTTGGCGGGAACAAAGATGTGGACTTTACGGGTTTTGATGTGCTCCTCTGGGACCCCCGTCAGCGTGGTGATGTCCTGAGAGACAGACAGAAAAACAGCAGCGTGTGACCGTGAGTGAGGTTGTTGAGTTAACGGATGAAATTTAAAGATTTGACTGAAAGAACAAAAACAAAAGCACAGACACAGCTTCTCGTTTATACTGGGGCTTGTAAGAATGATGAACAGACTCTGCTGACTCTTATTTGACTTGGTGACTGTTTTTTTCCCTCCTGAGCTCATGCAGTGATGATACATGAGTGTGTTGTTAAAAACAGGTTGTTCTAAAGTCAGCCTGCAGGTGTTTAAAAATATACAACTTTAAGCTCAGACAACATGTTTCCAGTGTCAGGAAACAGGGCTTTAGGAAAATGAGCGGCTGCTTGTTTCAGATGTTTCATGGTTTTTAGTTTTTTTTTTTTTTTTTGTTCCTCACATGATTCAGTTAAGATTTATCTCCAGCTGTAAATATGGAGGTCAAAAATAGCTCAGGTACATCCTCGGCGTCAGAGAAATACTAAAAGATGAAGGAGCCATGGAGTGGACATATTTATACGCTCTGTAAACTCAGCTAAAAAGTCTGGATTGTTTTTTTATTGTTTGTGTGATGGGATGTTCTCTCTGCGTGATAAAAACGTACTGTTACAAGATCTGCTGTGCAGAGATGACATGGTCTGTAAATCTTCTTCTCCAGATGTTAGAAAAACACGTTTGTTTGGTTTAAATGTCACATCTTCATTATTTTTCATCGTTTTTTTAATCTAATTTACGTAAAACTCTCAGGGGACCGTCATCATTCAAAATCTTTTGGGACTTTTTTCCTTTGATGAGATTATTTCCTTTTGTGTCGTAAACGTCTGGCAGCGTTTGTGGGACTTGAGGAGGTTTTCAAATGAAGATCATGTTGTAAACAGAAAAGAAACACAGCTCATACCTGTGGAAATACTGGACACAGAGGATGAGAGCGATTAATAAGAGCGATCTTGTACTCTTTCGTATGGAGGTGGATGAAATTAATGCCTTATACTTGAGGTGATTTATTCCAGACCTTCAGAAAGTAGGCCAGCGCGACAAGAGAAGGAGGAGGGGCCTTCAGGCGTGCTAAATGCATATTCCTGAGCAACTGGAGCCCCTTCAAGCTCCTATCAAGGATCTGGTCCAATTCTTCAGGGAATTAGCAAACAAGCGTTGGGAAGTCGGCGACAAAACCCAGACGAACCTCCCAGCATGCAGGCACCAGCCACCCAAGACTCGGGGCGCTCTCCTTTCAATACAAGAATTTTACTCATTTCAACTTCAAAGAATCAAAATTTCATCTTTGTCTGTCATCTGCTGCTTGATTTGTAGAGAGAGGGTCGGTGTGCGTGAACTCCCCACAAAAGCCTGCCTCTCCTTTGGCAAAAAGAAGGGTCTGAGGGTGTTAAAGCTCTGTAAATTACAGGTAGGACTCCTCCAAAGTGCCGCTTCTTTCAGAGAGATGTCTTTCGCCGCGCTCAGACGCGAGAGCAGACTGAGTTTAATCATAAACAAGATCTGCACACTGAAAAGATTGTTCAAATGAAAGGGAAAAGACGAACAAAGGAGGGGGGGGAAACTTCACAAGTGCTCGGTAATTATTTCCGGCTGCCCTATCTACTTAACCTTAACAATTCCTTCTTGTCACAGAGAGGAAGAAAACATGTTCTCCTCACCCAAAGGGGGTAATGGTGGGAGCTCCATGACACAACAACACACAGAAAGTGTAAGAAAGCAACAACAGGAGGTGCCAGGTTATTCTTTTTACATGTTGGACGGCGCAGCAGGTAATCAAAATGTTTGAGAGAAAATGCCTTTCTGCAGGATGTAAGCTTTCATTTTCATGGATAATGTTCAAAGACTCTTTCCTTCAAATGCCAGAGGTAAAAAAAAAAAAAAAAGAGAAAAAAAAAAAAAACTTCCTGAGAATTTTGGAGAGAAAACAAGAACCATTAAAATACTTTGTTCCCCATGAACCATTACACATTTGGAGTTGCGAGTCAAGAAGAAAAAATAACGAACAAAAAGTACCTTTTAAGGTTTAGGTAAATCAAATTTGCAGTCAGAAACATTTAGTGGCTCTGCAGTCTGCTCGGCTCTGGTCTGCTCTGGTCTGTTCGGAGGATAGATGCATGAAATCCCTCTCTGAGACGCATTAGAAATTATACCCTTGGGATTAGCAGGCCAGACTATGGTTACGCGTATGTACGTTACATAAACCATAACTGACACATGAGGCCCATGTATGGTAAACTGGTGCAATAATTTGTCCAGATGTAGCAGACCTTAAATCACATCTTAGGCGTGGATGAGCACAAAAGCCCCTTCATGAGTGAGGGAGGATGTGTCAAAACAAAAGCTCTGCCAAATCACTGAAAACACTCTGCTCATTATCTGGCATTGTTTGCAAAAGTACGAGTCTAGACTCCTATGATACTTGCATGCATTACACTGAGAGCTTGCAGGGTTATCGGCATAACAGACTCAGCCACAATACCCGGATTCACAAAGAGAAAGATTGTGGCTGGAATGTGCTGTGTTCCCAGGAGGACTAGAGAGGGCCGTCACAAAAGGAAAACCCACACGGTGGGCACTTTTTCTTCTGCCATGTACAGGAAGCAAAATGAGAACTATCAAGTTTGACACTATTCACAGGGCCTTCACGGGGCCCTACAATACCTGGCTGGGCAGGCAGAATGCCGGGCTTAAGAAAGGGGGGAAAAAGGCTGGCAAAGTCTCCGTCACGTGAAAGCGTGTCGATATTTCTGACACCTCCAGGCTACGGGCCAAATAAAAAGCATAGGGGCTTGTCGCTGTGGGGCCGCTGGGCCCACCAGAATGCTAAAAGCTGGTACCCCTAATGCTCCAACAGAGACCTGGGGTGGAAGATTTTCGTGCAAACAAGATCCAAAGGTCTCGATGAACTGGATTTGAAAATGTGTGTGTGTGTGTGTGTGTGGGGGGTGGGGGGGGGGAAGAAAAGATGAAAGTAAGAAATGTTAAGAAAATAAGTTTGTGGAGTAATTAATGAAGACCATGATCATAGACAAAACAGCTGCCAGCAAGCAAATGTGCAAACTGAAGAGAGGAAAAGGAAGATATGGAAGGAGGAAACAAGTGACTTCTTCACCACTCTTTCCTTTCATGTCTGAATTTTTTATCACAGGTTTGATCACTGTCCGATGATTTGAAGGTGAATGTCAATATTTCCAAAACTTCAGAAATGGTTCCCCAAACTTTGGACGTCACTTTTAAGTCCAGCTACACAACGCCTACAAAGGTCCCGGGCTTTCAACCAGACAGGTTTGATTTAGTTCATCTGCAAAGGGACGTTCAAAGAGTGGCAGCTCGTACTCAGATCATCCTCACACTTGGCAAACTGAAGACATAGACCTGGAAAGCCAGAAAAATAAAATTCCCCAGAAAACATTGCTGCTCACTCACTTAGTGAAGTGAATATTCAAGTCAATCATGCGATACTCCCTCTGTGCCCTCGATAGTGAGAGCGGATCATTTGAAAGCTCAAATAAAGCATTAAAAGAAGATTCACATCTGTTCCTGCGATGATTCTGGACAGTTCAGGTTTAACCGAGTGAAAATGATCCAGTCTCCAGTGAAACTACTGATGAGAGACTTTCTGAAAACATGAGGCTTCTTTAAGTGACACTTACACTTTCTTCTATTTAACAGACAAAACAAGAGATCAAAGTGATTAAAATGCAGGACAATCCAAATAAAATATCAGGGAGTTTGTGTAAACCCACAGGGACTAACAGATCGAACTTTTCCAAATCTAAACGGAGGCAAAGGAGGTTTTTTTCTCTCTCTTAGTAGAGAAACTGAACAAACAAACAAATAAAGGAAGTCTCTGCAACACGAGCGCATTTCCTTCGGTAATAGCAGACATGAAATGACAGCCATGTCACGGGTTCAGACCATAGCATGAACACCCATATGCCAAAACTGCTGTTCGGCAGCCAGGAGAGGTCAAAGGGTGATCTGAGCTGAATCATGTCGAGTCAGCGTGTGATGAAAGCCCAAACACATCACCCTTCACCCCCCGACTCTCCGTCCCACACCCAGACCCAGAGCGTCACTCATCGGCCCGCGCTGGTTCCCACTTTCAGAAGTCTTTGAAGAGGAGAACGTGCGCCAATTACTGATTGGACGTTGGAGGCGTCTCTAATAGAGACAAATATTATGAGGCTCGCTCACTGAAGGGAAGGGTCCCACCCTGGAGAACAAGGAGCAGCTGGCACGAGGGTCGTCTCAAATCTCATGTTACACATACCAGTAAGGATGGAGAGGAGTGGATGAATATGGCAGATGTGAACGCACTTGTTTTACTGGTGTGGAGCATCTCTGAGGCTGCAATTCAAATATCCATTTACAAGGAAAATAGAGAAGAAGAAAAAACACTCAGAGGACGCAGATGTGACGATCTTTTATCAAGTGATTTTTCCTCGGTTATGCACTTCTTCAGATGCTCTCACTTTACACGAATGTTAACAGTCACATGACTGATTTCCTGTATTTGTCTCAGCCTCAACAGCCCTGGATTTGTAGAGGGTTTAAGGTTGAAATGCATCAGGGCAGATCACTTCACTGTGACTTCAGGCTGCTTTTCGAATGATGTACTGAAATTGTTGCAGGTAGTCCCTCCTCCTGAAGTCTCAAACTGCATGTCCCTGATCTTTCCCGGAGTTGTTGCAGGATACCCAAATCTTCCCTGAATCAGCGGACAAGTGTGTCAGCTTGCAGAGTCTGGAAGAGACGGGTTGTATCGGAGTGCTGATATCAGAGATTTTAATCTGATATTGTTTTTTTGTTTTTTTCTGCTGATATCCGATATCAATATCAGATTGGGACACCCCTAGTGTTTATTGCAAGGGTTAACATTTTGCATGGTTATGTCTCAATTTAGCTAGACATAAAATCTGGTTTATTCCCCATATATATACAGTATATATATATATATTTTTTTTTTAATAGTAAAAGTTACAGTAGCATTTGGTACAGATCTCTAAAGACGTCAAATCCAAGAATATTGAATTTAGAGAGATGGAGACGTTCCCTTAAACCTCAGAACTTTTGATGGAAGTCAATCACTCCTTTTACATTTTCTAATCCAAACAGATAGAAAAACGTTCCTTTAACTCTACAACAAGTGCTTTATTATTTCTGCTTTGGCTTGTTCTAGGATGATAAAATGCGATAAGTAGAGATAAATATAATAATGAATCATACTTGTTGATAATTTATAAACACATAATCAAAGAAAAAGAGCTGTTCGCTTACAGCTTATGTAAAAATGACACAATAGTGTGGGTAAAACAGAAGAAGCGAACCTTTTCATGCGCCCTGCAAACATAACACTCAACAGCGAGACACTTCCTAAAACTAGCCAGCGCTGACAGGGCTGAGGAGTCCTCTTAAGAGGCTTAGTCTCTGTGGAAGAGAGTGTTAATGAATGAAATACTATTTAGTGGATGATACATAATAAAGCCTCTTGTCTGGCCTTCTTCAAAGACCAATATCCTCTGACCAACTACTCCAAACTTGAGCGGGGACATTTTTTGTGTGTGTGTGTCTGTGGATAAGCGCACTGTATGAGAGGGCAACCAGACAAAACAGACACTTAAGTTGTCTGTATGTGCGGCGGAGGGAGGGAGGGAGGAAGGGTGGGAGGGGAGGATGAGTGAGGAAGAGGAAGGGGGGGTTGAGCGGTGAATGTGGTCTGCTGCACTGTAGGTCACTCAGTGTCTGAGGCTAGACGGGCTTAGAGAATGTACACCCCTGTACTGCAGATTTAAAGTGCACCAGCTCAACCGATCCTCATAGACGCCCGGCTGGGTTTTACTCTGATTTAGCGTCTTTGTTGTCTTCTTATTTCCAAACGTGACAGAAAGTGGACCATGGTACTCTTCCTGATGACTCTTTCAATTCTTCACAAAGTGATTTTCCCCGTGTGCTGAAATGCAAACTAGCAAGTCCACAACCAGTAGATGACCTCTGGTTTTCATCTTTGTGTGAGTGACCTCCGGATCAGGGGTACTCTCTGATATCTCCGGATGATAAATCCTGACTGACACGCTGAGGATTTCTCAATCTGATTTCAATTTCTGCCTTTCAAAACAACCAACAACCTGCTTCAGACTCCACCAACTCACTGCCATCAAACCCCACATCTTTGGTCCAGATGTGAACTTACTTGCCAAGAGAGCATTATGCTCTAAATTTGCGAGAAACCAAACATTTCAAGTAAGCAAACTCAACATGCGGAGCGTCAAATGGTTTTTACCAATGTAATCCTCTATTCCTCTCCCCGTCTTCCTCCCTCCTTCCTCCCTCTATTCCCCACACTCTAATAACTGTCCTCCTCTGTCTCGTAAAACCCTAGTGCCTTTAGAGAACTCTATAACAAGGCTTCACAAGCGCTTTAAGATTATGGTGTTGTCTTTATGTGCAGAGAGGGAGTGCACTTGGCCGCAGCTGAAGCAGGAGTAAACGCTCAGACACTCTGGCATAAGTGGGAGAAATTGTATTACGGCATATTGAAGCAGCTGCTAAGGTTATAACGGCGCTTGTTTCTGCAGAGGGCCAGAGAGTAAAGCAGAGGCCGGTCTCTAATTGAGCGAGGTCGCAGACATTCCGTGTATAGCTGTGTATCAGTGGCCAGCCAGCCGGACCCTGAGAGCTGCCCAGCATGCTTAATCAAACAGTAATTACAAACAAAAGCAGGTCGGCATGGGCACTCTAGGGAACAGCTTTGGGCACTGGAGCTCCATCACGCAGGTCTTTCTACTTGGCAACATTTCTGAAATTCAGACAATGCCCTCAAAGCTTTGTTTTAAGCTTGTTTTTCATGTTTTGGGGCTATTTAACGTGTCGCACGGAATCAAAACAAAGTTTATCTGCGAAAAGGCTCTCGCTTTATACTTCGAGCTGAAAGATGATTTGGAGAAATCATCGAGTCCATTAAGAGTCTGAAAATATTCAAAAACAGCTTATCTTAATTTAATAAAAATCTGGAAACGGTTACATGTACAATTTTTGTGGTTATGTCCTGTTTTTTCGAACGGACTTGGCTGTTGCAAAATCAGAAAGTTCTCACACTTTGATTACAAGACCTTGAACATGTTCTTGAGAAATGTCTGAAACCTGATGACACTGTTTCTGGTGACTTTGAGGTGGTGGGAATGAGCTCTCTGACTGCAACATGAACACATCACAACTTAAACCAATGCATTCATTAAATACAGCAACATTAAAGTACAACCGAGGCTCCATCCAGGTCTTAAGACAGGGACAGTTTCTTAACTTGGTGAAATAAACCTTGATTTTAAATCTTAGATGAGTTACTGTCAACACCACAAAAAAGAGCTTTCAGAGGTTTGAATGTCCAGAATCAAAAATACTTATTTGGTGCTGTACATTACAACTGTAAATATGAATTTTTTTTGTTTGTTTGTTTGTTTTTTTGCTTTAAGTCTATTCATGTAATTAACAATTGTCTGGAAGCCCCTCTTTCTTTTGTCTTTATTTTATTTATTTATTTTTAATCTTTTAAAAAAAAAATTATTCTTGTTTGTTTCTTTGTTCCAGTATGTGTTGTTCAGTTTTGTAAAGTTAAAAATTGTAAATAAAGTACAAAATAATAATAATGATTTAAGACCCTTTAAGGCTCATTCATTGCTAAAAAAAAATTCCTATTATCTCCCAACCCCTGGCCCCATATGAAGTCTTTCACAAATGCCCTTCAAACTCCTCTTGGCCGGATTAGTTATTGTGTTTAATCTGCAGGAGCTTCTTGCCCTTCCCATCCTAAATTTGCCTGTAATGGAGATGTCTGAACAAACAGCGGAGACGCAAGTTCCTGTAAAGCTTTGCATTTTTTCGGACAGACGAGAACCAAGGACAAGATAATGAGTGTCACACAAACGTTCAGACAGAGTTTTTGGAGTGTATTCAGAATATCGTTTGCCCTCGCCAAAATGCAACATCATCTAAATGAGGTTATTCAGAAAAGTTCACTAGAGAACAAGCGGCACACCACTTTCTCCTCGGGGCTGCTCCAGGGAGACAGCGTGCAAACCCGGCATAACCCCTCAGTGGATCGAGACCTTTGTTTGATTGGCCTAACCAGAACGCAATTCACACTTATTGACATGCTGATGAATGAGTAGCGTGCTGACATACGCTGAATGCCCAAAAGGGAGAATGCTCTCATTGCCCTCTTCCATGTGAGACGGAGACCACTGTACTGTAAACAGCTGAGGGCCTCTCTTTTTGGCCTGTCTGGGTGAGCATTAGAGTACTTCCCACCGTCGCCAGCAACAGCATGCCACAAAGGAACCTCTGTGGCCGACAACACTGAAGTGGCCACTGTCTTTTTCGTGAGTCTCAGGGTGTCTCACAAACTTTTTTCCATGCAAGCTTCTTTTCTTTCACCCCCTCCCCATTTTTTAGAGGCCCTTTTTTTCCTCTCCTCTGCTGTTCCTCTCAGTGGCCCCTACTGAGAGGACAGAGACAGACACTCCGCCCAGCCAAAGGTTTGTCTGCCAGTATGGTCAGCTTTGGTCTGGAACAAAAGCGCACTGACGCTGCCCACACACAGCAAACCCCCCCAGACAAGTCCACAACAGACTCCCACATTCTCCCCCAAACTCCCCTCTTTCTCCGTTATCTCCTATCTCCTCTTAATGACAAAGCCTTCACTTCAAAGATCGCTCTTCTTTGTTTTGGACAGGCAGTGCATCGCTAACCTTGGCTACATGAAACGCTCACCGCTGTTTAGGCTGAGCTTTTGAAAATAACACACAAAAACCTGTCTGATTAAACACAGAGCTGTACCGCACCGTTAAGAGACACGTTACCGACGTAAATTAGTGACTCTGTAATGAACCTTTAACCAGGAAACGAGATTTTCTCCTGTCAGTCCAAGCTGCATCAGAGCAAAAGTCTAAAACTTCAGAGAGAAATGACAGAGATAAAAACAAAACAACCGACCACAATGACGCTCCAAGTGAAGATGAGGTTCCTGAATGTAGATGGTGGAAAACAGAGCATTTTTGCTTCAATTGGATAAATGCTCTCTTCAATAACAGATGGCTTTTAACAATTGCTGACATAAGTACCAGGAATAAAAACAGGAATTTCACAGCAAAATTGTCCTTGAGGAAGATGATTTCTTGGCCATCTGTACGCCTTTCCAAAGGGTTACAACTGACGATTGACTTCAGCGTTGATTCATCTGGTGACCATATTACAGAAATTATGGTTTCGAAAGTGGATGTTTGTGTGGAAAACAGACCAAATCATTCCTATGTGGGAGCGCGACACAAGTCAGGTGTTTTTATCTTTAAATCGACTGAAACGGATTTTTGTTTATGAGTGAGGATCAACACCATCATCAAAGGACTAATAATGAATTACCAATGACAGTGAAAGTGAGGCGACCGCAGCAGAGAAGAAGCAGAATCGGAGGATAAAATAAACGTTTGACTGTTTTTAATTAACATCTGCAGATATAAAGCCAACTGGAGCATCTGCTGTGACCAGCAGAGCAGCTGCCTTAAAGAGGGCTATGAGCTACCAAGAGGCTAGGGCTGAACGATTGCATTTGTGATCACATTGCGATATGATAAAACGCAATTTTCTAAGGCTGCGATTTTGACTGGTCACATGACTGAGTGAAGCAGAGCAGGTAGAGAGAGAAGTCAACACTGCACTCTGTCGCACTAAAGCTTTACTCCAAAGTTTAGTACCAAAGAAGGGCAACACGGCAGGTGTGTGGATTTATTTCGCCAAAAAAAGATGCTGCTGCGCAATGTGTGCAGAACCTGTCGTGCTGCTTTTGCTGCATCAGGAGGAAACACTATGAACCTTGATCAACACTTAAAAAAAATCGCAACAAAGCCGTGTAAGATAGTTGAATGACTAAAACACCAGTGCTTCAACTTCAAACCACGTCTGCGTAACAGCGGACAACACATCCAATACGGTGATGGCAGCACAGCTGAATGAATAGACCTGACTCCAGTGATTTGGGCACCGATTACATCTTGCTGTCAGTACGTAGATTAGTATCATGACTTATATGATGGTGCATGCATGTGTGTGCGTGATAGTGTGTGAGCAGAGAGAGCGCTTGTGTGTCTGTGTGTGTAAAATGATAGTTCCCAGAAAGACCAACTCTGTATAATTTATCCGATATTGTTATACTGTATTTTATTATAATACCGATTGATTTATTGTTGTGTTAAAAAATACATTAGAAGAGGACCTTGAAAAATTAATTGCATATTAAATCGCAATATTGAGGGAAAACATCGCAATTAGATTATTTTCCAAAATCGTTCAGCCCAGCAGAGGCTGGACCTAAGGTGCTCCACTTCACCTCACCAGAGAAATGCTCATAGTGAAATGGGGTAGACCTAACGTGGCCTGTGCTGACCCGGCAATGGGGTAACCAGAAACTGTTCCTCCATCAGTAACAGAGTCCAAACTGAGCTCTGTGACAGTAACCCCAATCAAGTCAGCAGATTTTCCTCTGACACGGTCAGGATGAAATATCTGTACATCAATGACGTTGAATCCTCTGGCATGTACAAAGTTAATGGACCACACTCTCTAGATGGTAAGGTCCCTAAAGTAAAGGTACTGGAATGGACGTTTATGGTTATTTAATAAAAACTAAGTAGCCTGTTTCCCACTTCATAAATACAGATGACCCTTTCAGGTTGTGAAGCAGTCTTTACAATTCCATTTCCATTTTTAAGTTTTTCACAAAGTAAACAATAGCTGAAATGCTCAAGATCATCAAAACACTTGTTCGTGTTGCATTTGCCAAGTGAACGAGAAAGGACACTTGAACACAGAAAACAAAAAAGTGATTTTGTAAAAACTTTTCTTTGGCCAAGGACATAACAGAAACAGATGAGGGATGTTGTGCATCAAAGTGAATAAAGGCAGCGAGGAAACATGCAAATCAACCAACTGAGAAACCCCGGGCGAAGATCAGAGCTTCAAAACTTTTAGAACAATGAAATAAATTCCTTCTGTTGCTTTAAAGGTAAAATCACAGCTTCATCCTTACACCTGGGTTTAGGCTGTGCTGAATTAACTGGAGCTTAGATAAAACACAGATCATGATATTAAATCACTACTATAGCAAGACCTTCACCTTCACTTCACCTACAAGTCACTGTGGTCATTTTTGTGACCGTGGAAAAAAACTTGTATGAGGTAAAAAAAATCAGATTTTGTCAAAACTGTAGAGGTGAAGTGTTGATCACTTTAATGCCTTCAAGTTAGAGACATCGTTAAAAGCTCTGCCGTCATGCAGAAGGCGATAAACTGTGCAGTGTGTCTCCTGTGGTATCATGTGCTGGACTAAACACCAAAGCAACATCATAAAAACTTTTAAGCTTAGCTGTCTCAGAGTCTATTTTCCAAATCAAAGTGATGCTCCTCTGGATTTGAGTAAATCAAAATGAAATGATTATGTTGAATTTTTCACCTATACTCTATTGAGTAATCTGTAATCTTGTCGGTAATTGCAGTCACCTTTTTAATGAGTTGTTATCAAAAGTTGGAAGGGTCCCGCAGAGAGGATTATTGGGAGCTGTGAGCACAGACAGAACTACCAATGATAACATTTGCCCTTTCCATCATAATGCTACAAAAGCCTACTGTCTAATGCAAGCAGATCTTGGCAGAGGAGAATAGGAGCGTTTTTTAACAAGTTTTCCAGCGAGGTAATTGGCAGACCAGACAAACGACAATCCCGGTGTCACGTTGAAAGGGGAGGGATACTTACCAGTTTCTCATCAACTGTGATAAGTTGCGTGTCTTGTCCTGGTTTCTCTGCCAGCCTCGATGTGGTTGTGCTTGTAGACCTGAAAACCATTAGGTAGACATTACACGCAAAGCACAAACAGCCAAAAGGCAGACAAGCAACAAAGAGGTAAATTACTCCAACGAGTCAACTCCGCAAACAGGGACTATCTTGGAGGAAGCGGTGGGGTGAGGACACAGAGAGAAAGGATGACACAAGGAGGGAATCCCCCCCGCCACCTATTAGTTCTGTCTGGTGAATCTCTGGCAGACTCTCGTTCTCATCCTAATGACAGGACGTGCTTAATGTTGGCTGTGGTCAACTGTCAGGCGAGGACTGTGTAGCTCTTTGTGAATGTGCAGCCGTGTCCTGTCACAAAACAGCGATGTGCCATAGCGGCCCTTTGACCAGGACAGAGCTCGAACCATCGAAGATGACTGGATTCTCTATACCATATAATTACAACCTTATATCTACTGCAAGAAGCACAACTTTAAAAATAGGAAACTTTTTACTGTCACTCGACTTTTTGTTTAAAGATAATTAGAAAAATCAATGTTGTGTTGTGTGTTGGTCGCAAATGACCCGGTTCGAAGAGCCGACTCTTTAACGTGAACGATGTGAGCCTTTTCTTTTTTTCTCTGTTTTTTCCCCCCACAGACCGTGGAAAAAAAAAAAAGAGTGGTTCTATAAGCAAGTCAGCACATTAACTGGGTGGTTTCAGAGAGATACACAGGTCTGTAAATGCAGTGAAAACAATTGGCTACAGCAATTTACTGGTATTAGAAAATTTAATTTTTACTTGTGAATACTTCAGTACAAAGGATGTATTGAATTATTTAAGAGGTATGTGTACACATACAAACATATCATAAGGCAAACACTAAATTTGGCTGAATTAGAAAATGTGTAAGTGGTAAAATGAAGAGCTGTTTTGGAGCTGAATGATCCGGCTCGCTACAAAGGACTCGTAATTCCTATCACTAAATCAGTGTAACAAACACAGTTAGAGTTAAACATTGAAACATGGATTAAGTTCAAACTAAAATATTCGTTTCCTTTAGGAAAAGTCCTACAGACTGCTTTCATTATATATGATACTACATAGTTTATTTGTACATGACCAAGGCTGAAGAAAGAGTGTTGGACTACTAGTTTGTATGGATTTGTTTATTTGTTTATTATGAGATATGATTATTATCAGAAAACGATTAGACGGTTCCCTTTCAGAGCGGCTATAATTCTTCTCATTTGCTGACTGAATATCAAATATTTGCTGGTTTCACCATCATAAATAATTCGGAGTAGTTATCGCCTTTTCCTGTTCACATGTGTTTCAATGCTTTGAACTATTGTCTGTCAGGAGAATCATTTAACAATATAACTCATCTGATTTGAAATAAAGGAAATATTAACTTGTATGTAAAAGCTGAGTGATTACTACTGAAAACATGACTTATCCTTAATTATTATTACCCTTAAATGAGAAACATGTGTGCTAGATATTCTAATGTTTGTTCAATGACTGATCAGCCTTTCACAATTATTTCAATAACCTGATTTTGTTTCAAAGGCCAACTCTCTGTTCCAGCGAGCTGTCTTCAGATTTTATGATGTGTATTTCTTATAATCAGTATTTCTATGAAGTTACCGTAAGACCGTGAAACTATTCATAATTAATCCAAACTTGGACAGTAACATTAATGTTTTTGTTAAGCAATGCTGTCAAAGCTGTCTCTACTACTTAATAACCTCATCTTGCACACGGTGAGGCCAAAGTTTGGTTATTAAAGCATGGGGGGGCCATTGTGAAAACAGAAATATTTCTCATTCAGCAAAGAAAAACAATCAAAGTTAGCAAAAATACTGAAAAAAGTGCTTTCTCTTCGCACAACCGGCTAGATCAAACCTGAGTATGATGTTTTGACAACCTGCCCTGTCTCAGTGTTTAATATAACAGGAGCTTCTGTATCCGACAGAGAACCCGTTTGGGGTTGAGAAGTTTACATGACTTTTTATAATCCAGGGAGCATTAAAAATCGGTGGGGAGGCTCGGCAGGAAAAACACTCCAGGAAGGCTTTTGCTTAAATGGATAGAGGTTAATTTTGTCATCTGACACGCTCAAATATCTACAAGGCTTGGAGAAACTGACAAAATAAAACACTGTTGTTGGGCATCATGACTGCTGTTATTACATTTGGCATGGGTGAACTTTACATGATAACCAAGCAAGAAGAAAACACTTTTGTTCACCAAAACACAGTTTACTGTTATTTTGCCCTTCCAGCTGAGAAAATAGTCAGACGCTGTGTTTATGAAGACAAACCATGACTTTACATCTCTATTGCAATCCATAAAACAGCTCTGCCATAAACTCTACTCTCAGAAAGCTCCTAACTGTTCAGACAAGTAAGTTTAATGCTCTCCATATTTAATGATAAAGACATACTGGGTGGTGGTGGTTATATTGTGTTAAGCTGAAAGGTGCTCCCTCTGTTTTGGTAACTTGTGCGTAGGGCTTGGTGATATGGGAAAAAGTTTATCACAATATATTTTTTCATATCAGTCAATATCAGTATATATCATGATATAAAAAATTAAATTTAACAGTGCTTATTGCTAGCATGTCTTTTCCAACACAATAAGCTACTGAATCTGTGAGGTCTTTGTGTCTCTTTGATGTTTTATCGTAAGGCATTGCGCTTGAGCAGTGGTTCTCAAGTCCAGTCCTCGTGGCCCACTGTCCTGCATGTTTTGGATGTTTCCCTGCTCCAACACACCTGATTCAAATGATGAGCTCGTTAGTGAGCCATTACAGAGCTTGATAACGAGCTGATCATTTGAATCAGGTGTCCTCAAGGACTGGACTTGAGAACCACTGCGCTAGAGAAAGCGGACTGAATGGTCGGCTGTTTTCAGTGTTGAAGTGCTGTGGTTGCATGTAGCTGCAGCCTGCTACTATCAATCAATCAAACTTTATTTATAAAGTGCTTTTCCTACAGGAATGTAACTCATATCGATATCGAGGGAAATTAATTTTCGATATATATCGTTATCGTTTTATCACCCAGCCCTACCCGTACAGCAGCAAAATATCAGGGAGAGCTTTCAGTACATTGTACTCCAGACACCCCCAAACCCTGCTACAATTTCATTTAATCTAAAGTATAGCTAAAGATCCTAAAAGTCTTGATTTTGACGTGTACTTGTTCACCAGAGAGGATGCTACACTTCACTGCAGGATAACATAGCTATTTTGTGTAAGTTGGATGCGTTCGGTTAGCTCTGTTATTCAATAAAGCTCCTGTTTAGCTGAATATTAGTGATGGTATGCAGCAGATGTAAAGAGCTGAACAGGATTTAATCGTGTTCTTCCTAAACTCATGTCTGACACACAGCTACACACAACCACAGTGAGAGTTAGCTGACCACCTGGCTAGCTGAGCTGCTGAAAGGACACCGGTTAACATTTACATTAGCTGACAGCCTACACACTTAAAAGTCCAAATTTGCGAAAAGCATTGTAGTTGAATGTGTAAACTCACACTCTGTACCGAGTTAAACGCCAAACTAGCTTTATTCAAGTGTAATTCGTGTTCAGGCTAGCTAGCTTACAATCACTAGCCTGTGACATGCAAGCGCTGGGCCTTCTTTAATCGACTTTAAATAGAAAATAAAATGTGAAGAAATGACTCATAGTCACTTGCGCGACCATGAAATCAATATAAAAAGTAATATGCGTTTACCTGATGGGATTCAGGATCAATCTAGAAGCTGCATTTATCAAAGACAAACGTCTCAAGCCGAGAAGTGACATTGAGGACGCCATGATTGTTGACAACAATGACGTACGGCGTCCGCGAAGGAACAAACAGTGCGAGCAGAGGATGGAGACAGCTGGCTGAGAGATGGAGACCTGATGCCAGCAACTAAAATTACTTTACAGGGATGTGTTACATACAGCAAGACATGTCCAGACACATCCAGCATCTATTTACGCCAATGAGGTTTGTTTCATATCACAAATAACGATGATGATGGTGTTAATGGAAAAACCTCAGCACATCTAGAAGCTCTTGCCTCTGGCGCCTGTAACTGCTTTATATAAGCTGTAGTCTACCCCTTGCTTTATTTTCTGTCATTCTCACACAGCAGATACATAATTGTAGTCTTCTATGTTACCATCATATTCATGTTTGACAAAACAGTGTTCACAATATTCCTTCATGGTGATTGAACACTGAGCCAACAGTGATGCATCTTTCATATATTTATGCTTCCTTTGAGGATTTTATGAGTTTGATTGGTGCATGAGGTACTTTTTTTAAGATGATGCAACATTTGAATGAGATCTAAAATGCATATTTGTGGTTTTATGTACTTGTTTTCTTTCCTGTACGAAACATCTTGCAGCGCAGAATTTAAAGTTATTGGTGTATTCAGTCTGTCATTTTTTGTAATAAGCTGTCCTAGGTTTGCAAAGTAAACAGTCTTCAATCAGGAAACTCTTAATGGATAAAATTAAGAAGTTAACGGGAATTTTGTTCATCCAAATGAATTAAAATCTTTAATGGATTGCAGGGAAAAGAAAGAAAACATTATTGGATCCCTGTCCAAAACTGCTTATTCGCTTCCAGACATATGGAGAGATTGATATTTTAAATATCTGATGGTGGATTAGAGCATCTCCTTTTACAGTATATGTCACTTGATTGCACTGAGCACTATTTAGATCTGAAAATAAAGCCAAGATTTAACTTCTTATTTGAATGAAAGTCATGCATTTATGTTACAGAGTTACTAATAATAAAAGTCCAGAGTTAGAAAAGGTATAAGGAAAAAAACTTTTATTGTTTCACTCTTCATATCTGTACAAATACCATCAAACTTTGTATGTACATATGACATTTACATAAAAAATACAAAACTATATATTCATAACAGAATTTTGTATTTCTCTTGTGATGCTTGAAAATAAAATGCTTTCTGAGAAAAAAAAGAAACAAAGTGATGTAGTCTGATATAGTGTGGAGTACTGCAGTACGTTAGTCCTATTTAAGCTCTTCGAGAGCAGTATATTGAGCACATTGGCAAGAAGACAGCACACAAATGTTATTGGCACATTGTTTCCAAAAGAATCAAGTATCATCCAAAACCTAGCTCTGCTTTACTGTGGTGACACAAAATAAATGCTATTGAATAACATCTAAAGTTTTCGTCTCCATGTGGAAACACATCTACAGGGTGAAAAAGACTGAGGGGAAACAACAAATAATATTATAAGGGAAGAAAAACAAATGGCTCTCTTTATCTCTTCCGTTTCATCACTGCTGTGTTGCAACTTTACAATGCTCTTTTGCAAAAACCATTGAGAGAATCCCTTTGGTCAGTTATTATGAGTTGTAAACAAACCAGAAAACACTTCTGTACATAAAATGATTGATATATTCCCAATAAATAAACACGCAGCCTAAACATGCATTTACGTATGTGAGACATAAACATCTGTGATAGAGATCTGACAGAAACAAGCAGATTTGTACAGCTCAGGGAATGCAATTTACAGCTTGTAGAGGACTTATACTTACACGGTAACATGACAAATAAATAACACTGCTTCTCTTTGGACAAATATATTTCTTCATGATAAAAAAAAAGAAAGTACAAGGGACAACAACAAAAAAGTGGGGAAGTGAGTGGTAACACAATATATCATGGTAGATAGTAAGCCTGACATTGTAAATGTATAAATTATAAAACACAAAAGTATAAATAAACATCTAGCAGACTGAACTATATGTATACTTCCTTTTTCTTTAAAAAATAAATAAGCATACACATAATGTACAGTATGGACATGATTCCTTGCCCTAGGACTGTTCCCCTAGTGATGGGGGCCTATCCATCCAGTATAGAAGATATATGGACATAGGCCTTGTAGTCTGAGTCCTCATCTTCCTCATCCTCCTCGTGGTCTTCTGTGATGGCTATGTGGGAGAATATACGGTAGCTGTTGTATGAATATGGACCACAACAGCGCAGAATAGCAATAGATGTTTGCAAAGAAAAAGTGCACAGCCAAGCAACTGGCACACAATCTCCCTTTTTTGTGTGTGTGTGAATAAGTTTATGTGAGTTTTTAATGCATCTATATGTGAGGAAGGGTCTATGTGACTCCAGCAAACACTTTCTGCAAACCCAATTCTGCAACTTTACATTTACATCATTAAGTAAATCAGGGCTGCAACATGAGAAAAATGATGGATTAGAGAACTGAATAGGAGGTGGGATCACAAAAGGTGGGTTAGAGAGGGGGGATGCTGGGTGGAAGGTGTAGGGGATGACGGATTCGATGGGTCGGGTCTCTTTTGGGCAGATTCCTGAAAGCAGACACACAAAACACATAAAAGTGCTCTTGTGTTCTTGTATTTCCTATGATTGACTTTTTTTTCTGTCTCTGGCTCAAACATACAGGGAGGGAGGACTCTGTGTCGCAGCCTGGCCTTAGCAAGCAGGTCAGAGGTCATAAACACAGTTCTGAGGTATTTCCTTTTCTTTTTACATTGGACAAAAATTGAAAAATGAAATAAAAAATGCACACAAACAGGAGCAAGAATGACAAAACAAACAAAGAAAAAAACCCATAAAAACAGGCAGTCCCTCATCAATCCGAATGGATTTGTCATATCTAGACAACACATATACTGGAAACAACACAAACAATTCGAGTGAGAGGATAGTTTTTTTTTTTCTTTTTCTTTTTTTCTGAGACAATGAGAAGTACGAGCGAGCTTCCTCTGCTTATCCTGCACACTGTGGAGTATCACATTTATATTTAGCTCATGAGGTGATCATAAAGTTGGTCCCTTGGATTCAGTTGCATACCTTAGGCACATCACATTAAGGTACTCAGCCAGGAGAAAGAAACAAACACTCTTCTTGGAATGTAAATTTGATACTTCCTTGAGGCTAGCGTTAAATTTGACGGTTTTACCCACCGATTTGTGAGCACTTGAATTGCTCTACAGACATTAAGTCTACATGGAAACCACTGTTAAATCCCTCCTAATTATCACTAAAATGGCACCAAAGTTACAATCACCTTATGCACATCATACTGTATTCTTAAAGGTATCTGTCCTTGCTGACATGTTGGCAGTGTGGTGTACGTCACAAGAGGCAGTGCATTTTGAACTGATTGATTACAGCTGAAAGCAACAAAAAGAAACAAATAATACAAAAACACAAATACACCAATAACTTGAAATTAGCAAATATGACCATGAAACTTACTAGCTGTAAAGATATGACCACTAGCTTAAAGAAGAACCGTTACTGATTAGAAAAAACTGTGTAAGATTTAAGGCAACCGGCTCCTGCAGGTCACTCACATGACAATAAAGTCATCTAAACTTTTAAATATCAGGATTGTTCCACTGCAAACATAATTAGTTTCCTTTAATTATTTGTAAATTTTAATCTAATGAACTTTCCCCAAACTCCTTGACCAAGTCTGCTAATAAATATGTTTGCCTTTTCATTAACCTTTCTGTTTTTTATTTTGCAGGAGAATTTAAAAGAGTAAAAAATGAAAAAAAGAAAGAAAATCAACAAGAACACAAGAACAAAAGCCAGCAACAAAGACAACATCATGCAAGTCTTCTACTCCCAAGTCCTTTCTGCTTGCTTAAGCTGTGCTTGGTGGTGTGGCAGAGGGGTGGGGGGAGTTATTTGGGGAAAGTAGGGATGGGGGCACTTTCAGGGGAGGTTTTTTGTCAGGGCAGCAACATGGAATATTGTCTTTCACTTGGAGAGAGGGATGTTGGGGGTGTTTTGTCTCATTCTTTCCATATTTTTCTCTTTTGTTGTTTACTTACAGTTGCAAGATCCCGAGTGTTTGACTTCCAGCAGCACCCCCATTGAGCAAGCAGCCTGCTTCATGGCACATTCACTGGGATATGTGGTGTTGTCGCTGGCACACACTGCCACGTCCGTCCTGCTCTCTGGACAGGCCTCATCACACAGCGAGCAGCGGCCCCGGCTCATCCGAGCATCCCACAGACACTTCTTCCCTGCGCTGCACTGGATGTCCTCACACGACTTGGCCTCTGGAAGGAGAGTGGAGGAAATCGGCGACAGGGGAAATCTTCGATTAGGTGGATTATTGTGAATGCTTTTCAAACTTGATGACTTAGCGAGAAATATAAAGTACACTCTGTTTCGTGGTGTCAAGTTAGACGTGATGCAGGACATTCAGACATGTCTAAACGAACATTTCTGGGACTACATGACTCAGATTGAGTCGTTTTTGTTTGGATAAGAGGCCATCTGACTCAAACATTAACTTGAAGCATGCCTTCATGGCCCCCAGCACTCCCCTGTTTCTTTCTCCTGCTCCCTCCCCCTCTCCTCCCCTCTTTCCCATGTGCACTAGTGCTGCCAACATCAGGAAATAATAAGATGTCTATCAATTCTTGAGCAAACACAAGCAACAACCAAACACACACACACTCCCTCTCTAAGACCCCCTCCTCAAAGGAATGTTGGCAAAAATGAGCAGAGAACAACTGCAGAGCTGGCCAGGGACAAAATGCTCTCAAACAATCATCAGAGTCAGTGGCTGGAGGCGCTCTCACTCTCGAAAGCCTCACACTCTCACGTGTCCTGTGGCTGCACACTTACTGATGCATTTTCCCTCATATGCCACTCCGATAGATCTGCCCAGGAGACAGGTAGCTCTTCTCAGGTGACACGCGCTAGCATAGATGATCCCGTCGTTTCCACACAGGTACTGCTCAGGCGACGTCACCTCGGGGCAAATCCGATTACACGTCACACAATACGCGTTATTCGTCTGGTCCACGACGCATGTGGAGCTGCCGGGACACAAGACGTCACGGCACGTTTCTGTCGAGACAAAGAGAAGGGACTTGGTGAAGAATGCAACAAAAAGAAGAAGAAACCGCTGGATTCTTGGCATTTGCAGCTTTAAGAAACATTCTGAATATGTACTCACTCTTGCACTTTCCCTGGTACTGCACGTCCAGGTCTGGGTGTCCTTTACATTTAGCCTTCAGCAGAGCGCATTCGTCTTTGTAGGTCTTTCCGTCTGAGCCGCAGACGGGTCCTTTCCAGGTGATGTTGGAGCAGTCTGGCGCGCACACGCAGCGCGGCTTACTTCTTCTGTTCATCTTGCACCTCTTCCCAGGCCCACAGTCCACATTATCGCAGGTTTCTAGAATAAAAGCTCTGTGTTATGCGATGCAGGCAGTGATTCGGGACTTGTGCGTAAAACCGCTCTGGCGCATTGAGTATACACTGAATGAATCACTTTATGTGTGTTTATGTGCGCAAATCGGATCATGGTTGGGATTTATTAACTTCATGGCTGAGGGTGTGTATTATGAGAAAACGAAGGGAAATGAGTGCACCTCCACCTTTGCAAGGTATGCAATTGGGGGCTCCGCCATTGAAGATCATCCACCTAAAGAGCGTGCTGTTTGGGACGTCTTCTTCGGTCCAGGACGTCCCCAGTCTTCCACTCCGACAGCACTCCTCCCTGCTCATCCCGGGCATGTAGAGCACCTGGCACCTCCCGTTCTTCCCCTGCTGCAGCCAGCAGTTCCCAGCTGCAAACAGACAAAAAAACAAAAACCCTCGAATGTCGCATGTTGTACGTCTGTAACCGCTGACCCAGACGCACCAGACACACACGCAGCCTGTATTATCCGAGACGCTCCCTCCCTCCCTTTCGCCCTCCCGGCACTATTTTGTCTGATTTTTTTTCCAGACTGTTAACACTTGCCCATCCTATCTGTGACTGACAACCCTTACAATGCAGCCACAAACCAAGAAAAGTAAGAAGAATCTCCGGAGGGGGGTTTGTCCTTTATTCCCAGAGTCTCCTTGTTATCACTGGACAGAAAGTGGAGCGTCTAGACGGTGTTAAAAAGCAGCCAATCTCCTTCAAAAAAAAAAAAAAAAAAAACCCACACACCACCGTCTCCAACGCCTCAGAACAATATCTCAGACATGTACCCTCCAGACAATGACTTGCTTATTCACAAAGCACTTTAAACTTTATTTCAAAATCCTATATAGAAAAAAAAAAGGTAAAATGGTAATCCTATTTCTCTGGCACAGACATATCTCTTGATCCAGACAACAGCAGGATGTCTGAACCTACTCAGACACACATGATATTCAGAGCTCTTAAACTGATGTGTTTTCTAAGTTGATCACAGATTTCTGCCCTGTCGAATTGGTTTGGTGTTCCAAAAGAATAAGATTAGGTGCAAAAGTCCTCACTTGCATTATTTGTCTGTCAAACATGCAGGAGGGGAATCACTTTTGCACACAATACTGAATGTGATCTAAAAGGACATAAACAAATAACACGTCCATGGACTTACAGTAGATGTTGTAAACTTTGTCACAGATTTAGCGACAACATAGTGTGACTCTATTCGCTCAGACCAAAGTATGAGAATATGCTCAGGTATTATGGATAGCTGGCGCTGCAACACGGCGTGGCGACCTAAGAGTGTGCGCCTAGCGAGGGCTGGAAAACTTGCCATTTAGTCTCACTTTGAAGTGTCCCATATGGCACCTGTTTTATGGACGCTTAACGCACGTACTGTTAGATAAGGAGAGAGTTTGATCAGCGGCAGAAACAGAGACGGACTTTGAAAAGTTTCTTGGTTTGCAGCAAGCTTTCGACACTGGGGCGCGTTTTGTGTCTGACAGCAGTGGAAGTTTCTTCAAAACGGAAAGAATAGAAGAAAATGGATGGAGAGAGCTTACCTTGAACTTTTTGATGTTCCATGAGGTGACAAAGCCATATGAAGAAGAGAAAAATGCCCGGGTGGAGGTGGTGTTTCAGCATCCTAAACATGATGGAGAGGCAAAGTGAACTACGTATTTGACACAGGCAAGCGCAAAAGTAATCTGCTTACGGTGGCAGTGTTGAATAAGTGTCAGTCTGAGAATGCAGCCTCTCTTTTTAAATCTATAAGGGGTTTCGGGGTTGACTGTCTGTGGTGGGCGGTCTCCTCTTCTGTGGGGGTGGGGAGATTTTTTTTTTCTTACCAAAGTTCTTTCAATCCTAATCAGGTGACATCGTTACGGGCAACTTTCTCTTGTAGCAATAATCGACGACTTTACAAGTATGTATACATTTGTAATAAAAAAAAAGACTATTTCTCAGGATTTTGCAGCAAAATAAAAAAAATGTAGATCAGACAAAATGTGGGTGTTAATATGAAATTGGTTTGTATGGATGAAACAGTTATTAATCTTTCACTCTTATCGTTTAAGAGTTTTGATGCAGTTTTTAACAGGGTGAGTTAGATACTTTTTATGCATGACATGGGCGTGCGACTGTGAGCCAGTGATAATAATAATAATAATAATAATAATAATAATAATAATAATAATAAAGGTTATTGTGAGTCATATCAGGGCCTTTTATTACTGTATAATCAAATAGGCCTTCAGCCAACATACCTATCCGGACATACCGTCAGTCCTTCAAATTAAAAGTACTACATGGTGGTAACTGATATTTTTTCCACCAACTGCAGACATAAGTGTAAATCTTTTGATGAGACTTGCCCGCTGGAATACATCCGAGCCCAGACAATAATAGAATTCATAGTAGTCCGCAGCCGCACTGCTAATATTAGAACAGACAGTTGTTTGGGTTTCTCTCCCGGGTCAAGCTTTTAAATATAATCAAACCTGTTTCCGAAGAGGCTTCAGACAGAGGAGAGGGGTGTTGCATTTCATTGAATGAAACGCACACACACACACACACACACACACACACACACACACACACACACACACACACACACACACACACACACACACACTGACGCACAGGCTGAACTCCCTCAGAAGTCCTTGCGCGACCTCTTCAGCGGAACTCTGGTTACAGCTCTCTCTCTCTGAGTGTGTGTCCGCTGTGTGAATCAGACACCAGGGAGTTAATTATCTGTTAGCCAGGAAGATCTCCTTATTAACTCCAGTTTAATACCACTTTAGTATCTTTTAGCAAGAGACTATGGGGACACTCACAAGACTTGCACATAACCAGAGAAGTGTGACTCTCCTCAGGCACCATTGACTAAACTCTAAGTCCTAAAACTAATATGGAAACGTCAAACAGCTTATCCTACATTTTTTCTTATTAGTAAAGTATCCAGTTTATATTTATTTTTATTGTCAGAGTATTATTGGTTCCGAGCACTGGGCAGTAGCATCAGTTTATTATTGATTTTATTACAAACCATCAATTACACAAACAACCCCAAGATGAAAACAGCAACACATGCCTCAAAGAATTTTTGCAATAATACGCACTATTGACAAAAATACAAATACTTACCAAAAAAGATCATTATACAGCTGGATACGAGCCACGGTCACAATCTCCTGTCACCAAGACCACCCACAGTTCATCCACGCATGAGCAGGGAGAGGATGTTTGGTTTCAAGTGTTAGGGCTTCTCCGTGTCATGTGAAAAATAAGTTGTTGTAGGTTTTATTCTCTGTGATCCAGTAAGAGCTCATAAGGTACAGGGAAAAGATCAGACAGCTAAAGATGTAAAAGAAAAGGAGGGAGACTGATCAACTGAAAAGAGCAGCTGACAGATTCATAGGTGTGATGCAATATATAACAGAGTATGACGATACATTTTAATGTGAAACTATACAGTTAGATTGGCCTGACAGACATTAGGATACCGTATAGTACATTAGGATACAATATGGTATTGTATGGTATGATTCAATACGATATGATACGATGTTTGACATATCATATGATGCTTTGCAACAAGATGCAATACGATATGGTACAATATATGATCCGATATGATATATTGCTGTTTAGTTCTACCAGATAAGATACTATATAATATGATAGAGTAAGGTATGATAATGTGCAATATGATATCATGTGGTAAAACACAGCAGGGAATTGTATTAAACTGTTAACATTTCACTTTGTTGAAACAGCTGGTTTTCTTTTTAAATGTTAGTCTAAAAAACAAATAAGGCAAATCCGTTTTTATTTCTTCTTTTAATTACTCCAAAAATGAGATGATTGATGCATATGGACTGCACACTCATCCATCAACACAACTGGGGTGGCTACTCTTTGTTTGGTTGCAAAGACAGACAGATTTCCTATCATGCTGTGTGTACCTCTGTACTTGGTAAAAGTTTGACCAGTTTTACATCAAAGTGTCATCTGAGTCAGCTCAAAGTTTTACACAGGCGTTGTAGTCCAGTTATTACCCCAAAGTAAAACCACTACAAATGCCTCGAGTCAGCATCTGTGAGGATTATTTCTTTCAGCAAATCTGAAAATGTTCGCTTGATTCTGAGTTGTGTTTGGCAAATCATTCAGTGTCTACTGTGTGTGATTTGTGAGACAAGTGTCTTTGAAGAGTTGAAGCTACCAAAACATTTCCTGACATGAGAGTACATTTCTGCCCCGCTGTATCAACTTTAAAGTGCTGGCTGATGTCCTGAAGCTTTTAATGGCATCAGCAGAGGAACGCCAAACGCTCCACGCTCAGGAGACCCTGAACCCTTAAGTTCAAACAGTGGAGTGGATGGAGCTGATTGACCCTGATTGACTGAGCCCTTTTTATACCATTAGGACCATCACTGACATGAGTTATTATACAGGTCTGTTAGACTGCTGGTATTACATTATGTTCAAACTTGACCCTGAAATATCAAATAACAGATACATTACAGCTCCTTTTTCATTGTTATCCTTGAATTTGTATTAACTGAAATAAGTGAGATTCAGGACCTGTGAGGATGAAACCCAACATTTAAAGTAACACAAGAGTTCCTGTGAAGTGCATTAAAAAAAAAAAGCACTGGTTCATAACTTTTTGATTTAGAGCAACGTGGCAGCATTTGTGAGCAATCATGCACACAGGTCATCGTTTGGCTGCAACTGCCAATCAGCTGCAGGAAACCCTGGAGGGATGAAATTCAAAGGTGGTCGAAAACTTTCACTGGATCTGATTCCATCGGCTGTTTCAACATTGCTCCCCGTACGCGTATATGTAAAATCCAAATGATGTTTCACAACAGAGTTGTGCATGAGTAATCATGAAACAGAAGAGTTCAATCATCCATCAAATCTATATATCCCCTCCAACAAGGCAAGTTTGGGTCCAGGCTCCCAAAAATATGCTACTTATTACAGATAAATAGCAAATACAACCTTGCCAGACGCAGAAGAGTGAAGTCTGAAGTCTCAGCTGGGTGCTTGAGCTGGCTTGTTCAAAAGGAAAACAGCCAGAAACACATTTCCGAACAGTCCAGGGACAGAGTAACCTTATAACTGTGGGAGAACACGACAGTCAAAAATGTGAGAGGAAATTAAACAAGTTTGGAGAAAAAACTCTGATTGTTCTGATGTTTGGATGGAGGGAGTCCAAGTGGAGTTGCTTTCAGGGTCAGGTCCTGAGAGAAGGGGGGAGAAGAAAAGAGGGTACAGGAGAGGACGGAGGATGACAGAACTAGGACACAAGAGGACAGGAGACACAGTTTAAACTAGAAAATTTGCATTTCCTTGCAGAAAATGCGTGGAAATGCTGAGTGCTGAAAGCTGAAAAAGCAATGCTAAACTGCTAATAAAACATGGAGAAAGGTATAAATGTAAAAGCTGTTGAAGGGGTAAAAAAATATATATAAGTTAAATAATTGTGAAAATGGTTGGAGGATAAATAGTATGAATATGCTCCTCAAATTGAAATTTGATTCATGCTGATAGAGGCTGGAAAATGTTCTACAATTACACAAAGTTTGAATGAAGAAGTAAATTACCTTAAAAGGCAAGTAAGTGAAAAGTGGCATAAGTTTAAGTTGTAGTACTAGAAGTAGTATGATAATAGGTAGTTGTAGTAGTGATATTAGTAGTCATGTAAGCAGTAGAAGTAGTTTTAGAATTGAAGAAGTAGAAGTCAAAGCAGTAGAGCTCGTGGTAGAAGTAAGAGTAGAAGTAAAAAAATATTAAGAGAAGCAAGAGCAGTGGAGGTGGAAGTGAAGATACAAGTTAAGGTGACATAAGTAGTAATTGTAGTGGTAGAACTGGGATTTTGCTTGAAGAATTAAAACATACATAAATAATGAGAATGATTTTGAAGTGGGAAAAACTTAAAAAATTAGACGACCTAATGTGTTTAACAGGTTTGAAGTATCCCAAAGGTTTGAATCAGTTTGAATGAGTTTGGATTTGTCTGAAGAATTTCATAATGCATGAATAATGAGAATAATTTTAAAGTGGGAAAAAGTTAAATGAATAAAAATCCTGAGTACACCCCATATTGTCCTCAATAAGCTGAATTTTTGGAGCCCTGAATGGTTTCTGTAGGTCAAAGTTTGTAGTCCTCGCTTTGTGGGTCTTTTCTCATAGACCTCACAAAGCAGCAAGTACAAGATTTTGTGTGTGTGTGTCTCGTTAATGACTGCATCCTAAACAGCTGTGAGATCAAAGGCATTAACTGACCTACTGTTTGAATGAGAATCTGCATGACTGCAGAGGATGTAAAGCCTCTGAACTTCTTCACATAGCGTGATTTCCTTAAGTCCCAGAATGAAAATAAGAACATCGTACGAATCCTCCGCCCTTCATGAACACAATGATGTGTTTTTCATGTCTGTACCCTAAGAAATGTGGCCACAACAGCGAGTTAAAAAAGTCTGAGCCTGAGTGGCGATAAGGATTTTCTTGGAGAAAAAATACATTAGGGCCAATGGGGAGAGACTTCCGCCTATTTGAACAGTTGGTCACCTGCTGGCCAAGGGGTAGGATTTAATGATTTGAAACCTCTTTTGTGAGAAGCAGGACACATATACCTCCATTTTGATGTATTTTTTATGTCTGTGGAGTGAGATTTGTAGGCGTGGGAGCGATATATTCGAGCGAGGTTCTGTCGATCAGAGACGAGGTCTGCACTCTAGCTTTTCAAATCGTCACTCTAGCCTCTCCAATACACACCCATTATAAAGCCTGAAAATTTGCTGAAAACCACAAGTTGCTTAAAGCTAAATTGTGGAAGAACTGTAAAAGATATCAAAAAACTGACTACAACTGTAATAGTCGACAAGACAATGAACATTTTAAAGCAAAAATGAGGTCTCTAGGTGAAAGTATGCAGAAGTTATAAGGTTCAGAAGGTGGAAGAATAACAGGAAGAATTGGAAGATTTCCCCATTGACTTCAATGTTAAAATTTTTGCATAAAAAGTTAAAAAAATCAAAAAGTATAAAGGGTAGAAAAGTGAAAAGTAATCGCCGTCATGTCCTGAAGGAGAGGAATAGTTTAAAGTTTGAACGGTTGAAATCGCACAAAGTGGAGAAGAGTTATAAAGTGCCAAAAAATGGCGGAAGAAAAATAATAATAATAATAATAATAAAGAAACAGGAGAATAACAATAAGTGGAAATGCCTATCAGCATTTCCACTTAATGAGTGATCAATTACCACACACAGTATTAATTGATGGTTGCATGGAGCTTGGAGGCTGTCACCAGTGGAGTGAAGAAAAAAATGAAAGCTACCAACATGTTGTCTATATTGTGCTGCCATCTTGTGGTGAAGCTTTGCTAATGCATATTTATGTGACAGTTGGGAGAGAGACACTTCTCACAAACTAGCTTTAAAAAGCACCAGAATTTGATCTTTTTCAAAGTAACCTGGTTGTTGCCTTTGGTAACCATGTCAGCTACATCTCAGCATATCTGTGATCAATATTTGCACTGTCAATATTCGCCCTAAACTTGAAATGAAGAACATGTGAACAGTTCAAGGTATGAATCTATGATTAATTAATTAATGCGTCAGATTTCAAATAGGGCTTTATCAGAGACCCTCAAAGCATTTTACATTGGATACATCATTTATTCGCTCAAACGGTCACACCCTGGTGGTGGTAAACTACCTTAGTAGTCACAGCTGCTCTGGGGCAGACTGATGGAAACATGGCTGCCAGTTTATGCCTACAGTCTCTCCAACTACCACTCACACAACACTCACAGTCATACACCAGTGGAGGACACACACTGGGATCGAGGTGGGTTAAGCGTCTTGCCCAAAGACACAACAGACAGACTAGGGATATGGGGGAATTGAACCGCCAACCTTCCAGTTATTGGACGACCACTCTACCTCCTGGGCTACTGCTGCTCACAATATTTATGATAAATAAGTTGATGAATAATCTGTAGATATATCTGTTAAGCGTGTGATTGTCTTACTTTTTGCTTTAAATTGACATATTTGCCAATGTTGCAATAAAACCACCTGTTTAAAACACCCAACTGTAACCTGGTAAACTGTGAGGGTCTCTGAAATTTCATTAAAACAATTAACCAATTAGTCATGAAAACAACTATCCGATTGTTCTTTTTAGTAAATAATGCAAACCTGACCACGCAGGAGCAGGGAGAGCTCCAAGATGTTTATAATTAAGGTGTGCCATTTAGAGGCAGGATAACAAAACAACAACACCACCACAATGGATACTCAACTGATTCAAACATCAATTTTTTACATACAAAAGGCACATGAAAGATAAACATTTTATCTTACAGTATGTACAGTACAAACAGAGTTTAAACCACAGAAATCAACAGTCTTAATGCCAGAGGAGCCCTGAGTGCAGACAATTACAGTGGATCTCAAGGTAGTTTAACCTGGAGAGTGTCTGGCTACAGCATGACTGTTCAAAAGTTCATTGTTCCTAACTCACACTCATAAATGTCGACTATCTTATCTAAAATCTGGCAGAACTAAAGCTGAAGTATGATTCAACCAAGATACTAATACAGTGTCAAAGTCAGGATGACAACGCTTCATCCAATTCATCCGAGAGCTAAACCCACCGAGTCTGGTGGTCTTCTGTTGGGTGAAATTTTGCATTCAAATTCAGTGCATTAAACCACACAGTCATCATACAGTCCACAAAGCTCAGAAGTAAAAACGATTGTCCATAAAATGAAAATCATTCCCCAATTATCCACAAAATAAAAGCTTCCTTTTTTTTTCCAAAAATGCCCAACTTTCAGTGATTGAGCTGTAGTCCATTCCTCTTTACACCGAGTACCAGGATCCACCTTAAAAACAGTCCAGTGACGAGTGAAGGCTGCAGTTTGTCTCCTCAGTCTGTTTACAGCACTTCATCCACATTTGCACGACTCACTGTGTCTTCATCGCCATCTTTTAGCAACTGCTGGTATTTTCTTTTGAAAAACCCAAACTGGAAAATAAAAAAATAAAGTTCAGACATGATTCAGATTTCAAGTTTAAATTCATATTTTAGCTCAGACTGGTGTCGGCTAAGACGTACCTTCCACAGCAGTCCGACAGCCAGAGCCAACAGCAGCAGTCCAGCAATGACACTGCCGGCTATTACTCCGACAGGAACTTCCCCTACCTCTCCAGGTTTACTGATAGTCAGCACCACCTAGACGGCAGGAGGACAGACGGGGTTAAGACATGATCTGGAGTCCACTACGCTCTGACTGAAGGTTGGTTTTAATTTTTATGTATTTTTACATTTTTAATCAGGTGTATGAAAAGATACTGAAGTGTGATCTTACTGGAAGCTCTTTGAGGCCAATAACAAACAGTTCAGGGTTGGAGGTCTCAACATCAATGTTGGATATTAGTTCAACTGACTGATAGGTCGCCTGTTAGGACACAATTATACAGTTAAGAGGTTAAGAGCAGTGCAAGCATCACAAATAAATGGTATTACAGGCAGAGCTAGGAGTGAAAAAAAGGCGCATACTTACCGAAGTAAAAGTGCCACTCCAGATCCTGGTCTTAATTTTCACCAAGTAGTCAGTCTTAAGCTCTGCGTCTTTGAGAAGGCATTTGATTAACTGACATTTGGCACTCTTGCAGTCCTGTGGATGAATTAAAATCATTAACAAAAGAAAATCTGAAAATTAAAAAAAAACAACAACAAAAAACTTCCACTTACTCTACTTCACTTGTAACATAGATCATGTAGATTCAGTCAAAGGTATTAGCTAACTTTGAGTGATTCAGAAATTCAGAGAGATTTGATCATAATTTAATGAATGTTTTTGTACCTTTTTTCCTTAAGAGTAACAATAATTTAAAAAAAATCTATATAGATGGTTCACACTTTAAATTAAATAACCTCTTAAAAACACATAAAAAGTCTCACAACTTAAGCCGGTTATAAAGAATTTACTCTATGTGTCACAACATACAAAAGCCTTAAGTAAAGTGACAGCACAATATGAGGTCATTAACAATTATATGATCCTATAACACATGTATAAGAGCTTTTTCAAAAATACTTCACAACAATAATATTCCTTTTTGATTATATTTTGCATTAAGGTAATATAGTGCCTTATAGAGGTATTTATAAGGCCTTCTAAATGTGTAATTAATGCATTATTATAGTCAGATTTACCTTTATGTTACACCAAACCTCACATTTATGATAAGAATAAATAGGAGGCAGTATTGTCTGACATTATGGGTCAAAAATGATACGTCTGGTTCCTCTTCTACAAATAGTACATGCACAGATGTCTCCCGAGTCATTTCCACATGTAAAAAAAAAGAGGAATATGCGAAGAAAAGACTGACTTACCAGTTTCTCAAGACCTCTGAGACTCTCCTCAGAGAAAGAGGCTTGGTGAGTCTTCACGCCGATTTTAAGGGGATCGACCAGGCTGCTGGAGTCACAGCTGATGGAATCTCCCTGCAAGTGAAAAAGATCGAGATGAGGAAAATTAGCTTGCTTGATTTTCCCACAATAAAAGTTGGAGATAAAGACAAATTTAAAACCCCCAACTGGGTGTTAATTAACTCTTAAAAGAAGTGCTGGTACTTGCTGACTGAGTACTCACTGTGTTCACGTTGGTTACATAGAGGATTGGATTCCCCCCATTAGTCGTCATAGGCAGAGCGATGGTCAGATACAGGAGGCTGACGGGGAAGTTTCCTGTAGAAACCTTTCAGTACAATGTATTTCAACAGATTATTATAGATCAATAACGTGGGAAATGAGATGATGAAAACTTAAAGGTCAATTTATTTGTTGCACCTTCACTGTGAAGTTGAACTCTGGGCCGATGTCATTGAGATTTTTCACCATTGTCACCACGGGAACGGAAGCATCTGCTACAAAGAAGTTGATATTTGACACCCTGAGAGGGAGACACCAGAAAAGTTATAACTTTGAAAAATTTCCATCAATGACAAACAAAGTGACACTGCAGGGCTCAAATAAGGAAAATCAATATTAAGTTAAAAAACAAGTGAAATCACCTTGACAGGACAACTCCTGTATCATATCGAACTGGGAGAGTTATGTCCACTTTGTTGTCTGCGGGTTTTTCCTCTTTGCCATCACTGCAAAGTAAAGATGTCAGGGGCATTATCATTATCATCATCATTACCATTGAAAACAAAATCATGATCCAGTTGTACGTTTCTAAATGTACCTCTTGGCCTCGAATTTCACCGCTACTTGCTTTTGCGGCTGATCAAGGTTGTATTCAAAATTCATCTGAAACTTCATCTGTGATTGAAAAGACATTTTGTTTTGCATTACTTGGTACAACTAGACAACAAGTACTTTTAAACTGCAAAGGCATAAGCAAGCATTGTTTTTTTTTTCTTCACACTTACCTCCTGGTTCTTTTTCAAAGCTGGGTATCCCACCTGGCAGGTGACAGTTTGTGCCTGTGTCGACGTGCACTTGACTCCCTCTGTCTTTAAATTTATAGTCCATTATTATTCAGAAAAGTACAGGAGGTATTTAAACGTCTTCCACAATTTAGTTGATATATTTCCTGCTGTATTTTTGAAGTCTTAAAAAAGCACATCATCAAACTTTATACGTTAGCATCACGCCAGCATAAACAGCTTTAATTTGAGGTTTTCACACTCACAGGAGGAAAGACAGAGGCGTAGTACAGGCTGCTGGAGAAGGTGGCCAAAACTTGTGTGTTGTAAGCGTTCTCCTTTTTGTTCTTCACAACAATTTGGAACGACAGCTCTCGGTTGTTAGCGTTGACCAAAACAGGAGCCGAGCTGCAACACAAGAGCTCAGTTTACTGTCCTCTGCGTTCAAATGTGTTTGATTTGTACATGCCAGTGGTTAAATAAGCAGCATGAGTGAATAGAAAAGGATGGTTGAGTAGAAAGGGATGTAGAGGCACTTAAATATGAGACTTAGTGATAGCTGTGGAAGATTAAATGAAGATATTTATCTGTTTGTTCATTTAGGGACTATTTACACCTGTAGTTATAGGACAGCTATAGAAAAACGTGAAATATCAGGAGGAATGACCTGCAACCACTGTAACCCCTACACATGGGGTCACCACTTGAACTCTTCAGCCCTGTGGGTGATTTATTCAATATGGTTTGAAAAATATCAACCTTCCTTAACACAATAAATACAGTAGAGGCGTACAGCACCGAAATCTGATAAAAACTAGAGTATGTAATTCCACCTCAGATTGCACAACTCTGTATTTATGAGGGAATGAACACCAGCAAGTTCCAAATGATGAAGAAACACCAAAGAGGCCGAGAGCCGAGTCTATGAAACTAAAAGTAAAAAGCAGCTGTTAACGATCAAATTCCTTTGAATGTGGGAAAGTACTTTAAAAAAGTGTTGCATTGTCTCTGTAAAAAGTGTGTTTATATTCTTTCATCTCACTTAATTCAACGGGAACATAACACCCGAACTCTGAAAGTTTTTCCAGTCTCATAAGCTTAGAGCCAGACACTTTATGGGCTGTATAAACTCCAATTTGTTGGAATTAAAATAAGGCTCATAAAGCAGGAGAATAGAAAATGGTGTAATGGTTGTTAGGAGTTACCAGAGCATAACACTGAATATAGGATTAAACATTTGTCTTAATTTGGTCCAGTTGTTTTACTATTCTTCCTTCTGTTATAAAAACACGAACACATCTACATACTGTGTGTGTGCTTAATCCTGGCCTTACAGCAGTTTTTTTAAGGATGTGTCTGTTAGCATCAGCTGATGAGTAAGACTTTTAACCTCCAGGGGCTGTGAGAAGGGTTTTACATAGTCCTGGTATCACATGTGAACTTTAAATCCCAGTGCCACAATGTATCACCAAGTATCATAGAATTTACCATCAAAGCTGGTGACTCTGACCATTTGACCTTAATCTCACACACTTACTTTATAATTCACTTTTATTAGCTCTGTGGCGCTCTATTGTTTTTGCACTTTAAGTTATGAACAATTCGGAAGCAGAATATCCTTAAGATCCTTTGAAGCTCCTGTGAAGAGTTTTTTTTTTTTACTGCTGATGAAATAAACGGAAATTCATCTTGATGCCTTTTTATTGCAAACAAAAGCAAACAAGACCGTCAGCAACAAGATTTAACATTTTCATACCCTAATTTTAAATGTTTGACACGAGTGCGAGGGAGGAGGTGTCAGCCATGCAGGTGGAGAAACAACCCTACACAGTAAAAGTGACTGTCATTAGTCAGCAGGATGAGATTTTTTTTCATTGGGAGACAAGACGTTACCAAATAGCGAACAAAGTGAACAAAGACTGCTGTGTCCACAGGGGGGCGCCAAAATTGTCACAAACCAAAAGTTCCTTACAGGAGGTTTAAGTTTAATCTTAAGGCTTTTGCTTTCATCCTGGTAGGGCAGCTTGTGAGAGACAGAAAATGTGGGGAGAGAGGGGAGGATGACGTGCACTTAATCATGCCGGGCTTAGAATCGATCCAACAACCAGTGTGATCAACACAAGAAAAAACAGCTCTTATAAACAAAGCACGAAATAACCTCTTTTCATCAAAGAGACAAAAAGAGTGACCTGGGTGCTGGCTGGCAGCTAGCTTTCTGTGACGACAAACATGAACACAAACGATGGCCTCACACTGCATATTTTGGGACCTTTTATCAGCGTTTGGCACCAAACCTCATGCCCCATGGAATGTCGTAACTACAAACAACAACATTTGTTTTACTGTGTGCTTCTTTTGAGAAGAGGAACTGGATTCAACAAATCACAGCCAAAACTCAGGGGAGGGTACTCCAAAGTGCAACGCATTACTTGCAATCACTGTCCTACTTCCCAGTAATGTCCTTGTCCATGTTTGGCAAGCATTGAGGAAAACTAGGGAATCAACATAGAAACAGTTTTCTTCCTTGATTGTATTGTTTACTTTTAAAAGTCATATGAAAGCACAAGTATTATATTTAGTCTGCTTCATCACCAGATGAAAACTCCTCACAGGAGCTTTAAAGTGAGATACTGATTGAGTTTTTAGGGTTTTATAATTACCTCGTGATTCCTTAGTGACTCATTGTAAAGACAAATACAGTCATTCATCCTTATACAAACTGTATTATCTGAATTTAAATATGTAAATCTTCCTGAGCATGCCTTCATATATCAACTGAAACAATAAAAACAGATCTCATGTCTTGACTGCAGCTTGATGCTATATACTGTGCAATCATCAGATGTCAATCACGACCTGTCATCATGTACTTTACATTTCAAGCAGGTAAGTGATCCTTACCTGGTCGCCTTTGTGTCTGTCTTCACACTCAGCACCAGGTCACTTGTACACACCTCGTCTGAGCCGCAGTCTTTAGTGAAGGGGTTCTGAGACAGAAACAAAGGATCACATTTACTACAGGATGCTGTGTCTACTGTCCGACAATTGTATACATAAAAAATATACCACAAGGGAAATGCATTACATCCGTACTTCAGTGGATGAACTTTAATCTTGTTCATGGGTAAACACAATGTGTGGAAATCTAAGCACTTGCGTGACTTGCGAGACACCTTGGCTCTTAAAAAGCTGGTAATCATCACAATCTTGCACCATATCATTTTAAATGACTGTACAAACACCTCCGCAAAATAAGCATGTCTAAAAGTTTTGTGTTTCCTGTAGATCTGTCATGATCATGAACTCAGAAAAGGAAAACACACACGCACACGCACACACACACACACACACACACACACACACACACACACACACACACACACACACACACACACACACACACACACACACACACACACACACACACACACACACACAGAATCAGAGATAATGATAGGCTGTAACAATCACTTACAAAGAACTCCCAGGCGCTTGGCGAAAACACATCCAGGACGGGGTTCACATCTGCGCTCTGCTGCTCGATTTCTACTTTTAAACTGAGTGAATTGACAAAGTCTGGTGTGTCCTGTCGAAGAAACCACATGTAAGCAAATTATTAACCCACTACAGCCTGGTTTGAAAAAAGAAAAACATCACAAAGGAATATTTCTAGAGCTGCTCATATAAAAGCTGTTATTGATGCCTTCTGATGATGACAAACATCTGAGCCATGAAGAAACAAACAACAATTTCATATTCATCTATTACCTGAACATAAACCTGGTAGTCTAAACACAGTGGCGTTGTTGATATTTGTGTATTTTCTGTGAGCGAGCGTTCGTTGTTTTTGGTGAACAGTCCTCTTGATGTCACTCGTGAATCCTGCAAGTCAGCATCCAGGGTCAACGTGTAGGAAATGTCTGAAAGAATTGGAGACAGTAATTAAACCATGTCACACATCTGTTTAACTGTATTGTTTCTTTAGTTAAGTTAACCTATGGCTTAATATACTCTGTAGGCAATGGGACTATTCCTAAAAACTTGACTAATTCTCTGGATATCAGATATATTTACCGATGGGTCCAACAGGCTTTTTAGGCCTGAATGCAGCAGTGAAACACAGGTTGGTGTTGAAACATGTTTGCTTGCGTCCATTAATGTTACAGGCTTTGTTGAAAATGTTGATTTTATCCGGCGCGAAAGATGCTTCAGTTGTGACAGATGCGACACCTCTGGACCTGAAGCCCAAAAATAATGTTTTTAATTTACTCAAATATCAGTCAGTAAAATTTTGATCATTTTTGAGCTCTAATATTGTGACGATTTAACTCACCAGAGCTGCACCACTTTGCCATAAGCACCCACAGAGATGTCAGGGAGTGTATCGTCATTCAGATCTTTGTAGCTGTCTAAGGACCTTCCAAAATACTGCAACTGAGGATCCAGTTTGGAGCCAAGGATTCTCTGGAAAAGATGACAAACACAGGTAAATGACCAAAAGCTCTACATGCATAGAATCAACTAAGAAGGAACAATTTTTGGTCTTCTCTTTGTACCTGTGAGAACTTTTTGTTTAATGTCTTCTTATCCCCGCTGTAGATGTAGATGACGCCTTTTCCTCCGTCTTCTAGCGGAGCTCCAACTACAACATCATTATAACCATTGAGGTCCAGGTCTGGAATGGCAGAGATAGCCATCCCGAAGCGAGCGTTCTCAGTTTGGGGTGGACCCATAAGGTATCCCTGCTCATTCAGGATACCCTGAAAATGATACGATAGAGATAGTGAGTAACCAAAGTTCAATCAGACCTCAGTAAAAGCTGTCCGACTCCAGAAATCCAGATCAGAAAACCCTGCTGCTCATTTGCTCATTGTTACCTTGGTGACAGAGAAAAGATAGACCCTGCCTTCTTCTTTCTTCAGCTCGCTCATGTACATAGGAGCTCCAACCAGCAGCAGGTCAGTCACCCCGTCAGCGTCGACATCGAGAGGGCACAAGACACTCCCAAAGTATGACCCAATCTGGGAGAAGAAATGTTTACAAAATTGTTGACTAAATTTATTTTGCTGCTCAGTTTATTACAGCTGCAAATATGAAACCCTCAGCTGTACCTGTTTGCCTCTCTCCGAGTCTATGATAGTTGACTGTTTCCGCGAGTTGACGGTGTAGACAATAACTTGTCCTGAGTGGTTGGAGCGAGGTGCACCAGCCACGTAATACTCTGTGGATCTGTCGTTCAGCATGGTGACAGAGTAACCTGGAAATGAGCGCAAGTAACACATTTACCACATCTGAACTTGTGCATTATATCACATAGGACATCTTCTTTAGTACATGCTTGATCAAATTCATCTTTTCAATGTTGTGCTGGAACATTGTACTATTGAATTATTACTGCTGATTGATTAAATTTCTGCCCAGGCAGAGGCTGAGTGAAGCAATGCTGAGAAGTTGGTGGACTAAACTGTTGCTCATGATGGAGGTGGTCATTCCTCAACGAGTACAAAAATCAACCAAAACATGTCAGTCAAAATTTAAATGCTGTTGTTATAATAACATTAACAACATTTTTTAAAACCTTTTCTGTGAGGACACTTTTTTTAAAGGAGTATTTATAGGATGTACAAAGTGACAAATGCAGTGGTGAACAATGTGAGAAGGTGCAACTGGCCAGCCAAGACACACACATTTACAAAAACCCAATGACTCAAATACTCAAATAAGATCTTCAGAGACAGAGACGGAGGCAGAGTCGTGTTTGTTCACATCATGGACATTAGCAGTTATTATAAGTACATCTATACATCGTACACAAGCAGAGGGGAACACAGGAGGGCACTGCTGCCCAGTGTGACACCCACACCCTGCGCTCTATCAGATCTCCAACACTATTCTAGCTTCTTTTTCCAATCTCTAACAACCTGACTACTTGCGAACTTAAAGATGTCTCTGGGAAATTCCTTCCAACCACTGTAAAGGAAAAAACTTTTCCTCATGGCAATAGTTAGAAAGCTGAAACTCTTTGGAAATACTAGGGAAGTCTACCAAATCTGATGCAGGCAAAAAGATGGGCTTAACCGTAACTGGAGATTATGCAGCAAGATACACGTATGAAAGCTCTCTAAGACGTACCTCACATCAGTGGGAATGAAATTCATAAGAAAATACAATAAATACAATAAAAACGAATGCTTAAGCATAAGTTTTACACTTCTGGTGAGGCTAGGTGAATTAACATTTATATCTATCTCTATATGTTTTTGCACCTGCAGGGTTGCACTTCTCATTTTGCATGCAGAAAGCTCACAATAGTAAAACCCCGACAAGCACCAGCATGGCTGCATGACTAAAGCAGCTGCTACTGTTACACAAGGATGTTCAGTGAAGAGCAGCTGAATAGTTCACAGTCATTCCACTCCAGGTTGTTAAACAATATCCAGAATCCAGAGATGTTAATAAAAATGAGGAAGATCAGTGTAGAAGCATACCCAGTAATGAGCTGTGGTTTCTGTCTTGAAGCGTTGCCTCAAAGGCTGACAAAGGCAAAATGTCAACAGTCGACCCTTTTTGATGGACGACGGTCCCACTCCAAGCGTAAGCTCCCACTGCTCCCAGCATCATTACATCCTGCAACAGAACAGGTCAGACACCGGTCAATAGAAATACTCATAAGTCACAGGATTTGTATTTTTGGTGTGGGCTATAGACTGAGCAGCTTGAAACAAGCTAAAATTGCCAGAAATAAACACTACATGTTGTCAACTGCAGAGGATGTACACAGATGTATCTTCAACACATACTTTTTTGATTTATTTATTTGTTTGTTTGTTTGTTTGTTCATTTATTTTTTCTTCTTCTTCAACACATACTTGTCAAGTCCCCCCTCCCCTGATCAGTGCAGGAAGCGGGGGGTGGGGTGGGGGGTCACAGATGATAACTCGCTGCTACTAGTTGGTGTGTGCTAGTGACAGAGTTCAGTTTGGAGAGGCAGAATAATGCTTTTTTTTTTACATACATATATTATAATACAGGAGATTTACGGTAGAATACTAATAGGGGAAGATGGCGGGAAAGAGGGGCTAAATGCGGTACTTTCCAGGCCAAAAGGAAATACTTGACAGATATGCTTCAACAAACAAACCACATTTAGTGGCAACACAAAAAAAGCTGCAGCTTCCTCTTTGCTTTCATTAAAGTTGCAAATTACCACAACAAGTCCACAGCTCTTGATGACATGAGACATTTTGAATACAGGAAACTACATTACTGAGCCTTGACAGAAATCAAATAAAGGTGAATGTGTGGGGTGTTCACATGTGCCGTGTTTGGTCTTGGAGCTTTTGTGTTTTCTACTTTTCACTCTGTAGTATCACAGAAGCCCTGTGCTTCAGCTTCTCCTGCAGGAAAAGCCAAACATGCCCTGCAAACCACAAACTTTCAGTAACACACATGGCAGCACTCTGTACCTGTCGGCTGGAGTAGTGTGCGCTGAATCCCACTTGAGACATCTCCATTTTGAAGTTGTCTCCCCCTTTACCGGTGCCTTGAGTGAGAAGAACAGATTGTAAACACCAGAATCAAAATCAGGGGAGGAAAAAAAAACTGCAGATGTATTTTTTGGATCATCACCTCTGACAGACATGCTGAGACATGCTTGTATGACTCTAGTTAGCAGATTGTTCGAACATGCAGCTTAAAGAGAAAAAAAATAGGATGCACCTTCAATGTTGAAGATGCGGTTCCCCAGTGTTCCAGCAATGGTGGAGAGAGCCGCCTCCTCGGACACGTTGAAGAAGTACTTCTCTGTGGGTTTACTAGCAATGGACTGGATTTCTGCAATCAGGTTGTTTGTGTTGATGTTGTTTCTGTTGTAATAACCCAAGACCTGTGAAGAAAGCGGGATACCACATAATACTGAGAAAGGAGAAAAGGCGCCTTTGTAATGACACTTAGCTTAAAAATGAACCTAAAAAAGCTCTCAAATGCTATGAAACTAAGAAGTGTCAAAAAATGGTAAGCCATAACATACATGCTAAATAGATGGAGATCATAAAGTTTTACTTATGTTTGCCCAGAAAGACTTGTCTGAAATATCAATGAATGCTTTTAAGACATGATTAAATGCAGCACCTGTAAACAAAGTCCTGGAGTCAGGCTCTGTTTATCTCTGAGTTGATGTACTTCTCTTTTCTTAAGAACTTCTTTCCTTTTTTAAATAAAAATGAACGGAAGGAAATAACTCACAGCGATGCCAAAGCGGGTGATGCCTCTTTTCTCACACACAGCGATGACTTCTTCCCTGAGATCCTTATCATGAGACTCTCCGTCAGTGACGACCACCATCACTTTGGCAGCACCAGGCCGACCGCCGCTACTTTTATCGAAACCCCACAGACTGAAGAGATGAACTATCGAGTTAGTTTCTGTGGCTTTAAATCATGCTTTTTTTGACTATCACGGTGGCCCTGAGGTCTGCACAAACATCTCAAAAAACTCAAAAATACTTCAAGAAATCAAAAAGTACTTCACAAAAATTTTTTTCCACTTAGTGAGATGTCTCGATGTCCCATGAAACCTTTCAGTGGTGTGTGTTTTTGCATCTTGTGGAATACTTTTTCTGTATTTTCTGCATTTCATAAAATCTTTTTACACATTATAGAAAACATTTCTGCTTTTTTACAAAATTCATTTTTCTTCAGTTGCTATTTTTGCTTTTTTAAAAATGTTTTTCAGTGTCACTAATCAAATATTTTCACATTTTGTTAAAGGGTTTTTGGTAGTCTAAGGTACTTCGTGTTTATGAACTGGTGCAATTGACCTTCAGGGCCACCATAGCTTATTACTTAATTTATAGGAAAACTTTTAAAGAGGCAAAAATTAAGAAACTGAGACAACAATCATACAATCAAACACCAAAAAAGTACATAAATAAGCTTACAGTATGTAGTATTATCTGTTTGGGAATATAAGTGCAGGACTAACCTGGCGTAGCGAATAGCACGGAAGGTGTTGGTTGATGATCCATACACTTGAGTAATCCTGGACGCCGCAGCGACCACCTCATCTTTGGTTTTATACTCATTCAGTCTGAATTCAAACACGGGATCGACGCCATACTGGATGACGCTGACCTGGATCAAGAGAAAAATGGTGTGAAGCTGTCAGTAATGACCACCAGACAAAAAAAAACAACCCCATGAAGTTACTCAAGATTAAGACAGACGAAGAGGATTCATGTCACCTGTGTGCTACTCGGCCCGATTTCCAATGCAGGTATCAGTTTCTGGAGGAACAAGGTCATCGGCTCCCACGGGTAAATGCTGTTGGAGCCGTCCAAAACAATCACAATGTCCATAGGTCCTCCACATGCTTGGATTGGCACAAGAGGAGACATCCAGTGAGTGATGCAGTGTTTTTGTGTTAGTTTAAATACTCTGGATTAATCAATCTAATTAATGAAATAATTAATGTGTTTTGAACAATATTAAACTGGCTGAAGGACCCATGATGAGAGGTGACAGATCTTACTCTGGACGGCAGGAGAGAAGGCAGGTTGAGGCTGAAACATCGGGCTCAGCTTTGCACATATTCCAGGGTAGAAATCCAGATTTCCACACTGTTGTCCCCAAAGAGGACCGCACATCTGTATCAGGAGACCACAGGGGGGAAAAAACCCTTAAAAACAGTTTTTATGACACTTCATGTAAAAGTTTATTTGCTGGTAGTTGAAACCATCAGCAGTCATGTGGTGATTGTTCTTATTGAACACTAGAAAAGCATAACATTACCTGAGCCACCGACACACTTCCCTCTGACTTTAAATGACCTCTAGCAAATTCTAGACTGTATCCATGTTTGGACCGTCTTGTAATCACAGTATTTTTGAGGGGGGTTGAACTTTAAGCCACTACACAGTGGGTGTAAAGGACACTGTCAGAGAGCTGTAGATCTTTTTAAAAAAGTGATATGATTCCTATGATCTTACACGCACTTCAAATGATTGATGAGCTTCAACTTGTTCTTGTCTCAGATTGAGAGATTACCAAACCAGGTGATAAAACCAAAGATAAGCACAAACTCTACCACTGAGATGTGAAATGGTGTCTTCAATTTGTTACACACACAAAACTAGTTTAGCTTCAGGGGGAAGTAAAGACATCACCAGGCTTGTTTTTTTTGTCAGACTGCTTCTGTATTTTCCATTGAATTTAAGTTTGTTGTCAATAACATTATCTGACACTTATAACCATGGGCTAGATCAACAGTCCCAACCTTGAAAGCAGGCTTTGTATTACCAAAAAGTTTCATCAAAGCAAATAGTTAAACAAAACCAAAAAGATCTGAAGAGGAAAAAAACATGCAATCTCTTCGTCACGGAAAAAGGGTGTCAGATTGTATCATTGCACCAAAACGTACCAACAAACCACTGACTGAAGGCATCCGTGTGAGAGTCAGACCCAAACTCATGTTGCCATTGAGGTTTTTAACATCTGGGATACTAACAGAATCTGTGGACGAAGAAAAACAAAGAGTTTCAGCATTTCATTACAGATTCCAGTTATAAAACACAAAAAGACTCAAAAAGCACTCGCTTTTTTAGACTATTAGAAGGCCTTTCTTCTGTGATGACATGGACCTTTAAATATATTTATATCAGCACAAGTTTTCATCAGGGAGTCAAAAAAGTCAACAGAGATCATCTTTGTGTTTGTTCTTATCATTGAGTGCATGTTAAAGCTCCTGTAAGGGGTTGTTAATGTTGATGTAACAGACTGAAATTCATACTGATGCGATTTTATGACAAACAAAAGCAAACAAGACCATTAGGGCCAAAATTCACTGTTTTTATAATGTCATTTTTAATGTATCGAATCAGTGTGAGGGGATAGGTGTCCATCAATCAGCTACAGGAAAGCTCTGTTTTCATAATTTACACAACAAATGATACATTTGACTGTCAAAAAACAGCAGGATGAGAACTTATGCTAGATGTCACGACTCAAGCGTTTAGCAGTTAAGCAAGGACTGCTTTGTCTACATGGGGAGCCAAAGCTGACACAGACCAAAAATTCCTGACAGGAGCTTTAATCCAAAGAGCACCTCAAAGTAATGCTTCAACATGAGCTCAATCTTATTTAGCTCCAAATAAGCATTTCAAGTATCATGCAATTGTTTTGGTAGAGGGGTCAAAGGTTAGACAACAACACAACAAACCTTACCTTGAAGATTGAGTTTGTCACAGCTGTTTCGGTGCCCTGAGACTGGACACTTATAAACATCCCCCTTCCTGTTTTGACTGTAGCCGCTCCACGGAGCACTGACCAGGAGCCTGCAGACATTACCAAGAGTCATCTTTTCAGAACTCTCATAAACACCAAAGTAACTTCAGACTTTTATCAACAGACTTAAACTTGTTATAAAAAAAATAACGTTTTTTCTGCTTTAAGCCCATTTAAAAAAACAGGAGCCACATTTTACTGGAGTAATGTTGTTGCCGAAAGCAATACAAATGTAAATAAAAATTAACCTCTATTATCAAACACCTGGTTTGGGTAGTCTTAACCTGAGCAAGTGACAACATGTCACAACAGACCCTTTAAACACTTCCCTCCAGGCGCCGCTTTTTCATAATCATGCAGTTGCTTCAGATGTAAACATCAAAGTTAAAATGAAAAAGCACAAGTTACAAAACTGTTTTACCCCTCGACTCAAAAATAAGTTCTGGACTCTTTAAAACAGCTGTTTTCCCACAGTGTCCAACAAGGCAGAAGACACTGAACACCTCAGTCTTCTTTCTAAGTTAGACGACAGGAAACAGGATGCATCACTATTGCTTTCTCATGGATATCTAAGTGGGAATGCAGCCACAGAGACCATCATCACACTCAGTACAATTCCCCCTGTTACGCAAACAGGACACTCCTACAGACAGAGAGTGACTCTACGAGACTGTGACTCAGAGTGGACAACATCTAGACATCACTGAGGAGTTTAGTTACTGTTTAACTTAATGTTACGACTAAGTGCAGGCGGAGTGTAAGAGGCTTTAAACAACACAGGACTGTTTGTGTGACACATATACAGGTTGTAACTTGTCAGACAAAACTAAGCGTGGAGTTTTTTTTTTCCATCCATTTATCTGTTATCTACGCTGCTTATCCCATTTAGGGTTACGCAAGACTAGGGCCAATCCCAGCTATCATTTGGTAAGAGGTGGGATACACGTGCCTATCTATCACAGAGGAATCATAGTTTTTTTTAAAGATCATCCAGGATTGTCTTTAACTCTGTAAAACTATATATTAATATCCATTTGTTGCCTGGAAATTTCAATCTGGAACAAAGTGGTGTTTTTGTTGTTGTTGTATTTTTAGGGCATTTTTGCCTTTTTAAGACAGATAGATCAGCTAAAGATAGACAGGAAATGGAGGGAGTAGAGAGTAGGAGAGGACATGTAGCAAAGGGTCATGGCCTGGAGTCAAACTGGTAACCTCTGCGATGAGGACTGTCGCCTCAGTTTATGGATCACACTCACGCTTCTGCCAAAGTGGTGGATCGAGTAGCAGACAGACTGACCCATCAGTGCCATGTCAATTTTCATGCCGTTAAGTTTACTTTAAAGCTTAAAGCTCCTGTGTTAAGTTTCTTAACCTATATGGAATAGACAGAAGTTCCTACCCATGCCTTTGTTATGATGTACAAAAGAAAATAAGGTTGTCAGCAACAAAATGTAGAATCTTTGTATTGTTTTTCTAAATGCCTGAAACTTGTGTGGAAGGTAGGTGTCAGACAAACAGCTGGAGAAACTAACTGTTTTTTACACTTTCCTCATGAAATTGTGCCAATAAATTATAAATCTGAAGGTCAAAAGTCAAAATAATTAGATCTCATGTCAGAAGACACTACATACTGTACGCATGTATCAGACAAGATTAGCAAAGACTGCTTTGTCAACAGGGGAGCCGCAATATGAACACAATTCAAAAGATCCTTACAAGAGGTTTAAGGTGATGAAAAAATGAGTAAATTTGTCTACTGTGCTGTCTATCACAACAAATTGATGGTTTAAATCTTATTTCTACATAAAAGACAAGCTCCTAACTCTGTGCTGTCTGCCGCCAGCAGCCGGGTTGTGGGTGATAGTTTTGAGAGTTGTTTACATGCCACTGAAAGCTCAGACACTGCTGATAACTGGGTGTATCACTTTTACAGCAACAGCCCTTTAGTTATAAGATGGATACTCCTACTATCAACCAAATAAGCCCTCTTAATGAGTATCTACACCACAGGGAATTTCTTTTTTCACTGAAATAAGACAGCAATATCAACTTAGTAAGGATTTACTGGACATCATTTGAAAGCTACAGCACCTGAAGCACACAATTTTAGCAATTCAGTCTAAGATCCTGGAGAGTACAGCATGATTGCACCAATACCAACCACTCTTCTTCTATTTGTGACATGTCTGAAGTAATAACTTGATCCATACCATTTGCCTTCATGGTTTGTTGCTTGTTGGATTGTGTAACCAAACTCTTCCGCTGCTGGTCCGCTGAAAATTTTTGCACCTGATGTGCCGACGTTGAAAGACTGTGAGTGCAGGATTCTGTCAGCTGATGGGAGAAAGACAAGAGATTAGAAAATTGTAATCAGAATATCACCACAGGTAGCACAGTGGTGTAGTGGTTAGCACTGTCGTTTCGCAGCAGGAAGGTCCTGGGTTCGAATTCAAGTCAGGGCATTTCTGTGTGGAGTTTGCACATTCTCCCTGTGTCTGCAAGGGTTTACTCCAGGTACTCCATTTTCCTCCCACATCCCAAAAACATGCAGAAGTGGGGTTAGGTTAATTGGCCACTTTCAAATTGCCTGTAGGTGTGAATGTGAGCATGGATGGTTGTTCGTCTCTATATGTCAGCCCTGCGATGAACTGGCGACTTGTCCAGGGTGTCCCCTGCCTTCGCCAGAAGATAATGGGATAGGCTCCGGCCCCCCACGACCCCCAACGGGAATAAACGGTAGAAAATGAATGAATATCACCACTGTGTTTACTATTTATTCATCTATGATGAGCAGTTGAACACCAAACATGCCATAAAATACAACTACATCTTCATAATCAGTGTACATCTCTGGAATGTTAAGTGAATCGCTTCAGTGTTGCCATGACTCAGGTTTCAGGTTCTGTTAAACCCTAACTCCCTCCTTTATATTTAGGTAGTTTTTGTGGCTGAATCATGAACACTTAACAACCACATCAGCTTGACTCATGCAGACCAGGCAGCCCACTCAGAAATCTCCACTAGAGGTGAAGAACATTAATCAAGCACTACAAACTGCATCCATTTAAATGGCACGCCCGGAAAAGTTACCTCTCTGACACAGGCCTTTAAACCCCCCCTGAGGATATGGAATTTATCTGAGTGAGCCTTGATGCTGTATCAGAGCCACAAGCCTGTACAGGCAGCTCTCAGCCTGCCTTCCCCTCAATCAGCAGCCAGAGGAATGTGGATGGGTGCTGGACTCAGGAGACCTTCACTAACGCTGGCTCCAGCCACGCCTGTTTACCTGCAGCACAGAGTAGCACTTTGCCCCCTCTTGGGGCTCTGCAAACCCCACAACACACTCATATTTCCTCTCATTTTCAGAAATGGGTAATGCGCAAAGGCTGCAGGAGGATTATTAAAAGCCTGGCTGCTGCCTGAAAGCTTCAGAGGTTATGGTGCAGACTCAAAGCAACATACATGCTGCCTCCATTATGAGCCATGTGCTGCACTGTATAACAATCAGTCTTTCATACATGTGATTGATTATGGATTATGCATTTGATGGGAGAATACGGAAAATCTATATCAAAATAAAATCACCTCTGAACGGACTCAACATTGAAAGCGACAGCAAAGTTAGCGTTAACTCATCTGGTTCTCTTCAGATGTGTTAAAAGTGCCTGAAACTCCACTTCCCAAACCATAGAAACATATGAAGTACATTACGGGTTGCAATCTTGTGAAAACGGGATAAAATATTCGCTTTTTTCGGCAATAGTTGCATCCTTTTAGTGTCCGGATGGAGAAACTGTAAGAACGAAAGATTCAAAGTCCTTAAAAGTCCTTCAGCACTCACCTGTGAATACTAAAGTAAAGAATATATTCCTCCAGAAGAGATCCATCGTCGTCTTTATTCCATTTAGAAGAGGTGATTACATGAAGCTGCCGCACTTGTCAAAGTTGTGGCTTAAACAGCCCTGAGAGTCAGCGGTGACGCACCGGAAACGCTTCCTAATAAGGAGTTGAGTTCTTCCTCTTTACCTGCAAAAGCAAACTTTGACCCACGCTGTTCAAAGGTGTGAGAGGAAGTCTGTTATAAATTCTAGTTTTGTAAATTCAGCCATTTCAAATAAAGAGTATTTCCTATTTAAAGTCTGTAACGTTTATTGATTGGTTCAGAATCCACTGCTTCTACATTTATTGCTTATTATAAGTGGCATGTTAAAAATCTAATTTGACCTCTTAGGGAGACAAAACTTCAATTCTAGCCAACGCCCATCATCTTGAAATGAAATCCCTTTGAATTGTTGCTCCGGAGCCACAACATGACTGGACAAACAACTCTTAAATCAGCAGATGTCACATAAAATAAAGAAACATCGTCAATTATCAGTCAACAATTTGAGACTCCTCTCCAATCTTCTCTCACCCTATAATTTCTGTATTTACTCCGCAGTGATGTGTGAGATATATAGTTTACACTGAACAATATCCTTGCCCTTAATTATATACCATGATTCATTTAGACCCCAATCTCCATTTGCTTTGTGTTGCTCTGTTTTGCCTGTTTTGTTACAGTAACAGTCACTGCCCCTACTCTGTATATTAAAGAATAGTAACTGACACTTTCAGAGAGTTTAAATTTGTCAATAAAAGTCTATCTGATGAAATTTAGAGCATTCAGAACTCTGGAGCCGCAGAAAGACAGTCTAATTTGTCAGAAGAAATACCAAAGCCTTTTTCCCCTTGACTGGAGAACATCAATGTGAGATACTTAATTGGAGCATACAGGGAGAGTAAATGAATGAGATGGTGAAAGGGTGTTTAATTTTCAATGAGTGGTTTCATTGCAAGATGCTATTTTGGAAAGAATGTGAGCTGGAGCTTACTGCTGATAAAAACAGAGGACTTTCAACACTTTGTAGGATGTCTGGTTGTTTCAAGAGTAAATAACACAAGACGAAGCCACTGGAGTAACAAACTCATAACTATTGTTAAAGGGAAACTTCAAAGATTTTATTTAAAAAGACTTGCGATGAAAGTAAGTGGAAAAACAATTAGAGGCTGTTGTGTCACGTCTTCTGTGACCGTGGAGGAAGTGTGAGGAAATAACCCTGATGACATCATCTCAGCCTCAGATTTGAGCTAAAAGCCGGCATTGTGCACCGGGAGAGCGGAATTTGAAAGATGTGGGTAACTCGCTGGCAGGGTCAAATAAAAAGGGGGTTATTGAGCTCCACATAAGGCAGCAAGTAAGAGTCAAGATATCTGGATATGTGTGTTTGTGCCATTTTTTTTTAAAGATGGGGCTTTGGTTTACTTCACTTGAACTCAAGCTTTGATTTGCAGGAATGCCATGATCACACTCACATGGCCAAAGTTGGAAACAGATCAATCCAACTCCAGTGTGGTCTGTCAGTCACTGAGCGCTACTGCTGAAGCAGCAGGGGGTGAAAATCTCACTTCAGTAGCTGCACAGTGAGAGGGAAATATCAGGCTTGAATACAAACTTCAGTGTCTGTATTCAACATGGTGTGGAAAATGTTTTAAAAGACAATATCAAAGAAGAGTTAAATATCAGTAGACTTCTCCACCCCTCTAAATCCTTAATCACAACCATGAGCTCAGGCGGACCCTACAAGCTGTCAAACTTAATGCTCACAAATAATCGGCCACAAAATTTAATCAGAGGCCGTATCACAGCAACTGGATTGCAAACAGAGATGTGTCAGTTACACATGCATTGCCTTCATACTTGATTCCATTAAATGAGAGCTGGCTTTTTTGTAATGGGAGATGATGACTTTTTTTTTCTTATTTTTGTAAGATAAGTGTCAGCCTGATCCTGTAACATATAGAGAACTCATTTGTTCATAAAACCGGTCCCAAACATACTCCATAGAGTTTAATGTAAATAGGTTTTTGGGGCGTTTTTACTATATTCATATTCATTTATTACAGGATTTAAACAGGGTATTTCAGAAACCATAAAATGCTTGTATGGCAAAATTGGTTTCAATGGTTTATATATACACACTAACATATAAGACAAAAAGCTATTGAGGGCCAAGAGTTAGGGTACCTGCACTGTTAATACCTGAAACTCAGATGGAGCCTGGGTCAGTCGCACATGTTGTTAACATTCATGGCTCCAGTCCAGTCTGTTTCATAGACTGTACTCTGAGGTCACAACATTAGAAAATCACTGCCAGGAAACTCTGAGTTGTGTGATTCAGTTGAGTTGATACAATCAGTTCAGCCGGCCTGAAAGTAACAATCTAAGACCTTATTCAGCAGCTCAACCCTCTCACCCACTCCTCTGTTTGTGTGGGCATGACTCCTGCATAAGTCATCTGGTTAGCATAGACACCTTGAGATTTCAAACTGAGCAGGTCAAGGATTTGTGTGATAGTGACGCAGGGCTATTCCTGGAAAAAGACTCCTCTTTTTAACTATTTACAATGAAAAGAGCGCAACATGGACTTTCGCCTGAAGCAAATAACCACCAGAGTGAGTCCTTTTAACAGTGCGCAGCTTTCAGTCTTTTGTATACATTATTTCTGCTGAGAGCAGCTCAGGGAATCTAAGGGCAGCATCCTTTGTTGGATGATCTGAACAATCCAAGGAAGTATCTTGAATTAGAAAGGCCTGTGGTTCATTTTCCTGTTGGGCTATGACCTAATGGGCACAGCGTGGTCTTTGAAAATCCCCAGTTTTTATATCACTTGGAAATTTTGAGTCCATTCACAAACATAGGATGAGAGGTCTTTCGTTTTAAAGGAGGGAATTTCTCGCTTACTTTGACATGTTTCCATATGAGTAGTGTTGTTGCTTCTGAGTTTAGGGACTACATTTAAACGACTGAACAGCAGCATGTCGTGTAAACTCAGTCTCTCTGAAGATAATACCAGCACTGTTTTAGTTTAAATTTCCATCTATAGATGAGTAATTGATATGGACAATCTGCATCACTGGGTCTTCTTTGTTTTGGTAGGTTTGGTAGGTCTTTAACAGATTTAATAACTAGACTTTTCAGATGAATCAACTTCCCCTAAAATATAACACACTGCTGTGAAAGCTCTTGTTCCTTTTACAGGATGCATATACAGGTGAAATACGGATGCAAAAACACACAGTCCTGAGTGAGTGGACTATAGCAGAGAGCTAATCCCTCTTTCACACCCATCTGCTGACCAATGAGAATCTAAGGCCCTGCTTTTCCCTGTTTTATTGTGAGCCAGACAGTCACATCCAGCAGGCTCACCGGGGCTCATGAGTCAATGACTGCACACGGAAACCATAGTCAGGTGGTTTCTAAGTGAAGTTACCCCCCTGTCACATGACCACAGTGTTTTCTCTATTGTAAGATTTTTTGCGAGTGTATTATCTAATAACCCCTAAGACACAGCATAAAAAGTGAAGAAAGCACATATGATGCATTTTTTTATGCAAGTCACATGTTGACAGACAGTGGTTAGTAGATAAAGATATCTCAGTATACACTGTGCTTCCTAAAGAGTCTCAGTGATGTTCAGTACAGCCACACACTTTTGAAACAGAAACACATATAAACAGGATTTGTTTAGACCATATACTGTAAGCTACATTAGGCTGAACAGTATTCAGTGATTCTCTCCTAGTTTGGATGAGTGGCACAACAGCGTGCTGGAATTAAACTGCAGACAAACTTGTAGGCAAGTGTTTCCTTTTCAAACAGTCCTCCATCTACTGTAGTAACAGATGCTGACAATATACTGCAGTTCCCTACAAAGTATTACTGCACAGTTAGAATTAAAGAAAACTTTAAAAAATATGACGTTTCGACCACATCTAATCCCACTACTTAGCTTCGAGTGCCTTTGACATTCAGTGAGAAAAAGGGTCCCCAAACAGGGCTGGGACTGTGATTGTTGTGGTCAGCTTGCATGCAGAATAGCATCCCAGGGTCCTCAGGATGCCTCAGTACACTGCACCCCTGACAGACATGAAAGTTTCAAAGGCTGTATCACAACCCAGAGTCAGATCCTCTAAATCAAAGAGTCTCACGGTCCAACTTGAGCTGGGTGCTGAGAGCTAGAAAGCACTTAAGAGCAATTTGAATGTAGCAGGAAAAATAGTTGTGGTGTGTCATTGAGGTTGAGAGGATGTCATGGTGTGGCTGTTTGTTATTTTCCTCTGAACTCCGAAAACCACAAAGTCTTTCCAAGGCCATTGTGAACGCTGGTGACACATTTGAGACATGGCAACAAAGATGCTCCTTGGCTTTTTCTTAATATGGAAAACTCTTGCGGCACAGTAACTCTGCTTTTATCATGTATTGTCTCTGAATGTAGAGCTTGAAGCGGTTCACAGCACTCAAGGATGAAACCTGTGCAGGTCCCAGTCAATTTTGGGAATGTTTACACATGGAGGATACACATAAGAACGCCAGCAAAATTAATGTTGATGTCATACAACCAAGAAATACTCTGTATTGAACCCTTAAATCTGATTATATTAAAACAAGCTAAGAAAAAGTTAACCAATCATTGCAAAAGCCCTGATGAACTCCAAGTTTGTTTGTTTGTTTTTTTGTCGATAGATAGTAGATTTTCTTGTTTCCAAACTTGGTCAGCAGGAGGCGGCAAAGGCTTGGTTATAATTTGGAAAGAGACACTTTATTTCTAGATAATTCTTCAACCTTATTTTGGTAATGAAACAAATAATTTTGTAAAAAGAAGTCTTTCAAGTAACTGTATTCGTGAAAAAAGAGTTCTGGACCTTTTAAGTTTATTTCCACCTGTTGCATGTCTGGGCTTTTATTGTTTAGGATAACTAAAATGAGGCACATTCAAATTCAACTGAATGACCTTGTTTGATATAAACTGATCAGAAACAACTGATATCCAACTTATTTTTAACAATGAACACTTTGCATAACGGCTTTAATCTCTTGTCTGTAAATTTGACTGTTATTGCATGTTATTCTTATCATTTTCAGGACAGTTTCACTTCCAATTATTAGACCTTTGGTGTCTTTATGGTGTTGGCCAGGAGTTTAAACTGTCACTTGGTTCAGAATAAGGAGATGATTTCAACATTTACACCCGATTGGTACAATTTATAACACTGAGTTCAGGGCTGTAGGGGCACAAAACTGCCAGAAGATGGCAGGATTGTCAAAGTAGTTCAAGCCTGGAAAAATGTTTTCATTCACAGCGCTGCATGTGAGGAAGGTTAAATTTTTAGAGAAGAAAACATAAAACCAAAAACACTTCGGCAGCTTGTTGCATGATTAGGCTGTGTCTTTTAAATTGAACAAATTTTGCTGCTGACTGCAAATGCTAAACACGAGAGGACATCTTGTCTAAGTGTAACACCTTTTAGGGTGAGAATCAACATTTCATAAAAATATTCACAGCAAAAAGTTTGGTTCAGTTACACAGTCGTATTGACACATCACTAGCTGAGCAGTTTATTTCAGAAATTTTGTACTTATTTGAGGTTAAATGTACAAAGGTGTTTTGGAGAACTCATCAAAAACTGTGCCAATAGTTTTTTACTTTACACAGATGCTTGAACATGAATCAAACCGCCAACGTCACACATTATAAAGAGTTTATTGCAGGCAAACAATAGCATAAATTATATTTACAAACTATAAAACAACATTCCTTTTTTACGGGCTCCGTGGATTGCTGGTCAACAGTCTTTCAGTCTTGGAAAAGAATGAATCCTTTTTGCAGGTGAGTGTGGTCATGCTGACCGCTGCAAAATGCAAGACGCCGCATAGATGTTTAAAGCTACATTCAGGAAATAAACTGGGGTTAGATGCACTGCATTTTCAGAACATAAACTGACATGAATTACTCATTTAAAGACCTCAAGAAGAAACAAAAAAGAATTTCTTTAAAGGGTCTTCCAGGTTAGTAAATTTAGTGTTTCCAGTGCTGTTTGCACTTTCACACTGCACAACCTTTGACTTCTTTATAAATCAAGTGACCTGCACCGCAGTTGATATCAGCCATCTGGTAAAAGACACTATTTTATAAGAAAGGCTGACTGTAAGTATGCAGTGAAACTTCCCCTCAGCTCTGCACAGTGTTTTTTCAATGAAAACAGCTGATCTCCGATGAATGGTCCGTGTGTTTTGGCCTGTGTTCATAAATGGGGCATCAATTGAAAGATATGAAATTATGCACAAAAATATATCAAAACTATGCACACACTCGCTGAAACTTTTCTGCCGTTCCAAAAAGAACTCTAAAAACAAATTCACAGCACACTATTTCCCTCTTGGCACTAAGTTTAGGTTAAAGAAGGAAGCATTTACTTAAGGATTTTAAACAACACAGAGAGAACTTCCATGTCTGAAAACATCTTCATACCGTAACATGTTGAACAGTTATCCTGTTGATTGTCCCCGTTCTCTAATCAACACTTAAAAACAAGTCAGGAGTGCAGCTATCAACAGCTCTTAAAATCTTTGTTTGTTGTAAAATAAAACTTTGAACCTATTTGTTGCTAGTTTGTCTGCTTTTTCAGTATTCCAGCGAGGTGATTGAGAAAATACAGCATGTGCATGTCTCACGTCATTGTTTTCGTTTCCTCTCTGATTCTAAATAAAAACTCTCAAAAGCTTCTTCTATCTCGGGCTCCATCTCGTCTTCAGAGTCGTATCTGCAAAGAAAACCAAAGAAAGGTTTAGATTCATAGCTAGAAACTTGACTTGTTGTTCTTCAGTGTTTGTAGGATTTAAGCGAGTAACTCATCATACAGTATATCGTCAAACACACGCTGTTCTGAGAGAAGACAGGAGTGAGTTAAGCCCTCTTTCACACCCATCTGCTGACAACACCGAAACTGAGACCATGCTTGACTCTGTTGCATTGTGGGCCAGTCAAACACATTCTCCAAGCTCAGGGGCCCACAGGTCAGTGTTAGTCATGTGACCTGTGTGTGAAGCTGCAACGGTGACTCATTCGTCACATGACTAAAGATGAAAATCTCATCATTACATAAAGGTGCATTTGTGCATAAATAACTCAAGGAGTGACTGTGATTGTGTTTTTTAAAGTCTACAAAAATGACAGTTTGCATGACAACAAGCATCACCAAAACCACCAGAGACCCATCTTTTGATCTTTTCTCCATATGCACTCACAGTTCATTTCCATTTTCTCCATCAATGTCGAAATAGTCCTGCCTGTCCAGGATCTCTTGGTATTTTTCGGCATAATCTGTAAAAACAGAGGAAAAAATAGTGGCTGCTGAAATGTATGAGCAGGTGAAAATGTGCTGAAACAAAACACTCTGTAGTGATGTATTGTATTGTAAAAGTAGCTAACTCTACAGATGTATTAAAAATCAAATGCAAATAACATTAAATAGACACCTGAATGAGACTTTTTGAAGACCTGAAATGTTATAAATCTGATTCAATGCTTTTCAAGGAGCCTCAGGAACCCTGTTAATATTCGTACCTGGATCTGCTGCTGTGAAAGGAGTGCCGTCCTCTGTGTAAAATGTGGGTTCGTTCTGAAAGGAGGAAACGAATCCATTACAAACTAAAAAAAAGAGGAAGTAAACTGATAGAAAGGAGGGAGAAGGGGTATTTGGGGCTGTTGACACTCACCATAAAGTAGTTGGGGTCGTTGTCTGGGGTGGCGTTGCTGGCTGCTGCTGCAGATCGGACTCTGCCCCAGTCACTAGATCTCAATTCGACGAGTTTGAGAAGCATCTGTCTGACATCCCTGAGAGGAAAAAAAGTTCACGTCAGAGAGATTTACCCTGAGTGTCTGTGGGGGTCTGACACTGTCTAAGGTATGGTGCAGCTCCCTGATGTTGTTTTTGAATCCAACAGTCAAAAACTGACAAAAACCTTCATATTTGATGAAAACAATATTTCTTTTGGGTGTTTTTAAAAGATTATCTGTATGGTAGAGGATTCTCTTTGACGGTGGCTCATTGGACAAGGAGGTCCATCAGGTGGGCTATACTGGGGTGGACTTTACACTTGGCATGTTTCCAACATCTCTGACATAAAAGCAGGTTTGAAATCATAAATTACCTTCTACATAATCCTCAAGGAGCAGCTGCAAACAACCGTACAGCCCATACAGACATACACACCTGCTGCAGGTGGCATCCAGTAGAACCGTTTCTATTTTGCGGATCAGTTCCTCCATGTGTGGTTTTCCACTCTCTTTCCAGGCGTCATCCAGGACTGAGCCGGTCAGCTACGGAGTCAAAACATCTTCTTTTAACATGACTTAAAACAGATTTACCCAAAAAGCTTCCATTACAAAAGTATCTAATTGAGATTTGAAACCTTAAGCAGTTTAACGGCACAGATCAGATTTGCATCCACCGGATTATTGAACAGACTCTTCATCAGGTCATTCAGAGCAGAGAGCAGGATATCTGCACGGAGTCCTTTTCCACTCTTGACCTGAAGAGACAGACACCGGCAGAAAGATCAACAAATGAACTAGTTAAACCCTTTATATTTTTTAGAGAGGCAGGAAAAGGTCAAACACCTCACCTCTAAGTTAAGATAGAGCTCCCCCAAAAACAGCACAAAGGAGTGGAATTTCTTCTGGGTTTCTGTGTCTCCTCGAACAGCAACATCCCTTCGTTCAAACTCTGTTCGACATCTATTAGAGACAACAATGCTTTTTTTAATGAAAGCTTAACAAAAATTAAAACAGCTCACTTTACTTAACATAATTACAATATTGTTTGTTGGCCTGTCACTACTTTTTGACCAGTGTTGACCACTGAAGAAGGATGTTGTGATTATGCTACTTAAAAAATCATAGATTTCTCGACTTTTTTAACAGCATCAACATATTAAATAATAAAAAGCTAGTTTGTTCTTAACTGTCCATCCCTGATCTAAACACTTGTTGAATTCAGTATCAACAGAAATGAGTCACCTTTGCAGGAGCAGCTGACGAAAGTTGCCACTAGGTGGGCTGATATAAAGGTGATGGGACAGGTAATTACAAAGCCTGGCGCCCGTATAAGAGAAGTTTGGAATGGCAGTAGACTGCAATAAAAAGAAAATCAAAACTGAGTTTGGTTGCTTTATTGTGTTTAATTCTCAAAATATGCATTCATGTTTAATTTGAAGTGTATTTTTCTCACAGAAATGTCAGAATTGGTGATTTATCACTTAGTGTCGGCAGAAAACGCTATCAGAGCGACTGAATGTGTAAATCCAGACCTGTGTGTAGATCAGCTCCACCAGCTCATGCAGCGACTCTTCAGTGGTGACCCAGGAGTTCAGCATGCCAGTGATGTGTTCAACATCCGTTTCAAAGGAGCCGGGTGAGGAGCTCAGGTGGCCAAGGAAGTCTGAGACCATGTCAGCCAGGGTCGGCTCACCGTAGCTTTGGCTGTCATCATAATAAGCGGGGTCCTGTACAGTAATCATAATTTTTCAGTGTGATTCAAATGCAAAATAAAACAATAAAGCCAGTGGGATAACTGTGTCAGGATAAAAGTGAGGGTGATGTAAAAGATTCTCCCCACCTCATATTGGACACCTCCACAGGGGATAAACTCTGGGGCATTGGCTGACAGCTTTGAGGACAAGACCACAGGATCCACACTGTGACACTGTCTGGAGGCTGGTGTGTTGTTGGCATTTGCATTTTGTTGGGGTTTGTTCTGCTTCTTTGAATCTGAAAGACAAAGAAGAAAGATATTACGGTTTTTACATATATATCAGTATTTGACTCTTCTATTCTCACAGGGGAAAAGTCTCCTTATTACTATAAGTCTTGGGGTGTAACTGTTAGTTTAAGTATTGATCACTTCAATCTTCAATCAGTGCGAGATTTATAAGACAGTGCGGGGTGTGTGTGTTTGTGCGCACCTGCTAGTCTATGCTACACCGTGAAGTTCACTGAACCATATAACACAACACAAGCACATACAGTGTGACCACATGCCAACGCTCCAACTCAGTTTTCATTTTGAGTCATACCACAGTCGCAGATATCATAGAGCGTTTTCTTCGCACCTGCTTTGAATCAATACTCTCCTCAGTACTACGGCTGTAAAGACTTTACTACAGGCAAAGTAACTTGTAACACAATCAGCTACCAACACTGGCAGCCCGCTGATGACTGCAGTCTTAATCATCATTCCAACATTACGGTTCCCATCTGTGGAACAGCCTACCTGCAGACCTGAGAGCGACACCTACTGTTCATCATTCAAAAAGTAAACTACACCTACCTTTTAAGTCTGGCTTTTAGTTGAATTTTGTATGAATACCTTAATCTGCATTATGTAATTTTACCCTATTTTAGTCCTAGAGTAACTATTTTGTGTTCTATTACCTCTTTTTTTTCAAATTTACTTTCTGTTATTGTTTGATTTTAAGACTGTTTTGTTTAATTAAATTTTAAAGCTTTATCACCATTATTATATTTCATCATGGTTTTATCATTTTTGTCCTAGATCCAGTGTTTCCTTATCTTTATAACTCAAGATAGTGTTTCCTCAGTCTTCTGTGGCATGTTGAAGAGTCTTCACCTGGTCTTTTGAGTATGCATCTGTGTTTGAGTGTGAGTGCTGTATGTGTTGAATGGGGGTTGGGAGGGTGGGTGGGGTTTGGTATTTGTATATGTATTTACTTCATTTCATAGTTTTTTAATATCCTGCGCAAATGGACAGCACTTTGTGCTACACTCTACGTATGAAAAGTGCTTAAAAAATAAAGTCTGATTGATTATGCCAACTGGGTTGAACATCGGGCCACAGCTAAGGGAGCTGATAAAAGATAACTGATGACTTACACCTGTAACTTTAATTCTAAACTGGGCAACTTCCAAATGAAATTAAATCAGAAATACTCATTTCATTATTAAAAAAAAAAAAAAAAAAAAAAGGAGACTAAAACCACTTCCTCTAACACAGGCTTGTTCCTCTTTATTGACAAACTGGACAAAAAAATATTATTCACTCACTGACATATAAATTTTGAACAATGAGCGTCAATATTGTTTATAGAATTGATGTACTTTTTTTACTAGTTGTCCATCATTTCTATTAATTCAACTATTTGTCTCCAGCAACATAAAATACAGTTTTACACCTGATATGTGGAGGACATAAGAGTCGGAGAAAAAATCAGTTCACGTAAGTATCGAGAGTTTAGGTTTTACAATTCTGAAATCGATTTTTATGTTAAAAAAACCGATTTTTTTTTTTCCAAATTTGAGAATACATCTTAAAATCTGATTTACATGTGGTGTGTATTTTGGGGGGAAATACGGTTTCTGTTATAGTCAGTGGACAATCATAATAATTCAACTGTTTCACTGGTGTTAAGAATGCAGACTAAAAATCGAGAAAATCGTCAATATCGTAGAATCGCAATTTACATCGAATTGGAATCCAAAAGATCGAATCGGGAGGAAAGCATATCTTGAAGTCTCTATCAGTATTCCTCTCTATGTTGTCACCACTTTATCAATTTTACTTCAGTAATACATAAGTCACAGTGTCTGGTGTGCTAAAATGAACTATTATTGTTGAATGAAAGCTGTAATATTTTATCTAAATATGCACACTGATCTGAGACAACGATCACGCTCAACACTCTCAGTTTCACTTGTACAAAAACGAAAGTGGGCTGTCATCCAAACTCAGAAGAATGTCAGTGTCAAAGTCAAACATGGGATCCGGCCAGGAGGGTCATATGCGTGTTGTGGACTCTGTGTTATCTGAGTCTGGTCTGGATTTAGATGCAGGATTACCTCACATCAAACAGTCTAACAGGTGCACGACGCTCCGCCAACATGCTAACTGTCCTTACAGGTATTTAGCGGCTAGCAGGCTAATGACAGGTTCTGGAGTGGACCGGGTCAAAGTGGTCGCTTTATTATCCCCCTTTGGTCAGCAGACTCGTGTCAGCCGTCTGTGGCAGCGAAACTAACGTGAAGCGAATCTGAAAGTAAAAAGCTGATGTGCCAGCCTGATGTGTAAATAGAGATGTTAGCTAGTGGACAGCTCTTTACCTCCCACCGTTCCCTCTCCGGCCGAGCTGCTGCTGTTGTTTTCGGACACTGGTGGGCACGTCCGCGGCTGTCTCAGCGGTTCTCTTTGGTTGAACAGCGTGGTTTTGGTGTCACTGTCCACGGCGGTTCCCACGAACCCGGCGGGGTCTCCAGGAAGGTTTCTGCTCCTCCCTGCTCCAGGAGTTCGGTCGAAATTGTCGTTCATACCTGCTCGTTTTATCCCACCCGACTCTCAAAGCTGCATCAGAGACGAGATGAAGAGACGCTATCTACTGTGCAAATTGTTGTTGTTTTATGACGATTGTGTGTTTAATCACAGCAAAACACACCCTATCTCTCTTTCATGGTGGCTTTTTTCTACATCGGACAGTTCTACTCTACTTTTTTTTATCTACTTCCTTTAACAACAAACTGGCTGTCGCTAACTGTGTGGTTTTAAATTAGACTGGTGCCCTCTAGTGGTGTGGAGTGGACACTGTCCCACAAGAGTTTCTCAATATGGCCTCAAAACCTGTGGTGACGGTAAGACTATTCAGTCTTCTAATCCGGTAAATACGGTATCCGACACTGAGACATATTATTCGAATCAAAATGTAGATATTTAGATGTTTTAGAGGCTTCAAATTTTCGGAAATGTTCCGTAATTGGCACGACTATGTAGGACAAATAATAACAACCAAATTAAAGCCAAGGACAAATGTTGTCTCAAAAACCTACTCCTCGCAAGCAAAGGACAAAAAACAAACAAATGAAAAAAAAAAAGAATTTAACAAGGAGCTTGTCAGGGAACCACTTTAAGGTAAAAATAATAATAATAATAAAAAAATAACAATTGTATTAGAAATTAATGACATGATGAGTCTTCCTCTTTCAGATACTGTGATGTGAAATAACTGCATAGAAATAAGTGCCTAGCTGTATTTAAAAAACAAGAACTCTCTCCCACTCCTACACTGGGTTTCTCTGTGGGTTTGTATGGTAATGTGTAGATGTTATGTCGTCTATTAGACAATCATACATAATTTCCCCTGGAGATGGGATGAACTGAGACTGATAAAGATTTGCGGTAAACCCTAATTGATATCTTTTCCCGCCATTCAGAACTACTGAGACAGTGACCCACAACATAAAGTTTCACAAAACACATGGGGTTTAATGCAACACCCTTTACCGTCAGTTTCGTTCGACTGTTTTTGTTGAAATAATGACAAACTTTAAAAAAGAGTTCATGCATTGACTTGGTGTAACAGTAAGACTATCTTAATGTCAAAAGAAAAAGGAATAAGTTACGGAACAAGTAAGAAACAAAGCAATTTAGAACAAACGTGCTGATAAAAGCCTTGCAGAGGGGTGCAAAGACCAGGAAAAGTTACATAGGCTAATCAAAAAGCTATTTGCAGTAGGTATTGAGCAATGAGGATATTTCACAGACTATAAACAATAACAAAATAATAAATTATAATTAATTATACGTCAGGAACTTTTACAAAGGAAATTTTCATGTTCAATATTAGTGAAGAATGGGACTTCAAATGGTTAATGAAGCTATTTAAAAGCTGATATAGTTTGTAATGTTGGATACAAGCTGCTGTAGGCTGAAAGTTATTTCATAAATTAGATTTTTATAATTTAGCAAATTTAAAAAAAAAAATCACCCTTATTTCTAGTGGAAAAATTTTATACCTCTTGATTTCCTTAAAGTAAATATTACTTTTACTGATCCGTTTGCAGGTTTGCACAAGTGCATAATCATGATCCTGTCAAATGAAATGTGATATGAGCTAAAACTGAAGGATCACACTTATTTTTTCAGATTTCTGCACCATCAAGAAAGTTTCTGTACCCGTGCAACCCCTCAGAAGTGCCTCTCTCTCTCTCTCTCTCTCTCTCTCTCTCTTTCTCCCCTCAGCTCACTCAGTAGCTGCCCACTACAAACACGTGTTGCACCAGACCTCTCAGTGTAAGTATTCATTAGTTGTTTTCGCCTCCAGTCATTTTCCACTTGTTTCCCAAAGCTGGATCACATTATGCCACAGAGAATTCCTGTGCCAGAAATGCGGAGACCCACTCTGATAAAAGATTACTGCCCCTATTTTCTGTTATTGCTGTCTCCCCCTTAACCCCTCTCAACTCCCTCTGCCAGCGTCTTGGAAGGAGTTCAAACATTCACAGGTCCGGGGAATGCATGAGATGACAAATGATTGGTGGTGTTTTGGTGAAGTGCACACCCCCAAGCTGCAGGTTTTAAATGCAAAGAAATGTGGCTTTATGTTGCGTGAGTCTGAGGGTCATATTCCTGGGGGTTTATGGACTGCACAATTAGGTTACACAGCAAATAAAGGAGCATACATTGCTACTGTATGTAGTGTAATATATCAGACCGCTAACCTCTACTGTTTAGTCTTGCATCTTTAGTCCAAGTTTAAAAAAAATCTAAACACCAGATGCACAGTCTTTTTAGTCCAAACAACTGCTCCTCAGTTATTAAATTTAAGCTGCTCTAAAAATTGCTCCACATGATGCAATTTATGCTGCAACATCTGAAGTTTTATGTGCAGGTTCCTGTTAACAACTGGGCCTCAGAGGTGCAGCATCTGCACCACATTGCTCATATCACATAGCTTTTTTCTTCACTGACTTGAGTGAGTGAAAGGAAAGTAATAGATGGTCTGAAATAGTATTCCATATGTTGCCATGGGCTCCGACTGTCACGGTGGAATGCACTGCAGCATTCCTGGGTATTAATCGTTCGTCACAGTGATTCCTTAAACAACCTTTAAAAGACAATAAAGCACAGCCTACGGCGCATGTTTTCCTGTTCTTTGGATTCCTATAGGTCAGGTGTAGTCTTTTTTAAATCTAGAGTCACAGTCACAGGTCAGCGTGGATGGATTTTGGGGTATGAAGGTAAAGGCCATCTTCCTGTCTTCGTCTGCTCACCACAGTTTTTCATGATGGATGCTCAGAGAGAGGCGGGATAAAAGAACATGAGGCCCGGAAGCCTGTGGTGTTAATGTTCTCCCCGCGGTCTTTTGATCTGGCATCGAGGCAGCTGTCATTGATTAGTGTGTTTGTAGATGATTACTAAGGGAAGTGGGTGGTCAGACACAGGTCATATCTCTGCTTCCCCTTCATTCACACGTCTGCCTCCAAATGGGAAGTAGCGAAGAAGAACCAACATGATGAAACTCTTATAATTTCTTTATTTTTACAGCCATCATCAGCAGGTGTCTTAGCAGTTTTTCTCTATTTTTCTAACCCTCCTTCTGTCAGTTATAGTTTGATATTAGGAAGTGATGTCAGCATCTATACGCCATGTGTGATGTTACCCTCTTTCCATTTAGTTGTGGTCGGTCTGTGAGCTCCTCGTTTGTTTGGGAAACGATTGTTAGCGCAATGGTTGCCACATGGAATATCTGGCGAGGCATTAATAGCCGCCTTTTGTCCCTGATAAGAAAAGACTTACCATGACCTCAGTGTTCTCCAGGGTTTCTCGTGTTACTTGTGAGAAAATGCGGCGCTTTTTCTTGCAAGTTCCCCCCGCAGTGATGAGAGTTTTTGGGCGCATTAATGAAGCAAGACAAATGCAATGCAGAGGAGGAAGGTGTTTTTTTTTTTATTTTCACATAATAGAGTTCCTATAAAAAGTTAAGAATGCAGAAGGAATGCTCGTCTTGTAAGTGTTCCCCTCCAGTTAAATATTTCACAAAATAAATAAATCATAACAGTACAGTCAAAAACACAGTGGTTAAGTATTGAACATTTGCTTTACATGTGATGCACTCTTTTTGACCTATTATTTCCCTTATCAAATCCAATTCCTTCCCTCTTCTTAATGATGGGGATGATCTGGTGTGTCGCAGGAGATTATGGATCATAAATAACATTTTTAGATACTTTTTATTCTACCACAGTTCATAGCTAGGACAGAATCTCCTGTTTTGTCTGCATTACACACAAACTCCAGTTGCAAACTGTTTGGCACAGTAAAAAGGAACAGTATTGCATCCTGTGCCACAGAAAACACCACAACCATCCTCTCTTATAAAATAAAGTACATGATCTCAGTCAAAGTCAGAAGCAGAGACCATATATTTGAGTAACAGTGTTAGTGCCTTGTTTCCAAATGAGAGATTTCGCCGTGAATGTCCGTATTTTACAGATAATTTGAAAAACCTCTCAGTCCAGTGCTGCACATCCTCCTCCATCTCCACTTAGTTTCTCCACTTTACACCAAAATTGGAAGAAAGTGGGTGGCCGTGTTTCTCCTGCGTGTTTTCTTCCCCCTAAGCGGCTTCCCGTGGACATTCAGACCCACAAACATCTGCCGCTTCTTGTTCCTCCACTTGGCTGATGCGTACGTGTTGTAGCCGTTCTCCTCAATGCGCTCCTTCAGGGCGCAGTCCTCGCCAAAATCCCTCTGAAAAACAGCGGGGATCATGTTTCAGTGTCAAAGCCTCGACATGAGAGGTTAAGGCAAAACACACATCATTTTCTCCTGCAAATCCATTGTGGTTGCAGACACTACCTTGCCACATACTACTCTTTAATTTGTGCTGCATGTTTAGAGTCAGTTTGGCAGAGATTTAGAGTTGACCCAGTATCCAGGGAGGTAGAGATAAAGACGGTGCTTTGATAAGGTCAGAAGAATCTAACACTATCTCTGCTCAGGAGCAGTCAGATTGACCTCTGACCTGGATACTCACCACTCCGTACAGCTCTCCCTTCCTGCTGATCGCCAGATAGTAGTTGCTGTTCAACGCTTTGATGGCCACCACTCCCACCTCCACTGATGTGATTTCCAGAATACCTGAGATGCAGAAAAAATGACCGATTTGTCAATAAAATTAAAAATCCAGACATATACTTGTATTATTTAGAAGTTTGAGCTGGAATTAAGAGTAAAAAAAAACACTTCAAAGTTAACAAAGACAAATAGTTTGTTAATGCTGCAAATAAAAATATAGAACAATGGACTCCTGCAGCAATAACACACCAGAATAAATCTATAAAGCACCCCATCTGTCAGAGAAACTCATGAATAACCACATGTTGCATGCTCATTGCAGGTCACTTAACATGTGAGAACACACAGTGTGGGAACTGAGGGCAAGGTCACATTTTCTCTTTAAGCACATTCATCATTTCAGTGATATTATAAAGTAACTTTACAACCCACACCTGTATAACAGATTCCAGCTGTGCAGGCCGTTTAGTCTGGAAATTAATGGGTGGATACTGCAGAGATTCTCAGGTTGTTTATGTTCTGTTTGGTATTTAGCTCGCCATGTCCTTATACGAGTAATTCGGGTTTCTCATAGGCTATTAGAGAGGCTAATTTATACTCCAGTTAACAAGGGCAAGCTTTTTCTGCAGATGGCTGTGGTTATTTGTGTGGTCCTGGTATCAGAGGTCAGAGAGATATAACTTCCTAATGTGTCCTTTGACCACAGGACCCACTTGTCTCCCTATGTGTGTGTGTGTGTCTCCCCTGTTCCCATGGCATGTTTGATTTCATGCCTCCCTCCCTGACTTCCTCTCCACACATCCTGTGAGCTGTCGTTATTTTATCCTGATAAGCACACATATGTGTACGCACGCACACATTTGGACACACACACTGTGGCGTGGGGGGTGTGAACTCCAGAGAGTCGACGACATCCTTTGATCAGATTGGCAGCCCCTCCTCTGTCTGATGACTGTTTGTGTGGCGGACCCACTCTCCGGTGGCTGTAAGGGGGTCTGAGAGCTGCCAGCCTGGTACAGGGGTGGACGGCGGAGGATGCAGGTGTGCCCCCCCACCCCCATCCCCGTTATATAAAAAAGAACAATCCTTCTTTCTGAAAAAATACTCAGCTGCATCTCTCCTCATCTGTGAGGTCTTGCCTGTATCAGTTTCTAGTTCAAACAGTGGCACCTCGGGGCAGTGAGGTCTGAAGCGGCAAAGGCGGTGGTGTGGTGGGGACTGTGACACAACGGCCATTGAAGATCTGAGAGGAGCTGGTTTTTCTGTATGGGATCGGGTGTCCGGTACGGAGTGAGGATGTAAGACAATCTATGGCAGGCTCTGGCTGCTCTGTAAACATGGGAGGGATGAAAGGAAGGAGAACAGAGGAGGACAGAGGAGCCATGACAGTGAGACTGGGGGTGGAGTGAGGATTAGTAAGGCTGTAATGATCACTGATCAAAGTCAGCCACCGGAGGCAGGGGCGAGACACGTTGTATATACACACACATGCACACACACAAAAGCACATGCACTTATGCACTGGCATATGCACACATGGTCCAGATTGCAGCAGGTGAGTGTACACTTGTATACTCTACCTGGCTGTGAAGCTACAAACTCTCCATTCACTCCATTGAGCGAATGAGAAAATGCAACAACAGAAAAACACGCGCCTCATTCATCTTCCACCTCATCACAACATCCATGTGTAACAGCTTCAAGAGTATTCGGTCAATTCAACAAACCACATTATGTAAAAAAAAGAGGTTTAAACTCAACCAGCCGGATTCATCTGTTTACATGGTGATACAGCAGTTTGTCTTTTGCATGCTGGTTGCTTTTTCCTAATGTGTTGCTTTTTTGACACGCTCTGTTTGGAGTTACAACACTAAATGGTGCGTTGGTTGTGGAATGGAGGTTCTACAACGCCAGCGAGAATTAGGGGTGGTTTTTTCACAGTGGGGTGCCAAAAACTATGCGCATTGCAGCGTCTTTTCCTTCGCTCTTGCTTTAAATGAATGTTCACAGTCTGCACAAAAATAACATTCAGACAGATAAGTGATCGGCGCTTTTTCCCCGTGCAGGAGAATGGTTTGTAGTGAGGCATAAATCAGGATTTATAGTACTAACACTTGATAAGGACCACACTGGGTGTATTTACAGAGCAAAGACATCCATCCTACTTCCCCACCTTGGAGGAAAAGCTGTACATCTCTCTCCTTAAAACCTCCATGTGTTTTTTTCACCATGTAAAAGGCCGCTGCTTTGATTAAAGGAGATGAATGTGTGCGAAGACTCACACTCACATTAATACACATGCTCCTCTTGAGCCATGTCCACGAGCCATCTTGCACACATGGCCTGGACCTTTCAGCACACACAGGTGGTGGTCCGACACACATACGCACACATGATCTTGACAGACTCACCCTCTCACACCATCAAAGCCGTGGATAATTATCTAAATCCTTTTTACCGCCAACTTTTGCATTAGTCCTATTTCGCAAAACTTTGCAGGCCATCCAGAGCCGTCTATAAATTACAGAGAAGTCATCTGTGAATCACACGTTTTTAAACTCAGCACTTAGACCACGTGGATAGGTCCTTAGCTGACTTTAACACAATCTCCCTCCTTTTCTCTCTGCCTCTCTCTAACCTCAGCACAGGATCCCAGCGGGTTGGAAAGCCATGTGGGACAGTTTTGCGCTGGCATCCCCATAAATCTGTGGGAGGCTGGATACTGGCTCTTTAACAGACAGTGGAGCTGAGTCCTCACAGGGCCACAGGCAGCACCTAAAACCAACACCCTCAGATCTAGAGCCCCTCTTTGACGAGACAAATGAGTGAATACAACATTTAAAATGATCCGAGGTGGGATTTGAATGAAGGTGTTTTCCTCCGGCTCAGAAGAAAGCAACTGGCCGTCCTGTTAGACCTAAAAACTTGATGTTTTGTCACTTCAAGGGATCATGGAAGGTCTACAAAGGACGTCAGCTTGGGATCATGTCTAGCCCCGGGGGCCACGGCGAAGACTGAAGCTGCTGTTGTGTAGTATCCTTTACCGTGAGAACCTGACACCAGGCCACATAATCCACACACAGTGTCCCCAGACCCCCTCAGGACACAGCTTTTTGATGGCACCACCATTGATACTGAAGACGCACTGCTTTGATGTGGCCACAATGATGTTCAGCCGTGTCATTCATGAACTTGTACCTCTAGAGAGAGTCCCCTCTGTGCTCCTCGAACCCAGTCTCACTGAATTTTGAATAAGGGCAACAAAATCCTAAAAAAAAAAAAAAGAGCTGTGCACTCAGGAAGAAGAAAAAAAAGTCTCCTTCCAAACACACTTAAAGTTCAGGTTCACGCACCTCCATTATGATAAACTGAGCGAGACTTCCTCACGCCACTCCAGTTTTACAACTTAAAAGCAGCCACAAGCGAAGGCGGCAGTAAAGGCATCACAGTGTAACACGGTCAGTAAATAAAGTTGCCTCTGTCATGACCTTGTCAAAACAAACATCTCCCCTGACATTCTGCCTCCTCTTGCCATTTCCCCCGTAGTCTCTTTGATTGAATGTGCGGTTTAGCTCTCCCAAGGGGAACATTAAAAGCTTCCATACACACACCAGTTTGGGGGACACAGACAGAGAGACAGGGAGGGAAGGAGTATATACATATATATGTGTGTGTTTGTGTGTGAGTGTGTCGGTAATAAGCGAGCACATGTGTCGTTGTTGGCTGCTATATGATCACACACCCACTGGAGCATGTGAGTGCCCGCTGGCTGATAGGCACACACACGTAGCTCAGTGGGAATGCTGGGAGACTAATGAGAATGCTTTTTTTTTTTTTCTAACTGAGTGATATGGCGAAACATACAACGTGTAATCACTTTAAAGACGTGTTTCTGCGAGCGAGCACGTCAAACTGCTTTAAACAAATGTCTGATCTGTGACCGAGGGTGTGTAATTTGCTCCTCTCAGGCTTGCGGGCGGGCAAACGCAGTGGGAGAGTGAAAGAGACACAGACACAGAGCCTAAAAGCATCAATGAGGCTGACATCCATATCCTCAGCCCCCCCCACCCTCCCCTTCACCACCACCACAACACAAGGCCTGTTCTTCTGTGCTTGTTATCAGGTCTGTTTACCCTGGGCTGTGAAGACGGCCTGATAATGGCCGGGTTATCTGCCCCTGCTCCTTTTTAAACCATCTCAGGGCTACCATCATTGTGATGAGTGTTTGGACAGCACAGATATCGCTGGGATGTCTGGTTTAAAACAAAAAATGACTACTCTAATCGGGGATTGCTCCGCTGAAACTACAAACCAGTGGGCGGGCTGGTTATATTAAGATTTTTAGTTCAATTCTGTCATTGCACCAAATTATACGTCTGATTTGTCAAGTTAAGATATTTAAAGACACTATATGCGACTTTTTTTTACAGGCTTTGAAGAATTAACACTTGATTTTTTTTCTGGATGCAGTAACCAAAGATGCATGAGGGTTTCTTTATGTTAGAAATATCCTTGAACTGGAGCGATCAACCGGCAATGTAAGAAGTTCTTGCTGCAGAGCCCAAAAGTCTCAAAAAGCAGCAATATTGTTGCTTGATCACCTTTCGAATCCCCTGCTTCTGTAAAGACTTGATCATCTTTGGATTTGGATTCTGCTGTTGAACATAAATTCTCTCACAGAGTTACTTACTGAGGGGGTCATCTTTGCTCTTGGTCCCATTGACCTTCCCGTTCCTGTCGATCCTCAGGAAAAACTTCTGGAAAGAGAATAGCTTCCTCCTCCGAATGTCCCCCTGGAGATGACTGTAGCTGCGCACATGCCTCCCTTGCGCTCCCCCAGCCCGACCCAGCGGGCCCCTGCCAGCCCTGGGCCTGAACTCGACCTCAGTCTCAGAAATGTTCAGAGGAACCCTAAGAGTTCGAGGGTTTGCCCGTCTCAGTTTGTCTCTTCGGTTCAGGTGGCAGTCAGCCCCAGTAAGAAAGAAAGAGAGAAGCAGAAGAGACACCAGGAGAGGAAGAGTCAGGGAGGGGAGCAGCGTGGATGACTTAAGTCTGGAGGTGACTCCAGATCCAGAACCAGAATAAGCCCCTAACCCAGCCCTGGAGCCAGACGAGGCAGAGGCAGCCTTACTCCTTCCAGCAGCCCATCTGATCATGGTAGTGTGCTGTGTGGAGGACTAGAGGCAGCCTCAGAGCCTGGGACATGCTGCTGGGGGTGAGGAGAGGCTGAGAGGGCAGGGAGGACAGCCCTCCACAGTCCAGAGGATGAGAAAGTCCCCCTGAAGAGTCCAGATCATCTACCACCTGTATGGAAACTTGAGATTCAGTCTGAATGATTTTTACAGACTCTTTGACAAGCTCGTAATCCTCTGATTGTTTTTTCCACTGAGTTGATGAGAAAATCTGCAGTCCAGGTCTGTTTTGGAAAATAAATCAGTCTGATAAGGCTTAAAAAAAATACTCAAATCACCCTGTTTGTATACTCCGGTAACAATCCTGTTTTCCACTCTCCTCTGGATCTCTCTTTCAGGGTTGTTTTTAAAAGGTTGGTTTCAATCTTGCTGCTCCAGTGTAACCCTTGAATTTCCAGAAAAAAAAATTTAACTTCTCTGTTGTTGTGCCCTGTAGGAAGTTTGCTGCGTATAAAATTCCCTTTATTTCCTGTGGAATCACAAAAGATGCACCACGCAGAGTACCTGTCCGCAGCCTGCCCCGCTCCACATGGTTCAGTTCTCAAAGTGAGGAGGAAAACCAGGGTTCAAGACTTAAAAAGGAGCGTTGGTCAATCCAGGCGCATGTCAGATAATCCATCTGTCCCCTTGTGCTGCCTCGCTCTCCTCTCTCTCTCTCTCTCTCTCTCTCTCTCTCCTCACCTCTCTCTCTCTCTCTCGCTCACTCTACCCCTAAATGACTCCACCTTCATGCAGCATTGAGGTAACGGTCCGGGGAGGTTTCTCTCTCTCTCTCTCTCTCTCTGTGTGTGAGTCAGACTCGTTCACCTCGTCCTGTTCGTTAGCTCCTCGCACAATAAGAGGAGTCCTGGTGTGATCACCTCACCTGAAGGTCGATCTCAGGGGATGACTGTGCTCTGCTCTGCTCTGTTGTCTTGTTGTGTGTGTGGCTGTCTGACTCTGTTACTTGTTTGATCCCTCCCTCCTTTACTCAACTTCCCCTCTCACATATGGGAGCAAGTACTGCTCCGCATGTGTGAGTGTGTTTTTGTGTGTGTGTGTGTGTGTGTGTGTGTGTGCATGCCTATGTACGAGCAGATTATAAGTGGGTGAGATAGCAGAGTTTATCTGAGTGGATGCAGCAGGGCAGGAAGAAGCCGTCTGCTGGTATTGGATCAGTCTTTACAGCTGCAGATTGTGCTGATGATTGCTTCATTGGTTAATCAAAGAGTTGCTCTTTCCACAGTGCGAGAAGTAGGACCTGAAGTTGACATTTCCAATCTGTGTGTCATGCTATTCCTTCTCTCCTGCTTAGACATGAGCCTGCAGTGTAAAGCATGAAAGGGATAAGCATCTTAAATTGAAATGGACCTACTTATTAGTCATTAAGATGTGACAATCCTACAAGAGTCCTCCTCTATCTCTTCAGATAAAACTCATTAAGTTTCTGTTGCTGGTTCCAGTTTAGATGCAGGCTTATCACGGCCCATCTCATAGAGGCCTCTCTCTTTCCCTAAAGGCACTTTATCGCAGCGTGTTATCTCTCCTGCAGCGCTGTAATGCAATGAAGCTCTCCAGTTTCACTCAGCAGACTCTTGGCCTTCCTTTGTGACTCAGGTGTCTGCGTGGCTCTCAGCCACTGAGACTCTCTTTTACCGAGCGTGCATCATTCGCTCCTCAAGGCGAGGTCGGCCAGCACAGGATGGACAATGTCACAGTGGACTAAACAGCAATGCGCAGTATGAGGAGTGGATGTGCAAAATATTAGGGATGGTCCTCGCTCTTATGAAAATAAAACTGTGGAAAGTTACATGAAGTTTTAGCTGCAATTCTCTGCCTTTACTTTCATTAAATAGTCCAGCTCAGGTTTCCAAATTAGAGCAACATGTTTCTCAGTTAAGACACAAAGATTTCTGCAATTAAGAGATGAAGTCCCACAGAGAAAATGACAATGATCAAGGCCTGTAAAGTGGCATTTTTAACAATCCACAGTGATAAACCAAACCTGTTCTTATCTGTTCTTCCTGATCCTCGTGTCTTTAAAGTTAGGGTCTGTCCTGTTCCCGGCTTCTCTTAAGTCCAGGTTTTTAGTGCCTGCTTTAATGTCTGCCAACGATCTACAGCCAGAGCAGCGGTCTGGTCTTAACTCTGGTCTTGGCGTGGCTTTATCTGCAGATACAAACACAGCAATCTTATCAGCGCTTCCTTTGTGTTCGGCCTTCCCACTTTGATAACCTGAATCACTGCAGAGGACACAAAGCGAGGAGGAGGAGCAGGCCTCAGTTTTATTGATCACGATGGCTGCAGTTATTGTGCAAAAATGGGTTTAAAGGATTTGTGTGAATAGTTAAAGATGATCACATCAAACTGAAATGGTTTGAGTCTGAATTTAGAGCCTTATTACTCCATGTTTGAGTTTAGTTAAACTGTTCAGGGTTTCCACTGAGCATTTTTTGGTCTAAAAGAGATCTAATAGACGTCTAAATGTAGCCTAGACAACTGGTCTAAAATCAGGCTACCACAGGTCTAAAAATGAAAGTTTTTTAGACGTCTAAATTTAGACCAAGTCTAAATCTGGGCTATATCTTTACCACACTGTATATTGCTAACCGGCTATTTTTATTATTTTGATAATATACTTGGAGATCAGTTATGCAACTCACAGCTGCTTTTTGAAATATATAGTTATCAAATAATGGGTTAAAGTGAAATGTATAAATTCCGTCTAAAAATAAATAGAATCTAGACGGTTAAAATCAGGTCTAAGAAAAATTGACGTCCAATAGCCGTCTATTGCTCAGTGGGTTACTTCCTCCTCTTGCAAATTTTGTGACCTGTTCATTGTTTTAAGTTAGATAATACTAAATACATTTGCATCCAATGCACAACTGTCCACTTTGAAATGTCCGATGATCCATCAGGAACTTTCCTGATTAAAATTTTCACAGCTGTTAAAACCTTTCTCTAGTTTTCAGTGCATATTAACTTCTTAGTGTGTGCTGTACAGTGTGTTTTTGCTCTCTGTGCAAATAAAAAATGATAAAATATGATTCATAAAACTATCTTTTTGGGACAATATTTCATATGATACATATTTCACAGTGACAATTTGGCAGTCTGCACAATATCTGCACACTTTAATACATATAAAACACACAATACTGCCCCATTCCTGGAGTGAAAGCCTGAGTCTGAGTGTTTCACTCTTTTCAGTATTGTGTGTCTGGGATGAATTTCTCATATTAAGGCTGAGTAACAGTGGAAACACGTACAGTACGTACTCTTAGTGTTCCTACCACCTACACAGAACTGTCCTCGGCATGTTTCTGACAGGGATGTTGGCATGCAGAGATGCTGATAGATTTAAGATTTGCAGGATTTCTCTCCAGGCCAAGGAGCAAATTCTTTGTAAACGTAACCGAGCTTGAGTTTTTTCTCCTCAATGTAATATAAGTGAGATTTGCAGAGTCTAGAGAAGGTCTCAGCTCCCTTCTCTCCAGCTTTAGCATTTAGTGTATCTTTATAGATCAATCTCCCTGAATTGCATTTCAAAGTTCAGGAGCGGCCGGCAGTAGGAGAGACAAATGTGCTTCTGATCCCTCCCTGCAGCCTGTGGCTCTAGCTGGGTTCTTATGCTTTTCTCAAAAACAAAAACATAATTACAAAAGAAGCAATGAAAAGTCAAATACCGGAAATTTATACACGTCAGCGGAGATTTGATTTCACACGGTTCCTATTGCCAAGAAGAAAAATGAATCGAGGGGAAACACATGGAGGGATTCTTGGTATTCCTTTTAAAGCGTGATCTGTGAGAGAAAACCTCTGATTTCAAATTTATCCTTGTCAGAGTAGTTCAATCCCCCCGGCATTGTTTTTGTTGTATCAGATTAGTGGACTAATGAAATCAATCTGACAGCCATTTGCTCACATTGACTTTTTATTTAAGCCACATTTAGTGAAGGAACAAGGTGTAACAGATCAGCAGATGGCAGCTCTTGTACTGTTTGTACAGAATAGTGTGTTGTAAATATTAAGTGTTTATCTGTGAAGATGTTGTTTTGAAAAGTTAACAAATTTGCATCACTGGAAGCAAAGATCTAATCATGTAATTAGAGTTGAAATTACAGAGGAAGTATGAGTAGCTCATAACATTATAAGGCAAAGTTTATGAGTGGAATGTATCCTCTTATCCCACCTGTAAAAACTAGAGTTTATTATTTATGTATTTTTAATGTAATGAATGAGCCCCTTTTGCTGTCTTTATTTGTGGTTTAGTGTAAAATCTAAATTGCTGATTCGTTAGCCTCCCTCCTTCCCGTCTTCAGTTTTACAATTTTCTTTTTTTAATTTTCGAAAGAAGAAACTGTGATGTCTTCCAAAGAAGTTTGTCTTGTCTTCCTGTAAAGCCGTGATGGGGTTGTTGCTCATGCAAACTGCTGCTGGATCTTTGTAAAGTGCTGCTGCCCGCCAGCACTTAATGCATCATTTCCTTTCAGTGTGTCATGGTTTTATTTCTTGATAAAGATCTGATTGACTCCAAATGTTGATAGAAACACTCAGTTACATGATGCAGGATTAGACTGGATCAACCAAAATCAAAACAATTTCACTGAAAAGTCCTACTTGTTCGAAAAAAAAACCCAACATATTTACAGACAGGAGGAAGTTTAATAGCTGGATGTCCTTTGTGAAGTATAAGAAACTAACTGCATGTTAATCTATCTCTGTGTAGCGGCAGGTGGATCCAGCTGAGCGTCTTTGAATCAGCCGTCCTGTCTGCTTTCATGTACTGTGTCACATTAGCAGGTCGAACTGTGGAAATTCACCTTATCCATGTCATGTGTCTCTGATTTTCCTCGGCCTCATTGTGAGCACACCGGCCCCTCCCTTGTGGTACACTATCATTAAGCAGATGTTTTACGAAAGAAAAGCTCTTCACTCCGAGTTCTTTCGGCTCAAATCCATATGTGGTCTATGAGGGAGTCGAACGCACGACTCACAAACAACCGAAGTGACCTATGGGAACCATGTGTTTGTCTGTCTGCGTTCCCTGGGGCCCGCTCTGTGTGTGCTGGTTCAGAGCAGGCTGAGGCTTTAATAAAGGAACAGGCCTGGTACAGGGATGCCAGTCTCACTGCCTGCGGACATCCAACCTGATGGGGTCCAGATGAGAGTCACCAGACTGGACCTTTTCCTCCAAACCAGTAACCATTTGGTGCACAGGTTATGCTCCTCTGCCGTCTTTTTCTGGGTTTAAACTGGGATTTACTTGGTAAGCCACAGGATTAGGGCGACATTCTCCTTTAATAACACTCACAAGTTTTCATAGATCACAAGAAAACGTGTTACCTCACTCTCCTGTGCTTGGCTCACGTTAAAGTCCTCTTTTTTTTTTTTTCTCTGGGTCATCAAACCTAAATATTTAATATGTTCCTGGCCGTGGTGTTGGGGGGTGTCTGGTAACCTACTAGATGAGGTTGCTGTTTCCTGCTTTATGGTGATCAATAGATGTTTGTCATGTTACCTTCCTCATCCTGAGCGAGGGGGATTACATCATCATCCTCGGCTGAGTGTCGGTTTCAGAGGGGCAGAGGAATTTACTTACAGGTCAGACACTGGATCAGGTGAGACGCACCTCACTGTCCTTCTTCTGTCTTCATGGAGGGGGTATGAGGTGACAACACCAAACACTTAACAATCAAGTGTTTCTCTTTAGCTCTGCAAAAACAGATCAATTGAACTTTTTTCAAAATGTGCGTTTCTGTTTGTGATAAAAAAAAAAAACTTTTTACAGTGTGCTGCTGTTAGCATCATTGTTAATATGACACGGGAGAAAGAGGCAAGTGTGGAAACTGAACCTTCAAGGACTGTAGCCTCTGCACATGAAGTGTGTGATTTAAAGCTCCTGTGAACAGTTTTTAGCTGGTCATGAAACAGACAACAAGAGCATCAGCAACAAGACTGAGAATTTCTGTGTTGTAGTGTTCAGTGCTTGTAGCTGCTGCAAGAAGGAAGGTGATAGACAGACGGTTTACAACACACTCAATATGTTTACATCCACAGTTAAGTCAAATTAGTCATGGCTTGATTGGGGGATTTTGTCCTTGTCCATGTTTACAAGCACCGAGCAAGAATTGAATTACTGACTGAAGCATGTCTGCAACTTCTGCTGTAGGTGGTAACATGCCTTCTTTTAAGCCCATTACTTCTGAGCCATCTCACCTATGTCATATACCTGACAATCGACAAGTATGTTGTAAGGTGACCATATTCTGAATCCCCCAAAAGAGGACTTGACTACACGGGGGCAGAGTCATAGAGTCGCACATGGTAAATTTTGAGAGTTTTTCGGGTCAGGTCGAGTGTGTTTTACGTGCTTCAAACTCAGTAAGTTCAAGCGAAACAAACTCAAAACTTCCATACAAAACCCTGGACATTTGAAGGACTGTCTGACAAGGCCAGACAGTCTGAACAGCCCCCTAAATAAAAGGATATTACCGGGTAAGAGAACGTGTGGTCACCCCAATGTTAGAAATCGGCTGATTGTATATACACTAAACGATAAAATCACTGTCTCTTTTTCAGCTCTGTGTCTTTTAGACGTACAATAAGACCTCGTTGTCTTTTTTGACGTCTTTTCTTTTTATGCCTAGGTCTTATTTACTACCCGGCTTCTGAGTCGGTTCACTGTTCAATTCAAAAGCCAAGGCCTGGTGTGTGAACTCCTGAGCACGTGCAGAAAGTGAAGGCCAGTTTCAGTCCAATCACACCACATACATGGAAGAGAAAATAGATCCCTAACCAATTTATCTGGGTTTGTTATTTTTACTATGGCTTAGTGCGATTTCAGTCAGACTAACAAGTTAACATGTATTTTGAAAATCCAGTTTTAGTCAGACTGATGCAATAAATCAAGTTTTTGAACAACATGCAAATCTACATATGGAAGAACTAGAAGAGAAGAGATAAAAAAGGAATCACTTTGTCTGCCAAAGAGGCACAAAATTCGACCTAAACAGAAATTTCCTGACAGGAGCTTTAATCTCAGAGCCAAACCAATGCCTCTTTTATCTGTATTTATGAGTCTTATGAGTTCTATGTACCAAAACCTCAGGAAAATGACCTTTTATTTTTTAATGCGGATATGATATCATGAAATACAGGAATACATATGATCTGGAAATAAAACTCCAGTCATAATAAATTTGCTTTGACAGACAGATACTTCCAAATTTGCCCCTGAAGAGCCACATCAAGTTCTCAATGGGTGAAAGATAGCAAACAAAGGTTGTATGTATAAAAAAAATGTATCTTTGCCAATGAATAAGAATTTCAGAAAGGAGGAGTGACTTTATTTCAGCATGTTTACGCTTCCAAGGGTCCGATATGTGCTTTACTGCCTCATAGTTTCTCACAGAGTTTAACCAGAACTGTGAAAATCTTGTGGTCAGTTTTTCTCCAAAGTTGTGAAAAATCAATATTAAAGCTTTTTTTTTTTTTTTTAGAGGAGGAGCTCTCAAAACAGCCATATGATCAAAAATTAAATTTAGCACAGATTTTGAAAATCATCTGAAACACACTTATTCACCTATTATAAAATAAATACATATATCCTGTTTTGGTTTTGGCAGCGATTTAGCCGTGCTCTTATTATTATCACTCTGAAGCTGTGGAGTCAATATTTCTTGCCCTTTTGCTACTGTCGGCAGGCATTGTGCAGTGAAATTCTGGAAAAAGTACAAATCAATGAGGTAATCACTTAACTAATGAGTCCAAAACCACACTTGTTTGGCTTTGAAACACTGGCATTGTGCTGCACAAGCTGTTAAAAGTAATTTTTATGGCCATTTTCTCGAGGCCTTTTTAGAGAGCAGCCAGCCGACAGCCACTTATGTAGTTTGGAAAACAGCTGAAAATGACTCGTGCCAGGTATGTCAGTATTTGTACACACTGTGAAATCCAAAACATCAAACTAAAGGATGTACTGAAGGAGAAAGAGGAACATTTTAACACTCCCATCACCTCTCGTCATTGTGCAACTCTCTGAATGAAGCAACACAATGACATAACAGAGATGTGGTTCAGTTAGGTAATACGGCTGAAGTGGAGGTTGTTTGCTTCGTCATGTCAACACAGAGACATGTTACACACATGTACACACGCTGCTGATTTTGAGGACATGATGCTCCACATTGACCCAGTGTTGTCTTACTCCTTCCATTACTGCTGACTAACTCTTGGCTCGAGTGATAGCCGAAGGTGGACCTGAAGGGGCAGCGTCAGTCCGCCTGTCCGTGTCAAGTTATCTGGTGCAGAGGAGCCTGAGAAATCTGGGCCAGCTGAAACCAATCCCCGAAACAGAACCTGGTGCTGCAGATTCTGAGGTCACATTTCCAACAGCATGTGGTGCTGTCAGGACAGAGTTCTCCAGATGGTATAAATCACAAAACACCATTCAAAGAAGGTCACATACCTCAGCTAATATTAGGCTATTACTGGATTTGAAAAAATGACGACAATCAAAACAACCAAACATGCAACACTCAAAATATTCAAAGATTTTATTTAGCGCCTCAGTTCATCACAAACACCACATTTTTTGATAGAAACAAGAGTAATCAATATCAGTCAAAGTGATGTATCATTTGCATGAAAACCTGTAAAACACTGTACAAGCACAGCGGCCATCTTTAGAGTGACCTGAGAGGGATGACCTGCAACGCCTCTTTCTCACTAGTCAATCACACACCAGAGGAGGAGCACCACAGGTTCTGCTGCAGATCTGTGCAGGTTCTGCAGCTGGTTTCTTTATAAGTGACATTTTTCTCACTTACAAAAAAAATAATAATAATAAAAAACAGAATAAAGCAGGAGCTTGTACCGAGAATAATGTAAACACACAGCGCCAGCTCTGAGAACAAAAGAACAATTCAAGCTGAAAAAGTAAAGCATACAAATAAAAAACACACATGATAGGCACTATTAACAATTTTATAACAAAGAGATGGCAAAATTTTATTTACAATCTGCTTTTATCATTCACTTACAAATAAAGTATAACAGGTTGAGCTCTCACTTATCAGCTCTAGTAATATAAAAGCACCTTTGGCCCAGAGAGATGTGTACAGTAAGCATTTTGGCAATCACCAAACATTCCTAACTATAGATCAAATTAAGCTGGAATTTCTACCTTTATATATATTTTTTCCTTTACATACCTGTGCATTCGTTTTGCATACATTTTAGTGATTATCCTCTATAATAAATCAAATTTTTGTGTATATCCACAACCTTTAATTTTATTCAACACCTATCTTGTCATAATAATGTTTAAAATTTTACAAAACGCTTGTAAGCATCAGAAAATTGCCCAATCACTAACATTTTTAATCAAGGAAATGTGAAAAATTTGTGATAAGCCTTCTACGCTTGATACTAATCTGGAAATTTAGGTCTAAAAATGCAAATATCACATTATCGACAATAAAGCTTTGGCAGGATATTGTAATCATCTCTTAAATTAATAGAAAATTAAAGAAGACGTGAAATGCTAAAGTAATAAAAATAAACCTTTAGTATCGACCCATGTTTGTTTGTTTGTTTGTCTGTGCTTGATGTGTTGTTGTTGTGTCTGTAGTGACTTTGGTTTGGACGTGTTGGTCTGTGGATGGCATGTCTGTATTCATACTTGTGTTCCATGAGGATATATGTTACAGTATTATTTTCTCCTCTGTATCCAGTGAGTAAAATGGATAAAGTACAGTACACATTTAATCGACACATTACAACTGCATCTGGACACATTCAAAGTACAGTAAGTATTACTGTAGTCTGAATGTGTCTGCTGCGTTATACAGTTAGTACACTGTAGATGTATGATCCTGGTTATGAGCCACAGGTGACACAGCACTGTCTTTGGACCGACCTGAGAGAGCAACGACCCAACAGCTTCAGTTTGTCACAGAAGCGGGACGACATGGTGTTCTTCCTGCAGACTGGACCTGAATAAAAAGCAGCCAAACTTAAACGTCAAAGGTCATGAAACACAAGTTTAATGTGTGTGATTTAAACCACCAACGTGTCAATTATCGGATTTCACTGATATCAAATCTGCTGGACATGTTTTCCTGGAAGCCAGACAGACAGAGAGAGTGAGAGGAACAGAGTGTGTGTGTGTGTTTGTGTGTTTGTGTGTGTGTGTGTGTGTGTGTGTGTGTGTGTGTGTGTGTGTGTGTGTGTGTGTGTGTGTGTGTGTGTGTGTGTGTGTGTGTGTGTGTGTGTGTTACATACCTATGTTGGTTTTGCATTCCTGCATATTGCACTTCCTGAGTGTTTCTGGTTTGGAAATCTTCTCACAGAGGCTGTTTGGCATCACAGCCAGATCCCGCTCACTCACACAGTTGACCTCACGCTGCTGCTGACCTCCACCGCAACTCACAGAGCACTGCAGAGCCACACACAGTGATCCTCTAGTCATCTTTTACGACATTTAGCTATCAATGTATTGTTTTGTAAACAGCTTTCAGTGACGAGACTGACCTCCTCCCAGTCCCCAGCCTTCCAGTGAGTGCAGGGCTTCAGGCTGCAGGTCTGCGTGCTATTTGGCTTTAGAGTGGAGCTGCAGCGAAGAGGCTCAGGACAGTACACAAGCCGCTCCTTGACACCTTCACCACAGCTGCCAGAGCACTAAGTAAAAACACAAAAATTTAAGGTGAATATGCATCAATCCTTCCACATTTGCATCTGTCCTGGAGTCTGGAGTCAGATGTAAATCCCAGGTTGCATATTTAGCATCTTGGTCAATAGCTCAAAGATCAGAAAAAAAATTACCCTGACAGTACTTTTTCAGGACACTGACCTATAGCTTACTATTTAAATGTTGTGTTTCATTATGGTGACATTGTAGAATGTGCATTTTAAGTGGCGGTAAAGGATGTTACGGATAACTTAAACGTAGGTCATTTATTTAGGTGATCAAAGTTTCATTCTGTATGAATCATCATTTACTTAAAGGACTAATAGAAAGTGCATAAAACCCCACAGATTTTGATGATTTGCAAATAACTTATTTATTATATTTACTTTATTTAATTAAAAATGTTAAAACTGTTTTGGTTGAGAAAAATATATTTCAGTTATATTTCCAACTTCATGACAACAACATGTTTTAAAACAGTTGGGGCAGGGATGACAACAGACTGTAAAAGTTCTGCTATACTAAAAATGAGCTAGAGAAACATCTGACAACCAATGAGGCTGATTGGTAACAAGTTATTTACACAAGCAGGTATAAAAGAGACCCTCTGAGTCTCTCAGAGGTAAAGACAGGAGGAAGTTCGACTTTCTGTGAGAGACTTGGTGAACAAACCATTTCAGAATAATGCTTCTGAGTGTGAAATTATGAGGAATTTGAGGATTTTATCAACTACAGTACATGGTTTCAGTAAAGGATTTAGGAAATCTGGAGAATTCTGTACAAAAAGGACAACAACTGATAACTGATACGAAATAGTTTGGGGCCCTAAGGCAGCACTGCATTATAAACAAACAAGACATTGCAGTGGAAGTCACTGCATTGGCTCAGAATCACATAAAGAATAAATTTTTGTGAGCACAGTTGTAGGTAAAAATTGAACCATAAAAAGAGGAGTCATATATGATTCATATACCTGTGTTTTGTTTGGGCCCTTACGGCCTTCAGGATGGACTGAGTTGAAATCGAAAACTGTCCTATAGTCTGAGAAAATCAAAATTTGACTTCCTTTTAGAATGGATGTAGTTAAGAGTGGAGGGACCACTCTGCTTGCTATCAATGCAAAGTTCAAATGCCAGTCCTGACTCAACAATTATCAACAAACATCTGGTGCATCATGACAGAAAAAAGAAGACAGTGACAACCCCAATCTGTTGAGAAGCCAAACTCCTGACTTTCACCTTTAAAAACCAAAAGCTGGTCACTTCAGTGAAGAGGTGATGCAAGGTAATGGCAGAGATGCCCCTCTGTTGCTTTTAGCACACATTTTTCTTCATAAGAGTTTTTAATTCCAACTTTTGAGTTGTCTTTATGCTATTTTATTTCGATGAGGCTTTAATGACTTGTTTATCATCCAAATTTGCTTATAAGCACTAAGTGAGAAAATCACAAGTATTTTAATCTCATACCGGTCCCCATGGTGATGCACTCCAGGTCATGCAGGGCTTGTGTGGGCAGGTGAGGGTGCTGACAGGTCTGCTGGACACAGCCTGACAGTGGAAAGGTCTGAGGGGACGTTTACTCTGAGAGTCGATACACTGAACTTCTCGGAACCTCCTCCCCACAACCGCACAGCTATCTGGACACTGGGGAAGTCATCACAGAGGGGAAATGAGCTCAGAAACACGGGACAAGTGAGACCGGCAGAGGAACGAACATGCTTCATCATCCGGAAGGGTAAGACTTGATGAGTGGGAGATTAATGAAGTACTGACTTTAATTACTAAGAGATCAATGTAAATGTGAGCTCCTGTGACTGCAGGAAATCTAAGATTACTCACTTTGCTCCAGCTGCCACTCTGCCAGGCGGCGCAGGGCTGCAGGTGACACGTGCGTGCAGGCTCAGGTCTCTTCATGCTGGCACAGTCATCGTCATTCTGTGAGCTGCACTCCACTGTCCTCCATATCGCCCCGATACCACATGTAGTGGAGCACTGAGGAAAGGGAAATTTAAAAATTCAACACAAAATGGAAAATGATAGAAGATTATAGTTGGTGTTGATAAAATCTTTAGAAAGGGGACAAGGAACTAATGAGCATCTGTATTTACAGCCTGATAGTCTGAAACAAATGGTCCAACATCTTTCCACACTGCACATCTTTGGTGTCCTTCCTACAATGTTATTTCAATAGGATGTAGGTTTTGCAGCATGAAAATTACTCTGCAGTCGCTCAGCCAAACACACTTTTTATTTTTAACCACACTGTTTGTTGCAAACAAGGTTGAAATCCTCCCACTCCATAAATCTGAAGATGCCTAACATCACAGTCAGCTGCTAAAAAAGAATGAGAAATTATTCGATCAATACAACACTTCTCTCAAAATCATTTGCCTTGTTCATTTTTTGAAGCATCTGAGGGTAATTTTCAGTCTCCAAAACCAACTTCATTTCCACATGAGAATATAACTTCAAAATTAAACTTATTAGTGAGATGAAAAACAGATGATAAGGTCTAAACCTTTTAGTCCAACAGCAGTCACAGCAGGTCTAAGCTGATGACAAAAGAACATAAAACGATAATTGGAAACCTCTTAAAACGCCCACTTCTGATCTCAGGTCAGCAGTTACAGGCTCAAGCATGCAGAGTACTTGTCTGGCTCTTTGGAGAGTACTTGAATGTGGTATCCTCACCTCACTCCAGTTTCCAACAGCCCAGAAGACGTCCCTGCTGACTGTCTCTCCAGCTGACAGGTTGCTTTGGTCTTTGGGACTTTGCTGCCGCTCGTTCTGGCTCTTGGAGCGACCTCCTTTAGGCCAGGAAGAGGGCTTCTTAGCCCGAGTGGTTGTACTGTGCTTCTTGGGTGTGGTGGCGGGCTTCTTTAGTTTGATAATTTTCACTGTGGACTGGGGTGAAGCTGCAGTGGTAAATGGTTTTCTTGTAGTCGTGGAAGGAGCTTGTGTTGTGTTTAAGGCCTTGTACACAGGTGTGGTGAAGGGAGCCCTGGGAGTCCAGCGGCTGAATGGATAAACCCGAGGGGTGGTGTAGAGAGTGGTCTTGGCCCATGTTTCAGTGGTGGTGTGTGGGGTGGAGGAGGTTCTTGTAGTTGTGGGTGCTTTGGTCGTGTGCGTGGTGGGTGGACTTGTTTGTAGAGTGGGTGTAATGAGTAAATGCGACCTGGGTGTGGTTGATTTAAGCGGACTTTTGAGTGATGTGGACGTGGTCACATCCAGGTCAATAATCCCCTCCTCCTCTGTCGTCCTCTCCTCCACAACAAAGTCATATCCTGGAGTGAACATCACCACATTCGGTGTACTTCCCTCCTCTCCCTCCTCATTCTCTTCCTCATTCTCTTTAATTTTTCCAGTTACTTTTCTGTCCTTTCCTGCAGAAGCGGTTTTCTCATTCTCATCCTCATTTTTCTTCACTTCATCCTCAATCTCATAATCATCTGCGTCTATGATTTCAGGAGTTGTTGGCTCAGTGGTTGAAAGGGATGTGGTGGTCGGGATAAAAGCAGTTGTAGTTTCTTTGGTGGTTGTTTTCTTCCTCACAGTGACAGCAGCTGTGGGTGCAGCTGTGGTTGTGGTGCTCGCCCAGGTAGTGTTAGCAGGAAGCTTAGTGGGTTGCCTCTTAGGTGGGTAGATGCGACGATTTTTAGGAGGAGGCCCTGGTCTTCTACGGAGGCCTGAGTTAGGGCAGCTCTGCAGGGCACAGAGGGATCTGGACCTGGGTTTGGTTGAGAGGTCACAGCTCTTCTTGGGTGCTACAGCACAGGTGACAATTCGTGAGCGAACGCCTCCTCCACATGTGACAGGGCACTGCAAGACAGAAAGACAACACTAAGATCTGGAGGAGAAACGTCAACAAAAACGAAAGTGAAACCAGTAAAAACAAACTTACTTCTTCCCAGTTGCCAACAGCCCAGTCCAGTCCACAGGGCACATCCCTGTTGCACGGCACAATAGGTTTAGGTTTAAGGAGATGCTTACACTCCACAGGGTGCAGCACCCTTTCTTCCCCTGACACTGTGCGGACACAGAGCACTGTTCGCTTTCGTACGCCCTCTGATCCACATGTAGCTGTGCACTGCTGCCAGCCACCCACCCACCACCTGAGGCAGAGGGAGACAATTAGAGTGGAGTGATTCTACGGCTTTATTGAATTATTTTATTTAGCAAAAAGAGCATAACTTTGTTTACAATTGGTTTGGAGGATTATCAAATATAATATCTATATTTTAATGTTATATGTTCTCAGAAAACATAAAACTATGCAGAAAGCTTTTCCTCCCCCATACAGTCTAAGATCAGGAGCTTTTCCATCTAAGACTGAATAAAAAGTCTAAGTTTTGTGTTGAAAAAGACAGAAAAAAAGAGCTGAGGAGTGAGCAACCTTGCAGGACAATCCATAGTCTTGCATTTCCGGTGTCTGTCCTCTGGACGGGTTTCTGGGTCACACAGAGACTCCTCCACTACGCCCACATCCATCTCAAAACACCGCGCAGGCTGGTGCTGCTCACCTGAAATAGAAAATAAATCAAAAACTGTTGCTTTATCGCTGATACTGATCAGCTATTCAAGCTTTCTACCAAATAAAACACCCACCTAAACCACAGGTGGTGCTGCAGTCTGCCCAAGCTCCATGTCTCCACCTGTAGATGGGTTCGATGACCTCATTTCCTGTCCCTTTGTTTTTTTTAATGATGTACTCGTACTTTATTCCCGGGTTCCTCTCTTGAAACAGTAACTAGTCAAACATATAAGTAAAAAGTAAATATTTGAGTCATATAAAACCTGATTCACTTTCTCATCTGATATCAACTATATTTATAAACCTGCTAAAATTCACACTTTTCCGTGGCCTACCTGTAGCATGACCGGCTCACTGGTGGGTCCTGGAGCAGTGAGGTTCTCCATGTTCCCCATGCGCTCGTAGAAGAAGGTGGTCCCCCCAGCCTCGTACTCCCCGTTCCACTGGATGATGTAGTTGCCGTTGAGGAAGTACTCCTCTTTGGCTGCCTCGCTCCTCAGAGCCAGGAAGTTACCTGCCTCCTCTACTTCCCTTACCAGGATGTCCCGCGCCCCTGCAGGTATCACACCCACGTCCACGTACCCTGGGAGAGTCGGGAGGGTGAGGAGGGGAATCAGAGTCACAGCAAGGTAATGGATGGCCCACCATGGCTGTTGCCACACTCACATCCAGACTACCAGACAGTCTCTCTCTGATCTTTAATAGAGGGTGGGCTGAGTCTGTGGGGGTGGTTGGCATGTATGTGTGTGTGTAATGTACGAGTGTGTATTCGGCGTGGGGGGCACTGCCCTGTCTCTGTTTTTTATTGTGTTTGGATGGGGGGGGGCTGCATGGGGGAGGACGAAAGCAGCAATGAGTCGGTCTCTGGAGTTTAATGATGTTTGTGGGAAGGTGTGTGTGTTTCTGTGTATGTGCAAAAGAGGGGTGGGGGGGTTGGGGAGGGTTGCTTTGGGTCTATGCCTTTTGAAGTCGCACACATCTGGGCCGGTTATCTAAAAAGGACGCTGTGAACACAGACGTGGTGAAAGAGAGAGGGAACGCGGGCAGGATGTTTTAATTGTTTCGAGGCTCTTTGTCTATTAATCTGTCTGTGCCATGTGTTGAACTGAGCAGTTTTCCAAACACGCTGAGACCAGCCAAAGACATGTCTCCCTTAAGACGAATTAAACATGGGGCTGGAATAAAAAAATAAAAAAACACAAATACACACACACACACACATATCACACCAGCCAAGTACAGCAGGACAAACAGCTGCACAGTGTGGACAAGACAGCTACCATAGCAACAAGGCAACAACACAATGGTGTAATCGTAACGGACTGTCCTGAAATGACTTTCCGCCTGTAGACATAAATCTGAATTCTGCACTTTTTCACACTCCTCTGGTGGGGGCATGAAAGCCCGTCCTCATTAAAAGCCTGTCTGTTTCACATTACTAGGATTTTTTAATTTTACCAAGTCTCATGTCTCGATAATTGAATTTGTTTCCAGCTGCTTCATTATCTTTTTTTTGTTCGTGTGGGACTCACCAAAGCCTTCCCCATCATCAAACGACTTATGAATCGTCTCACAGCTTGTGCCATCGCCCAAACAGACTCCACAGCGATCCTCCACCGCGTTTGAGTCGATGCCATAGTCACAGCCAACCTCCTGCAGGCAGAACACACACAAACACACACACACACACACACACACAGGTATAGATGCAGACGTGTGAGATGATAAGTTTGCAGAGACTAACTCTTTGGTTACAAAATGTTGCTGCACATGCACATGCACATGCACATGAACTGCACTTCGCCTCATGTCCTGCTCCACTATAACCCCCTCCTAGTCTCTTACCCAGACACACTACCTTGCACACTCCATTGACGCAGATGTTTCTGGACTTGTTGTTCATGAAGCAGGGCGTCCCGTCAGTCACAGTGTCCAGCATCTTCTCTGAGAAATACTCGTTGACTGGCCGGCAGTGCAGCTCGCAGGGGTGTACTGGAGGAGAGTGAGGAAGAGTTTACATTAGATTCAGTGAAGATGAAGTCGTCACTGAAATTCCTGTCATCTAATTTGATCCACTGATGACAGCTGATTAAACAGAGAGGAGCTGCTGTGATTTGCACTTTGTTGAGCATAAAAAATAGTCGTCAACTAATTTGTAAACCGATTTTACATTTCTAGAACTTTTTCAATGCAATGGCAGATAAAGAAAAAAAAGCTGTTTTGAGCTCCTGAATTTAAACTATTTTCTCCTTTTCCCTGTTGCATTTCATATGAATGTGTTTATCTTGAGGTTTGGGGCTGAAATCTTCTAGAAACCACATGTTTGAAGTCATCACCGTCAATATAGATTCACGCTTTTTTTAATTTTTCCTGGCATTTCGTAGACCAACCAATCAACCATTTAATTTAAAAGAACATATCACAGATACATCTGTATGAAATGAATAACCAGTTTCAACAATTATAGTTTGGATTTTTCTCAAGATCATTTTTCAGTTTTTATTTATATTTTTTTTTAAAGAAAAACTTAAATTTACAAGTCAGACTTAGTTGAAACAGTGATTTAAATATGGGAGATATGCAAAAAAAAAAAAAAAAAAAAAAACGCCTTAAACTCTCCTGAAAACACAGTTTACTAAATTTTAGATTTAACCGCAGGATAGCCAAGCTCAGAGAGTTTTCCATGATGAATGCTGCCCCCTGCTGGATGATTAACACAACCACAACTACAGAGCAGCTGTGGAAAGCCGAGGAGAAAATGGGGCTACCAAAAACTGTGTATCTGCTTATAAGAGGTTTTAAATCAAACATTTGAAGCTTTGAAAACTCACATGGGTTGGCCACAGGAATCCACTTGTAGAGCTCGTTGTGGTAAGGCACCGTGTCAAACTCACTACACAACATCTCTCGAAAGCTTGGTGTGTTAATCTGACAGGGTGTAGTGTTACACGTCCGGTAACGCTTCCTTTCCCCAGTGCAGTACTTTCCCCCGAACTCTGGTCTGTGAACAAACAGAATGAGATCAGTTCAGCTGTAAGATTTAATCCGTTTTCAAAAAGAAGCCCATGTGTTGCAGGAAAGCCTGACAGATAAAATGAGAGATAAGCATGCAAACAGGCTTGATAGTCTTACTTTGGGTTGTTACATTCCCTCTCTGCTGACTGGACTCCAGTCCCGCAGGTCCTGGAGCAGTAAGACCAGGTGCTCCATTGTCCCCAGCCTCCATTAATGGTCTCTGGCAGTTTACCCACAATAACACACTCTCCACTGATGCACCACTGCAAGAGAAAACATGTTGGTGAGATCACTCCAATAGCAAAAGTTATACAACACATTCGCACCCTCTGCAGCCATTGAGCCAACCATCTCCATCCTCAGGCTACTGAAACCCAAACCCTAACAAGACAAAGAAACTAGCACCATCGTGCACCTTCTCTGGTCCGCAGCGAGTGCCGTCTATGGGTGAATCCAGTTTGGAGCGACAGGAGCCGTTAACAGAGCACCACAGAATCTGGCAAACGTTCTGTGAGAGAAGAAGGAATGAACCAAGAACAATAACTATTTTTTTTTAAAACAAATTACTGACTTTTTTCTGCTTTTAGTTTGTGCAAAGGTGCAGAACACTTACATCAACTTCATGGCAGAAAGTTGCATTTGGACCGTACTGGAGCTGGCACTGGTGGTGTGTGGTGTAGCGGACTCCGAGGCGAGCCAGGGGGGTGGTCAGGTCTCTCTTGGAAGGGCGGTCATCGAGGCAGAAACCCCAACCACGGCTGAAACAGGAGAATATATTGAAGGAGAGTTTGAGTGAGAAGTTTGTTTGAATGATGGATACCAGGAAACTTTAAATACCATTTTAAACCCATTAAAACTGCCATCCCTTTTATTGATACATAAGAAATAAGAAAACTGTCTGAGATAATTAAAAGGCAGGATACAATTTCAATATTATAAACATCCATAACAGGAGCTCTGACACAGAATTTAGTCTTTTCACACAGATATTACTTCATACATATATGCTGATGCTTTAAACTTCAAAAAATCAGGATTCAATAACAAGTTTGCAGATATCAGTGCGTTACCCTCTTCTGATGTCTCTCCAGGCTCCTCCTGCTTCTCCATCATTGGCTGTATTTTCTGGCTCCACATGAATTGTTCATTGCTCAGCATTTATGAACTTTTTGTACTCCCTCAGAAACTCAGTTGGTCACGCTTTGCTACCCATCAATGTTTTTGTAACCAAATGCACACCACACCCATTGTGGTTTTTCAGATCATTTTCATCCAAATCTGCACGGGCACATCCTCGAATTACTTTCTAGTTACTCCTTTTTCTTCACGATTTCACAATCCTTCTAATTCAACTGAATTTTCAGAAAACTAAAGTTTGAAAAACAAAAAAATAAAAAGCACGAAGAACTAAATCATGTTTTTACTTTATGACTCATGGCTCAAGAATAAAGTATGCATTCAGTCTTACTCGAGGAAGCGTGTGATGTAGTCTTTGGAGCAGGAAGACCAAGTGAGAGGCGAGCTGTCGTACATCAGCTGTCTGGACATGATGAATGGGTGCTTCCCCTCCAGTTCACAGTCATTTCCCTGACCGTCATGATGAATGCCAAAGCTGGGCACACGAACAAAAAACAGGACCAATGATGAAATTATCCTTCAGGGAATAAATGATTCAGAAAAACAGGCCGCCTTTATGGGGAAGGCTCTCGTGTAATACATACAAGTAACACACCTCAGCTCCTATCATGTTAAACGGAGCATGCCTGTTTTCTGTCCTCTGGCTAAAAGTGTCAGAGAATCATCACAAGTATTTATTCACTGAAAAATGTAATGATGATTTTCCTCTAAAAACAGAACTTTCTATCTGGAAACGGTGTCACCTGGTTGGACCGACCCTGAGGCCACAACTCAACAAGGTGCTGGAGTAGAAAGATACGATTAAAGACAAAAAGGTTTTGTGTGTCACAGTAATCCAGAGCTGAAAACAAATCTGTCACTTTTACTTTCACTGAATGATCTACACCCACACCACATCAGTCTTCTCGGGTGTCAGTCCTCTTTATGTCTTGTTACTAGATACCGGCCATTATTTGCATACAGCCAATTCACTAATGAACCGATGAGCTAATTCAAGAGGATATAATGACACAAGTGGATATTCATCTTTAGCCACTGAGCATGGGAACAGGGAGCTCTTCTGTCACACCATCCGGTGTTATGATGCTCCGTTATAACACACACTCACACACACATGTAAATACAGACCTGTGACCCATTTCATGAGCAACAGTGAAGGCCACAGGTAGACCCGAGTCCTCGTTGATGTTGCAGCTCCGGTGAGGTTGACACATCCCGGACAAATGAGACAGACCCAGCGTCTCACAGGGCTGGTTGCTTCCAGCACAGATGTCCTTCCTGGGAGAAAAATCACGTGTGCAAACATCACATTTGTGTCAACGGTAAAGGGATCCATTGTTTTGCTGATCCACGAATGCCGAATGTGTGTCTCACCTGGTGATCAACACGGCCACATCGTGATGAGCCGGGTGTGTGTCACTCTGGGGGTTTAGGTTTTTCTGCCAGGCACAGAAACTGGACAGAGTGGAGTCTGCATGGTGAACTATCTTTAACCCTTTCTGCAACAAACACCAGAAAGAAAAACACTACTACACAATAGTCGTGACTTCAGTGAATCTGTTTAACCTTTCTTTCCAAACAGGTCATTTTTTTTTACTCAGGTCATTCCAAACAAGTTTTGCCAACTGTAGTCAAAGTTTAGTACAGCAGAGATTTCGATCATTTTCATGATTTGTTCTCTAGGTTCTTGTTGAATATTTCACTCTCATAATCCTGTGAAGGTCTGACATAACACACAGTGAGTACATAATGCTTAATGGGGCTTAAATTTCCAGCTGGATTATCATTGAGGAAAGAGCTTGAACCACAGCCAGAAGGAGGTTTACTCCACCTCCTAACTATCCCAGTGAGGAATGCTTCCTTCTGTATGAGCACCTGGTTGTTAAAAATCAGTAAAAAATCGCACTCATGTTGGTTAAGAAAACTCTTGGACTCAAGCGTTACCTCGTCTCCCTGCAGAAGAATGAGGCGAACTAAGATGACATGGATTGCATTCCCTATACTGGCATCATGGAAGATCCCGGCCACCTGCCGATGCAGAGAAACAGTTTACTCACGAGGTGTACAGACACAAACACGATGAGAGGAAACTCAGAAATTTCAGCTTCTTTACCATATTCATGATGGTAAAGATGTACGACTCCACATTATCAGTGCCGTGATATTCTATCAGTTTGGAGTCAGCTACCACCATCGTCTCCACCCAGCGCTCTCTGCTGACTGAGCGCTGAGAGCGGGACTCCCCCCGCTGCTGCTCCCTCTCCCACTCCTCCCTCTCCCTCTCCACCTGCACAGAGTCACTTGGAGCATCTGCAACATGAATGATAAAAATGCATTTTTTCACAGGGTGCTTCTGGCTTGAAAAATGCTCACTTGTGTAAAATTACACAAACATCTGCAGTATTAAACCAAACTCAGTAAAAAACAAAACTCAGATACAGACCTTGGACTCCGCAGGGGCTTGGTGTCTGCAGACTGCGTTTTTTCCTTTGACTTTCTGTAAATCTTGGATAGATAACATGAGGCTCTGGAGTCTCGGCAGGCTCATTTGCTGATTTTTGGACAGGTTCAATGAAGAAGTGTCCCTCTGGTAGGGAGAAGAAGCCTCTCTGAGGAGAAACAAATGACAAAAATGTACGGGAAGTAAGACAAATAGTGCACATAAACATGTCCAAATCATCTCTGGTGTTAGCATAACCTCGAAACTTCACCTCCTGCAGCTTTTAGCCTGTTTCATAAAGTTAGGACAGAGGGGTGCAACCTACAGTTTGCATGCTTTCTTGTTGGATTGTTTATGAGTGCATGAGCAAATCACCAAAAAGTTATAGTGAGTCAATAATTCCCACACTAAAAAAGGTGAGAGGTTGGACTTTCTCTTGCACAGCCCGCTGGAAAAGCCATCCCTCACTAATTCCATCATTAGTCCGCAGATCTGAATATGAACCTTTCCTCTCCCCTGAGGCACATTCTCTGTCTGCTGCAGCAGCAATAAAGAGACTTTTTCCTAAGTATGCCATGCATGTTCTTACTGGTGCAGACTATTTACCTGCTGATGGCTGAAGTCTGCTGCTGAACACACACAGAGAAACACACCCACACCCACGTCCACAAAAAAAATCACTCTTACATGAGCACATGCATGCATGCAAACGCAACAAAAGAGGCTTCTGTCAAATGTTTGACTTTTCCCTGTAAACACATTATGAGTGTTCAAACTCCAGATCACTGTTTGCAAGGTCTATTCATTGAAGGGATTGTGTGTGTGTGTGTGTGTGTGTGTGTGTGTGTGTGTGTGTGTGTGTGTGTGTGTGTGTGTGTTCATGTGCTTGAGTGTGAGAGTGTGTGTGGGGAAGTTTTGTGTCAAACTGAGTCCAAACAAGCCCAGACTGTTCTGAATGAACTCCTCCCTCGCTGCTTAAAACAACTCGCAAATGATCGGGTGAGAGGAGGAGGGTAGAGATACATGAGTCTTAAAGCAGGAAAACTGATTGAAGAACTAAAACAGAGAAGATGGCTGATGTTTTTTTTTCCTCCTCTATCAAAGGCATGCATATTCAAAATACAAAGATTTCTTGATGTATGAAAGTTGCATCTGATTCTTAGTCCTCTTTTTTAGCCTTAAAGGGGAGCAGCAGATGTAAAAAATTAGGCCATGCAGTTCAGCCTGTTGTGGTTCCAGGGGTCTTTCCCTGCTGTTCACTGTGGTTATTCAATGCTAGGTTTTCTGGGTCATCCTGACACACTTTACATGTGGTCTTTGGGACATGTGTTTCAACTATGTTCATTCAGCAGCATGTAGAGCTTTGATTGGGTGTCTCATTTCTCCATTCAGAGAGTTCAGTCAGTGCAAATCCAGAGGAGGACTCCCTTTTGGGAAGACGGTTTTTACTCCACCTGTTTCACTCAAGCTTGTAAAATCACAAAGAACGTCCACGTAGAAACAAAACCCGTGGAGCATCACAAGTTGCTTTGTTTGCTTTTCCCATGTAAAACCACCAGAACAAAAATAATCCTGCAATTTGTCAACAAAAGTCATGTTTATATGCCTGAAGTTTGTTTTTGTTACCCCACAAACTCAGATTAAATACAGTTTTGAGAAAGTGTTTCCCACTGACTCAGAGTGTGGCCCTCAGCCAGAGGTCCCTGAGCTCTGGGTGGACTCATCCACAAAGCACGCATGCTGATACGTCTGCAGTCAGCTGGGAACACTTCCCAAAGGTTCTGTGCAGAAAACAGCTGATTTTACTGCTGCTCTGAGTCTTGTCTCATTGTACAGTTTCACTACAGCAAGACTTGCATTATGCATCCTTTTACTGCTAGATGAAGCACAGAAAAATGTGCTACTAAACACAAGGGAGAAGTTTTAGGCAAATTCTTTGGCTTTCTCCGTTTTCATCCTTCTGTCTTCTCTTCTGTGTTTACCAGAGTTTATCTTCCAAGTGAGACCCTGCAGAAAAAGCAGGTGGTGGAAATCAACCAGGAAGGAATGCTGCAGTGAGGCCCATCCAAACATTCAGACCATTGCTCTGCAAGAGCTGCATTATCTGCAAACCAAATGCAGTTGTACTGTGCAGCACAGCCTGCAGAGTTAAACTTGTACAGTGTGTGGTAACGATATTGCTTACGTTCCTTACTATGATACTTAATTCTCCACACATGGATCTTGGGTGATGTCTGAGCTCAACAGACAAAGATGACTTAAAAAGGAGCTGAGGTTTTTGTTTTCCATCTGAACAAAAGTGGGGATAATTCTGGAGCAGTTTGTGACCTAAATCCTGAACGCTCTGTCGGCTGAAACAGCCTCGGCCTGGAGTTCACTTTGCACTTTCGCCCCCTCTTCTCCTCCACCACCTCTCCATTAATCCCCCCTCCTCTGACCCAGAGGAAGCGTGTTGGGGTGTGAGGTGCCAGAGCCAGGGGAGGTTACCATAACACAGGTCTGTGTTCTAAATACACCGGCCATGTGGAACTGCTTTACTTCTGTTTCCTGCTTCTGTGGGTTTTGTAGTGCTGTCCAACTGGGTCTGGTATAAAGTGTGCGCTGTTACGCGGCCTGTGGCTTCAATGGTGATTAGTGGGACACAAGGAGAGGTGGAGGCGGATGGTGCTCATTACTGCAATACGATCAACCACAACAATTTCAAACAAAGAAACTTGCATTTGTTCTTCGATGACTGTTTCTCTCTATAATGACTGGTTTTACGGCACTCGCTCGCCTTTATTTTTGTTTTACTTCAAAGGATAATTGTGGCTATGTGAGCTCATTTATTCCACAGAGGTCAAACACATTATCATTTTTCATCTGCATGGCGTGAAGAAACATGCATTGAAGTGAGGATATAATGGGTCTGAACTTGCATATTGTGCCCCAGGGATCACTAAAGACTTGAGTGAGAACTCTTGGGATTATCTTACGTTTGAGGTTTTCTCATAGAGGGACAGTGACAGCAACCTCCACCTGATTACTCTGTACCTCACATGTGCAGCAAACAGAGAAGGTGAAGGGAAACTTGACTCTTTCACCGCCATAATCACGTGTAACCTACATACGACTCAGTGTGGAGAAGCATTGTTTTCTAAACTTGATTTATTAATGGATAAAATAACGGACTAATGTGAGGTGTTAATGGGCGAAGTGGACCAGTTTGTGGTTTCCACAGCTTTTACAGTCCTTCTCTATTCTCTAATTTCTGCCAGGCTTTTTTCTATTGCATAAGAAAGGTTGTAGAAATGATCTGACCTCTATATGTTTGCTGTATGAGAAAACACAACAGATTTCCTCTACATTGTGATAAAATCATAAATAAATTCACTCACTCGCCGTGTTGTTTACCCTGCTATGTCATGTGATAGTTCCACTCTGGTTGCTCTTTTTGTTTTCTCCAAACTTTTGCTGCCTGAGTGATGAGCAGTCCAACAGAAAGCATCATTACATAGATAGTAACTGTTCCATTACTTTCCACTTTACTTACACCGCACTTGTGTTGAATGTAAAAAGGCTCAGTGGATATCACTCACACGGAGAAAGATTGACAGAAATCTGTTGTGTTTTGACATGACGCATGCATAGAAATTACAGCAGTGACAATCAACACGTTCTATATTGCTGGGGTTATCAGTTTGCTATTTTCCTCCCCTTACTGTACATTACAATCCATGATTCCTCTTTTATTATCGTGTCTGAGTTGCTCCGCAATCCCTACTCAAAACATATGATCAAGAACACCTCTTCATACCAACCAGACATAGTCCCTGATTTGCAGTGGCTGATTGAGGCTATCTTTACTCCTGTGAGGAGTTTTCTAATATGTATAAAGTAGACTGGAATTCATCTTTTATGCTATGCGAAGAACAAACAAAGACTGATGGTTTTCTTACTATTCTCTTAAATCCCTGAAGTGGTGCCATGGAGTAGATGTTGGAGGAACCGCTATAGAAACAGCCCTTTGTTTTGCATTTTCCGCATTAAATATTTTTTAAAAATTTGAAATTTGACTGTTAGAAGTAGGATGTTATATTTTTGCCAGAAGGCAATATTTCAGTGTGAGGAGGACTAGATAAGCAAAGGCTGCTTTGTCCACAGGTGGTGCTGAAATGAGCAAAAATGAAAAATTCCTCACAGGAGCTTTATTAACCAACAAGAATCAACTTGATATCTTTACATGACCCACAGAGTGGAATGAGCCAATCAGAAATCTGGTGGGTTACATCTATTTTGAGTCAGCCCTGCAACAGGTAGGTGTCAGGTGAGCTAAGTAACAGCTTGATATTGGAACATCAAAGATGAACGCCACTTTTTTTACTTTATTTAGCAGGTTGAGACCTGCCGAACAAGCGCTTCAAAGATCTCTGTCCTGAAGGAGTTGGCACTTTTTTAGATTTTCCACTCTAAAGATCAATTTCAAATCTTTTGGTAGAGAATTAAAACAAAGAGCGATCAGATTTTTGGTCAGGGAACACAGCACAGCACAAACTAGTGAAATACTCCTTTTCCTGCGTAGTAAGTGGCCACGCAAAATTCACCAGCTGGAAGAGGCAGAAGAAATAAAAGGAGGAAGAAGAAGAAGAAGAAAAAGAAGAAGAAAAGGAAGAAAAATCCAAGTATTGCAGTTATCACACATCATCACATGAGCTTCTTGTCCTTCTTGTTGCTTCACCAACATGAGGTTTGAGCAGGACAGTACATCTATCTAGAATCTTACTGAAGAATATCACAAAGTAGTACTATTCTCCAAACAAAACAAGTAATCCAATGATACCAAATTAGGCTCTGTGATAAGTTTTCTGATACTTTTATACTGAGTCACTAATAATCAGTCATCTTCAGAGCAGGGAGTAATGGGAAAGTGAAGAGATGCAGCCAAAACTTGAGTTCTTTCAAGGTTGAAGTCTGAGCGCTTTATCTTTTAAAAAAAGTTTCCTCCATACCAAGAGAGGTCGGCACTAAACGTTTCATGTCTCTATCACGCTGTCTTTTGTTACAGTTTTTCCTCATGTAGCTTATTTTTCTACAGTCTGCAGTATATCCTGTACTCTTCAACACAAGCCAATCATTTTTATGGCAGTGCATCTCTATCTGCCTCCTGAGATGACTGACCTCCACAGCAGCTGGCAGTGTTTCCCCTCAAACATCTGTCTGCCTAAGTCTCGGTGTTTAGTGGTCTCTCTGCGGCTTTAGCTGCTATAAACCTTCTTCCACACTACAGAAAATCAGGGTAATAGATCACAGTGGTTTTCCCAGTGGGTTGGACTGAGGAGGCAAACCGGAGCACTCAGCGTTCCATGAAAACCCCTCTAACTGTGGTAGGTTGTGGTTAATCGGGAGTATAGTGATGCAACAGTTTTCCATTGGTGTAGCTTTGATTTTAGCCCTGCTGGTCTGACTCAGATGTAACCAAAAAAACATACAAGGTTTAGCAGAAGCCACGCAAACATAACAGAGAGGTGGGAGGCAAGACCCTGCAAGAGAGGCATTCCTGCTGTGACACAATCCCACACTGACAGGGGAGCAGCATTCTTCATGACTAAAACTGACACATCCCATCATTTCAGAGCAGGGATGTCCCTCCCTTTCCATGTCCTTTCCTGTTTGGTCGTTCCAAAATATATATTATATAAGATAAAAACTTATTGGTTATTTGGCAAAAAGAGCTGAAAGTGTTTCAGGGTGAAAATCGATCCAAACTCTTGAATTGGTTGCACCATATCTTTCCCCAGAAATGTCCATATGGTCCAAACTTTCCAAATCACATGCTGGGCTCTTTTGTCTCGCTGCTTTCCAGCTGTTTCCTTTCCTTTGTAGTCGAAGTACTCATTTGATTTAAACATTACTCCTAGAATATGATATAAAGTATACATGGCAGAAAAAGGTGACTTTTTGAACAAAACACATGGTCCTCTTCCCCATCTCTCCATCTGTCAAACCTTGCCGCTCCACTCTATAAAAGTATGCCAAAGTCCATTACTGAAACTCTCCCTCTCATCATACAGCTAAGTAAAGCTGCATGTTTAAGGTCAGGGCTTTGCATGCAAAGAGTTTCTACAGCATCAGACAACAAAGTGAGTGAGTGAATGAATGAATGAATGAAGGTTGAGGGAAAACATCTGAGAGACAAAGAGGACAGAAAGGGTCTCATGGTTGGCTAAGAAGCTGCAGCCGTCAGCGGGTCTGCAGCACACTCGTTCTGCAAATAGTGTCAGGAAGTCTTTGAAGGGCAGACTAACACACAGGGCACTGTCAGATGGAAGGGGTTTGTTTAACAGCCTATGACAGCCTACTCCACATACCAGCTTCCCTAGAGTGATGCCTCCTTTCTCCTGTGTATAAGAAACACCTTTCATGGCGGACAAGATTTGACACTGAGTGCAGATTTAAGAAGGAAAATGCTTCAGAGTGCCACAATAAGGATCAAAAAGATGTGATCTAATGAATGAAGCAGAGGTTTAAATCGAACCCTCCCTCCTGCTATTCATGAGATTCCTTACCAGGCCTTTACATGTGCTGATGGCAGCCGTTCCTCGCGCACCAGACGCCTCCACCGTGCCAAGGAGGTGGCAGGAGTTCCCCTCATCCAGCCGATGCTGCTCAGTCTTGTTGGCACCGCTGCCCCTCCTCTCCAGGATGTAGTCACTCGAAACCAGGTGATCATTTGCAGTCAAATTGAACAGTAAAGCATGACCTCTGTAGTTGACCTTGTAGTAAACCTGTCCCTCGGAAGTGAGAGGTCGTAGGTCACGCCTGACTCGCCCACCGTTAAAGTGGTGGGACAAAGAGTGGGAGACGAAGGCTCCATCAGGGGTGGATTTCACAGGGTGGACGATGGACAGGTCTGACTCTGACAGGGACAACTGACCTGCAAAACAGTCAGGAGATAATTCACCTGTGCACATATGAAAGTTTATGCAACAGGTCTCTTGTTTTACACTCTCAAAAATACATCCATGCACTTTAATTTTGGCAACACCAGTTTTGTGAAATACTGTATATTTAGGGTGTACATTTTCCTGCTAGAGTTGGATAAATTGAAAGCACAGATTTGTAGCTCCAAGGCATGCTTTTAAGGAAATGCACCCAAGCACAGTCGTGCACATAAGGGATCTTCTACTATACCTGCACCACACTGACCTTGCTCTGCGAAACGCGACAGGAGTCTGCTGGAACCGTACAGCTCTTCGTGGCCGGCTGCCAGAGTTAAAACAAAGTGTAGCAGAAAGAAAACCGGGCACTCCTGCGAACATCGCATATTTCATGTAGCCAAACTCAAAGCACTGTGAAAGAGTCCTGGACGGGGGAGTTCCAGTGGCGTTAGGAGCGACCACTTGGATCCTGCGCTGCACTGTGTCATGTCATGAACCAAGCCCTGAAAGCTGCCCTCACGAAGGGAAACATGCACCGAGCAGCACTGGGAGCCAGATCATGGTTTAAAGAGGGGAAGAAAGCTCCGGCTCCGTAGAGGGAAGGGAAGGGGAGGGGAGGAGTGAACTGTGGGGCCAGTGTCTGCTTTCCTCAGCGGGAGCGAGCGAGGGGGAGCGGATCAGGAGAGAGCGGGAGGAGGACGCTTCATTTGAATGAGTTGAATAAACCAGCGCGCCCTGACCTGTGTCGAGACTTGTCATTAAATCCCGCTGCACCGGCGGCGTGACAATTTACTGCCTCTCCCAGAAATACTCATGCGAACTACAAGGGCAAGGAGGATGCAGAAAGAAACTGTTCATGTTGCAGCACTGCCTCGTTTACTACTCCAACAGCGAAATCCATACATTAATGAGTCTTCCAAAAAGCGCCTGAAGATATAAAACTTCCTTACTCCAGACAGCCATGATAAAATTAGATATCTGTCAGTCAAAAATCCACTTAGGAATGTGAGTACTGCTATAGATCATAAATGATTAAATGAATAAGAATGAATCGAACCACAGCTGGCTCAGAATATGCACACTTACGTGATTGTGAAGACCTGTTATGATATCTCATTATCCACAGCCTGAGGTAAGGTGCTTCTTTGGCATATGTACATGCATAAAGTCACGGAAAATGTCTGTTAGGTTTTATCTTCGCAGATTATAAATTATGAGAGTCAAACGACACACACTCTGTGCTAACATGCTTGACTTTTATCGAGACAGAATGACAATTTTTTGACCCTTTCTTTTTGCAGCTGCAGCTTTTGACATTTTCAGCATTAAGACGTTTGTACGGAGGAGGATAAGGGCAACTGGAAAAAAAAAAAAAACAGATTATATATTTTTATTATTATTCTGAGAAAAACATCAGAATTCCCATTTAAATTTAAAAATTCAGACTTTTTACTCAGAATAAGCATAAAAAACTATATAAAATACTTATTTGTTACCATTGGCCCTAATCCTCTTCCATACATTTGAGACAAAAAGATGTCTATGATTGGCCATTTGCCTTAGCAGGGGTGGGACTTGTGTTAAAACCAACTTCTGTCATATTCACATCAAATAAAATTAGCAGCAGTTTTCTCAGGGCACTGACAGCCTGGTGGTTTAAGTACCCCACATATTAAGGCTACAGTCTTCACAGCAACGGTTGCTGGTTTTACTCCTAGCCTTAACACCTGTTTTCTCTTAAAGGTGGGGTAGGCAGGTTTCCGTTAAAGAAGCATCTTTTTTTGTGGTGTATATACAAAAAAGCTTTAATATCAGTCAATAGCTAGGAGTTATTGATGACACTTTGGAATATAACAATATCGCTGTGTTTTGTTATGTTTGTGTAGTCAACATTTTAAATTTATTGAACGGACCGCTCTTTCTGACTGTAAACAAAGCCCTTCTCCACCTCCCCCAACCTGATTGTCAAACGGGACCTGTTGCATGTTGTAGCGCTGCTAAACTGTTGACCTCGGGTCCTGGACTATGTCACTTTATCCTAGTTGTAGAAGTCCTGCAAACATGTGTTTGCTGGTAGTCTGTTGGCATCTACAGTAGCGCCAATGCTTTTTACTTTCACGTTGACTGGGCCTCATTTGTAATCATCTGAAGTATTTATCTGCATTATATCTGAATTTAATTGAAACAATAAGCGAGCAGGAGCGTCTGTTTGTGGGCGGGGCTTGCTGGAGCAGAGAGGGAGGGGAGAGGAGGAGCTGAGGGGAAAACTGGTTGGGAGGGTGAGTGTTTACCTTTAGGTTTTCTCCCAAAAACTGGCACTTCCTCAGATTCTGCCTACCACACCTTTAAGCTGTCCAATAAATACAAGCAAAAATACCCCCCAAAAAATAATAATACCCAATAATCTGCCCCCCTCCCTCACTTTCCTCCAGGTAAACCTTCTTTTATTCTGGTCTCAATATCAAAAATTTAACACAGGGAAAAAAATTATACAAAAAGATGAGACACCTGCATGATACTTATGTGATAGTTTAGAAAGCGGCTTCAATAGATAATGTACCATAGAAAGACAGGGTAAACACTACTAATTTGTGTGTGCAGGGCATGCTGGTCTGGTCTTGTGCTTAAGTTATGTGCCCCATGCAAAGAGGTTATAGTCCTCAAATATGCTGCCTGGGTTTGATGTGAACCTGCAGCCTCTTTAGTATCTCTGTCCCCTGATTGTCTTGTCTTTTTTAACTGTCTTACCCTTTCTAAATTCAGGTGTGAAAAGCCAGAATAATGTAACTTCAAATTTAGAGTGAGTGCACTAACACCCTAGTATAGCCTATTTTAGTGTCTCAGCTAGGCCACCCCAGTCAGAAATCTTGTCACACCCCTGCTAAGAAAACAGAAAATCGATTTCACTGCACATTTTTTTTTGTAGATTTAAGCAGCCAAAGGCAAAAACTTCTTCACACATGTCCAAAGTATATTGGCTCCATACAGCTTCCTTTGTGGTGCACTGTAAAAGTAAATAAAGTGTAAATTCCCATGAGATCTGTTCTGATGTTTATGGTGCACCGGGGGGGAAAGCCCACAGCAGGCAGTTCTGTTTCTTGGAAAAATGGTCGTAAACAATTGATTGCAAAAGAAGACAGGTTTGCAGCAGGACATAATTTATAGTCTCCAGATTAAATTCTGAGTCCCTGAACAATATCAGACTGCTCAAGAAAAAGACTTTTCTGAGGAGTAACCTCACAAACCTGCTGCTCTGTGTTGTTCATCTGTCTAATAGTTAACCCTAAAGCAGATTTATGTGTGACTAAAAGGTTGCTGAGACATGACACATCCCCCCCCTGCATTGTCTCTGTCTGTTGCTAGGAATGTAGAACTCCTCTGTGCAAGGCTGCAAAAGAAGTTTGTAGACAGACATATCATATGTGTCATTGACCCAGATTTATCTCCCCCAGTGTTTTCATGGTTTGGCAAAAGCCCAAATGTAAAACAGGGGGGGTTTGAGTAAGTTACTCTGAAAAATAAAAAATAAAAAAAGATTTTGAGATCCTGCAGCCTTGACCTCATATGACATTGAACTGCTGGGTATTTCCTTCCCTGAGGCAAACAGGGAAGCGTTACTAAAAAATTGTCTTAATCTCACATGAAATGACCCAGAAAAGGTAATTTCTGTGAGATTAAGGCCCTGCTAAAAATAAATTGTTAACACTCAGTTTTATGTATTATTGAGTAATGGGCCATGCAAGAGTGTTACCCAAACTAGACCAGTGTGCGCAATGAGCTCTTTGTGTTGAGGTTTTAAGATAAAAAAAATAACAGTTTTAAACCAAGCAGGCATTTCCCGACTGGAGTTCACACCCAGACATTAGTGGAGAAACAGTGTGTTGTTGACTGGTGTTTTTTTCACGTGAAATATCCACCTGAAGTTCCCGGACTGAGCAATTAACCTTATTTTAGAACAACTCAATACTTAGAGTAGTCTCTGTAAACCAAACCGATAATACAGATCTTAGACATATGGCATATGTATCTGTTTTTAATTGTCGACAGACAGCCTGTGAATATGTATCATTGCCAAGAATGCATACAGAGAGCTCTTTGGAAAAAGTTCAAACATGATATAAATTTCCCTCTTATCTCTCTCGGAGATATTACCCAAACTGACCCCCCTGATGTCCCCACTCACAGTAATGTGCAACAGACTGTGAAACCCGGGAAATAATCAGGACCTTTTGTGATTCATATGGAGAAAGAAAAAAGCCTTTAAACTGGTGAACTCCACAGAGAGTGTCTGCTCGCTGTGGTTGGGAACATGTCTGATTGGATTGGGGAATTTAATGACATAAGCATCAGTGTTTCCCAAAATGCACCAGTGTTAATTTGGTGTTTTATCAGGTGGTGATTCATGCTGTGTTCTGAAAAATTGTGTCATGGCCCTTTAAGAAAACTAAATGTATGTAAGTATGTATCTTAATGCATATTTCCTCTTCATTTAAAGTTGTTTGGTTTTCATGTGAGCAAGGAAGACATGCTGCCTTCACCGATAGTTAAAAGCTTGTTTTTAAATGTGCACCATAAAAAGATAAAAAGTATCAGGACTTACAAAAAGCAAACTCTGACAGGTTAACCTGTACCAAAGAGGTGAAGGCTGCTGCCTCTCAGTGAATGGATCCTGGGTTCAAGACAAGGACAGGGAACACCTTGTGAGTATAGAAAGGAATCTTAAGCTTATATCTATGTTAACCTGTAATTTTTATTTGATCAATCACGAACTTAATTAAAAAGCACCTTCAAATCAAGAATTGTCAGGCTAACCTGTCATGCGATGAACACTGCTGCCTCTTAATGAAAGGGTCCTGGGTTCAAAACCCAAGGAAGGAGGCACTTCGTGTCAGCCTGTACAACTACTCTCCTAACATAAGGTGGTTTGACTTACTTGTAGTAGCCCCTGGCCAATCAGAAAGCTACTTTAGCTCCGGCCAATCAGATGCTGGCTTCCAATTGGCCAATCAGCTGCTGACCCTAACTACAACCAGGCCAGTCATCAGGAAGAGCTTCAATTGTATTTAGCTTCACTTTTTGGGAGCAAGCACATGGTTAAACATTTAATACTGTGTCACAGACAAGACTAAGGGGAAAATAGCCCGCCTTTCTGTCCAATGACAAGAAAACCTGGCCCGCTCAAAAAAATTTAAAAAGATATAAAAAGATCTTTAACAAAGATTGTCGCTCATTATTATTCGAGTTATTAATGATATTGATGCATTTTACTAGGGTCAGTGGCAAACTTTAGATGACAAGGGGAGAGCATCTGTTTGAAAAATTATCCACTGCATTTGAAAGACTCCTTCATGCAGGTGCACTGAACTGTTTTTACCAGGGGGAGGTGCTACTGACCACACTTTCAAAATGCATTGTAGGACTGATTCAGAGGAATCAGTGATGGAAGAACTTAGAAATTTACCATAAACTACAAATATAGCCAAATCATAGGGTGCCACTTTGGTACAGGAACGAAAATAAATTACAGCTATATATCTGCAGCATGTGACTCTATCACTAGGACCAAATGTGGTAATAGTAATGTAATTTAGGTGAAAGATTGTTTTTTGGCTGATGTATGGACTCCTACAATGAAACACATGCACACCCATACACACAAACATGCAAACAAATGAATGCAACAAGTTTTACTGACACATTTGTATTTACGGTGTATGTTTTACATTTTCACCATGCTAAAAAAAAAAAAAAACATACAGTATTTACATTAAGAATCCAATAAGAACATGTCATGTATCTGCAAGTGATTTCTTCATGTGTCTTATGGTTTAAATAAAGGATAACTAACAATGTGGGGTTTTTATCCAGCCTCAGAAACTCAGACGATTTAACACATACACATTTTTTTAAAAGTCCGCCAAGATGCCTCCATGTCTTCAATGAACAAGTGTAATATGTTAGTGATGATTCCTGTCTTCAGTGCAACAGTCTGGAGGTAGACATGCATCCTGAAATTCAAATGAATATGAGCATGAGTTCCCCGTTCTGGACGAGGTGAGAGTCCCACCTGAGACGAGGAGGGACCACAGCACATGGTAGGCAGTTGATACAAAACATTATCAGTGCATGTACTCCACTTCATCTCTAGAAGTTAAAACACTTCTAATGCTAAGGCACCAGCAACATTAAGTTGCAAATACTTTGTGCAACTGCTGCAGAGCTGCATGTTTATTTACTCCTATAGTATCACATTTTAGGTTCATTTTTGTTTACTGGTTTCTATGAAGTCTTCAGGTGGAGTTTGTTCTTCTCACATAATCACATGTGGATACAGGGCTAGTTTGAATAAACACTGAAGAACGGAGGAGCCCCTGCACACTAAATGACAAAAACCTTTGAGTACACTGGTGCTATGTAGTTATAATCTTTTAATAACATCAGTAAGAGAATCAGCACTGAAGCACGCAATCATTACTTCAACTGGTCCAAAAGGGTTTTTAGTGCCCCCTGCTGGTGTCTCTGAAACAGATTTGACCATGTAGGCAGGTTCAATAGTCACAGGATTTGATGAGAAACGTTAAAAAAAAAACAAAAAAACTCAGATACATTCGTTTACACATATTGTGCATATTTGGTTTTCAAGAAGATGCAGCTTTAACTATTTCCCTGTTATTGAACCATTAGTTATGAACTACACCATGGGTTTTCTGATATTTAGAGCGCCCTTTTTCAGATTCGATAGTTGGTTGAAGTACACAAATTATTCAAAGAAGCATCTGTAAAATTTTTAAAGCCAGTTCATAGCTTGACAGAAAATTTAAACGTGTTTTGATTACAAATTTGTCTTTTAAGTTTATCTAAATTAAAACATGATGTGTTTTACTCTGAAGTGTGATTTTTTTCTTTTTTCTTTAAGTATATATTACAATGTCAAAATTGAGGTTATTGAAAACTCTATGTCTTGAGAGATTTTTACCCTTTTATTATGTTTTTTGAACTTATAAATTTGATATATTGGTATATAAAATATTTGAATTGTAGGCTGTTTTTTCTGCAGCATGGATGGATAACAACACACATCACCATGCACTGTATTTGTTATATCTTGGTTTGGTCATGTTATTGTGACCTTATGAAGACCCACAGATGGAAAATTTGTTGTTATTATACTTTCTGTGGCATTATATGTGTGCCAGCTTTTCTCCTTTTTCATTTTTCAAATTGTCACTGGCTTCATTTAAGCAGTCTTTTAAACAGACTTCAGTATTTTCTCTGTTTAAAATTATAGTTTGTATAATATGCTGAATTGTCCACAGTAAATGTGACAACAGCAGCTTAAGATGTGGTGCTAACATGAAGCAGCCTAAACGAACATGATGCTTTCTTCTATATTAATGGAATTTAAACAATTTCACAGAATATAAGAGAAAATTCTTGGTAAAGCAAACTCAACTAATTGTGAGGAATCAGTATTAACGTTTGCTGTCAAACTCCTCGGTATTTAACCTCTCTCTAATTCCCTGTGATCCACGTAGCTCAGCAGTATCCTACGTCTTCATGTGCGTCATTAGAGCAGCCTGTGTTGGCTGCAGCTTCTAGTCCTCTTCTGCGTTGAGTCTAAGACAAGGTCACGTTCTTCCTTTAAGTCTTTGCGCACTCAGTCCCGAGTTCAGATGTTGGGGTCTCCCTCCAGCTTAGTGAGGTCAGTGGCCGTGCCCATGAACATGCTGCGCCCTCGTTCCAGCCGGCTCTTCTTATCAGTGAGGCGGAAGGCCTCCATGAACTCATCGATGTCTATGCTTCCATCATGGTTGCTATCGATAGTGACGGCGAGGTCTGAGATGGCCTCATCTGTGATCTCCATTTTCAGGTAGACGCTGAGAAGCTTCCAGGTCTGCCTGAAGTCCTCGATGGTGATGAAGCCTGAGTGGGTTGAGGGTGAAGGAGTGAAGAAAGTGACACCAAAGATAAAGTGATTTCATGTCATGAAAAAATTATTTTAAAAAAATATGAATGGACCAGCACATGTTGAAGGAACGAGTGTGTGGGTGTAAACAAGGGTGGGGGGGTGGAGGGACCAGTAGATCAGTGGGTTAATCCTGGTCTTAACTGAGCGGATTCAGGAGCCAGTGACATGTTGTGGTCTTTTTGCATGCTACAGGTGGATTAACTGAGTGGATGGACGCCCACACACACCGTACAGATCTCTGACACACTTTACACCTCTGCTGCACCAGACTGTTCGTCACTGGATTTGCTCTCTGAGTCACTAACTTCATCAGGTTGTTGAACAAAAGCCAATTTGTCTCTTAGTGTACTTTAAACGCATGCTGGTACAGGCTACTTCCATTTCCTTTGGAGTACAGATAAGCAATAAAGATCGATCAAGTATTTTACATCATCTGTAAGGTTATGGAAGAAGTTAAGGATATTAAACTGTAAAAAAGTTTGGCACATATTGTAAAAGACACATAAAATGAAGGAGTTAAGGTTGAAAATGATCACCTTTGATATTAGGCAAGAGAAGATGATCACTTGCTGTTTACTCAAAGTATCAGTACTAAATTTTAAAGACATTTACATTGTTATGTGTGTCCTGATTTACCTGAGTTATCTGTGTCCACGATTCTGAAGATTGTCTCCAAGGTAGCTCGGTGGCGGTACAAAGTCTCAAGTAGACTCTGGTCAATGTGCTGCAAGAGGAGAAACAATAACTCAGTGAAAAAAAACAATCCAGGAGGAGAGTTTTGTTGTCAGTGTGGATCAGAAAAACTGTGTCCTCACATCTGTGTTGGGTCCTTTGATTGCGAGCTCGTTGAACCATTCGTTGTAGTCGATCATGCCGTCGTTCAACTTACAGGTGACAAGCTGACTGCGCAGCATCCTCCAGGGCAGACCGAGGAACATCACACTCTCCACCGCAGAGGCCCAATCATTCACAGACACAAGACCTGAAGGATGCAAAATATTGACTCGTTTTCTTATTTATAATGAAACTTGGATATATGCAAAACATCATCTAAACCTTTGCTGCTTTGTCTCCTTTTCCTTCTTACTCTCTCCCTAAACTCAGACAAGATGACCGATTCAAAAAATGTACTCCAGAGAAATCCACAGCACACTGTACTGTATACTCGTACGTAAAAGGACACCCAGAATGTAGAATTCTTTAACCTTTCCCAAATAAACTAGTTTCGCTTGTATGAACTTATTGATCGGTGATTAAGGGCCTGTGTCCACTAACAGCTTTTTCTACGTTAACAGCTCTTCAATACAGAACTAATGTATTTCAGCTCTCTCAGGTGTAAAGACACCCTCAGTTTCAGCTGAATTTTATCATTACACTCTCAGTTATAAACAGCTTCATTTTGCAACACTACCTAACTTACTAATGTCATTTTTCCATCATTGATCTAATTTGTCGCTGAGGTCTATACAGAAGAGTAACTAACTGCACATGTTTTATTGAGGTCAAAGGGCTGGAGCTGCTGCTGCTATGACACTAATTCTATTAGTTTGAAAGACAATTGAATAAAACGAAAGATACAAATTTAAAGCATTCAGAGCAATTTGAAACAGACTAAATGGTCAATACTTAGGGATTTAAAGTGCTGTTGGACAACCTTTGCAACCTAGCACAACAGTAAGCACCAAGTAGTAAGAGAATAGAGAAGTTTATGGTGCAAAAGCAGTGGCAGAGAAAACTCTGCACTTGTCTTTGGAGATTTGATTTGCCGCTCTGACTCGCTCCATAAAACTTTTGAATCATGAGAAATTTGTACGAGTTTTGGAATTCATTCAGTTTTATTTCAGGATTCTTTGGGAGGATTTCTGTCTTGGTATTTCTGTAATGAAAAATAACATGAGACAGTGAGCGATAACTTTGGAAACCAACAGCTTTAACTGTTAAAGGCTCTGAACAACAGTTTCAGCTTAAGTTTCTGTGAAACTATTCAGTCTCCTGTGCTGAACTTTTGGTCAGCTCATGTGTTTGTTTTGCCAAATGGGGATTAAGTTACAAAACTAAGGGCTAGTGTTTCTCACCGGCCTTACATAATCCCCTCTGAACTTCAAGGTGATTACCAGATCAGTAATCACCCAAAGTGACACCCAATCTCTTGGGGACTGCGAAAATACAGCCGGTGAATTACTCCATGAAAGTCACAGCACGTACCTGTGTTCTCGGTGTCGTACTGCTTGAAGGCACAGACGAGGTCAGATTTGTGTGAAAACAGCTGCTCCCGGAGGACTTTGAGTGCAGAGCGCTCAGTCCGGCCAACACTGCAAACAAGATGTTAACAGATTAAATCACACACCTCAAGTGGATTGGTGGCTCGGGCTCAAGTCTTACTGTTCTCCTTCCCAGTTTCAGACTCCATTCGCTGCCCTATTCTCTGAATAAAGTAACGAAGGCCCAAAAACTTATCTTAAAAATGGTCTTCATTAGTTAAGAAACTGGAGGGGGAAGCAGTGCTGTAACCCTAGGGAACAGTAGGTTCAGTAGGTTATTGTCTATTATATGAAGCTCATTATGAACCTACAGCTGGCAGACTAGTAGCTCAGTTTTGCTCAGGACTGGCTCAAAGGTAGAGAAACAAGATACAGCTCTGATCAGTGAGATTTAATGTAGCCTACTGCTATAAAGATATAGTCCCCTGTCTCCTGTTTTTCCGGTATCTATGAAACACAAAGCCCAAACAATAGCTATGAGAGAAAATATGGCAAAGATGTATACCTTCATTTTCAGGAAATTTACCCAAGAAATCAACATTTGCTTTAAATTGTTTAAAGAGCTTGGATTTGAATCATACTTTAATTAGAAAACTTCATTATTTACCACAGAGTCAACTCATTGCCACTAAATTTGCTGATTTCTCTGTTTTGTTTGTTTTAAAAATGCACATTTGGGGCTTATGATGCAGGTGCATGACTAAAAGAGCAAAATAAAAAGTTACCTTCAGCTCTGGAAAAGTGTATTAGAAATATTAAACATGTTTGAAATATGAATAGTTAGGAGTGTCACTATCTTTGGGGGGTTTTATGCCAATAATGTTCACGTTTTTAAGTGCTAGTTGTATATATCCCTTCATCCATATGTTGAAATTACACACTGGAGGTAACACTGCTATACTCCATAAAAGCTTTGACCTGAGAATTTTCTTGACATTAAAGTTTAAGCGTATGAAGAGATTTTATATCATTTAAATCGTGTCTAATTTGAAAAAAAAAATTGCAGCTTAAGAACAAAGTGAGTCCTCAGCATTTCCATAAAGGGCTTTAGGACACAGGGATGACACCTGTAGCTCTGTTGTGATGACACATATTCTCAATAATTCGTCGTACCTCTGTCTCACAGTGAGCTCTCTGGTCATGCTGCTCGCCTGGTACTGAACCACGTAAGGCACAAGGTCTGGACCCAGCTTCACATAGGCCCCCCTGTTGCTCCCAACATCATAGTAATTGGAGGCAGAGAACAGAGTGAGGACCTGAGAGGGTTGAAATAAATAGTTGACTTTTAGAGCATTTTTTTACAGCCTTTAGAAACAAGCATGCTCCTGTCAGTCTTTAGTCTTACCTTACGGTTGTGACAGAACTCATAACCCTCCTGTTTGCACTCGTGAGAGCGGATGAGGAGCTGCAGGTTGTGTCTGTTCAGAAACTCTTCAGTGACGTCAGGGCCCCAGTAGCAGCCTCCACCCCGCACCTCGTTGGGTACACAGCCGTCTGTGGTCATCGGGTCACTCCACAGAAGATCAAGGATCTGCAGGAACACAAGCGAGAAAAGAAACGATTTCACTTCATGGAGCTGAACTTAAACACCTTAAAAAGATGTGACAAAGGACAAAGGAAATTTTAAGAAAAACTGGAGAGAGCACTGGCAAATCTTCTCCAGTGTCTGCTCTAAGGAATAAAAAAAAAAAAAAATCAAACTTATAACACACAAAGATAAGACAAGAAGAGTACAAAGTGCTCAGAAAACATCAGATTCAAATGTTGATGATCTGTAATCTACAACTTGGACTTGAACAATATTTACTGCTTCAGTTAGTTGGTCTGTTTACATATCCTCAAGGCTGTTTGAATGATTTTCATTAAAATTGAGACCAAGGCTCTGGGTGTCGAGACAAACCCCCAGACTGTAGTGATCCCTGCTTCTCTTCTATTCATTCATACTTGTTTGCTCAGACATCTTGGTTATGTTTTGTTTGCAAGTAAATTTACTTCCTTCATAGATTGATCCTCTTAAAGCCTCTTCAATAACCTCTGTCTAGACAAATTAACTCAGGTCAGAGTACTTTAATGCAACGTAATGTACTAGACATGGCTGTCTGCTATGTCCTCTGCTTATTGCATTAGCAATCAAACCTCTTGCAATCTCTTTAGGCCTCACTAGACAACAGAGGTGTGGAGTGTAAAGTCTGGTTATATTCGGATGGCTTATCGTAACAAATTTCCAACCTTTAGAACTCAGGCCGAGTTGTTATTATTTTTCAGCATATTAACTCATTCAATTTATCTCTTGAATAAATTCTCTTGCCTATTTATTATGACAGCTTTTTAAATCTACAAAGCGGTGTCTTCTTTTAATGTTCTGTTGGTTATTTTAAAGTTTCTCCTGTTTTTAGTCATTTAAAACACCTGAAAGCATCTCTGGATAACTTTTCTAGATGGTCCAATGACTGAGTTACACCCACTTATTTTCTATCCCTGAACTTATTTCTACATGAACACCAACAAATACAGGACCTGACTGGGACCACAGAGTTCAACAGCCAGTGTTTACGGTGGTGAGGGCATGTTTGAAAAGCAGATTGAACTCACGGTAGGGGGATTAATGACACAGTGGATTACCGCAGCTCCTCTGCAGTGAGTGTTGATCACTGATGGCTCGTCCATCTGGACTGATATAGTCCATGGACACAGAGCCAAGCACAAAGGTCATGAACTCTGACCAAAATAACCCACCTTTTTTCCACAGGCTATGGTCACCAAGGAAGTATTCAGGGCAATTTAAAGCCTGGAAAAACTCACAGTAAGATCTGAATACGCAGCTCTATAGTATCAATAATGTTTAACTGGGATAAGTGGCATAAATAAGATTGTTAGAGCTGAAGGTGAAGCATAAGTTGTGGTGATAAGTATGTGAGTTGATATTATCATGTCTTTCCAAGAAAACTCAACAAGCTATCCATATGACAGTGTAATACTAAGAGCTTGGAGTTTGTGATGTAAGCCCTTGAATGAACAATACAGAAATGTTTGTTGTTTATCATTTCTTAGTATTATTAAATTGTTGTAATTATTCAAATGCAAGAAAAGAACACAACACGATATTACAAGATTATCTATCAGCCATTGGCCAACCTGCTCTCTCTCATTATCCATTTTGTAAATATTCTTTATGTTGCACTATGTTAGTTTTGAAAGAATATCGAACATGTGGGCAAATGTTTGGATATGTTCAAAGTACTTTCAAACCGCACTTCTCAGATGTTTTAGTGTCATGACTGTCGCTCACTGCAGCTTTGTTTGACCATGTCCTCCACTTTCGTAGAATAGCAGTACTGTATGAGTGCACGGATTGGCCAGGTTTAAATGGGAGCGTCCTCCGCTTGATCATATGATAAGCCGCACTTCAGATGGCCTAAACATCAGGTATACTGTATAGTTTGAGCATTCATTAGGCTACACATTGAATATAAACTTTCCCCCTGAGTGCAAATTAGTGTCCAAATATCTGCTAAAAAGCCACATTGCCAGGTTGCACCATTGACTTTTTAAAAAGTTCACATTACAACAGCTCCCCCAAAGTGAATCCATAACTTTCAAAAATAGAAAGAACACCAACCAAAGACCACAAGAACCTGTTCTGCTGTGGACTGTGCCAGACTCAGGGATCGTTTTGGGTGTAGCTTGGCTCCACCATTATGATATGTCAGCACACATCTCTGGTGTCTCTGTGCTTAACCGAGGGGAAAAAGGACCACTGTCCATAATAATGTACAGTGAATATTGGCACAGTTCTGGACTCATGTCCTAGTGTTGCTCCAGTACATGCATTACAGCAGAGGACATATTTGAAACCCATCGAGTCCCACAGGGAAGTTGTTTTCAATAGGTTGTCATTCCACTCGTGTTATTTCCTCGCCCTCTCTCTGTCCCCACTTCTTTCTTCCTGTTCAGCTGATCAATCAATTATGGGCATTAACTCTTTAAGTGCTGAACCAAACATATTTAACCTCAACCACTACTTACCGATCACCCAGCTGATGCCAGAAATCTGTTCCCCTTTCAGATGTCACTTCAACTTGACCATTTCAACCTTCTTCTACGTCTGTCACCTCCAGCTCATCTCATAAGAGACCAGATTCAGGTTTCTCATCTAATCTTCCATCCTGCCTTCCTTTATCACCACCAATACATACACTCCTGGGTCATCCTAGCCTGGTCTTGGCCTCAACAACCCCTTGAATAAATAAAAACAAGATGGAATCTAATCGCCAAAGACTTTGTACATTTCTCATATTTTCTAAACTTGTCACATGGATAACTAAGTCTCCCATGATTGTTGTTTTATAACACTTAATAACACACAATATCACTTTAATTAGCATGAAAAGAACTAACTATAACTTACTTTACTTGCCAGAGGACAGCCACTTAATTCTTACAATCTGTCCCTATTTTTGGCCATTTTGATTAACTATAATCAAGAAAACAAGCTGTAGAATCACTATTAAATTAAGAGCGACCATAACTTAAAAAGGACTGTTTGGTATAAGTTGTTTTTTTTTACCAAATCAGATTTGTCAATCACTGACCTGTCTCCACTCATCCTTGGTGGGGTCGCTGCTAACTGAGTCCGTGGATCCAGGCGGAGTCGACTCTTTCTTTGATCTGTTCACCCCCGGGCTAAAAGGCGTAGTTTTTCTGCGGCACATCTCCAGCTCGTCCGCTGGGTCCACTTTGATCCGATCTGAGAAGTCCTGCAGAGAGCGGTTGTGAAAGCTGTCCCGGGATCCAAAGGTTTTAGGGTACGTGAGGGAACTTCGGCGCTGGATGAGCCTGTTTGAAGCCCAGAAGTCCTCCTCTAAGTCTGAGTCGACAGACCTGATAGAGTTGCTGGTGGTTTTCCTCTTTGGAGGCCTCAGCGCTGAAACATACTGGAGGGAAACAGAGAGAGGGCATATATTAGGCACTTTTACAATGATTAGTTAAAACTGAAATTGATTGATATTAAAGACATAAACATAATTTTCTTACATTGTGTCGGTCCACTCTGGCAAGCAAGTTGAGGTCTGTGCTGTCAGAGATCCCACCATGGAGCACCACCACCTTCTGGTCTATCACAGTTGCTAAAGGCAGCCAGCTGAAAATCTTCTGCAGCAGCTTCAGGATGCGTTTGCCGTACATCTAAGGAGGAGGATCACAAACAGAAAACAACCTGAAAGCTCCTGTGAGGACTTTTCTAACATTAATGAAATGGACTGAAAATCATATGGATGTCTTCTTATAATATCCCAAACCAAACAAGACCATCTTGACATAATTGGTGATTTTTTTTATACTAATTGTATATGCCTGGAAATCAGTGTCAGTGTCAGCCAAGCAGCTGAAGAAAAAGAGCTGTTTCTCTTAAGTACATATAAAATATGCACGATAAATGATACTTTTCATGATCAAATGTCAGCAGGATCAGACATTTGCTCAAATGTCACACTTAAACACGTAGAGGACAAGACAAGCAAAGACTGTCTTGTCCACAGGGGGCGCCAAACTTGACACAGGAGCTTTAATTTACATCCACTTCTTTCACTTTAAAATATAGTTTTTAGTAGTTTTTAGTCACAGCTCATTGAATGTGAGACATTTTTCCTCTCTTTTTTTCAAAGCGATGTATTTTTTGGTATCTTGGCCACTGCCAAGTTCAGGGTGATCTGAGTAATGTTTGACACAAACATTAGCGCAGATAATTTCTTACTCTGACAAAAGTCCAAGGCCTTTAAAAAACTCCCTGAAATTTTGTCTGACTGACTAAACCTATTTGATTTTTCATTCTGATTACTTCATTCGTATTTATATTAACCATGTTTAATAAATGACTTTAGTTACTTTTTGTCCGTAGTTTTTAAATGAACTTTTCATCTGTTCCCATTGTCTGCCTCTACGTAACTTTAAGTTAAAGTCTCAATCTCTCGCTTGAAATGTTGAAGAGGATGATAAAGGGATTTCTGTTGTAGGCTGTCTAAATTTAAACAGAGTATTAGGGTGTGTTGAGCCTTGCTGGAGGTGTTTATCTCCAATCAAAGAAATGTTGAAATATACATATATTATAGATGTAGCACTCCTGGGCCAACAGTCTTGCTGCTGTAATAACCTTGAATCCTCTTAGCCATAAAGAGTCATCAGTTTCATTGCTAAGAAAGCTGGCCTATACCAAGCTTTACAGTGAGTGTAGATGACTGTAACTATTTTTATGTGCTGCTTTCAAGATAGTCTGATGAGCAGGTAGAGAAGAGACTGGTAGGTTAACATGATATGAACTCACCTTGTATTTAGTCAACACCTCCTTTGTGAATCCGTACCTTCAACGGCAAAGAAACACAACACAACAATCAAAAATGAAGGTTTGTGATTTCATTGGATGGATTGGGATCAAGAGCAGTGAAAGGAAAGGATCTGTTATGTGTCATTTTACCTCAGGTTGACAATATGATCCTCATGGTTTCCTCTATTGAGGAAGACATCGCCCGGGTAGACGAGCAGGAACGCAAACAGGATGATAAGGATCTCAATGGAGTCTTTGCCTCGGTCCACAAAGTCTCCATTGAACAGATATGGATTCTCTGAAGATGGCATACCATTCTGTAGAATAAGAAATAGATGAATAAAGTTGGGTCAAAGGTATTTTTATTACATTGAAATTCACAGTTTATATGAATAACATCAAAATAAAACTAGATTAAAGGTTATTCTGTAATCTGAGTGTAAAAAAATTCTCAGTCACAGCATGAAGCATTCAAACATCACCTATTTCACAAACTTATGATTTGCAGAGCACTTAAAAAAATGCAGCTGAATAATATTATCTATTTGATTTTATTTAAGAAGAGGTTCAGACCTTGTAGAAAATCAGCAGCAGGTCCTCCAGTTGTCCGTGTAGATCCCCTTTACAGAAAGAAATAAAGCTTAAATTAATCACTGTGGATCAATAAAAATGACAGACTGAAATAAAAGATTCAAATTTAAATGACAAGCCTTATATCTTAAAACAGAGATTTGAAACAGCAGGTGTTTGGTTCAGGGTAGTCTAAAATACTTTCCGGATTGGCTGATTTTCAAGGGTTAAAAATCAGGGCTACAACAAGAAACATCTCATTTGGTCTTGTTTTTACATCCCCATCCATATCTGAATCTAAGAAACTGATCATTTCTTTCAACTCACCACAAATACAGACTTCTTTGCTTTGGCAGGTAGCAATGCGATTGATGTTCGGCAACAACCGGAACCGTTTCCACGTCTCAAGTAAGAGTTGGAGGACGTAACGGGAGTGCAACTGCTGCTGGGAAAGAGACGTGTTAAGAAGAGGTACTACAAAGACACAGACAGGTGTAGCCTAGTGCGTTTTATGTTACGATCCCTCTCTGTCATATCCAATAACACTTTTAGCAAGTAACATATAGTATCAAGAGTTACATTTCTATGCAGTTAATGCAGTAACCGCATTAACTCAAACCACTGATTCAAACATCTGTGATTGTTTCCAAAAAACAGCTTGATGCACCTACTTTTTTGTTTCTGAAGGCCTCCACCAGCCCCACTGCCTGGTCCACCGTCAGGGGAAAGGTGAGGTGAGGTCCAGAGTAAATCTCAGGCACCTCAATGTTCTTGTAGCAGAAGTACCTCTCCCACTCGGCATCCAGGCAAACCTCGTTCTCTCTGAAGATGTGTGAGATCAGATTTCCTAGATGGACAAATTCAGGATGTTAAGTCATACCTCAGTGGGATTTCACAGAATAAAGTGAAAAGTTTCTAATGGAAGTCTTACGCTCAGTGCTCGCTGGTGTGAAATTATCCATGAGGTAGCCAAGGAAATTGTAAAGCTGCACAAGAAGGAGATGTGACAGTTCATATGTTGGTGAAAACTAAAAACACACATTTACTTGGTCTTCTCTTTTTGATATTTTCACCTTTATCTGAGCTTGCTCTCCAGAGTATTCGATGGACTGGAAGATGTGCCAGGTATACCTCCGTCTCATTTCTGTGCGGGCCACATATTGACGGTACCATCGCTGGATCAGTACGGCAGCTCGAATAGCTGAAACACAACACAGTTTGTGGAATAAAAGAATGTCTTCCCTGATGGTTTACTATGCTTTTATAGGTAGACATAACAGCAACAGTATCAATTCTAGTTACTTTTTACAAGTTATAAAATCCCTAAAGGAGCTTTAAGTAAGTCAAAAGAAATTTTCAGAAATTTTCACTGTAAGCAACTTCAGTACACCTGTGCTTAACTGTATTTGACTGAAAGCACATATTGTCTCTTTAAAGATATTTTGCAAATTCAAACAAATATAAAAAGAACTTAATTGACAGAAATATAAATAAATATTAAAGCTCCTGTGTAACAAGCTCCCAAAGTAGTATTAGCTTATCATGTTCTTTACATGTTTGAGTAAAGCCTCCTGGAAAAAAAAACACATCCTGATCACTTTTTTATGGTTGGATGCATGATTTGTTGTGCAATCTTAACATACAAACTGTAAAATCAGGGCTGTTTCTTCAGCTGCTCAACCGACACCTACACCCTCAAACTATTCAGACGTTCAAAACTGCAAAATTAAAAAAAAGGTCTGTCTTGTCCCTGGTGGTCTATTCTGCTTTTTACATCATAAAAAGAATCAATATGAGTTTTAGTTTATTTTAAAAACATTTAAAAAAAACTCCTCACAGGAGCTTTAAGATAGGGTTTGTGAACTAGCATGGGAAGGCATTTTTTCCATGGCAATAAAAAAAAAATTAATAATTCACAAAATCCCACTATGAAAGATACACGAGGCAAACAATTTAAAGAAACAAAGGGTCTGTGAAAAAAAACAGAGATAAAAATAAATCAAAATTTACTAGACCTTGCAGGATTTTGCATCTTATTTCAGATTATACTGCTGGTGATATTATCATATTAGCTAAGGTGTGTAGGAGTATCCACAGCAAACATGGTGACAAGAAAAGCTAGCAGTCACTACCTTTTTAGCTTAGGAAGTGTTGATCCTAATTCAGCTTTGTTAAGCCAAATATCTAAATAATATTTTGCTGAAGTTAGATCCTCCCTTTTATACATAAAGCCTCGACAAAGAGACAGTATCTACATTTGAGGTGACATCTAGCAAATGAACAACAACAATACAATGCAAACAAGGTAAAGCATGATGTGGCTTACTTGTGACGGCTGCATGCAGCAGGAAAAAAAGACAGAAAAGAGTGAGAGAATTAAAAGAGATTTCAAAAAGGGGCACAAAGTAAACAATAGACATTTGGAAGACAAAGAGGGCCATACTGCATTTCTGTTTAGGCCGAATAAAGGATCCAAAATCCTGTTAGAAAGGTTCTGAAGTGTCGTCAAAAAACTCATGGTTACCTTTTCCGGTGTGTTTGTGGAACTGGTCAGACTTTGTGACACCACATCCCATGACTGTTCCTGTTCAAAGCACCAAAAATTCAGCAAATCAGTTGAAAGTATGTGACTTTTCTACCAGATTAAATGTTTGTATCCAGCTCCACTCCCAAGGTCACAAGAAGTACATTTTAGACTTAGAATTAACTGTCCTTCCCACAGTTTTATAACTTAATTCTGCTGCAGTCTTGACCTCAAAGGCACCTACTCATTCTAGGAGTGGAAAGTTAAGCGTGTTTCGACAAGGCTGAGGCCCCAGGACGTTCGACTTTGTGCCCTTTTAATCTCGTTACCTGCTGGTTCTCCACTAACCTCTGCGATTGGCCTCAATCCTGCAGCGGGAGACTGTTTTTGGTCTGTATTCTACGAAGGCTTAAATAAAGCAATAAAAGAGGAGGATCCAGATATCGGTAAATCCTAAAGTTGTTTATGTAAGTAGCGAAGAAGTAGGACACCAAAGTACGAACACAATACCTGATGCCTGAATTACTGTTACAGAAAAAAAACATAAAAACTTGACTTAAATATATGTGACAGCAGAATAATAACATTTAAGCAAAGAAGACTTCTGATGAAAATCTTGCTTTTCACACACACAATATTATTCTAGGTTAACCGGGCACAAAGAGCAGATCAAAATCTACCACGAATTGAACCTGAAACTTGAAGATTTTGGAGTAAAAAATTATACCTAAAACGCCTGTAATTTCCAACACATTTGGTCTCACTGGTGATTACCTAAAAATGATTGAATCTTAAAAAGTTAAACCTCTACAAGACATTTACAATCTGTAGTTTACTTACGAGGTCACCTCCTCTTCTCAGTCACCACTTCCCAAGTTTTTCGGCAGTCAATTCTCAGTTTCAGTGGGTTTTTAGACAGCCATTTGCTGCGTTGCATCGTCCACCACTCCACCAGTATCAGGTCAAAGGCTGCCGGATGTCAATCAGACTTTTCATTGTTTGTTGATGAATGACAGCAGCACCCAGAAACTCACAACACAGGCCTAATGCACCGTAAGTGCAGCTCTCTCAGACTGTACTGAAGCTGGTTTAGTCTTTAGTCTCTCTGTGTGATCGCATAATCAAGGCACCAAGCCACAAGTGGATTACTTGAGCTAATGACTTGATGCGACCAGACTGGTCTTTATATAGGAAGATGGCAAAGTGCAGACATAAATGTAGCTGGTAAGAGGGAGAGCAGCATCAGTTTTGGGTGGTGTTTTTGGAATTATTTTTGATAATGGGTGCTTTTTTTAGAGTCCAGGATTAAACATATGAGTGCTGTCAGGTGTGTTTGTACTGAACCAAGACTCAAGCACATCTACCAACCACTTCCAAGAGGAACTTAAGACCTATTTTGAAGATATTTGACCTACTAATGAATGCTCAACTGTAGTACCTCCAGTTTTCTATGTGGCAACAATGAAATAAGCAGATAAGTTACAGATGTGTAACAAAAGCAGAGCCATTATTTGTCATTTGTTTCAGTTCATCTGTTTATTAGCGCACTGCTCAGTTATTTTACATTTGTTTTGAAATAAATAAATAAATAAATTCTACTTTGCCCCAAGTTCCACAGTCTTTTTTCTGGACATAAAGTTACACAAAGCTAAAATTACAAAAAATAGTCATATTATCTAAAATTGATTTAAAAACATGCAAAAATTACGCATAGGACGCTATTTTAAGTGCAGGTAGACAGTTAGCGATTACATTAGCCGATAATGATTTCACATAGCCTACTGTCCAACAGGTAATGATCTCCAAATGTGAATGATCAAAAAGGATTTAAAATCTCATGTCAAATACACTCAGTTCATATCAATGGGATACAGTTGCTTCACAAACGCCTCTGAACGGTACTGCTCTTGAACACCCTCCTCCCTGAACGTTCAAATGTATGGCGGACAGAGATGGCGGAGGTGAGTTACTCAACATTGGGGCGTCGTTGTTGAAAAACGTCAGTGAAGCTTCACTCACAATCTGTGGAAAATGTTTACGATATTTCTGATTTAGCAATAGGGTTGTCATTATTCTTGACACACATTATTATTAAAATATAAAAGAAAAAGTTGAGCAATTGGCATGAGCAATTCGTAATCAATAGCAGGGCTCTTCCTTGTTTGGTAACAGTGTGGGGTTGTAAATCTTGGTATGTTTGTTACATATTCACTTTTTACGCTACCGTATTTTCAAAAGACACTTGAAACTGTGAGGCTACTCCAATGCAGCAGCCCGGACAGAAAGTTATAAACAGAACAAATATTGTTCAAAGCCAGCTGAAAAGTAAAGACTCTCTGAGTCTGTCAACTTCTCCTATAAACAAGGATTATAGCCGATCATAATAAAAAGTTTAAACATTTATTGGACCTGATATAGACTGGCCGATGAAAACTGGACGACAAAAATAGTGTTATCTTTCAACCTTTGGTATCTGGCATTGTGATCTTCAGCTGACAGCATCTGAAACTCTTTACTGAGCTGCAAACAGTCCGTCTTTACAACTGGACACTCCTCAAAACTGTTGGAAAACAATGATTAAATAAAGAGAATCATCCTTGAGTTCACTTAATTTTGATGAATATTTTATAAAAGATTAATTAGCAAACACTTTTTAATTCTTTGATTTTTTTATGTTATTGTGATAGTTTTCTATTTCAACACAGTGACATGACTCCTGTGAGGAACTTTTGGTTTGTGTTGGCTCTGGCCCTCCCCGAGTGATACAGCCTATCTCTTGTCCATCCCATTTTCCATTAAAAGATAAAATATATCACTCTCTTTATTTATATTTGACATTTTCTTCTTCAGTCTGCTGTCCCCCCATGGCAAATTTCCAGCATTTAAAAATAACAACAGAGGAATTATCAGTCTGCACTTATTGCTGGTGGTCTTGTTTGCTTAATGTCTCAAGGAAGCGTTAGTATCAGTCACAGTCTGTTTCTAAACCATTTAAAAACTCTTGACAGTGCCTCAAAGGGTTTTATAGTGGAGTACAGTCTGTGCCTCGGGGAATCCTTTAAACAGCAGCTCAAAGACAAAACAAGAATAGTTCTTGTGTACTACTCTGTAAACTGGCACATTTTCTAGTTACATTTACAGCAAGGTTTAGAGACATAGTGACCTTCCAATATGAGTTCAAAGGCGTGGTAAGGTAATGAGGTCTGTATGCTTGTGCTTCAATCACCTTTCAGCTCACCGTTAGTGGTTTGAAACAGGAACATTTTACTATTTAATGTAAAAAAAATTTAATTAATCATGTTATTCTCTTAAATGTCTCATAACCGACCTACTTTCTTACATCGCTATGTGTTAAATGTTCTGAGAAAGCATTTGATCAACGAGCTTTTCATCATCTACCACAGCAGAAATAATCCATTAAGCAGTATGGACACCACAAAGAGCTGCAGAGTAATTCATTTTCTTAGAAGCATTTCTTGCTCTAAGTCAGCCTTTAAAATTTTGCTTTATTGCCAATTCTATATTTAATACTGTATTACTGGCAATCTCACTAAAGGTGACAGGCTCTGGATTGATATCTGAGTCAATATATCGTCAGGTTGGAAGACAGTGAGCTTAATTTTGCTTTGTTCATGCAGTCCTTAATGCACATGGTCAAACCTCTATAAATACTGTACTTCTCTTAAATCTGTGACTAATGTTTTAAAAGGCTTCAGTGTAACATGTATTTACATATTCAACGTGAAGTCTGTCAGATGATTAACCTAAATATCTCAGTCAGAGCCTCTTTATTGCACCGGGAAAATCATTTTTTCACACTCAGACTTGCGTAAGAGAAAGGGACCTTCCAGTTCTTGGTTAGCGTGCTAGTTCATTCAGTGTGTTGTCCACTGATCAGCACTCACTGAGTACTCTGTGGTTGTGTGCGTGTGCGTGTGTGTCAGAGTCTGAGGATGAAGATTGCCGTGCTGGGAGCCACTGGGCAGACCGGACAGTATCTGGTCAGTCAGGCGTTGCAGCAGGGTCACACAGTCACCGCCATTGTTAGGAACCCTGCAAAGCTCACCGTGCATCATGACAAACTCAAGGTAAAAAAAACAGCTCAATGATGGTGTTAAGTTATGTCTATGCTTATTTTATGATGTGTTCAATGTCCAGTCAGTGAGATGGTTTGGTGATTCATTTTTTATTGAACCCAAATGAAGGTAAAGTTTTAACCAGTTGATGTGTTTCTGAACAGAAGATACTTTTTTGTGCTGTATGAATTATCGCTTCACCACAAGCTAAATGTTTTGATGCCGCTTTGATTCAATCCCACGTTTCACTCTGTCTATGCACAACTGAAAACAGAGCCCCACAAATGTTTTTCTTTTTGGTTAACATTTGCAGAAAAAGTTGAGAAGTACTTCCACTGATATTGAAGGTGTTGTGTTACAAAATGTAGATTACGTGCACCAGAAATTTGTAAAAATAAAAATAAAAATAATAAGTTAATTTTCTTTAGGAAATGTTACTTATATTGTTGGCTAAATCAAAGTGGTAATTTTTATTATACAAACACCATTGAAAGCACCAAATATTTGTGTATAAGTGCAAGTAAAAAGGTACTTTGAGGATTTTTGGGGACCATAGCAAGAATGAGTAATTGTTTAAATAGACTTTTAATGAGAAATCTTGAGTATACACAACACACAACTAGAAAGAAAATGGGAAAATGAATTGGAATCTAGGCTACATGGCTTCTGTTAGTTCGTTACTTATTTAGTTAGTCAGTTAAATACTTTATCGTCAGAATCTCTTCTGAAAATTTTCTTGCACCCAAGGCACTTGTTTTTTTTAACAAGAAAGAAAGCATTACAACATATATCACAATATAGCATCAAACAAACATCAGACAAAGTGTTTCATCAAACAATAGCAACAACTGTAAAATATAACAGAACATAACGCAAGACAATCATTAGACATATAACGTGCTTAATACATAACATCAAAGTTATTGCAGTGCCTCCAAGTCCCTTCTCTGGCAGCGATTTATTGCCCTGAAAAGAGTAACTAATTTAACCTTTTAACAGACTGAGGAATGAAAGGGGTCCTCAGTCTTTTTAATCTCTCATTAATCTAGCCGTAGGGACTCTATATCTCCTGTTAGTTGGCAGCAACTGGTACTCTTAAAATAAAACGTGGGTCTGATCAGACAAAATATTGTCTACCAGGGACAGCATTTGTCTTTATTATGCAGCTCTGAAAACTGTTTGAAAACTGTGTTAACTCTTACTGTTATAAATCTTAATAATTCAAATTCAGTTTTGGTGCCTGGATTATTTCAAGAAAATTACTGAATTAGAACTTTCACCTCAGGATTTTTCAGGTTCTCTCTCTGTCTTATTTCTGCAGGTAGTGGAGGCTGATATTTTCTCTGCAGACAGCCTGAAGCCTCACTTCAAAGGTCAGGATGTGATCATGTCCTGCCTTGGCTTCCCGATCTCCTACTTCTCTGTAGTGACGGGATACACCCAGTCCATGAGCAGCATTAGCCACGCCATGAGAGACGCCCGGGTCAACAGGCTCATCACCATGACCTCGTGGTACACTGACCGTAAGTGCTTTACACGGGAGGAAATCAGAAATAACCAACCAAACTGATTCCATACCCTCTTTAAAGTCCCACTCCGATCCTTTTTTTTTACTACCTAAAGCGTTCTCAGTGGTCTTTAAATTGTGATTATGTAGTTTTTAGCTAAAATCACATTACCTGTGTCATTTTCAAGGACTTTTCTTCTGCAGAGCTCCAGTAGCTCATTAGCAATTCACCTCTGAGTTGTGGGCGGAGACAGCGCTGCTCTGCACACTCGTCTTCACGTTAGTTTGAAGTCTAACATTGCCGGTGTTGTAGACATGGCAGGTAACATAGGAGCTATTCAGCTCTTGGACACTAATGTCTTTAGGGACACGATGAAAGCTAATATCATAATTAGCTTTGTTACGAGCATTGCAATCCACTAATGCACACGCTTGTTCCGCGATCGTCCTCTGTATTTCTCCTCTATATGCAGAGTGTGGCCTGCAAAGTGGGGCTCCGGGGGCGGAGCTTGGATTGGTTATGTATAAAATCTCACTGTTTCTGATCCTGCTGTTTGGGTCTGACAGAGATTCACAGCAATTTGAATGAAGTAATACTATAATATGTCCGTTAGCTTCAGAAAAATGCCACATGAACATGTAGACGACAAGAAAAACATGACTTTCATCGAAGTGGGTCTTTAACTTATGTGTGCATAAATACGTATTTACTCTTTAACCTTCTCATTATTGCTTTATAGATACTTTTATAAACTGAAGGTTTTTCACTGGGAAGCCTAATAATGTACTCATTTCAAGCAGAAAGCTCTAAGATTACATAATTTTATTTGTAACAAGTTGTATCAGCTGATTTGTTTTCATTGTAGAGTTAAAGGGCAGCTGTGTCAGTAGTTTCTTTCTCTAAAGAAAGTTGTGCAACCCACTAAAATCCTCCTGTTGATTTATTTGAGTCACTTATTTATCAGAGACCAAGTCAGTCATTCTTTAATTTTTGGCAATTTAAAACTGACTCTGTGTGCTCAAGTGAGGCCAGTTGAGAAGCCAAAAGAGGCTCAGCCTTTCTGTACAGTGATGAATCCTTCCATCCTGAAATCAGATGTGAGCAAATGACCTCGACAGTCATTTTGAGCGCTTTATAAATGTGCTCTGTAAAATGTAAAGATTACAAGCTGATCATTGAGAATATTAAACAGTAAAAGACAAACACTCACCAGCGTTCATGTGAATTTTAGGCTATCATCTTAGTGCTTAATAAGCGTTTTATATCCTGTTGTTTTCATGGTTATTAGAAAATTTAGCTGACATTCAAGGATCGTTATCTGAATTTTATTTCTTTTTAACATCCATGGAGAAAAATTAAGAGGTTTCTTTGTGTCCTCCTCTTTTCCTGATAGCAAACTCTGGATCAAAGTCGTCTTATCTCATCCGCTTCCTCCTGCTGCCCATGATCAGAAGCGTTCTTGCCAACATGTACGAGATGGAGCAGTCTCTGCAGAAGACTGATGACATTAACTGGACTGTGGTTCGCCCGCCCGGTCTCAAGAGCCTGTCTGCCTCAGGTAAAAAGAGAAACGCATGAGTCAAATAAACCGTAGAAAAGACTGACCATCGGGCTCATGTTGCCTCTGGACCCGTTTTGACACGGTTCAGGTTGATTAGCATGTGCTCTCATTACTTCATCCGAAGAATGAATGAGCCTATTTTTAGTGAATGTCACTTATTTCTCAGAGGGTTTCAGTATGCGCCTGTATGACATGGACAAAGAAAATGCCTTTTAATGCCTTTGACTCTCTCTCTCTCTCTCTCTTTCGCTCTCTCTCTCTCTGTGCTCCCGACAGCTCAAGAGTTCCTGACACACGAAGGTTACTTTGTGCCTGACAGTAGTGGTAACCCGTCAGGTAGCGCTATGGCAAGAGGAGATGTGGCTCGCTTCATGCTCTCCCTGCTCAACAGCAACGCCTGGGTGAAGAAGGGAGTCGCCATCGTCACAAAATAAGAAAGAAGAAGAGGTAAAGGGCTAGTTCACTTTACAAAAACACTACATTTTCTCACCAAGCTGGTGGTATTTACACATGAGGATGTTTAACTCTGGTTTTACAAACAGGTTATCTATTTTTTATTTTTTTTTTTTTTATTTAAGATTAACCAAAAATATCTCTGAAAGTTACAAACTTTTCAGCATCTCTCAGTTCACAATTTTAAATGTACCGTCTGAAGAAAAGGATGAAATAACTGCCTTATGTGTGCTTGTCTGTCTAATGAATGTCTTTGAATTCACTCTTAATTTACATGTTTGTGTTTTTATAAGCTTGAAACCTTAATCCATGAAAATCTAGCTGTCTGTGTACAATGCTATTTCATGTGATTGTAATACTTACCTTTTGCCACATGGTGGCAGTGTTGTGCCATGTCTGATTGCAGTTATAAAAATTCAACTGTGACTAACTTTAATCGAAGAGTTAATAAGGAATAAAAAATAAATATATGTTGCACTTTATTTTCATTTGAGTTTTTTGTTTTCCATTGTGTTTCCTATCAGTTCTGTGAAATAAAAATACAACAAACATACGAAATGCAAAAGTCAGACTCTTTTTTTATGTCTTATGAATGTTTTTGAATCCCAGCTGTCAGTTTTTCACCCAGGATTCAAAAACCATCTTGACACTTCAAGTTCAGTGAGTTCAAGCGTGCAGTGCTTAGAGCCACTCCGCTTTAAGCTGGATGGATTTGCAGGGAACTTAATTAGCTGGTCAAGGGTTAAGAAAGTCAGTTTTACAGACAGTTTTGACAGTTTCCCTCAACCTGTGAGGTCCAATTATGACTCTTGGATCAGCTATCCTGGTGTGGAAGTAGACAGTAGACATTAAGTGATGCAATTTATGTTTGTTATGTGATGCATGAAAGTAGTTTGGTATATAAAGCAAGACGATATAAAACATATTTAGTTGTAAGATGAGCGATGTTTGAAAATTTAACCTTTTCATCCCTTTACACATACTGAATCTCCTGCAGAAAATAGAAAAATTTAGGTCTAAAGCTATGTCAGACAGACTCCCTCAAAACAGGGGAAAGGTTGGAATGAGTTCATCTTCTGTGTTGATGTCTCAGATTGGATTTTATCTTCGTCACATTTTGTCAGACGTCACTGTAGTGAACCTACAACAAATAGCCCAACCCTTTTCAAACATTTTGAATACTCAAACAATGCAGTAGGATGAGATTTTGTGGATACAGTTTTGTTACTTCTGGTTAAACTTGAGGTATTAGCACCAATTGACATCTTAACTCTATCTGATAATGCTGCTCTGAAATGAGAAGTGTGTCAGAGTGCATCTGGGTTTGTGTACTTGTGTATGAAAGTGGGAGACAACATAAAAGCAAAAATGTATTTAAAACACATGAGCAGAATCTGCAATGATCTTGGACAAAAACTCGACATTCACCGTAAATAATGTAATATCAAAACTGGAACAGTGTAGGATCTTTCTGCACTGTGGGTAAAATGTTTATTTGCTTTGAGCTGTTGCCTCTAACTTGTTAGTATGTAATTTCGCTGAATCCCAACAGTTATCACCTTTTTTATTAAAGCGACCATTGCCTCACTATCTTTAGTGGCATTTAGTGGCGAACCATTTGGGAGCTCAGCATGTTTTGTTGTTCATCATGATTAACATGATAGCTCTGCGTTTGCACGCAAACATAATCAGTAAAATCTTTTTTTTTTTTAAATAATAATAATAATTTAACTATTTTTTTTATTTACTCCTTTTGATTAAAAATGTCCAAAAGTTTGCTGGTTCTACTTTCCGACTCTATGTTTGCAGAATAAAACACATATTTTTCTAATTCATCCAAATCACTCTGTTTTTATTGACAATCACAAAATAAGCAATTCAATATTTTCCAACTGTACATGGAGAAGCACAAATTGTGCTCTTTAGATTTTTTAATGTTAAATTCAGGCCATCATATTGTATTCACTTCACATAAAAACAGATATTTAAACATTACATACACTTTTTGAATACAATCACAATTTTTTGGATGGGGATTATCTTGCAAACATAACATGAGGCTGAAAACGTATGAGACAGGGGTGGTATAAGAAACATATACTGCTTCTTCAAAAACATGCACACGTTTATGACCTTCAAGAGCCTAAAAATGTTGCTGCTTGAATTATGGTTCAACTTTTCCTAAAAAGTATTAACTGTAATGTAATGAGCAATTCACCTGTAAATGTAATGGCAAGATATTGGCTCTGATTTAGATATTTTATTTACAAAATTTGCATCACTGCTGTGGAAGAGTATTTACATTTCACAGCTTAAATATTGATTTGGACAGACAACAGAAACTAGACCTTCAAATATAGCAGCACAAACCTTTCCTTCATTAAATACAACATGATCTGAATCAAAAAGTTTTAAATTTTCACCTTAAACATACCAGTGAATTTTTTCTTTTAATTTGACAAATTTCCAAAAATGACAATGAGGCTGGAACAGAGTTCACTTCTCTTAACCACCTGTATGGTGCAGTTTGGTCTACTGTTTTGCCACCTGGTAAATTTCGTCTATTTTCTCCTGGTACATCTTCACAACAATGGGCCTCCTCAGTTTCATCGTGGGTCCTGCATAAATGAAAAAAAAATGGAAAAGGAAGTTTTAATTTAATGTAAAACAAAAAAATCTGAAAAAGTTTGATCCAGTGTAGCTTTAGAAGAATTTCAGAAACAGCGATTCAATCAGACAGGAATGTGGTCTGGTATGTGACTGACTGGTCTGCAGCTGATGATGATGACATGACCCAGATTAAAAGGTGTTTACTTTACAGTGTGTTGAAAAGTGATAGTAGAAGTGAATACTTCCTCCTGCTTCAATCGTAGTGCCATGAAATAACCTTTGCTCCACTTACAATGCCAAATAATGATTTATGAAAGCAGCTGGGGAAATGTGTAAATATTATTTAACTTGTCTTCTGTCATTGCTGAACTACGGAAATGAATCTAAATTATAAAACACACAAAAACTTAACTGTGGGAATAAATCAATGTTCAGCATTGTTTAGCATATACTGCTAATTTCTAGTGTAATATAGTGTAAGAAGTGGACAGTAACCTAATGCTAATGGCTCTTTTTAGAGTGAAATAGATGAAGTTATGAAGTCACGAATACTGGTGTACTATTGCTGCAGGTGGTAAAGGACAGTTTTATACATTTTCAAGTTTTTATGTCCTTAAAAACATCCAGATTATCTCCAAAACATAGAGGAGTGGAAATTAATGAGGTATAAAACTGAAAAAGCTAAAGTCAATGACCTCACGCTTGTTACTCACCCAGTTCTCCTCCAGAGATGGAGAAATCTCGCTCCAGTATGACCCACTTCTGGACCCGCTGCGCGTTGGATGTTGCTCTGGCGTTGACACGCTCGACACCCTCCTGAATGGCCGTGTAGATAGCTGGCTCCTTCTTGGCGATGATCTCTGACACCTTGGTGGCTGTGACGCTGTTCTGTTTGCAAAAGTCTAAAACCTCAGGGCTCAGCTCGTCTGTGGGCTCTCCGTTTTCATCCACGACACACTGTGGAAAATAACATCAAGAATCAAGTGTTTGTTGGATTTACTTGGTGGCTGTGGCTGTCTGCAGGACTGGAGATTGACTCACTTTGAGGGTGATCAGCATGGAGAGGAACTTGAGCTTGTCCCCCAGCAGCATGATGTTGCTGATGATGGGCACCTCAGCCTTCAGGGCATTCTCGATGGGCACAGGGGGGATGTTTTCACCGCCAGCTGTGATGATCAGCTCTGTGCATCAATAAAAGACAAAAATTTAAAATATTAGAGGGCAGTCGCATGATTTTGTTTTGTGAAAGTACAAATGAAGTTATGAAAAATACTGAGAGGACTGAGCTTGTTTTGGGTAAATTTTCCCCCCTGAAAAAACATTTGGGTGGACTTTTAACACCAGCTCACCCTTGATCCGTCCTGTGATGTACAGGAAGTCAAGTGAGTCGTGTCTTCCCAGATCTCCAGAGTGCAGCCAGCCGTCCGGGTCAATTGCCTCTGCTGTTTTGTCGGGCATGTTCAGGTAGCCCATGAAGACGTGTCGACCCCAGAAACAGATCTCTCCATTTCCGTCCTCATCTGGGTTCTCCAGCTTTGTTTTGCAGCCTGGCATCACCTTCCCACAGCTGAAGAGGGAAAATAATCAAACAGCATGATCACTGAGACCAGATGTGACCTGGTTCTGAGCAAAACCTCCTCTGCACTCCTACTTCAGGTTGTTTAGACATCTTTAGATATACTATCATAACGAAAATAAAAGTAGTATTTTTCATCTATTTTCATTATGCTTTGCTTCTGACCTTGTGATGCGGTACTGGTCATTTAAGGAGAGGGTCTGGGGGCCGCTGCATTCACTCATGCCGTAAAGCTCTAACACAGGGATGTTCAGGCTCATGAAGAAATCCAAGGTTTCTTTGGTGATGGGTGCGGCGCCTGTGATGCAGAGCTTGCAGCGGTCCAAGCCCAGCGCAGCACGCACCTTTTTAAAGACCAGATTATTAGCCAGCGTGAAGCCCCATGGCACCTGGCTCTCCCTGTAAAAGAAAAGATTATGATCAGTTTATAGAAATAAGTACTTTCTTCCGCCTGGTACTACTTTTAACAAAAACACTTCACAGAGCAAAGTGTCATGTTAAATATGAAAGAAACAGCCTGCTAAAAAGACAAAAAGACAATTTCCATTCAGTTACATACACTGTAGAAACCTGTGAGTGACATCCCTGAAACTACACCTATGTTTTATACAGTCTAAACTCCACAGTCTACACTTTGAGCTGGTAATAAAACGGGCTGAAATCAGTACTTAAGTCTTTATATGAACTAATAACTGAAACAGGACCATCCACAAACAGATTAACTCTCTGTTCTACATAATCATTTTTAATGTCCGAGACTCTAGCTGGGGGCAGATGTTGGTCTCAGAGATAAAAAGCCTTTAATCAAATTTTACATGGCAAACATTTAATGTGAGTCCAACATTTAAGTGTTTTTCTGTTACAAAATAAAACACACATAAGTACATGCTGCGATAAGGAATTGAGGAAGTGCAGTTCAATCTACATGTTTAACAAAGCGTTTAAAACATGATGATTATAAAGTACAAGGAAGTTGAAGAATCATTTTAGACACACCTGAAAAACTTTAGAGGGTGTCTGTATCCCTTGATGGGTTTTGAAAAGTATTTTGTTCTTGTTAACTATGTATTTGTTTATTTTAAATTTTTTCTCTGTATAGAAGAAAAACATGTATAAAAATGTCATGAAAACTCTGTATGTGGAAGGGGTAGGCACAATAAGCTGAAGCTTCATCCTTTTCCCCTTTTTGGTCAAACCAAGTAATTAACAGTATTTATTATTTCTAACTCCCATGTATTATGTATGTAATATAACTGTTTACATGAACAGATGACCAAAATAAACTAAACTATGAGTATGACAGGATGAAAGCACCATCATTTCAAGGAGACGCCAAGATCAAGGATCCTCACTGGAGCTTTACTGTGATGACATCAGCATGTTAGAAAAAGGCACTTTAGCTGTAAAGCTGCTTGTTCACTCACTCGAATAAATTATGAATGATTTTTGAAGATCAACCTTTGTAATCTTCACTTTAAAACACAACTCTGGTGCTTTTGTAGGTGGTATTTTGGGTAAGATTGAGGTCAGAAGTCAGCCAGTTTCTGAGGATATGTCGTCTCAGGCTGCACAGCCTTAAAGTGATCCAGTCACTCGAATTGGAGTTTTCTCTGAATTTCTCCAAATCGACTGTCTGAGGATAATAAACTATACATGGAGATGACAGAGTCAGAGATGACAGAGTGATATTTGAAGAGGCCAGTTAAGTCAACAGGACTTAATCTGCACACTTCGGTGATGTCTGAAAGTAGGGAAGTGTGCAAACAGCTCATCAACAGCCTTGAACAGATTGCTGCTGGTATACTAAAGGGATTTCTCTATCTCATGTTTCTTCAAAAGCATCATCATCTAAAGAGTCTCACCCATTCATGACACTGTAGTTGTACTGCAGGCCTATGGATTTGGCCCAGCTCGCCACACTCCTCCTCAGTGGCGATGCCTTTGCTCCCACAGCTTTCATTTTCTCCTCCATCTTCTCCCAGACACGTGGAACCCCGAGGAAACAAGTTGGACGAGCCTCTTTCATTGTGTTTACCAAAGAGCCCTGAAAACATGAATATAGATGGTTAAGTGAAAGTAAACTTTGTGACTAATTCCATGTTTGTAGAACAGAAACATCCGTACCTTGAGGGCATCAGGATCGGCAAAGTAGGTAGTCGTGGCGTAGCTGATAGCCAACCACATGTCAATAACCTGGGCGGCCACATGGCTGAGCGGCAGGTAACTAATCATAACCTCTTCAGCGTAGTTAATATCGAATGTGAGAGCTGCAGCATTGCACGTCCATGTCAGCTACACAGTAAAAAGTGAAAAATGAGAAAACAGAGAATTTTTTTTAGTCAAATACTTCTTGAGTTTTTAAACTAGTCTTGAAAAACAAAACTGCTCATACAAGCCACCACACACATGCACAGCTGCACGAACTTCCATGTGTCTAACAAATGCAGAAAATTAAAGGAACAAAGAGATTTTGACATTAGACAAGAGTGGGACTGTAGTTGTGCAGTTGAGTGTTCATCGGTACTATCTCTTTCCATATAAACCGGATAAGTTGAAAAAAAGAAAAACTGCATATGGTTTGTGCTGACCTCCCAGAGTTCAGTCAGTAACTGTGCCACAAACATGTACGTTGTTAAAGTTATTTCAAAAATGCTGCTCAGAAATCTTTCCGTCATCCCTCATCTAAAATCAAGGTTCTGCATTCACCAGCTGGTTAGATAGAGCTTATGATGAACTCTAAGCTGTCTGATGCCTCTCGATAAGGAATCAGCTAAACCTGTTGTTGAAATGCTAAGTTGATGTCAAAAACCGACAAAGACACAGAGCATAAAATCTGAATGAAACATCAGTGATACTTCCTCTGGATGGCACAACAGCTCCCCCTAAGTGAGGCCAAAACTTTGAGAGCTCCCTCTGTAACTGGCTACATTACAAGACATAAAGCCTGCAATCTCCTTTATAACAGATGTAACATGGGCCAAACTTTGACGATTAAATACATATCAAATAGATTTTTACACTCACATTATCGTGGCTCAACATGACTCCTTTCGGGTTACCAGTTGTTCCAGAGGTATAGATGAGAGAACAGCACTCGTTTGGCCTGAGACTGTTGATCATATCATCTAGTGTCTCTTCAGGCACATCCTCCCCCAGCTTCATGAACTCTTCCCACTACAGAAAGAAAGATCATGTTAAAAAAAATGAATTGTCTGAATTATCAGTAACATGTATTAAATGGCAATCTTCACGTCACAGTGAAATCACATTGTATTAGAAGAGTCAATGTCACAACTATGATCGGATAGAGTGTGAGTGAACGTACTGTATAAAGGAAAGGGTATTTCTGCTGCAGCTCTCCTTTATACTGGACAATGGCTTTCAGGTGAGGTAGCTGATCTTTAATCTGTGAGGAGACACAGAATGGACTCAGTCATATGAGGTCTGATTTTTTTCCATCTTTGCACATAATGATACACTGAAGGCCAGTGCTGCCATAAAGCTCCTCACCTTAAGGATTTTGTCGAGCTGTTTCTGGTTTTCCACCACCAGGACGTTGGCTTCACTGCTGGCTGCTACATACTGACAAGCTTCAGGGGAGTTGGTGGTGTAAATTCCAGTTGCCAGACCCCTGTGGCACAAATCAAAAACAGGATAATAAAGCATATTTAAAAATAATTTCTTGTATAATTTATCTCCAGTACTCCCAATTCATATGCTGAATGTACAGTTGGTATAATGGTGCTTTAGCTCGGTGCAGACAAAATGGACATTACTCTTGGGATTTGGGAGGTGAAACCAGAGATATATAGTGTTCTTACTAAGTCAAGAACTTGTATCATCCAGCTGGTTCAAACCTTCAACGTTGGATTGAAGTTGGGTATTTGCCTCATACTGGCCTGAAAAGCAGACATGTCTGCACATTTTTGACGAGGATAGTCTGACTAGGGCGGTGACATAGGCAGGGGTGGCATAAACACACAACACTATGGCATTTTCCCCTCTTTGTCTTCACTATCTACCATGTATAACTGAAGGATCACACAAGTATCATATTCCTATGTGTAAATTTTGACCTTTCATAAGAAACAAAACAGGGTAGTAACACAATATGTTCTTCTGTCAGTTCTTTAAAGGCTTAAAAAGAAAATGATTGTGTACAGTTGTAACAAAAGGAAATGTGCTACATTCAAATATGCATAAAAGTCCTGCCAGCCTCCAACAAAGCAGCACAAAAAGTTGGTTTTGACAAAAGTTCCACCTCTGATAAGGCAGAAAGGCAATCATTGTTTTGCATTTTGGGGTGGCCAATCAGATTTTGGGGGGAGGGGGGCAGTGCCACCCATGGCCAACCCTCTGGACTCACCCCTGCAGATAAGCAGTACTAACAATCCTCTTAGATTACAAACTATATGGCAAAAGTCAGAAGCGAAAACAGAAAATGATAAAAACACGATGATATAAATCCCCTCAAACTTCAATGAAACCCAATAGCTACAAAATAAAACAAGTAATTCTGAAGCTCAACCTTTATAAATCTCTTAAATGACTTTCAAATGTAATGCCAATTTTTTCCTGGATATTTGGACTCTCTGCTTTTGCTGTATGCACAGTTTAATGAGCAGTAAAGAATAGGCAACGTCAAGTTTCGTGAGACAGCCCCAACAGGTGTGGGTAGAGACACTGAGATGGACTGTGAGATATGCATGGGCAGATAAGTGTGTCAGTATCAGGTGAAACAAGGCTGCAACATCTCAGTGACAGAAAAGGGGGAATGTAAAATCTGCATGTGGTCTTATCTACATCAGGTCTTTAAATGCAGGACTATTCAAAGCTCCTATGACAGACAGAGGCTAAAAAGTCTCAGGACATCAGTAAAGTGATTGGGCTCACTGTGACATTTTCACAGTGTCAGAAAACTCTGCTGCTACCTGAGTTAGTATATGGTCTTACCCGGCGAAAATGCAGCCAATGTCTGCGATGAACCACTCAGGGGAGTTGAATCCCAGAATCCCCACACCGTGATATCTCTTCAGTCCAAGCTACAAGAAGAAAACAAGATGTGCGTTTTCAAAAAGCATGTATCTTTAATGACACTGCAGCACACTGCCTCCATTACTCTTGACCTACATCTCGCCTTAAAGCCACTCTACCTCATGATACACGGACATGTCCATGAAACAGGAGATGTAACACAAGCTGTGAATTTCACACACCCAAGTGTTACTTTTCCGAAGCCGAGGTGGAAACATTGAGATACTGTTTTCAAAACAGGTATTGGGAATTATAAGATACGTGTAACCTGTAACTGCTGCAATAAAGTTCATGTGCATACTAGAGGAAATGATCAAGATCCACGACCGATTATTACATAAACGCAGAGAACATGAGCCAGTGATGCTTTACATCATTTTGGCTGAGCATCAGAATCTTCAAGGTTCATCTGTGAGCATCAAGGTTTTGAGAAAGTTTCTCCTCATTTGACCAAAGAGTGTAAATAAAGTGTGTTGGACTGCTTTACATACTGATATAAGTTAGAAATGATTAGCTTGGTCACATATTTCCTGTTTACAGTTCTGAATCACTTGACTTTGCCTCTGTCTAAGGACTGATTGACACAATTTCACTTGTATTGCACAAATTTGAGTGATTTTAGTCTGGAAAATTGAAGGACTTTGGTTGGCATTTAAAAAAAAAGAGAGAAACACTGCAGTACAGCAGTCAAAACTGGATTCAAACAGACTCATGTTGCAGCTCCAGACCAGCACTTCAACCTGAAAATTAACATTTCGCTCAGATTCTTCTGTAATAAAGTCAGTCCACCAAATAAATGACAAACATTTACTTCTTTTTCTCACACAGTTATGCTCTATAAATGCAGAGAAACTCCAAACATACCTTGAGGAAACTTTTTGCAGCTGCCCGGCACTGCTCGTAGTAATCCCTCCATGTCACCATCACCCACTGACCATCCTTTTTGAAAGCCAAGGCTGAATGATCCCCAAATGTGTCCACCGTCTTCTTGAACATCTGATGGATGGTGATGGGGTTCTCTGAACCCGGTCCCGCGTTCTCCATCCTCAGCTTGACCGCCTGGTCTCTTTGAGTGCTCCATAGCTCTTCAGCTGGAGACAGTTTCACCCTCTCATCTAGAGGCCACAGACGAATTTTAGGGGTGTCATATGGGCAACAAGGGCAGCCACATCTACGTGCCATTGTTGACAAATTAAGTAACACCTGCACCACACTAAGACACTGCAAGTTTTCCCTTCAGGAGAAGAGTCAGGTGTAAGAGAGGACTGCAGACATCTCTGGACTACCCTCTGTGAGTTTGTCACACCTGCTGTCTCAGAACAACATGATTTGCAGGTTGTGCATGAACGGGGGAAGGCTACACTGATACCTGAGACTGAACAGGAAGCCATACAAAGTCCATGCCTGCCTACCTACTTACCTACCAATCCGGTTTGGTCAGGAAAAGAATATGGGTTAGATACAGTACATCAGAGTTAAGTTACAGGAATAAAAGCACGCAAGACAACATAAGCACAAACAAGATAATACTGCTTTTGTTCTCTAATAATGCACAGCAAAATAACACATTGTCCTCTGTCAAGAGAGTCTGATCAGACTGTGGGATGGTACTCTTCTTTTTTCCATCTTTCTGCCTTTTTTTTCAACATAAAGTCTAACAGAGTCTAACATAACTTCCTCGAAAAGCTCTCCCCACTTCGGCCCTCAAGCGTTGTACCTTTTGTCGCAGCTCTTTAACTTCAGGCGCTTTTTTCCCTACATGATTCGGCTTTTGGCTGTAACTACTTAGTAAAAAGGTCTCATTTGCAGAATTTCCAAACTTCAGCCTGGCTTTGAAATGACCTCACAGAAAAGTAACTGTTTTCATAAAGTTCAAGCTTTTATGTGATGCAGAAAGTCCTTATGATGTTGGTGCATCATTTGACACAGTGGATCGTGTGATTTCTACATAACAGCGTCTTTACTGCTTTTGAAAATGCCCTCCATGTTGCTCTGATCCACTGTTCAGCTAGTTAAAACAATTCATTTTACACTTCATATGTGAGTCATCTTGCTTCCCTGCATCACTTTGCCTGATTTTGTTTCCCTATTTTGTTTTTGTACTATTGTTGTTGTTGTTTTTTTGGACATACGAAACTTCCTTTTAAATGTCAGACTTTTTAAGAGCCTTAAATACCAAGATGAAAAAGAAAACCTACAGACAACAAACAGACAATAAAAAAATCTCCCTGAATAAAGCAAAGCAGTCTTCACATTACTTTTTAGATTTGAGATAGATTCTGTGCCTTGACTCGTGTTTTCACCAACTTTAATGACTGCACTTATCTGCTGGTGCAATTTAAGGTTAAGAAACGCCCTCAGCGTCTCCAGAATGCTGCTGCAGACGACGTGTGTGCGGATGATGTCAGAATTAGTTTAAGGACTGGTTTGTCAGAACCTCCTGACTCGTCTTGGAAGCACAACAACAGCAAGAGTACTTCGAAACAGCCTTTTAAACTTGTTTTCAGGGGGAAAATCTCCTGAGATGCTTCTTTGTGTGACACAATCGAGACAGAAATTGAAGGGAAACTTGATAATGGTGAAAAACCTGCTGAAGGAGCTTATGCTAATGAACCCGTTCTGCCCCTAACCTCTTCACACCCACTTTACATGTTAATTAAATCCAAGAGGCCCCAAATTCAAATAAACTCACTGTAACTTTTTGTTACTTTTTTGGTTTTAAAATGTCACTTTTGTACAACCTCGCAGTTTAAATAAACAGGTCACGCAAACTCCTCTGGCGCACACCACCTCTCATGCTGTTAGCACAGATGCTAATGCAGCAGCTTTGGGGTCTCAGTGACATTTGAATGTTGTCATGTCTTTGTTTATCTAAGGCCTTGTTCAACACACTACATAAATTACTTCAACTTAAGGTGGTGCTGCCCTGTTGGACTGGTTCACTTGAAATAGTTTCTTGATAACTCCAGAGGTACAAGATTTCAGATTATAAAATAAATCAGGGAAACACGTCACAGACCCCACCTCTTATAATGCATCATAAACACACTTATCCACCCCTTTAAATGGCTATTAGGCTTTCAATAATAGTTTGAAGTGTTTACAAGCATTTATAACAGCTTGTAGCAATGCTAATGATGTGTTATAAGCAGTAAAAATAATGCCTTTTGTTGGGGAGGTTTATTCTTTATTGTACCTTAGTGAAAAAAAAACAGCTTTTGAACTCTGGGTTAAATAACACATTCAAACTCTCACATTTTACTAGTTTATGGAGGTTATTCTACATATCATAAAAAAAAAAGAGTTCAGAAAATGTTTCTTCAATTTTCACATCATGCTAAAGTATGACTGTATGAGATTATTTATGATTATATGTTCCCATAACACATCTATAAGAACTTCTAAGCTGTATTTTGTGGGCGTAATAAACAAAGCTATAAGCTGTATTAATCATAAGGGTTGTAATATACATGTATGAGGCTTTATAAATGTGCTAATAATCATCATGGGAGGCAGATTCATGTAAAGTCTTTTCAAAGGCATACTTTTGATGCTTTTTCCTAACTGCTTGTTGTGTAAATTTCTTCAGGTTTCAGTTTGTGTCTAAACCTGATGCGTTCAGTGATAAAAAATGTCTTCTTACAAGTTTCTTTTTTTAGTCATATTCCACACCAGATATATTCAGTTGTTTACCTGAATTTTCCTCAGTGGCTCCATCCACCTCAGGATGAGACTCCAGGTTTTCTACCTCTAATGTCGCATTGAGCTCGACTTTTGTGGCAGCTCCATTGAGGACACAGTTGGTGTTTTTGGCAGAGATGCTGCGGGGGCCATTGAGAGAAGAAACCCAAGAGCGTAAAAAAAAAGGCCTTTTTTGTTCCAATGTCGATCAAGTCAACAGGACAACTACACTGAAAAAAAAAACAGTTGTTTACCTACCCTTCAGTGTTGCCATTCATGACTGCAACCCCATTGCTCTTGTCTGAATTTTCTGGGGCACTCATCTTGTTTTAGCTAAAAATTAAAACAGAGAAAAATTATCTTGAATAACTGTGAAATAAAACTTGCAGATGTCGCCCACTGAGGACCCTCACACTGATATGTTTATCTATTATGACACTGCTCGTTTATACGACACTGACATTAACAAGGGTCACTGCAACAGGTCATAGCCAATAACACAGTTACGAGTAACCACGCACAGCAGAGGATTAAATGCCAAAACTTTGAGTGCAGTGCCAGAAACATTGGGACATCTGCAGGCATCCACTGTTGATACTCTTTGCCCCAAAACGTAAGAACCACAAGGCCAAACAACAAGCAGTGTAAGAGGACTGAAACACAGGATTTATCTCTAGTTAATCAAAATATTAAATCTTAATAGATATAGGGAGGGAAATTACATGGCTTAAGATTCCCACTTGTGTTTATCCTGCAGGCAGAGAAATGACGCCATCTGGTGCATCTATTTTGAAACAGTGGCTGTTATTCAAGCATTACTTAAAATCAAAAGTTGTGTCTTAATATAACCTCAAGAGCTGAATCATTCGATCTTACATATGCAAAAATAATAAGGCCACTGCACCTGTGACAGATTTGCAAATTCCAGCATCATGTGGATTATAATGAAGCTCTGCTGACCTGCTATTCACTCATTCAGGTGTAAAATTTTTAAGAAAACTGGTCAAGACACCTCTGGCACAAATTTCATACAGCTTACAAAACTTCTATGTCATTACACAAAGTAATGACAACAATGTCTTTAATCTGCTTTAGGTAAAAGCCAGTTTAAATGTTAAAAAAAAGTCAATTTTAGCACCATGAAAGACTTGTACTAAACCAAGAAGTATTTACCTTAATTATAGTCTGTATTAAGATGAATCTTCTGTGAAAGTGAGTATTTCAAATCCTTCAGTCCCATAGGAAAGACTCCAGAGAGGTTACAGAACTTTTGTCTCAGTGTGTTACAGAGAGGTCCAGCACAAGACAACTCATGCTTGCAGCTGTTTGTTTAGCTTTTAACAAGAGCCCACGCGTGTAAAGGGGGAGTTAGAGAAAGATACCGACCCACTTGACCAAACAATAAAAGTTGAGGAGCCTGCTTGCATCAAACAGGGCTAAATGCTTCACCAAAAAATGATGTTTGTCTGGAGCATATTTACTATACACCCCCGGAGGCTGTTTGTTTCAGTCAACATGTGCAGATCTGGAATTTTCTTAGAATTAAGTTGAGTTATGTCGAACCCTTTATAACCAGTGAAAAAAGAGCTATACGCTGTAAAGCTGTTTTTTTTTTTTTTTTTTGCAAAAATCCTCAAACTCAATATGCAATTTATGTAGAAATGAATGCAAATTAAAGACATTGCAACGTTCTCTCCACACCTCACACATTTTTCGACCAAATGAAATTATTCTAGAGGGAAATCTACCTTCTGGGTGCTGCAGATCTACTCGACATCCACTTGGCAGCTGCAATCAGGTGCAAGATAGACCTGGATCAACCTTTGCTCTGCACCGGTGCTCGTCTGTACCCCCCTTGGTGAAGATATCGGCCTATTGAGGACTTGCATGAATACATATAAACGCCCTGCCCTCCACTTACGCCTCTTCAAGACGTACAGAGAATTGCACAATCCTCCCAACACCTCCTGCTGAGGCTGTGTCGAGCAGTTAGAGCCGAACTTGACCAAAGGTTAGGCCTCCTTGAGGTGGCGAAGACCTGAAATCTTACACATAAACAGTCTGCTGCTGCTTTGTTTATATGAATAATATTATCGTTGGTGTCAGGCCAGGATATTTCACTGGATTAAATGTGGTTGCGTACAGTAAAGCAAAGAGTAAAGCTTGATTATTGATGCTTATGAAATTCCATATTGACTTTTTTACACATTTATTATCAGATATGTGTGATGAAACTTGTCAGAGAGATAAAAACAGATAAGTCCTCTCAAGTTCATGAAGACAAGACTTTGACCCATTAAAACGTTATTCAATAGTAGGACAAAAATTGCGCAATCTTGACTTTTCAACCAGATTTACCCATCAAGACAGAAGAGGCAGGTATTTTCCTGATATAAACATAAAAATATAGATTTTTTCAAAATTGTGCGTTACAGTATTTTCTGAAAATCTTATTGGAATCCTTGTCTATCTGATTCAAATCCAAGTTATTATGTAGAGGGAGGAAATGTTAAAGTAAGATACAGGAGTTTTGGGGGGATCAGTTTGCCTCATAAAAGCAGTTGAAACTAAATAAAAATCAAACTCGGTATCCTTTTTATTAATCCTTATTGATACAAATTCTTTTCTGCTGAGCAGCGCACATTATTGGTTTTTAAGTAAATACAGCAGAAAGTTCACCCCCCTCCCCCTTTTCTCTAGTGACACACAGTTACCTCCCTCATGGGCACCACAGTCACTGAATCGTACCACCCAGTCAGACCACGTCTGTCCTGGCTCAGACTCTCACTGCTAATACTGGGTACATGCTTTCTCCAGGGGGTGGTGAATGATCATAGAGTAGATTCATCAGTGTTTAAATCTGACGACTGAGAGGAGAATTAAAAGTCTGCTTGTAAGGGACATGAGAGTGTGCCTTAAATCAAGTGTCGGGCTGAATAAATCAGGAAATAAATCCTGAATAAATCAGGAAAATAAGACTGCTTTAAGGCTTTATAAAACACTTGAATTTTGGGAAAAGTGGGACACAAAATGTTTTTTTTAAAGGGACAAATATATGTACAGACATATACATAAACACACATGTGCAGCTCTCCTTCTTGATCAGTCTCAATGCATAAGACATGATGGTCTTTGCTTTGATATAACAACTATCCATGACGGTGTACCTCAGGGCCCTGTTTTAGACCCCCCTTTGTTTACTATGTACTCTATGTGAATAAGCCGGGGCAGAAGGTTTCAGGTGGTGCGTTCCATTTTAATACTGACAACACAGTCATATACTGTTGTGCAGCAATGCTTGTGCAGGCTACTATAAAGATTTGTAGGTCAATTTAACATTGTTCAGAATACACTTCTTGAGATAGCCCCTCACTGAATTAGTTAAGATAAAACATACACTCCAAACTAGTATTTTCAACAAAAGGATTCAGACTAATCTCGTCAATAAACCCTGTCATACCATGTCTGTTGGGTCTTGAACTCTCAACCTTTATCACCAGCATCACTTCATCAACCTGGAGAAATGAGAGGGTCAGTGCTTGTTTTCACACTATAACCTAAGTTGTCAACAAAGTAATGATAACAGCTGTGCCTGCATGTAAAGGCAGATTACAAAAGGGTCACATATTGACTGTTGGTGACAAATTTCTGGGAGTTTTTGTGCTTCATGGGTACAGCTCAGAGATGTCTGTGGTTTGTTTTCAGAGATAGCGACAGTTCTATAAGCCACAATATTAGCTCACAGATACTTTCCTATACATAGATGTTTTTTTAATGGATATAATTCAAAAATCAAGTTTCTTTAAAGATCATTTTGCAGTTGTTAGTGGTCCGGACTGTGGGCTGATGAGAATCTGTTTTCAAAGTGTACAAGACCTATCATTTGCTATAATTACTAAATTATACAGGGAAAATGGAAAGAGTAAAGTTTCAGATTTCCATATAAGACAAAAAATTCATTTGTAATTTCAAACATATATATTTTAATCAGCCAAGTTCGACATATATACATTTCACTCTGCGAATGTTTATGCAGAGAAAATAAGGTGGACTTTCAACTTCATGATGATCAGCCACAAACATCAGAAATTATATCAAGAGCGTTGAATTAAGGAAATGAATGAAAGACTGAAAGACAGAAAAAGACGATGAAACTGTTATCCTGGTGGCCATTTCATCTGTCTTCCTCCCAGGACGTGGATGTGAAGATGGTAAACAGACTGAGCTCCATGTTTTCCATCATTGATCACTAAAGAGGGTAAAAACATATCCAGAACTCAATATCTCAACTTCTCTTCTAAAACTACAGTAAAGGTGCATAAATGTTATCAACTTAACAAAGACAGAACTTACCCACTCTGTATCCTTCACTTAGAGATTCTTGCTTTGCCAAATTTTTGGCAACAACCAATAAATGTCCTAAGAGCTGGAATGACCATAAATATGATAAGTGAACAAGAGACAAAGTAGTGATAACCCAGATAATACTGGTTTTGATTTCAATGTCTTCAAGCTACATTTTAATATAATAATCGTATTAGATAAACTATTTACTCAGTTAAAACAAAAAACAGATAAGGGAAAAAACAACATCCTAAATAAAGCGACACTCCTCAGGACACATATACACAGTGACACCCCAGCATGATCGAATCAAAAGCTTTAGTTGGTTTAACCCTAAAAGCTCTTTACTAGGCACAATTTTGTTTCAGAGTGATGCTGTACGAGTGTGAACATGTCCTTCAGGCAGCACACTGAGACAGTGACAGCAAACACGCTCTCTGCACACAAGGACTGGTCCTGCAGGGGTCTGAACCTGGGGGTAAGCTGGGAGGAGTTTACATGTCCCACCAGTGTTTGTTTGAGGATTTTGAAGTTTGCAGGTACACATTACTATATGATGGCCTGAAGTACATTGACATACCTGTCCACATACTGTATGTTTGTCTATGTCTGGTCTGGGGCTATATTCTGCATAGTAGCTCAGAGTCAGGCCTCTTAGATCACCCTTTAATTATTGAAGTTTATTTAGGGGACACTTAAAGCCACATACATTTTACTTCAGTATTTGATTGATTCAACAGTTGAAGAGAATTATTTAAAACTGACGACTAAAGTTCCCAAAGTTTGGTGCAAAGACTTCACAAAGTACAGCTGGGAAAATTATGATGGAGGATTTGAACTCAGATCAAAATTTTTTGAGAGTTTTTAGAATATCAGGTATTTGGAATGGTATTATTTCTGACATCAGTAGTTAACTGAGGGATGGGACATAGAATTTTGATATTGTTCAATGGCGTACCCCATAGATCTCCTTTAAAATTATAGTAGTTAAAGGGATATTCCGGTGTAAAATTAATTTAGGGTCAAACACACCTCAACACAGAGTTAGACACCCCCTCGAGAGATGAATGTTGCCAACTGCTTGCTCCTCTAGTTATACCAACTTTAGTAACAACCGCATGATAGCAATACACAGCAGTCTATAGAACCACACACAAACCTCAACAAAAACGCCACTCCATAGCCACAAATAATGCTCAGAACAGCACCTAACTTCATCAACAGTACATATAGGGTCCCAGCCATAGGACTAGCCACCAAACATCTTTTTAGCTTTGACTCGTTTCTTTAGCAAAGAGACTAAACACAACTCACCTACTCTCTTCTAGCAGCTGTTTGTTTGTAGCGAGACCTGCTACGGGGTGACGCAGCTCAAGAAAGAACATTTATGATCATTTCTTCATGGAAATGCAATCAGACCGCAGAAGAACTACCACGTCTGCAGTGCAAAATGATTAATATGATAAATATTACTTCAAGGAAATTATTAAGTAATGTGGCTACAGAGTGGCTTTTTGGTTGAGGCTTGGTGCCTGAGACCACTGTGTATTGCTATCGTGTGATCGTTACTAAAGTTAGTATAACTAGGGAAGAAAGTGGTTGGCAACATTCATCTCTCCAGGGGGTGTCTAACTCGGTGTTATGGTGTGTTTAAGCTTTATCAAACATTTATGTCAGATTATATCAGTGCTCTTGTAGGTAGAAATAAAGTATAAATATCTTACAATTGATAGCCATGTGTTACATGCAGATTTTAATGGATAATCATACCTCAGCATCATCATCTTTGGCCTCGCTTATTCCGGGAATGGGAACTCTAGGGATAACCAAGAAATGAACAGGGGCCTGTGGGCTGATATCTCTGAACGCTAAACACTGGAAAACACACAAAACAACATATATCAATGAGTATTTGGTTGCACAATCTCAATTTAACACAATTTATCTGCATTCTGACGTGTTCAGGCACATTATCCCTGGACGCCACGTGGATAAACTCAAATGAGATAACCAGAATATGTTTTGAAGATGCTTGTTTACCTTCTCATCTTCATAAATGATATCTGCAGGGATGCTTTTGTCAATCACTTTGGAAAAGATGGTTGGAGCTGGGGAGCCATATTTCTTGCTGGCCTCCTCTGCCAGTCTCACCTCGTCACTTTTGGTGCACAGTGGTCTCTGTGGATCAGTCACACATGACACAGAGTGAGTTAACATGGAGGTAAACAGGAGCTCTGTGCTCCAAGCTCACTACTGTCACCAAACAACACAACTTATGAGGGACACAGTGAACCAAACCTCTCGGTGGTGGGATGCAGCAGGTTTCCCACAGCCACCACCAAGGCTGGTAGGGCAGTTGTCAACATTTCCTGCAGTTGTTAATGAAAATAAAATGTTTAAAAGGATCATTTTGGTCATTAGAGCAGGTACCTCGGCTCGACAAACGCGGTGCAAACGGTTCAGGTGAGAAAGTCTGGTTCCAATTAACTGTGTCCGCAAAATCTGACGAAAATACATGGCTAGTAAGGTAATTAGCTACTTTAGATAACCACGACCTACATATATTTACATTTACTTCGGTTTTGACAGCACCTCAACATAGCCCTAAAAGCTGGGTCAACTCTGCACTGTATGCGAGTGTTGCCTTCAGGTACCTTGTTCTTTTAAGTGTACTTGATTTGTAACAGGTAAAATAAGACTTGCCTTGATTTGTAGAAAACTGCACGGGAAAAACACAACCCTAGAGAAGAAATACATTGTTTTTGTTGTAATATTAAATGATTTAAATTGATGTATTTTGTGATAATATTGGTTTTTGGGCGTAAGAGTCAAACAAAACCATAAGCCGCACCCAAGTACTCACCGATATACCAGACTAAATATATTTTTCCACTTCGTCAAGTGTAACAGAATACTGCATTGTTAATTGTTTGCGAATTGCGCATATGGAAATGATAGACTAAAATAAATAGGGCCAATAATTTTCGAGACTTTCAAAATTACGACATTTACAAATGCATTTAAATGAGGCGCTGTTTCAAAGTCTGCAGGGATCGCTTCAAGAGCTTCAACGTTTCCCAACGTTTGTAAATGCTGCAAACATTGGCTAAATGAAAGAAAACCGTGGACAATACCTTTGAACCAGAACATATTTGCTTCATTTTAGTCAATTTATTTTGTTTAAGATGATATACCCGTTGACATTTTAAATATGTCTGCATGTTATAGCTGTATTTTGTTTAGTATTTCTTGTAACAGGGGGCGCTGTTGTGAAGATGACATGTCATCCGAAAGGAAGTAGAATTCGTCAGGAGAGAAACATGGCGGCCCGCACACGGCTGCCCTTGCTGTTCCCTAAAAACCTTCCTCCTTTAAGAAATAAAAAGCTTGTCCACACCGAGGCTGTGGTCAAGGAGCCCGCGTATCCCCCCATCGTCCACTCTCTCACGGCTAAGAGCAAAGCAGCCCGGAAGAGACAGGTAGAGGAGCAGGTGAAGAAGATCTGCGCCTCCACAGCGGAGGAGAAGCTGACCCTCCTGACTAGGATCCAAAGGAAGAAATTTGTGGTTTACCCCCAGACTTTTGCAAGGAATGCAGACAGGTGGTACCAGCACTTTACCAAGACTGCATATATCCCGGGCCTGCCTGAAAAATTCAACCTCGGTCAGGAGGAGATAGGCGGTGAGGAGAGCTCGCAGCCGGCCGCAGCTCAGACCGCAGCACTGGGGATTGGAGATGATGTGTTCGCGAACATCCGCTCCTTGGTCACCAGGGAGATTTTACAGGAGTTCTGGCACACGAACAAGCGTAAACCTTTTCACTACAGACATCAAGAGCTGATGGTTGGACCTTTTCTGAGGAACTTGGCTACTAGACTTACCTACGGTCTGGCCAAATACAACCCCCTGTTACCCTTTTCCAGCTTGGGTATGCAGAGCTAAAATGATAACCAGAAAACACCCATTCATTCACAAAGTTGTTACAGTTTCAAAGTTTCTTTAACTTTGAATTTTACTGAAGTTTTATACTTTATTTTGTGCAAAGTTTATGTTTAGTCATTCTCACAGTTAGAAGTAGGTTTGATTATTTTTCTTATTGATGTCAGTGTTGCTGTGTTTCTCTACCAGACATCGGTCCCAGTGTACACTTTTACTGGAGAAGAGGAGAGAGAATCATCCCAAGAGGACATAGAAGAGGGCGACTAGAGCCAACCAGGTTCCAGATTGATGACAATCCACTCTGTCAGATCAGAATAACTGAACAACTCCCACAGGTAATAAATACAAGGACACCACTGTCTGTGTAGCATTCAAAATCAGAAATAACCTGCGCAAGATTAGCATATATGAAGTAAATGTGAAAGGTAACTGAAGGACGAGATATAATGTAGATGTGACTCACTTTATCTGTAAAGACTGTTCATTTAAATTTCAGTATCTGGTCCACTAAAATCACTTTCTGTTGTTTCACTTCTCACAGTTTGTCCCAATGGAGGCCTCTTATACTGCTGAAGTTCCCGAGATCACATTGGCTCCCAACATGATGCCCATGTTCAGAAAACAGTACGACAACAACATATTCACAGGTAACACAAGATATAAATATGTTAAATATTTTTGTTGCACACGAGTTTGACGTACAAATGTGAATACCTGGTAATGGTAACATGATGCACATGGGCTTAATTCTTATTTTGTTGCTTGTTCTGATCACTAGGGGGCTCCAACATGCATCTGTTCAGTCCATCAGTTTTGTTCATAAACAGTAGAGAACAAGACAAGTGAACTGAAGAGCCCCCACAGTGAAAGATAAAAGATCTATTGTCAAGGATGGCCTGAAATCTAGTTCCCATCATCCTTATGGACCTGCATTCCCATGTTTTCAGTAGTTCTCCATTAAGATAGACCCTGTCCTCAATTTTATTAACAGGATCTAAGCTACCAGACCCGGCATGCTACGGTCACACTCAGTTCCACCTGGTGCCAGATCGATACCACAGAGACTGGATGGCTCGACGGAATCAGTCTGATCAGGTGGAGGTCTTCCTCAGAGCCAACGCACTTGCCAGTCTCTTTGCCTGGACAGGAGCTCAGGCCATGTACCAGGGTAAGACATCAGATACTTCAGTGCCCACAGCAGAGACCATGATATAGTTTATACTTTGTTTATGGTGGAAGATTTTCCTGGTTTCTAAACATATCATTGTGTTCATCCTTATATCTAAAAATGTTCAAATGGGCCAATACTTGAGTCATTCTTCCCTCAGGTTTCTGGAACAACGAAGACGTCACCCGGCCCTTCGTATCCCAGGCTGTGATTTCAGATGGAAAGTTCTTCTCTTTCTTCTGCTACCAGCTGAACACCCTGGCCCTCTCTGTGCAAGTCGACGCCAATAACCCCAGAAAGAACCTCCTGTGGGGCACCGAGAGCCTGAAGCTGTACGACAGCATCCAGGATGGAGAGGTGGTCGGTTTGAATGATGGTGTCCTAAAGCTGCTGGTACAGTTCCTCTTGAATCAACCATAGAGCTCTTCATGTTTTTTTTCACCAGAATGACCTTTGGGTATTTGAACTTCAAGAAACTTTAAATGATCCAAAATCAAACGATAGACGGAAACATTATGTGAAAATGTACAGTATCATAAAAAGCAGATGAAGGGATGTTGTGTTGTCTAAAACTGAGCAAAGTACTAAAATATACTGTACACATACATGTGCTCAATGTGCAGATTGTATTTATGCAAAAATAAAACCAAGCTTTTCAAATAGACCCTTTGCCTTTTTGTTTACTCCTGAAAAAGAACGTTTAGAAGAAATTTTTATTCAGAAAAAAAAAAAACCTGCATGTCGTTCACCTTCCTTTTTTCTACTCTTTCAACAATCTGGATTCCACCTCAGCAGAGCAAAACCACCCATTACCTCTGCCTCATTACTGACGTCACTCTGTCTCCCTTACTCCACGTGCATTCTAAACAGCACATCAATCACGTTACTAGAATTGCTTTTTTCTTTCTTTTTTTTTCAGCTCAAAAATAACCCGTCTTTGTCTGCTACTTTCTTCCTCTGCAGCTGAAACTTTAATCTATGCTTTCATTACATCCAGATTTGGCTTCTGTAACAGCATTATTTATGGTACATCACCCAAAACCCTCAATGAGCTTCAGTACATTCAGAATTCAGCCGCTCATCTACTCATTCTCTCCCGTTCCTGTGATCCTTGTCCTCTAGAATCTCCATCTCTCCTTATTTCTCCTCCCAACTTACAAGACCCTCCATAACCTGGCTTCTCCCTATTTCTCCAACCTGCTTCATTCCCATACTAACCCTAACCCTAACCCCAGTTTAAGGTGCTTTTCAACCAAAAGCAACCAGAACTCTAGCTCAAGAGACTTCTCTTTCAGGAACTGGATGGCACCTGTGGCTTATTGTTGTCTGTGTTTCCACTGGGGACCTGAAGTCCAGCGTAAATAATGCAAATCAGGCCAATTATATTAGGGTTACTGTCTCTCAGCAGCACAAACAGAAGGCTTGGTAAAGGCTGCTGCCCCTCTCTGAAAGGATTCTGGGTTCTGATGAAGGGGAAATCATTTTACTAAGGTATTGCTAAATTTGTGCTTCTATGATCTTGTAAAGCATCTTGTAGACAATATATATTCCAGTGCACTACTGTTGCAGCCCCATGCTGGCCCTCTTAAACAAAGATTAGGATCAGAGTACACACATGTGGCCCCATCCCTCTCTCTGGGGCCATCGAAGGTTTTATCAACTTCCTTCACATGTACAAACTGACTGTGTCCTGTTATCTATATCAACAGAAACAAAGACCTCCTTAAAAATATCTGAGCGATCAGGTGGAGGATGACAGCGATAATGGACAGTAAAAGAAACAAGCAGAATTGAAGTGAGTCATTTATATTTAATGTACTTGTTTACACACACAGTGGCGAATATTTTAGCTTAGTGCAAGTTTACGACCAAAAACTCACAGTGGAAGTCCTAATAGAGAGGTAAGATAACCTTCCTGATCACACTTTGATACTCTGAGGTGAAAAACGCACAGAGAAGAATCCACATCTAGGCTAATATGGCTCTGAAGGTACACAGTATGTTAGCCACACGTTGCTGCAAAAGGAAATGTACGGTGACGTCAAACTGCTAGAAGTTCACTATGATTGGTAAGTTAAGGGCTTCGAGGGAGTGTAAGGCACTGCTAACAGATCATGATAGAAATCAGCACAATAAGTTGAGGTTGTTGTTGCGAGAAAAAGAAAGAAAATACTTCTCTTTTTACTGGGTGGGTTCAAAGCATTGCAATGGTTTTTTTTTTAAAAACAGGAAGTAGAAGAAAACGGTTAAATGATTGCTCTTTTATGTATGTTAACACCTGTATTTTCAAAAGTAAAACCACATCCTCCTGTGTAATAAAGCGAAAAATAACAATCCACAGATAGGAGCGGCTTGTGATTAAATATATGGGACTGATGTTAAAGTGGTGGTTATTGCTCTATGGTGAAAACATGAAATAAAGTATTGCTTTAAAGCTCTACATAGCTCACTTTGAGTCCACAGTTTTAAAAGGTCGTGGACTGGTTAGATATAAGGTTTAGCTGCTTCCTTTAAACTTTCCGCTGTCTCATCGAAGAGCTCTCCTCTGGTCCGTTATTTTCCCCAGATGACCTAATAAAAAGACAAGAACTCCTGTCATTATCAAGGTCACATGAACGGATGTAGACCTCAATTACCATCACTTCTGTTGCACTCACAGTGTGTTTGTTTGATCAGTTGCACCATTTCCTGAAAACAAGGGAGAAATTTCAAGATAAACATGTCACCACAGAAACCATAGGTCACACTATGGCTTAAATATCAGTGTGTGTCTTCTCTGTGAATACCTGCAGCTGTGTAATCTTTCTTGGACCGACTCTTCTCATACAGCAGAATGGCAGCAACCAGGATGATCACCTCAACCAGGATGGCTATGAAGGGCTTCAGAGGCTCGAAGAAACTGATGACCTTTAGCAGAAACATTCAGATTTATAAAATGCGAACCGACAATAAGAATTTTTTTGTTTGTTTGTTTTTTGTCTATAATTATTTTAATTGTAGTTGTATTTTTAATTAAAACAGTCTTTGGTCTGAAATCTCACTGGCCTTTTACACTTTTCTAAATTTCCAGCATGCCATCAGGGCAAGTTAATGTGTCCACTGTCCACAACTGAACCACTTGACATCAAGCTTATACTGTTTCATTAGTGTGGTTTCTTAAGGGCCACTAAAGACGATAAAAATAAGGTCAGAATATTTTTCTTAATTTTGGTTTTCTTCTCCGAACTCCCAGAACAAGTTTGTCACTGACCTTTAATTCAACGCGACCCATCGTGATGCCGACACCGTAGACTGCTCCACAGTAATACAAGCCAGAGTCGTCTGCTGTCAGGTCATGAATCACCAATTTGGTCTTCTTCTCGTCGTTTTTGATTGAAAATTTTTGACCTGCAATAATTTGCTCCTAGGAAAAACATCAGTCCAACAGGTTTGAGTGCTTGATGTTTGATGCTCATGAGTTAAAACCAGTGAAAATTCAGATTTGCACACCCACCTTGCCTGTCTCATTTGCCCTGTACCAGTTCCAGGTGTTCGGTGTTGGTTTGCTGTCATCCAGTTTACAAGGGACCACTACTGAGTCCCCCAGGTAGCTGACAATTGGCTTGTCCCGCTCGTCACCCATCTGTGGAACTGAAGGGTGAAGAAAGAGCATAAAAATAATAAAAATACACCAAATAAGCAGAAGGGATTCAGAGAGCTGATAACAGTGTGAAATTTGAGATATTTATAACTCAGATGGATTTTATCAGTACCTGCCAAAACAAAGTTTATCTTTGCTTCACCCCCAAAATCACATGAGTAGCTTCCAAGGTCAGCCTCACTGGCAATGCTGAACCTGCAAAGTAGAGATAGAACTGAGTTTGTTTGCTGCACAGATAAACCGATCAATGCACATCATTTAGTATTCTTCAATAGAGATGAACAAATGCATGAATTTTAATGACGAGATAAGACTCAGGGTCTTCAGGTTTACCAGATAAAAATGGTTCAATCTAAATCTAAAGTTGGAGATACATACGTTCTTTTGAGATTATACTGTTTGTTCTCCAGCTGCACTGTGACGCGGCTGTTCTCGATTTCTTTCCCGTCTTTGCTCCAGAAGCCCGTTATGTTTGTTGGTTTGTTCTGACTACCTGTCCAGGTACACATCAGCACCAGGCTGACCGGATTCAACAGTTCAACTTTCTCAGTGTGACTGTCACCTGTGTGGTAAAGGGATTTCAAAGACAGACACCATCATCAAAAACAATTCCTAAAAATGATCATAAATTGATCTCTCTCTAACTTTACCTCCTTTCAATATTACTGGGATTTTAAAGCTGTTCCCAACATGTGACTGGACATTACTTTAGTAGTACTGAGAGAAAATTCATTCATAGATATCCCCAAAATACTCACGTTGAGAGTCTTTAGCTTAATTCTTAAGGGTTGTCAGAGAAACTCATTATGAAAAGCAAAAATAAAGATTTAAATACAAACAATCTGATATGGTATAATCTTGAGGCTGGGAAACAAATGTATTATTATTTCATGCTATCTTCACTCAGACTCTTTGATTTTCTCTGATAATGACATGCTGAGAGGATTTTGAGCTGAAATAAGGTAAGCTTGTACTATTGTCAATGTTCCTGTGAGAAACTTTCTGTTTCTGTGAGTTTTGGCGCCCCCTGTGGACAAAGCAGTCTTTGCTTATCTTGTCCTCTACTTTTCAAGTAGTGTCTGCTCACTTTTGACAGTCAAATGTATCACTGAAGTTGTAAAATCAGGGCTGTCTTTGGCCGCTTGCCTGATACCTTCCCCCTTACATTAAAGATGTAAATAAAAAACAATACTACGTTTGTTCAGAGATACAACAGCAGGTTAATCCACCGTAAGCAGAGCACTTTGGAGTATCAAGTAAATAGCAGATAGAAATACGAGCTGGTGAAAGAGTGATAATAACATAAACTCTAACATTTGAACCACATTTACCTTTCAGGACATAGCTCCTTTCCAGCTTTTGAAGGGGGGCGGTGGGATCCAGTGGTGGGGCTGTTGCGCCAAGTGTCTCTGACAAAAACAAACAAAACAAATAAAGCAGAACAAAAGAAATCATAAAACTTTAACTGTCGACTGAGTTTTTGGTCGTATGTTTAATCGACAGAAAGTCAGTTGTAAGCAACAGGGGCGTATACAGAAGGGCAGTAAGGGGTATGATGGCCCCCTGTGAGCAAATGGGCAAATGAGCAATGAGCAAATCCATAATTCTATGCTATGATTGGATATTTACCTTGTCAGGGGTGGGACGTGTTTTAAAGTGAATTGTTTAGGAAATTTCAGCAATTTTGATGTGAGGTTGTATGAGTTAAATGTCTCTATTAAATCCACCAGCTACCATGGACACACTGGTCATCTCGGCCACTTTTAAGAAACTTCTAAGGGAAATAGTGTAGGTTGCAATTTTCTGTAGAAGGGGCTGAGGCCTCCATGCAGTTTGGCTAATTTTGGGAGAATCTGACCCAGGCATTAGAGAATATGGTAAGGGGGGAAGACTGAGCTGAAACAGCAAGCTCTACACACATTATCCTGTCTCCTGGGTGATTTCAGGCATTTGGTGTTTAACATTACGCAAAGCTGAGATGCAAAAATCAGAATCAGAGACCTGATTTGCTGATTGTGCATTTGATGTGTTGTATCTGTAAGTATCTTAAAAACAAGAGCGTCCTGTTGGCGAAGTAAAGTGCTGAAAAATTTCTCAGTGGAGCGTTAAAATAAGTAAAATAAGGTGGCAGACTCTGCTCCATCTGCAGTACACTGTAGCCTAACTCGCGCCATGTCCCACCTAGCAGTTTCTCGTTTAAGGGGTGGAGCTGTCCAGCATCCGTTGTAGCAGCAGAAACATTGCTTTTTATGTCGGTACGGGATAAGTGGTGATAAAAAGTGTAGATAAAGGCTCTATATTTGTGTGTATGTGCACAACTGAATGCCACAACTGTGTGAATCAGTGTCCTAGTTTGGCCACTACAGTCAAAAAAGTCTGGCTCCACCCCTGGCTGTAACGGGAAATTTGTGGTTCTTAGTTAGTCGTCCAGGGTGGTTAGATAGTTGTTGTTTTTGAGGAAATTTTCCAGAATTTTTATATACATTCTTGTTTAGAGTAACTTAAAGTCACAGTGAAGAAGATATCATAAAGCCAGGTGAAACAAATGTCAAATAAATGAATAATCACACACTATCTCAAGCCTTGAATGAACAGAACATTTTTAACTTGAACTCGTTGTAGGCTCATTGTTTTCTAAGCAGCAGAAAAAAGTACAGCTATTTTTATCCTGAAGTCTGAAGACAGCAACCTATTAATAATAAAGCTGTCTTTTACACCATAAGAAAAGGAAAATCTTCACGGGATCTTACATCAGAGGTAGCAGGGTACAATTACATCAGCCTGAACAAACTGACTTATGACTTTGTCTTAATAATGAATTATGTGGCAGACATGATCTCAGCCAAGTTAAGAGCAGTTTAAGCTCACCTTTTAGACATTTATTCATACAAGTATCTATTTTTTAATTCTGTTTAGAAATAACTCCGGTTTAATTCCTATCCTATGAGAATGAAAATGTTAGAAATTAGAATAAAAAAGATTCACATTTAAAGCTGGTGACTAAAAGTGAAAAAGTATGTAAGATGAATGATGTTGCGGAAATCTAATGACATTTAACTCTATTTTTTTTTTCCAGTGAGAAGGCAGACAGGTTTTAACAGAGCCATATACAGTCAGAATGAAACCCAAATATAGACATTTACTTGTATTGATGTTTCTGCAGGAGATGAAAAGCAGGAGGATCTGAAAAGAAAGCTGCTTCCTGATGGCAGACATGATTATTATCCCTCTGTCCCCTCTGTGTGCAGGTCTCTCACTGCTTCTCTTTCTAGTCTCTCTGCTTGCTGCATCGTGTAGCAACACCACCAACCCGCCCCCCTCCCCCTTTAGCTGCAGAAGTGACGCAGCTCTGGTATCACCCTGCAGCTTACGTGTGGCTGACTCCATCCATAATTGAATCACACAGACAGACAGACAGAGTTCCCTCTCCATGCCGTGTTGCAGTTTCATACTCTGCATGCACAAAACATCCCTGAGTAAACTCAAGAGGAGAATGTGTGTGTGTAGTGTTCAAAAACAGTCAGATCAGAGCAGGGCTGTTGTGCAGCAGCTTCCTTCAAGGTGCCCTATCCTGCTCATGTTAGGGGACTTGCAGCTGAAGGTCACATGACCCACCAGCCCTCATGAAAACATCTGAGATGTGAAACATGCCACTTCAAAGCTTACTGTCACGGTAATGCTCCTCTCATTAGAGTAGATCCTCTGACTGGACTCTGATAGCATATTTAAGTTTATATTTTAAAACTCAAAGAAAGAGATTTTATTCAAGGCTCAAAATGACATTATACAACTACTAGGTCTCTCATGACCTCTAGATTAAACTCTATTTTAATTCTTCTTGATCTAATCTCAGTTTGTAATATAGATAATATATTTTATGAAGCTGTCTTGTGTCCTCTTAACCTTTTATGCTCCTGTTGGAGATGTTTGTGATGCTCTGGCAAATTTTTCTTTCTGTTCACAGAGGTGGAAGTTTAACCAAAGGTGATCAGGATTTTGTTTTTACTTATGTTTAGAAATAACTCTTGGTTTAATTTAGATTATCTGATCCTATGAGAATGAAAATGTTAAAATTAAAATGAAAAATACACATTTAAAGCTGGTGACTAAAAGTGAAAAACAGTGTAACCAAAGGTGATTGGAATTTTGTTTCTCAGGCTCCTAAGCTTTATTGTCTACGCTACAAGATGCTATTTGAGTCAAGTCTGAAAACTTTTTCTTAACTGGCCTAATTTCGGTTGTTTTAACTTCTATACATGACGGCTTTTACCTGTTTGTTTACACTTGTTTTTTCTAAGTTTCAGTGAGGAGTTTTTTCAGGTTTATGTAACAGCCTATCAACTCATATAGATGCCTTTTCATGATGGTGTAAACTACACCATTAGGGACAAACGGGTGAGTTTTATATCAATCAATCAATCAATATAACTTTATTGTCCCCGCAGGGAAATTTGTTGTGGACAGTCAGTACTGCTAAAAAACAACTGCATTGACAGTCGACAGTTCTGCATTAACAGACATATCACATCATCTTCTCATTTCACACGAGTGAGTACATCAGAGCCAGACCACAGATATTGCACAACCCTAGTTGCAGAGAAGAAACAAGTTTCAATGGTACTTAGAAAGGCCTACCAAAAGTGGCAGATAAATGAGTACTGATAAGGAATATAAAGTGCAGAGTGACATTTAAGGTTCTAAGAACCATGATAAGTAATTAAAAACAATAAAAGAATTTGAAGAATACTAAAGAGATAGAGAATAATATCTCAGCGAATTAGTTTGTTCAAGAGGTGGATCGATGTTGGGAGGAAAGAGAGCTTGTAGCGATTGCTTTTGTATCCTGATTCTAAACAGGCGTGAGGGAGTAGGTGACAGTCACACAGCATTAGAAACAGCCCCTTAACAGTTTCCCCATAAAATATTAATAAATGATAAATTTGACTGTCAAAAGTCAGCAGGATGAGATTGCTTTTGTTAACATATACGGCTTTAGCATGCTTTGTCCACCGGGGGCACCAAATTAACACAAACACAGGAGCTTTGATGTATATCTGTATATTTTTACTCCATCCACTGTTTTATCGCTCATTTAAGACAGAAAATGATGACATGAAACATTAAGAGAAATTGATCTTTTATTGCCAATATTTTCAACAAAGAGGTCATATTCTGTCAGTGCACTTGAAGAGGGTCTCCTCTGTTTGGGCAGGACATTTGAGCTCTTTTCCACCCCTACAGAAAACCTCCTGGACCAATATTTATAACAACAGTAACTGAAGCGCCCTCATGTTTTTGTGTAGATCCTGACTCACAGGTGTTAATGCACTACTACAGCACACATACTGTAGGTCTCACTACTTGCACAGACTCCTTGGATTAAGATTATTTAATAATAATAATGCATCAGATTTTTATAGCACTTTTTTGTCAGTGACCTTAAAGCACTTTACATTTGATACATCATTCAATCGCTCACACAGTCACACCCTGGTGGTGGTAATTTACCTTAGTAGTCACAGCTGCCCTCGGGCAGACTGATGGAAACGTGGCTGCCATTTTGCGCCTACAGCCTCTCCAACCACCACCGCACAACACTCACAATCATACACTAGTGGAGGACACACACTGGGAGCAAAGTGGGTTAAGTGTCTTGCCCAAGGACACAACAGACAGACAAGGGACAGGGCGGGGATGGAACTGCCAACGGCCGACCGCTCTACCTCCTGAGTTACTGCCGCCCAGTTCAGTTCAGTCAATGTTACCTTCTATACTTTGTTCATTTTGTCCTTTCTTTAGGAATATTTATCACTTTTCTATTCATTTCTTTCCTTTTACAAACTTTCTTGACATGAAGTTAAAACAGTTTTCTGCTAGTCTTGGAAATGTGGTATTTTCAGCCAAATGAAGGTTTCTTATGCATGAAAAAAGGGAAAATTTTACATGTCTGCCCATTCAGACTCATTTTATTCCTGTAGAAACTGATCAATTAAAAGTCTCGCTTTTTGTCTTTTATAATTCATTTGAACATAAAACCTTAAACTGTAGGAAAATTTGGAAGGACAGCAGTGAAGTATGTGGGCCAGCTGCCAGTCTGTGACCTCTCACCATCAGCCTGATCCAAAAGCAGCAGTATAAACATCTGAGGGATGATACAGTGGATTGGAAAGAGTCATGCTTCACTGCAGAGCTGAATAAGGTTATAATTAGGAGCTGATGACACTAAGTGCTGCAGTGAGAGCTCAGATAGGAGACATGTAGTCCTAGCAGAGAGATCTGCTAATGAGGGAACAGATAGAAAAAGAAACAGACAAAATAAATTTGTGAAAATATTAAAACTTTGTGGAAGTTTTTAATGTCAGTTTAAGTCAGATAACTTTATAACATTGATCTGCTTAAAATTCCTGGATACTTGCTCTAATTGCACAGCAGAGGGCGCTCTTCCAGCTTGATTTTCTATATCAGCAAGTTTTCTTTTCAACTCATAACCAAAAAGAAATGTGCACACTAATGTTTTGTCAGTGAATGTAAGGAAACCATGTGTGCAGACTAAGTCCCCTGTACACCAAAATGATGTGTTTTTCCTCCAACCTGTTGCTGAGCACATCTCCTTCCTAATCAAACATTTAAACCTGCACTATTAACATTTAGATGTGCTGGCTAGTGGTCTTCTTATTGTGCATTTTTTGATGGTGTGTTGCAATGAGAGAAAAAACTGTGAATGAGTTAGTTTCTTGAAACTTTCAGTAGTTATGACTGTTTTGTTTTGCACATTTAGCTTTGTGGAAGGAGACACAATCAAGCCATAGCTCTACTAGGTCAAAAACTCCATTAAACTTCTGCATTAATACTTTAAAATGATAGGTCAGAGATGAAACTCCAGCTCTACGATGAAAAGATTTTTTGAATATATGTTTATGTATATATGTGTATATGTATAATATCCAGTAAGTTAATGTTTCTGATGTTAAAAGTCAGCAAATCTTCAATAATATGCGTCTCCACAGAACATAATTGCAGTGAAAAACTCTCATGTTAAAAAACATCAAAAATATGACAGTTAACTGAGTCCTAATTCATAGTACTCCAATAAGTTTTTCAAAAATCTCCTAAAATGTAGCTGCCACAGTCAGGATACAGCTTGATGAGGTAAATGAAGGATACAAACTCGAGAAGTCACAAAGTCAATAAGAGTAACAGAAAGAGCAGCAGTATTCTGGATACAACATTAGACTTTTAAAGCTTCTTTTTCAGATATTAATGACAGCCAGCAGCTGTTTTTACTGCTGCTGAAGCTGCAGACTGTTAATAAACACAGCCTGCAGCTCATCGATGTCGTCAGTGGTCTCTATGGGGATGCTTAACCGGCCTGGTGAGACTGAGAGTCCAGGAGCAGAGTCATACGCACATTCATGGTGAGGCTGGCTGACGTTTTCATAGCAGGAATCCCCACAGCCCCCCACTGCACCCAGGTAGTACTGCTGGGGGGACAGTCGACTGTAGTCCTGGGCCTGGTGTGTCCCATGGTGGAGGTGGAGGTGGTGTTCAGGCCCAGGGCTGTGACATGGGCTGTGGGAGGGGCTGTGAGGCATCATGCAGGTCTGCAGGCAGCTGTTTCTCCTCACGGCCCGGTGCAGGTCCAGTCGAGCGATCAGGGGTTTGCCGATGTTAATGCTTTTGGTCCAGTGGACAGGATCGTCGTCCATGGCAGGGTAGGTACCCTGAAGGCAAACGGTGAACACCAGCTCCTCCTAAGGCAGGTGGAGTGTAAGTGATACAGGACAGTAGTTTATTATTAGAGTAGGATCCTTTTTTTGTGGCCCAGATTTGCTATTTTCAGCTTTATTTGACCAAAATAGAGAATGATATAAAAATGTAGTTCATCTTACAAATAAAGCTGAGTAAAGATGAATTACTATCTTATGTAAACACTCATAAAGCTCAGGGAATGACTCGGTTAGTTGTAATCCCATGTTGTTAAAGAAGATCTGAGTTTTTTTCTTGAGGCCAGTAAATTCACATCAGCATGCTAAATGAACAAGGTAAAACTAGCTGATATATGTGGTCATGATGAAACTTATCAAGAGAAACAAAGAAACACAGTTTAAAGGACAGATTCATAATAATGTTTTGGGTTTTTATGTGGCTCCATTTTGTCTTATGGAAAAGTTGTGCTGAGTATTTTTACCCTGAGCTTCTGCAGTGAGCTGACCCTGGTGTAAAGGCAGTGCTGCGGTAGGGTTCTGGACAGAAAGTAGATCCCGGTCTCCTCTGGGGTTTCTCTATTCATCTCTTTAGGGTCCACATCAAGCTCCTGCAGTAAGGGAAGGAAACAGGTAGCAAATTCCATTTGTACACAGATGAGAAATTTTCTGTGCTTGTCTCGTGCTCAGTATTTGTGACAACATGCTGACCTGTGAGAAGTCTGTGACGTGAGCCTGGCAGAAAGACATGTCCTCTGGCTTTTTCACGATGTGAGTGTAAATGACAAGGACGTTGGAGAACTCTGCAGCAAAGCCCAGCTTGATCTGAGCCCCACAGTCAAAGTTAAGACACATGCTCTCAGGAAGCTCTGCAAAAACACACAAAACACAAACATTTCCAGGTTTGGTTGATTAAAAAAAATCTGCTGTTTTTTATGATCCTGATACAAGTTTAAAGAATAGCCTTTTACAGCTTGATGTTAATCTATTTGTGTTTTCTCTTTGATTATTCATGAACAAGTATGGTGTGTGTTTGCTCTCTAGACACAAAAACTCTAAAGATGTCGTCAATGACCCCTAAGAAAGGGGTTTGAAAGAAAAGGCTGCAAGATAAATTTTAGGAGAGGTGACAGGATGAAAGGGAGAGAAAAATATCAGAGGTGGGAATTGTGGAGTCAGCAAGTCATCTCTATGCCATGTATTTGTTCTGCTCAGTTCCTGAACCAGGTGCCTTCACTAATGAGCTCACCTTCCTGGCTGCTCATTGGAAGCAGCTGGTTCAGTGACAGACCAGAACAAATAAATGGCATGGAGATGACTTGCTGACTCCACAATTCCCACCTCTGAAAAATATAATTCTGATACTCAACAATATGTCACATTTTTATGACTGTTCTTGAAAGAAGTTTCAGGTTGATTCAGATCAGCAAAAGTCCATAAGTACTCTAACAAGAGGGAACACAAACCAGAGAGGGAACTACCAACATGTCTCACAGCCTGATACTCCAGTATGTACAAATGTTATGTGATTTCCCTTGCAGCTCTGTTTTCAATAAGTAAATATTTACTAACTGATAGAGCTTCAAACTCACCATGAGCCTTTGCCCACTGTCTGCTGAGAGTGTGGGCGAGATCAGCGCTGTCGCCGGGCAGAATGGGATCGGTCAGAGCTCTCCTCTCTGACAGACTGCTGCGGATCTCCAGAGCCTGTTTTCCCTTTGTAGCATCAAACTGACCCATGTCTGCACCCAAAGGAGATAAAAAAATACTTATGATCTATTTCCAGAGGCAAAAAAAGACAATCCTTTCCTTCAATTTCAGTGCTGTCAGATAAGTAATACTTTATTCAGCCAAAGTTTATACAGTCATATGCTTTGTTTCTGTTCCTCTCTCACCCTCAGCCACCCTGTCCAGCACCACAGTGATCTTCTCATCGTCCAGCAATCGCTTCTTCAAAAACTTCACAAACACACCGTTTGTGAAGCCGCTGGAACTCAGCTCAAAAGCCTCAGCGTCCTGGCACCTGAAAAGCCAAACCAAGAATACAACATTTTTACATTTCTGCAAACAAAAACAGAACATGTATAAAACCAGAATTAAAGTTTTATTGAAACTTACGTTGCATATCCAAAGACAATGTTGGCTGTGACCCTCAGGACAATGTTTGGAGTGCTGTCATCATGAAAATTCCTGAAAATTTAAAAAGATGTTTAAAATAAGAAAACCAAAACACTCCAAATCGAATCTAAACTAAAACTAAAACTAAAATGCAAATTTAATCTATCAGTTTGGATTTTTATCTTTGTGCAAATTAAGACTTTTGATAGCCTGTATTAAAAAATATGTTTGAACCACAGTCCTTCTTCATCAGTTTTTGAAATTGCATAGCCACTTCCCTGTGTTTAACTTTACCCTTGATGAATTAAATAGAATGAAACACTGAATGCAGATTCTTACTCAAAAGTTGATCTATACTTGACTGATCTTTACAAACAGAATACTGTCCTGTTAAACTTGCAGGAGCGACTCCGACGTAATGGACCCACCTCTTTCTGCACATGTCCAGCAGGAAAACATTGAGGCCCGTCTCTTTCTCCTGCATCAGTTTCAGGATGCTCTGCACACATAAACAGTTGGCTGAGTGGTACGGGTTCGGGGCGTCAACAGGCACCATGAAACTGTTCCCATAGTTCTCATATCCATGACCGGCATAGTACAGCAGACCTGAAGAGGAGAGTGTGTTTCAGACTCTTTATCTCATATGTAATAAAGTGGTTAATGATTTTCATACGACTTTGTAAATTCTAGGTTTGTAAAATTCAAACACACCATAGACTCCTTTGTGAAGCAGCAGCAGAAACTCGTCCACAGCGTTTCTCATCTCTGACTCTGTGAGGTCCAGCAAGGAAACCACCTGGAAGTTCAGCTGCCTGAGGAGGTTGGTGAGGTCATACACGTCCACCATGGGAGCTTTGAGCTGCGGGTGGTTCTGGTAGGACAGATTACCGATCAGCAGGGCCACTTTGTCTGTCGCTGCAGGGAAGAAAAAAGGTTGTTGATACTGATAATGAGGGAGCAGATTGGCGGATGGCTCATATATCTTTTACATAAAAGCAATATCACATCACATTTAAATAAACAAAAACAGAGAATAGTTTTGCTCAGTAAGCTTTTGGCATAAAAGAATTTGGGAGTTTAAAATTAATTAAAAAGAAAAAAACTACAAGCTACATTTTATGCATCATGCTGCTTTCTTTAGCCTCCAGTAAATGAGGTTTTGGAAATACATCAAACTAATTTTTGGCATTTTTCAACGTAAACGAACAAACTGGAAAAAAGTTTTATTAAGGATCCTGAAAAATGAAGAAATTTACCAAGAAAGACACTTAAAACTTAAAAAAAAATAGATGTGTTGGTGCCATCTACAGGATAAAATATGTAATTTTGCTGCTACTGGCCAACAAATGTAGTTTTTTTTTGTCTGTCTTCAATTTATCTAATGTAATGGCAAAAAAACTTGAATATAAAGATCTCAAATAAGGTATTAAAGACTTACAGAGGACTAAATCAGACATAAATATACTTAAAATACATTTAACTGAGTTACAGGAGGTCCCATCAGTAATGCTACAAACTTCAAACAGAAGTGTGTCAGCCACACAGCAGAGTACAAGGTAATTGACACTCACCATAGAGCTGCTCTGGAAGACTGTTGAGGAAAAAATCACTGGAGCCTGAAAGACATTGTCACAATAAACACATATGAAAATATCAGGATACAAAAGTGTATCTGGGACATTTTTGTGGACTGTCATTAGAGTGATAATTCTTACCTCCTCCAATGGCATACACATCATCTAGAAATAAAGAAATACAACATATGACTTTCACATAATTGAAGTACTGAACATCAATAGAAAAGATGTTACTTTGATTCAGATGAGGAGGATTAATAGACTAAAAAGCAAAGAATAAAGTGTCCTTGATTCAGGAGAGTCTAAATCAGGGAAAAGAGAAGCCCTTCAGACCCAGGAGAGAACACATATTTATCCCACAATGATATTTCACCATTAATATTAAATTTAAGGTTAATCTTTATTGTCAACAAATCCCAGACACAGACATTTCCTCAAAATGATCTCTAGCAGCATTAACTAAACTCAACTCAGGACATAAATCTTGGCTCACTTTATTTTGGTTTTGATTTTGAAGAATAAAAGGGGGCACAGTGTAAACTTCTGGGTACTGTAGTTCTTTAGAAACCTCTGTTACTGAGTTACAAGAAGGAAAATCACAACTTCTCGGTTGTGAATAATTTTTAGTAAATCAAAACCGCAACATTTTATAGGGAAGTCCTTGTCATAAGCATTCATTAATAGTTAAAAAGCCACTTATGAGACTTAATAAGGTGCTTCAAACATGAGTCAGAGTTAAAAAGTGGTTATAAAAGCACAGTTGACAAATTGTTGCTTATAAGACACTTTGGGGATCTCCTTAGAAACTTGGTACAGTTTATATACCTGCCATACACACCAAAGGGAATTTATTAACATTAATCAGACTTAATACGGATTAATTCAGGATAAATTAACAGATTTACTACAAGGCATTTGCTAGTGTTGTTTTTCCAAAATGAAAGTCTTAGTGTGATTTTGTGCCAGCTGAAACAGAGCACTGTTAGCTGTTCATAAGTGCTCAACAGAGGATTTATTAGAGAGTTAGAGGACTAACTCTGGGCCTAAAGATATCATCTTTTCTTATAAAAATAAAAAGAAACTAGTTTGATAACTGATAACTTTTTTATTTATCTTTTGATACTGGTTAGTAAATTTCATGTCCATAGGTCTAAATTTAGTAAATCTCACACTTCATCATTTCTATCACTGTGTGTAAATATAACAAAGAGACCATATAGACATACACATTGAGTTAAATTTAAGACTTTTGTAGAGAATAAGAATGATGTTTGCCTGTTATATTACTGTTTACAGGCAGATTTTTCCTCTTTCTTTTCTTTTTATACTTACTATTGTTAGCGTTACTGCATGAATATTATGTTCAGGGAAGCTCTGCGCTTCATCTTGTGAAAATACCTTAACCAAACTTGTCACTCACAGTATATTTGCACTGATATTTTAATCTTTGTATATGTTTAGACTTAAAATAAAGTTTGTTTTCAAGTTAAAGTCTTTCAGAAAAAACTGAAGGTGTACGATGAAGCTACATTTGGTGTTGATGCATTAAATATGCTGCAAAAATCAGATTAGCAGAATATTTGGATGAAATGTTAGTTTGGAGATTTGTTGACAAAAACAAAACTCTCTATAAAAAGAGTATTTCACAGACACAAATCATCTTTAGTGAGATCAGCTGAAACCTGGAGAACAAACCCAAGAAGGTTGTGTGTGTGTTAGTGGTTAACTGAAAGAAATCATGACCAACATGCACTGCAGGAACAATTCATGATGTTTTAAACAATGTTAGGATTAAATTTTCATGTAGACGTGAATCACCACACACCAGTCCCTTCAACTCTACCTTCAGAGCACTCCATTGCCTCTGAAATCTGGACAGAAATCCTTGGTGCTTTCAGTCGAGAACAGAGCAAATTATCACTCAGACATGATGATGATAATGAAGCTGGTTTTAGTGGACTGTGTTAGCAGCAGAGAACAGTGGGACATACCTATAACAACATCCACTTCGTTGGTCCACATTCGCTCAGTGCTGCTGCTGATCTCACAGCGGTACCTGCCGTGCTGATCCTGCATCACATGAGGGATCTGAAATACACAGAGATTTTTATCAAGCAAAAGACGGTTGAAGATAATTTAGAAACTGAAAAGGTGAATATTTAAAGCTTAAAACCAAAAAGACTGACGGTAAACAAAGAAAATAGTTTCCAAACAAGTAGGAAAGCTTCAACTGAAAAACCTCTCCTGCTCACCATGAGTCTCCTCTTTGTTGCGTTGGGGATTGGAACTCCATTTCTGTGCCACTGGTATCGAGGAATTGGCCGTCCCACTGCCCCACACTCCAGCTGAAGGTTTTCCCCGACATGAAGCCTCTGAAGCTGAGGCTGAATCACCAGCTTCAGCCGACCTCCTAAAGACTGATAACTGTGCCCTGAATGTGGAAGGAGAGGATATCAATAAGTTTATTATCTCCTACATGCAGTAAATAGATTCCTGTAAGAAGAAGAAAATCTGTCCCTCCAATACCTTACCATAAGACCTGGCAACATTCAGGACGTCCACCTGCGCCCATTGGCTGAATTCAAAAGCTTCTCCACAGTTGACCCTGCAGATGTAAAAACCAGCGTCCTTCAGATGAACTGGACTTATCACCAGATCTGGGGAGAAGCTGTTTGGCACCTGAAATAATTTGTTGGCATGTCTTAGTGTCCACTGGTATTACCATCAAACATGGACTTACAAAGTAATGATATAAATCAATTCTAAATCTTGAAACTGTGTGTCTGTGTGGGAACTGAGTGAGGCCAAGGTCACAGCTTACCTCATCCTTGCCCTTGAACCACTGATACTGCACAGGAGATTTTCCCACAGCGTTGCAGCTGAGCCGCAGGTTGTGTCCTGATATAAGAGCCACTGACTGCGGCTGAATGAGGATCTGCAGGGCTGTGCACATTGGAGACTTTCACTTTCAATACACATCATATCCTCACAATGTCAGAGTGATTTCAGGCAGGTACAACAGTACCAACTCGTTTCAACAGTTGCAGCTCAATAAATCAGAAGGCCCCCAAAAAGTTCATTTTCTCCCATAAATGACTTCAAAAAGTAAAACTTCGATAATTCATCTCACAGGAAAAAGAATTGGACTATTGCTTAGTTGTCCAAAGTTCTGTTTTCATCTCATTTGGAAATCTAGCTCCCACAGTCTGGAGGAAAACAGCAGAGGCACAGAATCCAAGGTGCTGTAAGTCCAGTGCCATGTTTTTACTGTCTGTGATGGTTTGGGGTTCCATGTCATCTGCTGGTGTTGGTCTACTGTAGGACTGGTCGATATGGCTTCAAATCATTATCACGATATATTGAGCAGTTCACCTCAATGACAATAAATGGACAATAACTACTCCACAAGCTGCTCACCCCCTCCCACATTAACTTTGTCTACTTCAGCCGCCACTCCAGCTGCACCAACTTTTGAACTGTCTTCCATCTGTCTTTCCCTTATTGTTACTGGATGGGGTGGAGCCACATCTCTGACGTGGGACAGCATCTTAAAGGGACATGAGACCATTGCCTACCTACACACATTCAAAACCAACTTTTATTTATTTATTTTTTTGACACCGAATATATTGACATGGGCAAAATGATGAATTTCGGTATCGGTACATTTTTGGTTTATCACCCAGCTACTGTGTTTGATCAAGTCCAGTGTCAACACCGTCTAAAGTCTACCAGGAGATTTTAGAGCACTTCTTGCTTCCATCTGCTGAGAAGCTTTATCGAGATAGGTTTCCTTTCCCAGCAGGACCTGGCACCTGCCAACAGCACCAAGACTACCAGATAGTGGTTTGCTTACAATGATATACTTCTGTGCTTGACTGGCCAGCCAACGTGCCTGACCTGAACTGCATAGAGGATCTCTAAGGTATTGTCAAGACAAAGACGAGAGACACCAGAGCAATAATACAACTGAGCTGAGGAGGTATCAGAGCAACCTGGCCTTTATAAAACCCGCGCAGAGACACAAACTGATCGCCTCCATGCCATTTTGAACTGATGCAGTAATTAATGCAAAAGGAGCCCCGACCAAATACTGAGAGCATAAATGAATGTAATTTTCCATGAGTCAATTTCTTGGATTGGGGTTTTGTAATGTTTCAAATTTGTGGATTTTTGAGCTGTAAGCCACAATCATCAAGATGGATACAAATATAGTCTTGAAATATTTCACTTTGTGTGTGATAGATCTATATGAAAGTTTCACTTTTCAGTTAAATTATGAAGGAAAATGACATTTTTTGGGACCTTCTTATTTTTTGAGCTGCAGCTTTTTATAGCAACATTTTAAAAGAAAAAGTGGATTTATTTGAATGCAGATTCTCTGCAGATGATAAACTTCCCATGTAAAGCATATCTTTGTCTTTAGAAAAATCCAAATTGATTCAACCCAGCTTACGGTGCCAAGCAACAATGATGTTGTAAATGTCATCCAAAACACCTCTGAGTGAGTCATGAATTCCCCTTAGAGCTAAGAAAAAATAAACAGAAAAAAAGATCAATCAGCTTTGACACCAGGGGTGTGTTTTTTTTTCACTCTACTTGGTTGTTTAAGGCACTGCAGGGCTTCTGAGTTTCCCAGAGTTTGGAGGTAGTCGGCCAGGTGACCCGAGCTACAGCCTCGCTCTCCCATCAACCTCAGCAGCATGCGGCTCGGGCTGCCCTCCAGCTCCAACACCTTCAGGGAGCACATCTCCATGTCGTCTGGACTGCAGGACCAGGAAGAGATCAACAGCAGGTCAAGTTGCTCAAGTTATATCTCTCAGTATTAAACAACAAACCTAGTCATAAAAATGTGAGGTATGCAAATATACATTTTATCTTATGCACTATGCATGGTAATGTTCTTACAAAGGATGATTTAGTGGTCTAAATCCTGTGATAATGATTAACAGTACATTTCTAATCAAAGATATCAAAAGGTTTCAGTTTCAGGTGACAGAGTTGGGTTCAGTCATAGCTCTGGTCTGCTTTAATGTGCTTCTATGTCTTACACTGAACAGAAACAATGCACACCAGCATACCTGACTTTGAACCGCCTCTCGTTTCCGACTATCTCTCCAAGTTTTCGCCATCCTTTACTGCCAGATTTGTCCAAAACTTCACAAAGTCTCCTCACAACCGGCTCCTTCAACAGGTTGATATTGGTGGATCGGTCCAGAGAATCCGTCATGGCAGCCAGCGACTAAAGTTTCTCATTAAAGCGATCTTGTCAGAGTACGGACACCAAACTACTAAACCCCCGAGAATAAGAAAATCTTACTTCCTGAAAGACGCGCAAAAGTGACACAGACACACCTACTGCTCTGCTGCTGTGGGTTTCCCCCACGCAGTCGCTGCTCCGAAGAGTATGGTAGTGTCAAGATGAGTCACTGCTGGTTGTGTTCAGGCATCAGTAGAGACAGCGGTTGGTGGGTAAACAGTCAGCCAGGCAGTGTGATCCTAATGTGGGCAGGTTTACAGAGAAGAAAACCAGCAGAAGAGAGACATCTTGATTTGGCTGCACCCTCTCCAGAAGAAACCCCTCCTCTTCATTTTCAGAGCCCACCTATCCTCTCTCCCACAGAGTCCACCTGTGGCTGAGGGAAACACCAGTCCTCAGGTGACTTATGACGGCAGAAGGTTATTTGTTATTTTTTTTAAAAAGAGAGAAAACTACACAAACTGGTGAGTCGGGGAGGTGGAAAAGTGGAGATTTAACTGGTTTGTTGTTCAGTTATTGTTGTGCATTTCAGATGAATTATGTTTAGCAATTTTAAAGGGCATCATGTTGACTTCCTTTTTTGTTTTCTGGCAGGTAGAGCATGAAAATGTTATTGTGCATTGTAAATATGATAATGCCTGTTGACCTTTGGTTAACTTTGAGTTCAGTTTTGTCGTTTGTGGGACTATTTGATAAGAAAATTGCAACACACTGATTTTCTTTCTATAACAAATATATATAATATCTTTAAATGAAGACACATGATCTCTTACAATTTGTTTTTAAAAGTGGATGTTGTTGGAGTTGTTTCATTCAAATGTATTTACTATTGATAGATGTTGAATCATTTTTAAACACATAGGTTGAATTATGGAGAAAGGGTGACTGTGGTATGGTATCATACAATAACCCAACAGCCTCTTTCATATGTTTTGTCATTACACAAACCATGTTGTGAAGACAAAGAGTAACACTACGATTACAGAACAGGAACCCAGCGTGTGTTGTCAAAAAGCCTTGGGTATTCTTTGTTTGAGCACAATTCATGATGATGGTATTTGCCAAACTCGCCAAATCATTCTGTACTTTGTTGACTAATTAAGGCTATGATTTTTCTTTGTTTTCATTCTTTTAAGCTTCAGACATAATTAAGACTTTAATTTTCTGTCTTTGTAAAGTCAGAAGTTCATAAAAATGCAAACAGAGTAACAAAAAATGTGTTGTACACCTAAAATAATGTTATCCCTGACACACTGTTCTATTTTGATAAAGAAGAGATCAACTGGGAACTTTTATTTGAATTTCAGTCTTGAATCACAGACTGGCAGTAACCCTGTTTTTAAGTGATTAAATGTATTCTGTGTTTTTAGGTGGCAAAGATCAATCTATTTTTGGAGTCTGAGCGAGGAAGCTTTAACCTGCTCTCACTGTAAGACAATCAATCAGACCACTTTTTAGTGTTGACAAGCCTCTGTGTGAGTTTTGTTACCCAAAACACAAAATGGAAAACAACCCAAAGACCATTTAGTTTATTTCTTAAATTTCAGAAAATGTTTCACCAGGATGACATACTTAAATGTGCTCTGAATGAATCTGTCACATGCAAATATTTAGCCATTACTCTTGTTGTAGGCCCTTCATATCCTTACTGTTTTGGGTGAAAACAAAGCACAGACAGAGTCACAAGTTTTTACCACCTCATTAACTACACACTGGGGATGTCACTTCCTCTTTTTTTAGGATGCAGAGCTTATTTTGGATGATGAGAGGTCTTGAGTTGGCCCTGCTGCTGCTGCTGTGTGCTGCTTTACAGTCCAACAGTAAGTGAAAAGACGTATTTGACAAATCTTTGATTTATGATATTATGTAAAAAATTTAAAAAAGAGTTAAATCAGAAATAATAACAGAGGCTCATAGATAGTTTGGCTTTTGCTTGAAGTTACTTTTGCAGAATCAGTGTCTCTGATGGATCTAAATTATCTCTCAGTTCTAGATATTGATCTCATCCTGTTTGAATAAGTACCCGGGTCACTCAATTTAAAAGGAATCAGGGGTCAAGCATCACAGTTTGGAAGGTTAAGATATGGAAAGTTTAAGTGAAGAGTTTTCTAATTGTTTCAGTGCACAGTTTAAGAGCTGATGCTTGTTTATCGCATTTGCTTCCAGGCATGTCTCCACCAGGCAAACCAGTCCTGCTGAGCTGCAGGTCCCCTGAGAAGGAGACGTTTACCTGCTGGTGGGAGCCAGGCTCTGATGGAGGTCTGCCAACAACACACCGCCTCTATTATGAGAGAGAAAGGTCAGTGTGTTGTTGCATTTTGCCTCAATGAAAGGGTCACAATAGAAATAGTGCAAAGAAATGAGGGCATACAGCTAATACGATAAATCAAATTAGGGTTTAAATCCCTTTATGTTGGGAGGTTTTTTACCCCTTAGGCCTCCAGAATCTTCTTCAGTTTTGGTTTAACACCCACCCTGTGAGTAAGTGAAAGTAAAGCTGTTGTTGTTGTTGTCAGGGAGGTGAGTGGAAAAGTACTGACTCCCCTGTTAGCACACTTGTGCTCACTCATCTGAGCACAATTCTTTGTTGCTGTGCAGAGAAACCTGTAGGCTTTATATGCACACCTGTCAGAAGTAAGCCACAGTGTTCAGATATCAAAACAAAGTGCAAATACTCAAAGTCCCAACCTTTTCTAGAGCGGCAGTTGTCAGTTCACTGCTTTGTTACTGGATTGTAAAAACACTGTAAGACAACCTGACCAATGATACTCCTTTCATTTGGTTGATCTCTGATAAAAATGTGGACCAAACCTATACCCTGACCATTAGCAGTCTTCTTTTGTCTTTGTGCAGACTAAAGGGAACACACGAGTGTCCGGACTATCAGTCAGCGGGCAAGAACTCCTGTTTCTTTGACAAAAACCACACCTCCATCTGGGTCGACTACTACCTGACAGTGGTGGCCTCCAACGCACTTGGAAATGCCACTTCAGACCTCCTGAAGTTGGATGTGATGGAAATCGGTAAGTCAAGTAAACTAGTTTTAAGTAGCCCTGGATCAAAGTAAGTTAAATGAGATGAGAATCAAACTACAAGGAGAACTGACTGGGGTTTCTTCTGATTTCACTTTGAACTATTGAAGAAAACTGGATCTATTCGTTGAAGCACAAAATGAGAAGAAACTGGTCTTGTCTGGTTTTGTGTACGTGTGTACTGTCTGAGATCAAATTTCACATCCTCTGTATCGCCTGCATATAAAGAGTGAAGTTTTCCGTGCAGGTAGAAAAAAGGGGATTTTTAACGTTATTAATTGCAATAAATCATTGACCAAAATCCAAAATAACACAATGAGATTAAGTATTTTCTACTTGATATACTTAATTAAGTATTAAGTATTTTGTTGAGCCTTTTGTCTGAGGCACACACACACAGACACACACACACAGACACACACACACACACACACACACACACACACACACACACACACACACACACACACACACACACACACACACAAAATAATAGTAATAATTGCTTTTAATCCTTGGTCATTCAGGTCTTGAGTCAGACAGTCAGTTTGATAAAACTTTATTGAGTTCCTCACATATTAAAAACTTTTCTCACCCCTTCAGTTTCTGACAAGATAGTTTTCTAGTGCTAGTCCCAGATAGATAACAATATAATAGGTACACACATAAATTATGATTGTTAGAACATATGTGATTTTGCATGTTTGCCATTCTTTCATCCGATTTCAACTCATCTGCTACTTTGATAATGACTAAAAACCTGAAAAACTAAGAAAATGACCACTAACCCTGGATCATCTTGCTTGTATTGCTGTTGTGTTGCATGCTTATCCAGCAAACAAAGAGGGTGAACATTTTAAAAGAGGCATTTTTGTCATTGCAAGTATAAAAGCACGCCTAATAAGTGAGTTATGTATCTATCTGTAATCGTCAGTGAAGCCGGACCCTCCTGAAAATGTGGCGCTGCAGGTGGAGGACAGAGAGGACAGTCCGCTGCTGCATGTCAGCTGGGAGCATCCCCATAACACAGACATCAAGTCTGGCTGGGTTACCATTAAATATGCACTGAGAGTCAAACAAGGCAACAGCAATAAGTGGAAGGTGAGCTTCAAACTGTATTCCCACAGACTCCAATATATAATTTTCTAAATTTTTGGTCTTACAAATCAGGGTATTTAAATGTGTCTCTTTTATGTAGTGATTGTAGTTTTGGATATTTTATGGATCAAAGAACAAATATTGGGAAATTGATTGATAGTGAAGCACTTATTAATGGCAGTCCTGCAGCAAAAACAACTTTGTGATGCTATAACAAATATGTTTACTGTTGCACAACTGTTCAAAAGCTGTATCCTTATGTTGAAAGTAAATTTAAAGTTGAAAAAGGATTAAATTTGTATTAGATCCTTGTCAAATAATCATAAGAAGATAAGCTACAATCCAAAGGTTGGGGGCAAGTCAAGCTTTAAAGTTAAATAAGAGATTTTAATGAGAGATTTAGTAAAGAATTAAAACTGCTGCAAGTCACTGTAATCAAAAACAGTTGTAAAAACTTCAGACCTCCGAAGAAGAGGAATTGAACTACCTGTCAGTTTGAGGTCAGGTTTACGTAATCATCCAGCAGAGGGCAACACAGAGGCCCTGTCCAGAACTGTCTCCTGCTTTGACCCACTTTTATACAGAAATATCTGCACAATGTAGTTCATAAAAATGTGCATTTTAAATGAACCTGACACACGCAGACACGTCGATGCTCATCTTGAGTTCGATTCCTTTTTTTCTTCCTCAGGAGTACACATCAGGTACACAAACCCATTTCCGCCTGTACAGCGTCAGTCCCGGGGTGGAGTACACGGTTCAGGTGAGATGTATGTTAGATCATGGCTTCTGGAGCGAGTGGAGCAACACCTCCTCTATGGGAATCCCAAACTGTAAGTGTAGCTGTAGTACAGGTCTTGCTCTTTGCTGTGTCTTTTGCATGATGATAAGGCTGCAACAAGAACTTGAAAGTTACAGGAACTCCTAAAAACTGCAAAATGTGATTTTTTTTTCTTTAATCAGATCTTCAGACTGAGAGGCCGTTTTGGGTTTTGATGCCCACCCTCTTTGTGATCCTGTGTACTGTAGTAATGTTTATCCTGGTTCTGAAGAGGAAAAAGTGAGTGACACCTGCAGAGTAATATATGTACCATTGTGAGAGATGTGTCTAATCCTGACTTATGTTTGCTCCTGAAGCTTGAAGCAGTACGTCCTGCCACCTGTTCCACGTCCGAAGATAAGTGGAGTTGATTTTCAGCTTTTGAAGGTAAAACTGCACCTGAAACATTTTTTTAGATATACCCAGAAAGTTGCTTTTTTTCTCTGTTTAATGTACTTAATTTACCCTGACCTCCAGAGTGCACCCACTGAAGATACCATCAATGCCCTGAATCAGAACTTCCCTTGTATGGTGGCCTGGAAGGATCAGATGGAGGACTATTTAATTGTCACTGAAAATGACAATAGATTTCAACCAGATTTCTTCAGTTCACAGAAAAGGAAGAACAGCCTTTTGTTTCCGTCTGGTTTATACTTACACTCTGAAATCCAGGAGTCAGAGCCCAGACTGAATGACCAGGAGAACGTTGGGAAAAGAAGTTTATCTTATGTTCCCGCCCAGGAACATCAAAACCCGAGTCTAAACTTTGTGTTCACAGAAGCACCAGATCAGACTCACTCAAAACATGACGCCTCAGTCAAGCCATTCCCAAACACTGGGTATGTGGATATTCAGAGGTGTGGAGGAAATACACAGGAGGTGGATGAGGAACAGCTGCAGTACAGCAGAGTGAAAGAAGTGGACAGCGCTCTCATACTGGAGAAAGAAAATATCACTCTGAGCAGGTCTGGCTACACGGATATTCAGAGGCAGGAGGAAAACACATCGGAGGGCTACAGCAGAGTGAAAGAGGTGGGCGGTGACAGTGTGGTCATCCTGCAGCAGAAAAAAAATCTATCTCCAGACTCTGCCTATCAAGAGGAGAGAGACTACTACATGGACTATAAACCAAGAAGTCCTCATGTGACTGGATTTAATAGGACTGGATTATGCACAGAGATGAATGATAGCGGGTATGTAGATAATGTCCTGAACCACTTTTAATGTGAGTATCTTCAGATTTAAGCAGCCATGCTCTGCGTTAAGAATGAGATAATTTCACCTGACTTTTTTCTGTTAGTAGTTTAGTTTTAATGACTGAAGTATAGACGATTAGCCAATCTGGGTAAGAATGACTGACATTTGGAAATGTACTATTTTGCTTTTCAGTTAAACAATCTTTCTTTTCCCTGTTATTTTGAAGAAAAAAGCAGGAACCTCCTCACAGTTGTAATATTTTACCTTTTTTAAATAACAGGTATTTTTTTGTATTTTTTTATTGCACAAAATTTGAAATCTACTTGAGCTAATGTGTGAAAGTGACGAATTAGAGCAGTCAAGGTGGAATAGGAAAGAGTGATGTGGCCGAGTTGAAAAGGGGGCTCAGGTAGAGTACTCTGAGAAGGAGTTTGGGGAGTGAAGGATGAAATGGGGTTGGGGTAGGATGTGATGAGCAGGAGTCCAGTTAGAGTAAGATTATTGAGTTCAGATGAGAAAGGAGTTGAGGTAGGGTAGGATCCCATCTTACCCTACCTATTATTTAACTACATTATTGATTTTTTTTCCAACCATATCATCAGCTCATCACATCTTATTTTCTGTGGCATTGACTGAATACCAGCCAAGCTTATACATAGACATGCCACTCTTATTAGTTGTTATATTATGTCAGTATCAACAGGATACTGCTTCAGTGAGCTATCATGTTGTACTCATCTGTGGTTTACCTCATCTGAGAAAACAATTGCATTCATGGCAAAAGCCTCTTTTTGCACGAGTGTAATTTGGCTTAAATTACAGGAGGGAAAAAGGTTCTATATTTGAAATGATTATATTAATAAATCTGGATTTAACACACTTTTAATTAGGATGTATAATCATTTATAAAAGATATTGATATGTATGGATGTCTTATAATAAACTAGGTGTCTATTGCTGAATTAAATTGTGAAGTGTTTTTAAATTATTGATTAATTTTCAAAGTCTGAAATTTCTCATCAACTCCACAAGCAGAAAAGAAAAACATGATTTGCAATGTGAGTTTAATTCTAAATGATGATTTTATTGGGTTTTTTTATGTGTGAAAGCCACCCTGCTTTAAAGAGAACTGATTTTTATATCTTATCATGATGCAATCACAAGGTTCCTACGCTGGTAAACAGGAAACTGACAAATTGTAAAAAGTCAAGTTAACTGCAGGTGATGTTTCAGAACACTGAGCTGCTTGAAATCAAATGCTACCATTTACACTTCATCATAAAGTATCACAAAGTAGAACACTTTGATGGTCATAATTTCACAAGTTTTAAAAATATCGTAGTATAAGAAGCAACGTTGTTTAGACTCTTTACTGTACCTCTAACACAGGAGCTGAGAAGAAGTGAAAGGCTGTGAACTGACGCTCAGTCAGACTGTAATTTATGTTTCTTATTGTGTATCCCACCTTTGTGAACATGGGAGAGTTTGTTCAAGTCGAGGAAAGGTGTGTTTTAGCAAAGAAAAATTATTGTTTGTATGTGCAAGTATTATTCATACAAATAATAGAAAAAATATCTGGATATGCTGGATAAATGAGCACAGATTCAAAAAGAGAAAACTGTAAAACTTGAGTTTTCCACAGTGTTGTGCTGAGTTTGCTTTTGATCCCCTAATATGATAAAGACAAAAAATATACCACTGTCGTGGTTTTGGTAAAAACTGGCTTTCTTTCAGTTTTCTTGAACATAAGCAGCAAAAACCTTCGCTGTCATATCCTTTCCTTGGATAAATGTAAAAGTTTTGGCTTCGCTCTAAGAGCAAAAATCAAAGTCTTTCTGCTCAAGCTTTCAACAGTGTTAGGAAGGAGAGGATATACAATCATAAATTCACAAAAAATACAATCTTATCGGCATGTACTGAAGCCCGTTTCAGACACTGACCATGTGACAAGCAATGCCTCAAAATAATGTCCTATGTGTCTTCATTTCCTGGCGTCATGTTAATGTCATCAACAAAATTAGAGCAAAAATGCCAACAAACTCTGCAGCTTATGGATTTGGGGAAAAACCCACTATGATGGCTTCACATTCAAACCACAGTGTAAACACACACCTTATTGTTTCACTAGTGGATATGGCGCACACATTCAGTATGTAAACTCTTACACGCTCTCTGGGCACGGTCATGTTGGGATTCATATTGTGGGATCTTTTCAAGTGGCCGGTTTGGTCCAATGAGTCAGTGTTGAACCACTCCTGTTTATAACCCACAAGTACACTTTCTGTAAGTGCGCAGCCTTTCCTGATTATCTCAAACTGAAAAACAAAAAATCTATCCAAAAAAATTAAACAAAGGACTTTACAATTCATTACAAATATTATCAACATGATTAACTTCAGGTCAAGATTAAGTTCATGCTATCTTCTTTGAAGCTGGTGATCATTTTGAGTTATTTTCTTTTAGGCACAGAAGGTTCGTAACTGTCAACTCTTCTCGTCTTCGTCTGAGATTTCAGTGCAGTCGCTGTCCAAGTGCATGGAGCTCATCTGCTCCTCAAAGTTCAAAAACTTGTGGTTGTTCTCCTTTTCCAGCATTTTCTTCCAGGTTTTAACTAGAAGAAGAACATAACAAGAATTAGTTATGTGTGTGTTTGCGTACTCTTATACAAATAAAACATCCCTAGAGTTACATACTGTATTCTGGTTCCTCTGATTCTGTGGTGTCAGCACCAGGTTTAGCCTCCTCGGCTAGACCGCTGATCTGAAGTTCTTCCTCAGTGTCCACAGCCTCCTCCTCAGCCTGGTCTGTCTGCTCCAGGCTCAGCACCATCTCTTCATATGCTTTCCTGGCCTCTGACGACAACTCTATCATCTTATGGTAGTAGTCCTGTGGGAAAGAGAGAGGTGTTTTGACAAAGCTCACATGTAGAGGGTTAAATCACGACCCTGCTTGATATCACCCTGACCTGAGCACCGTCATAGTTGAAGATGCCCACCAGGCTCACAGGCACCACCTTGTTGACACAGCGACCCAAGGCTCTCCTGGAGAGGGCGAACACAAACGGCACTCCCTGTTCACGACACATGTCGATGATGTTGTGAAGAGCCTCATCCAGGCCTCCTGTGAAAAGTTAGTTTATTTTTGACACCTGTTTAGACATGTCTTTGTGAGGAATCTTGGCAAAAATGTCTGACATTGCTGAAAATGAGCATCTTGAATAAGTCCATGTAGATTCTCATTCATCCAGGTCATAGTTATCTTGAAGACTTAAAAACAGGCAACTGGACTGTGTAGAGTTGAGAAGACGTTTCGCCTCTTATCCACAAAGCTTCTTCAGTTCTGAACTGAAGAAGCTTTGTGGATAAGAGGCGAAACGTCTTCTCAACTCTACACAGTCCAGTTGCCTGTTTTTAAGTCTTCAAGAGCATCTTGAATAAGTTGCAAAATTGGGGGGACATGTTTGTCATAAATAATTGTGAGAACGATGCATGTCAAGAGTGAAACTGGTCCTGCCAGAGTTTGTTTTCATCACTCTGTTATTACCTCCGCCAAGGAGGTTATGTTTTCAGTAGCGTTTGTTTGTTTGTTTGTCTGTTAGCAACTTTACGGAGAAAGTAACAGACGGATTGACCTGAAATTTTCACCAGAGATGCGTCTCAGCCCCAGGAGGATCCCATTAAATTTTGGTGGTGATCCGGACAAAATTCTGGATACTGTGATCCAGAACACACAAAAAAATGAGGGTGTGGTTGGAATTTTCAATGCTGAAAGACAAGCAATGGGCAGCACAGTGGTGTAGTGGTTAGCACTGTTGCCTTACAACTAGAAGTTCCTGGGTTCGAATCCCGGCCAGGTCATTTCTCGTTTAAGGGGGGACATGAGCTGCTTGGCGGAGGTCTGCGCTCTCTGAGTGCTTTTCTAGTTCAAACATTAAATCTTTCATAGAATATTTGCAAAAAATCAAAAACAAATAATGAAGCTCTTAGTTGGTACCTTTGGACTGTATGCGTTCACAGTTGGGTGAGATTATGACACATTTGACCTTCCTGAGTTTAAGGTGCTTCAGGACCTCTCTGAGACCCATTACAATGCGTCTCTTCATACGGGCCTTCATCGGGTCCTTCTGGTACAGGCGGTCCTGGAAACGGACCAGCTCCTTCAGCAGCTCCGTCACACATGCGTCAACGTCTTTGCTCAGCATCTGGCTGCAGTACCTGTTGTGTATTGAAGTTTACATTGTAAATCAACCACATTTAACAGCTAGTCAACTCAGAAAAAACTGTAGTTTTTGTCACAATCTTACTCTCTGAACTTCCTGCTGTGGATTTTCGGTCGATTGGCCGGGAGAGTCACAGGTAACATGGTTTGTTGTTGTTCAGCAGTTTCTTCTTTGTCAAGTTCTTCCTCTTCCTCTTTCACCAACTCCTTGGTGCCATTAATTTCTGTCTGATCTTCATCAAGCTCCTCTGAAGGACTCCCTACCTCCCCTATGGTTTACAGGGCAAAATATGTAGATCAGATATTTGCTAAAGCCAAAAGTACTTTGTATTGAACATCCCAGGATCTTCGTGTTACCTGTTACATTTGTGTCATCCTGCTCTTCTTCTGCAGCTTCTTCTGCAGATTTTACTTCTTCATTTTCAGGCAGCAGCCCCATCTCTTCCAGCAGGCGTCTTTGTTTTCTCTCCTCTCTTTCTTTTAAAATGATCTATATTTCAGACAGAAGTTAACAAGAAGGATCTTTAGTTGTTACACATTCAGATTTTTTTTTTGCACATTTGTCCAAGAGTTGGTGAGCCAAAGTACCTTCTTGAGGGGAGTTGGTTTTTTGGCTTTTGGTACCTCCCTCTGTTTTCCTTTCTTTACCAAAGGGCTGGTGGAGTCTAGAGGGTTGTGTGCAATCTTGTCCTGCTGCCATGGGACCTTCTTCTGGACTGTTGACTGCTTCTGGACTACAGGTAGCCCCCCACCAACTACAATCAAACCATTATCTCATTGTTAAATGCACGAGTAAGCTTTAAAACAAAGAGCAACAGTGTGCGTTGCCAAATACTTATTTTCTCATAATGATTTCCTAGAGAAAAAAAGAAATGGTTTTGTGTCCGAGGTGCTGAAAATAACCCACCTGAGAGAATGACCGGTTTGGCATCCTGCTTGGCTTTTTGAGATTGCTGCTTCTTTTCCAGGACAGCCAACATGTTCCCGATGTCCAGCTGAACAGGTGCTTTGCTCTTCTTTCCAGACACTTTTTCAGCTTTCTGGAAAATCACAAGACCAAGAACAGGGGTCTAAACCAGCCTGAAGCTGTTCTGTAACATCTGTTTGAATAAAACATTGAAAAATGATCGACCTGTGTCTTTTTTGCTGTTTCTGAGGGGACAACTTTTACTGCCGGAGTTTTCTCCTTTTTTTGTTCAGCAGGTTGATGCTGGAAACCTTCTCTTTGGTTTTCCTAAGAAACAAACACAGATGCATTATAATATTAGCTAATTTAATAAATGTTTTCATGTTGAAATGTCTTTCTTGCACTAATGTGCTGCAGAGTGAATGTACCTCATTGCATAGTTTTGTTACATGGCTGCTTGTTACCAATCTACTGGACCCAGTAACAGTTACAGTTAAACCTGGAAACTCTTCTTCATCCTGGAGAAACAAACAAAAATCCATTTCAGATTTAGAAGAAGCTAGTGCCTTTTGCTTTTGAAATTAAATAAACTGAAAAAACAAACAAACAGAAATAACCTCAAATTTTGGGGGCTCCTGATACACAAAAACCACTTCTGATTTGGCTTCTTCATCTTCACCACCTTTGCCCTTTTTCTTTTTCTTCTTTCGCTTCTTCTTTCCTGTGGCATCTTCTTCCTGCTCTGCAGCAATCTCTTCCATCTGACGGAGCAAAATGGTGGGACAGAGGCCTGACAATTCATTTGATGTGAATCAGCCTCACATTTAACCTCTCAGTATTGTGTTAACTGTTGTTTTTAGTTATAAAATGTTTTACAACAACTCATGTTTACAGGGTTTACTCGCTTAATTGTGAAGAGCCTACACAGAATAAGGCAAGCAGTCGGAGCAGACTAACACGAGGATGTGAACAATTATTAAAGATTTCACCTTCTGGATTGTTAACGATTAAGGCATGCTGTCTAACCTGCATGTTGTTGCTGCTGACAGTCTTTTCTTTAGGAACAGGTTTCTTTGGAGGCTGGGATGCGACATTAGCCCAGGAAGTCACCGCAGGCATATCTGTACAATTCAAAACAAGTAATATTGATGATCATTGCCTAATATGTCTTTGACACTGCTCTACAGTGAATTAAGGGATGGCTAAAGACTTTCCCAACCTGATGAAGCAGCAGAAAAATCTGGCTGAACATTAGTGACAGTCTGCTGGGAGTCAGGCGGTGTAGGGGAACCTGTTCTGTCAAACTGTTGAAAAGGAAATTTTCAGAAACAGTTAGCAAATATAGTTAATCTTCCACTGCATATGCAACATGCTACATCTGGTGGAATTACCTTCCAGGCAGAGGCAGACCCTTGAGAAATGGGACCCCAGCACTCTTTCTGAACCTGAGGGGGGCCTTCTTTGCTTGGTGTAACACCAGACAACTCCGGAAAATCTGTCATCTTCACTTCAAATGGAGTCAAGGCTGCCTGTGGTAGGTTGGACTTCCTCGCAGAATTTGGGGCGGACCTGGCACCTCTAAAGCCTGCTGTCCGATTCAAAGCAGTAAATTAGGTAAATACAGGTGTAGTAATTTTCACGAACATTCAACATTCAAGGGTCACACATGCACCTTTGCCATGTGCATCCAAGCGATTCTTGCCAATAGTTCTGCCTTGACCAGGAGAGTCACTGCTGCTTTTTGATGACTGCAAAGTTAAGGACAACACTGGAAATTAGTTTTAAGAAAAACTTTCTTTTTACCAAAGTTTTCTCATAAAGAAAAAAATCAAATCTTTGCCTGTGGATCCCGCACAGGCCTGTCTCTCTGGACGAATTCGTCTCTTGTCTCTCTAAGGCGACGACTGCTGCTGTAACCATGACTCTTGGATACACCTCGACCTCCCCCACCTGGCACTCCATTTGCATTTGAAGGACTCTGTTTTAGGTTCACACCTGACTGGTTCCTTTAAAAAAAGGTTCAGAAATTCACACAAATAAAGCATTAGAAAGAAGTTTTCCACAGCATGTCTGTTTTCTGGCCTGATATCGTATGTGTGTGAAACATAAACCCTTATCTATCGTCTTTTGCCCTGTTACAGATCACTTTACAGTGCCTTTGTTTTCTTGAATACTCAGAATCTTGTTATCTCAGATTATAATTCTCCTTTGAAAGCCACAACTACAGATTTGAAGCCACCTTTCATGATTTAGATTAATGAAACCTCCAGAGTATTAGAACTGTTTGCTTGTGATTTGCATTTAAAGCATTTATATCTCTACTATCTTTTGCCCAGCCTTTGCTGATCACTCATGAAGTTAGTGAACAGTTAAGTCTTTTTGAAAGAGGCACTAGAAAAAGCTTTAAATAATAATAATTGTAATATAATCAGTATTATCTAGTCTGCTGGGGCAAAATGATCATAATAACACTAAATGGTTTGGTTGAAAAAGACCCAGGGCACACAGTTTTTGAACTTTAAAGTCATGTGGACAATTTCAGACTTGGTAAGATCTATAATTTTCCTCCTACCCTCTGGAGCCCTGGTGAGATCCATAAGGATTAGGTAAAACAAAAGGTGTTGAAGAGGCTGTGTGGAGTTCAGCAGGCTCCCTCCTCTGTTTCCTCTGATGTTGGTGGACAGCAGATGACAGTTTGGGCTCCTGTGGAGAGAACAGACAGACAGTCTGTCATCAACAGTCTGCAGGAGCGTGACCTTTGACTATCACGCTGTAAGCTGCAGCTCGAATAAAATCATGTACTAGTACAGTTCGTTAGTGTCTGATCACTTTATCCCTGTTTTAGACACTAAATCCGCTCAAACAAAACTAAGCAGCCAGCATTGTTTACTTAACCGGACTGTGACACATGAGTTTGCAACACTAAGAGTTGTTAGTTAGCTCACATTCAACTACGTACACCGAAGGTTAGCATTTCTGGCTAGCTGGCTTCAACAACAGTTTCATTATTTTTCGTAAACAACCTTGTCCATTCTTTTAGATATTCCTATTTGGAGTCACGTCTCCGCATGTTCGCTCGATCTCACAGGCGTTGCCAAACTCCCTGTTACAACGACGTTACATTTCTCAACGGTCAAAGCGCGGTGTGTGAGGCTAGGCAACCTGTTTGATAACATAGCAGCTAGCTGGTTAGCAGCTAGCAAGGTAGCCGAGCGTGATTGAAACAGCTGATGTATACAGCGCGTGCAGTAAGGAGAGTCAACAGCGACACCGTCTGGTCGACAGCGGGATTACAGTAGATCACATGAAACTACAAACAACCACATAGGGGAGAGTGGGATAAGATGAGCCATTTTTCATATTTTGGATCACTACATCAAGTCAATCATAGTTTAGTCTCCAACTACTGTATCTGCATATATTTCAAAATGTTGTGCATCCCTGCAAACCAACAGAATGAGTGTAAACATAACTGTTTTGATAATAAAACATGCCAAAAAAGTGGTCTCCTATGGTCAACTTACTCCGTGTATGGGGTAAGTTGACCATAGGAGCGGGGTAAATTGAGCCGTATCCCTACCACCCCCCACTCTCCACCCCAGCCCTCCCTCACCTTCTCTCTCCCTAAATAACAGTCACTTCTTCACATTCATGTGTATTTTTTTATCTATCATACTCTATTCAACAGGTACAAGAATTCTTTTTATTATTATTACATATAACTGCTGTTATATGTAATAAGTTGTTTCGTAAAAAGCCATTTTAACATGGGAATGCCTTTAAGTGATCAGAACATTCACAGCTGTATTTTTTAAAAGAAAAAGTAAAACATTTCAACAATCTGAACTGAAACTCTGATCCTCTCATCAGACTCCTTTACTTTCTCAGATGAGCCACTGGCTCAACTTACCCCAGAACTACTATGATGACTTTATTAGTCCTCTAAGCTAAATGGTGGACTTTTATGTTAGGATTTTGACCTCATGTTGTAGCTCATAGATACCAAAATTGATATATAAAACAAATTTAAAATGATTTCTTTTGGTTTGAACACAATTCTGATAAAACTTATGACAGACTGAATTCACTTTCAAGGGTGAAAAATGTTTTTTTGTAAATACATGTCTAACCCCTTCACCCATGTGCTTCTGACCTTCACAGACTCCATGAATTGATGTCCATCTCCTAAATATTTGGTCACATGATCAATTTCTTTTACCATTTCCAAGCAACAGGGGGCTCAACTTACCCTTAGGCTCAACTTATCCCACTCTCCCCTACTGTGTATATAGTTGCTTTTGTCATTATTTCCAGGGATGAAAGATACTAAATACTCCACTTTAGTAAGAGTTCAGTTAATATACTTAATTTTACCTGAGTAGAAGTAATATGATGACACTGTGGGATATAACTCATGAAACTACCAGTCAGTGAATCAACTCAAATTTAAGTAAAAGGCACTTAGAGATGTTTTTTAGATACTAAGTACTTGTCCATGGTGGTGGGAGTGATATAGTTCCTAATTTATGCAAATGTGTGTTGTAGTATAACCAACAGCATCACTGTGTAAAGTGATTTTGACTCTGCACCCATCCTGAGTGGGTTTATTTGTGCAGGATCTTTTCAGTGTTGCACTTTATGGATTGTCCCCACCATAGTATATACAGTCTATGGCCCCCACACATTCATGTCAAGCCTAACTGTGCAGAAAGGATCGTTATTGCAATCAAAAAAACGACTTTGTTAGTTGCTTGATAAAAAATGACTACAAATGCAGTGAATTAAATTCTCATGATGTTTCTTGTTTTTGTGATGTTTTAGAAACATCAAGAATACCCCTTTTTGTTTGGTCAAATGTCAATACACACTATCACGATATCAAGTCTCTTAAAATAGCGCAACCAATTGTCAGTACACGTATTTATGATTGTACTTTATTAAATACGAGTCATTTTTCAACGCTTCATAAAAACCTAGAAAAAAATAATGTTTCCAGACATGGGCGTCAATTTTCTTGTTTATTCTTTCACCACAAAAAAATACAATATTTACTTTTTTTAAGTGATCTAAAATAAATGCAACTCTGTATATAAAAAAGAAATTCTGAGAGTTAGATAAAATACTGCATAAAAAAACTATATGAATGTTTCACAAGCATAAATTTGATTCATTACCCATCTACACCTATGAAATTCACAGTTGCATTTGTCTTGATAAGCACATTTAAAAGCTTCATGCTCACTTATTTCTCATTTGTTTAGCAAAGTTGCTCTGGTGGAATAGTCCTTTCCTTTTATATTGCTTAGTGTGTTAGTCCTTGGCAGAAACAGCGCAGACAATAAACATCTCTATAGTTTTTGTCAAAGTACAAAGTCAGTGCTTTCCTTTCCCAGCAGTTGTAAACACCATGACAATCATTAAAACAACAAAACATGAACAGCTTTCATTCAAGTCTTTGTGTCTGTCACTCCTCCTTTAGCCTTCCAGCTGCTCCCAACAGAGCCAGAGGGATTAAGAAAGAAGCTGATGTGAGGAGGAAACAGGTCTGAGCTCCAGCTATCCAGTAAACTGTGAAGAAAACACAACAGTCACCTCAAACATCTTTTGTTTTCATCTCCAAAGCGCATCAGAATTTAACCGCATTTGGTGTCACTACTGTCATCTGTTTATCTTACTTGAAGATGACACCACTGGTCCCAGTGCTCTGGCCAGAGCTCCTAAACTACGCAGGATCCCCATCACTGTTCCTTTCTGACTGGCAGAGCCTGGAGGAGCATCCAAAGAGGTTAATCAGCACAAGTGTGCATGTTACATGATGATCAAGACGGTCATTAAAAGTAGTTGTAAAGGAGCTCACCGTGGTCAGAAACAAGTGTAGACAGACATGGAACAACTATTGCAGCCGCTGTAAAAACATACAACACAGAATACAAAGCATTTTACATTGATAAATAATATTAATAATCGCTGATCTATATGTCCAGCTCAAGAGTTACATACTATGCATTACATGTCGGGGTTTTGCTTAACATTTTTCATTGAAGCTTGAGGTGAGTTACGATAAATTAAGGCTGCACAATGACACAAACACAGTGTTAAAAATTGTGTTCACACTTCTTTTAAAAGGTCTTTTATGAGGGTTTTACATCGGAATAAAACAAGAAATTAAGCATTGCATGATGTTCAGATTTATGATGTGAGGATACACAAACTAACCCTTGCAGATTGCACCATAACTTAAGAAATTAGAGGAATAGAAAGAGTCACATCTACTGAAAAAATGTCTTTTTGAACCATATGATGTTTTGATTGTCACCTCCAGGACTGCAGATGTAAATTAGCTTTATTCTGACTTTGGTGCAGTGGATCCTTTCACAATGTTTACGTTTAATTTTGCTCATGGTCCCTTTTAAATTAAAATAAATAAATGAATGAATAAAGGTCTCTATCTGAGCGGTTTCTTATTCATTATCGCTTTGATTTTTACTTTCATTTACTGTGTTCATTTTTACATTACTGTGATGAACGAACTTTGCACATTCCTGCGTACCGTGAAATGTTCAGTCTTGCTCAATATAATGTATAATGCTCACCGAATGAGTATAGGGCCAACCCGGCATAAAGCATTGCCATATTCCACGAGAGTCCGATGAGAATAAAGGCTGGAATCAACATTACAATTGCCTAAAAATGATCAAACACAGATTAACACAGAAGAAATTTGAGCATAAAACATTTCTTTATTTTTTTAATGAGTAAAATCCAAGAAAATCCTTGACACTCTTACCATACGAACAGCCTTGATGTGGTGCCCGGGTTTGATTCTGCGAGCATAACCCCCTTGGATTAAAGCCATGATGACACCAATGAAGAAGAACATCTTCCCCTGCTGCATACTAGTGAGAGTAAAAAAAAAAACCTGTCAAGTGATAAGGCCGCTCTTCAGGTACGTTTACCTTAACATGTAGTAGACAGCTTTATCTGTGAGTCACACCTTGTAAACTGGAAGCGCTGGTGAGTCAAAAAACTCAGAGTGAACTCCAGACCAGAGAACAGGAAAAGGTAGCAGAAATAAACCAGGCCCAGCACTTGAAGTTTCTGCATTCCTGTAAATACATCCCCACCTTCGATCAGTGTGCCAAAGTTCAGTCATACTGAAGAAATGGGTTAAACGGGTGCATGGGTGCTCCTGCCAAGAATTCAGGTTTACAAGCAGCACTTACTTTCTTTAGAGGGAGGATCTTTTGTCCTGGTAACAGCTGAAAAATGGAACAAAGATATTGGACTCAGAAGGTCTTTGGAGTCTCCAAACCCTGAAGATGACGCCTATGAAAGAAAAAGAAAAAAAGGTCTATTTGTCTATGTTTAGGGCAAACAAACTTGGGTGTAACTTCTACATAATTTAAAACTTAGGACCAGCTTTACCCATTGATTGGTGATGATGTTAACTAATCAGTGCTGCCTACTGCACATGTCAACAGAGATGTCAATCCTGGCATTAAACCCTATTTTTGGCATGAGATGACAAATTAAAACTAAACTTTTCAGAAAAGTGAACTTTTAATTACATTTCAGGCCAAAGACCATATTTGAAAAACATTTCTGTCATGTATTTTGATTTTCAAGTTTGACTTAAGCCCCATCTGTTTACATGGAGGAGACAGACTTTATGACTTATACTGCAGTCAGCCAGCAGGGGGAGTTTAACATATTTTGACTGTTGGAAAACCAACAAAACGAAACCAATCCAAAATGATTTTTTAAATAATACCTTCAATAACATTGAGTACTGATAATCAGCCCCTCTATCATTTGTGTGTAAGTTTGTGTGTGTTCAAACAGCTGTACACACCCATAGTTCTTCCATATTGCCTGATAAGACCTCTTCTGTGTGTGCTGGTACACACTTCATTGATTGATAGCTCCTTTACTCTCCCCTTAACTTTGCAGTATTTTCTAGAGAAGGATTATTTACATTATTCTTATTATTAGCTCAAGGTAATCCTCAGCAAAGCTTCAGCCCAACCTCAGCCCAACAAAAGGTCCAAATTGCCTCACTGTGAAGTTGTTAGGCAACCAGTTAAGACTCCAGGAAGTTGCAGCTCCTGGTCAAGAAACCGACACAAGTCCTTTCCACTGTTAGGCATGTCATTTCTCCATTGTTCAGGTTTTCATGACTAGCTGCAGGCAGTGGCTTCAGATTCAAGAAACAGATTTACAGAGAGATACCAATCTTCTTATGTAAAGTGAATGTCTGAGTGTTCATAGAATATTCCTGTGAAAAATACATGTTTTAGGAGAGTACACTCCACAAAACATACTAGTTTTTACCATGAGTGTTATCATATCTTACCTTGACATCCTTTGTGAGTGTCTCTGGCAGCATGAGCCAGATAAAGAGCAGATCGGCAGCACTGAAGGCCAAAGCAAGTAGTGCTGGAGTTTGATAGAAGACGCTCCCTGTTGTTCTTGAGCTGACAGCAAAATAGGCACCCATCAGAGGTCCCACAGTGAAGCCTATAGAGAAGGCGATGCCGATCATAGCCTAGAGATGGAGAAATAAGTTTATTTTTTCTGTTTTTACACAGAGTCTTATTAGTAGAATTGAATGTAGGTTAAAGAATATTAAGGTCAGAGCCTGATAAGATGGGAATTCATTTTAATCTGAATTTGGAGGGATATCTAAAAAGAGAGACAGACATTTGAAAAACTATGTAGATATGGAATCAAACCAATGCCCACCATTCCTCGATTTCTTGCTTTTGGACAGGGCAAGTCAGCCACGATGGCAGTGCAGAGACTGACGTTCCCCTTACAAATGCCCCCGATGACTCGAAACAAAAGGAACATGGAGAAACTCTGGGAAACTGCCCAGACTGCGTAGGAGGACATCAGGCCTATCTGGAGAAAAACAGACACCAAATTAAACCCTCTGGTGTGGATTAGAGGCTTTCATAATTTCTCACAGGAGGTACATGTGCTTCGCAGGAGGAATGATTTGAAGGACAACAAGTGAAGTTTAGCAAATGCAGCAAGAACAATCTGACTGGAATGTTTCGATGTTGCAAAAACAGTGAAGTGAAGTAAGATTTTACTTACTGTAGTGAGAAGGAGAAGGGGTCGCCTGCCATGCTGGTCTGACAGAGCCCCTGTTATTGGAGAAGCCAGGAACTGCAGCAGGGAAAACAGCGACCCGATCAGACCTGAAAGACAAACACAGCAAATGTGTGAATCACAGCGTCATAAAAAGATAAAGCTCCACTTAAGCAATCAACCTACTTCACCTCCAAACAGGACTGTGTTGTATTTCTTTTCCATAGGAATTCCCACAGCATCCCTGAACCAGTCCACAACACCCTGCAGGGACTCATAGACAACATCCTGCAACACAAGGAAAACAGACACAAACTTCACACTCAGACATCTGGAGTAAAGAGGTAAATTCAGCATGAGTCAGCACTCTAAGACTCCATTACTCTCTCTCTTTGACACACAAACACACAGTCTAATCTAATGTAATCTAATCTAATCACACACGAGTTCCTTATGTTTTTTATGGCATTGACAAGGCCCTCCTTTGTTCTGAGAGTATTAAATATCAAATTCAGCACATCCTCCGTCCGACATGCCCCATTCGAAAATATGCACATATATTTTCAAGTGGCAAAGTATCTAAAGCTTAAAACAATGAACACTGGTTCCTCTTGTGACACTGATTTACAACTGTCTCGCCATGGGAACAGAATTAAAACATTTTTATTGTCTTTAACAGCTGTGTTTTTATTGTTCTCTTGTGGGACATACTTTGTAACCCTAAAACAAAACCTCAGTTTACCCCTGTTTGTGCATAATGGTCCAAAATTGAAGGCAGTAGAGGCAGGATCAGTGTAAATCCCAGCAGATCCAGCAGCAGGAGGATAAGCACTATGTTGATAACCTTCGACGAAAAGGAGCCGTCATCCTCTGCAGATTTGTTTACGGCTGACATTCCTCCGGCTGGATGTGGTGCCTCTTCTGTTCCTGCTTGTACACAAGGAGATGAGGTTTGAAGAGCAACATCAAAACTCTGATGTTATAAATATGAGTACATTTTTACATTTACAGCGCAGTAAATATGCCAGTAAACATGATTTCAAAGCTCCAGGAACAAGGAAGTCCTACAGCACTGCATTCAAAAGATGGAGCTTGTCATTGATGGTGTCTCTCGGAAAGACTAGATTTTATTCAGTACTTCTAATGTTGGTCGTCCCGCTCTCAAACCATGATTGAAGAAGCTGCTGTTCGCTCTGGAATTTAAAGCACCTATGAGGAACTTTCAGTACGTGTCATTTTTGTTGTCGTCTTTGAACAATGCAGTCTTTGCTAATTGTTTTCCTAGACATATGAAGCGATGACAAAAAAAGTCATCCTGATGACTTGACTCCCAACTGTATCATTTACCGTGAATATTGTAGAAACAAGGGCTGTTCACACAGGTACACTCCTCACGCAGGTATTGAAATCATCATACAAAAATAACCAGTCTTGTTGCTGATGTTCTTGCTTGATTATGAGTACCATAAAAAGACATCAGGGTGAATTTCAAGCTCTTTTATAAACATGAAAAAACTCCCCACATGAGCTTTAAGTTACAACTAAAGAAACTAGAGGAAGGAGTAAACAGCAGCAGAAGTCTTGACAGATGATAACACTGACATCCATACGTGCTGAACAGTAACTCATACTAAAACTGCTTTTCTTGAAAGATAACATAACACATTTCCTGTGGTATCGACCTCAGACTGAGTTCTACCTTCCAGCATCACCTCCTCTCTGCTGTTTTAAAACCGGCGAAAAGGTACAATATTACAGCAGCTACACTCACACTATTTCCGCACTCTGCTAAATCACAACCACGGATCGGAGCGATGACTTACCCGACTCGAGGACTTCTACCTCCTCTCTCTATCATCAGCCCATTATTATTAGTCCACACCAGGAAGCGGTGTCCTCTTACATTTGGATGACAAGAATGTGTCGTAACTAACGCACACAGGAGAAATGATGCGTTTGAGGCTTCTCGTAGGCTCGTATTTCCGCGTTCCACACTCGTGCATCATATTTTTTGGCCCCGTCGGCCAATAGCCCGCTGGTGACCTCGTGCGTTGCAACCCCGTGTTTTATTCTACAGATAACATTAACCCTATAAGATAACATTTGATAATAGTTATTTCTTCTGAATATCCAGCAGCTGGTTGTTTATATCGTGTATATCCAGAATATTTACTTATGAGTGGAAAAAAAATACACTCTAGGCAGTACCAAAGTAGAATAAAGCTATCATCCTTTAACCCACTTAAGTAAAAGTGACGAATACTTTATTTGAAACTGACTTAAAGTATTGAATAGGCCCTCAAACTTACTTTTCACTCTAGTAGGGCTAATATGTACTAATTCACAGTGCCTTGAAAAAGTATTCATACCCCTTGAATTTTTCCACATTTTTTTTTGTCACTTTACAACCACAAACTTAATAGTATTTTATTTAGATTTTTTGTCATAGACCAACACAAAGTAGAACTAGATTGTGAAGTGGAGCGAAAATGATATATGGTTTTCAAAAATGCAAACTAATAAAAATCTGAAAAGTGTGGTCAGCCTCCCTGTATCAATACTTTGTAGAACCACCTTTCACTGAAGTTACAGCTGCAAGTCTTTTGGGGTGTGTCTGTACAAGCTTTGCACATCCAGAGACTGAAATTTTTGCCCATTCTTCTTTGCAAAATAGCTCAAGCTCAGTCAGATTGGATGGAGAGCATCTGTGAACAGCAATGTTCAAGTCTTGCCACAGATGCTCAATGGGATTTAGGTCTGGACTTTGACTTGGCCGTTCTAACACATGAATATTCTTAGATCTGAACCGGTCCATTGTAGCTCTGGCTGTATGTTTAGGGTCATTGTCTTGCTGGAAGGTGAATCTCTTTCCCAGTCTCAAGTCTTTTGCAACCTCCAACAGGTTTTCTTCCAGGATTGCCCTGTATTTAGCTCCATCCATCCTCCCATCAACTCTGACCAGCTTCCCGGTCACTGCTGAAGAAAAGCATCACCACAGCATGAGGCTGCCACCACCATGTTTCACAGTGGGGTTGGTGTGTTCAGGGTGATGAGCAGTGTTACTTTTCTGCCACACATAGCGCTTTTGCATTCAGGCCAAAAAGTTCAACTTTGGTCTCATCTGACCAGAGCACCTTCTTCCACATGTTTGCTGTGTCCCCTACATGGCTGTCAACAATGGCTTTCTTCTTGCTGCTCTTCCATAAAGGCCAGATTTGTGGAGTACATGACTTAGAGTTGTCTCTTATGGGCCTCTTGGCTGCTTCTCTCACCAGTGCTCTCCTTGCTCGGTCTGTCAGTTTAGGTGGACAGCCATATCTTGGTAGGTTAGCAGTTGTGACATACTTCTTCCATCTTTGGATGATGGATTGAACAGTGCTCCTTGAGATGTTCAAAGCTTTGGACATATTTTTATAACCTACCCCTGCTTTCAACTTCTCCACAACTTTTCCCCTGACCTGTCTGGTGAGTTCTTTGGTCTTCATGATGCTCTTTGTTGACTAGTGTTCTCTGTATTTATACTGATACTAAATTACACACAGGTGGACTCTATTAACGAATTAGGTGACTTCTGAAGGCAATTGATTACACTGCATTTTATTTAGAGGTATCAGAGTACAGGGGGGTGAAAACTTTTCAGATTTTCATTTGTTTGCATTTTTGAAAACCATGTACCATTTTTGTTCCACTTCACAATTATGTGCTACTTTGTGTTGGTCTATGACAAAAAAATCTCAATAAAATACTTTCCAGTTTGTGGTTGTGGAGTGACAAAATGTGAAAAAGTTCAAGGGGTATGAATACTTTTTCAAAGCACTGTATGCAAAATCAGTTTCCAAAAATAGTTGTTATAATATAGTGTAACTGGCTGCATTAAGGGTTTCTGCTCTGCAGCTATCCAGGTGGTATATCAAAATATTTCAGCTGAGTCTTCTGTCAGAGTTATACCAAGTAAATCCTCTGTGCAGACTCAAACCGTAGAATTCCTAAGACTTTGGAAATAGATAAAAAAAAACTCACCAACGGTCAAAACCTTTTACTATTTAAGTTAGATATTATACTTGCTATCAACTGTTTATCCATTTCTTATATGTAGAATGAAGACAAACACCAGATTTATTAATACTCTCAATTCACTTACAAGAAACATAACTGGTATCATACAAGAGACAGGTTAAAAAGTCATAAGGAGTATATAATTTACAAGAAGTACCAGCTGAAACACTGTTAATTACAGAAGCTTTACAGAGACACTCATCCATACATTCATAAGTTCTCCATGGTCAAGAATTAGTTCCATTTGTTTCCAGAGATCTTAACTTTGTCATCATTTCAAGATAGCTACATTTGTTTTGTTTTTCTAAAGACCATGCTGAATTCTGTCTCATGATAACCAATCTAGTTTTCTAAAATCTTTGTCTCTCATGATGTTCTGGCCATCAAAAAAATTTACAAACTAAGGTGGTGGGTAATGAGCAAACTACAACATGCCATGTTGCCAACACCACTGAGGTAGGTTATGTCTGTTTCTATGTTTGTATTCTACAAGTGTGTTACTCCAGCAACACTTGTACTGATTATCTGATGTTATCATGAGATCTCCACAAAATGACTTCTTCGGAAAAACTGGAGAAATCTTAATGTATGGATGCACATGCACTTAGAGCTTCCACAGTCATTGACGCACTTGGCAAAACAATGCACTTCTTCACTGGCAAAGTGCAGAGCAACTTAAGTTGAAATACTAACGGTACTTTAGGGCAGCATAAGCATTCTCCACAATCTGTGGTTGTGAGGTTATATCTTTGTATTTAACAGTATAATGTATCAATAATTCACAGTGTAAATATTTTTGCATGTTTGACAGTAGTACAAACAGGTAAATACCTCCCCTCAGCTACACTAAAGGGGGATAAAATGGCATTCTGGCTGTGGTGATTCAAAAAATGTCCATTAGTCTTGTTACAACAGAAACTAGAAATCCCATGACAATTCGTTACGGATGAACTAGTCACTGTATATGGGTTAGGAAGTTTCATCACTCGAATCAGTAAAATTCAGTCCTAGGCCCAACAGCGCCAGAGTAAAAATCTTTAATTAGAAGGTTTTAAAATATAGAAAACATAAAAAAAAACCTCAAACTGTGTTTCTCAGAAAAACAGTACGTTAAAAAAAAAGAACGTAAAAGACAGTTTACTTGAAGAAAATCTACCTTCCACACAAAAAGCAACAGTAGACACTCTCTTAATCATTAAAAACTTTAGAAGAAAACAACTATAGACCGTGCCGTACTACATGACGCTGCAGATCTGAGCTGTTCATGAGGTTTCGCCCACAAAGCTCACAGGTAAACTGTTTATCCTCGGTGCTTACACGACAGTGCTCTTCATTATCTTCTTCTGTAACTTGAAGTGCACCTGAGGAAAGAAAACAAGAGTTCAGCTTCACAAACATTGATCAGTAAGTCTGATAATATCAGAAATTAGTCAAAATGCACATCAATGTTTCCATGAGACAGAAGTGACATTTTACACACTAGTAGACTCATCAAAAGATTTGTCAACCAGTCAACATGACTTGTCCTCCATGAACTCTACATTGTTTTCATTGATGCCAACAGCTGCTCCACTCACCTTCGAGTTCATGTGGTTTATTTGCATCCTTTGTCCCATCAACTTCTTCATGTTCCTGATCTGTGCAACCATCCTCATCACCTTCACTAGTGTTATGTTTTTTGTCCTGCTTTTCTTCAAGATGATCACTCTGATTACTGTCCTCATAACAACCTCGAGGGTTTCTTTCTTCGTTGAGGTATTCATTCTTAAGTACAGGCATTTCCCCGTAAGGGTCTCTGATCTCCTCGCTGTTTTGTTGTTTATCTAATAGATCCTTTTGTGAGGTTGTCATTGAGACACCTGAGCTCTCCACGTGGCTTATTTTAAGCTGTGCACAGTTTGGCATAAGAGTAAGCGCATCGATTTCACATTGGACCTTGAACTTACTTTCTGGGCTTTTCTCTTCCACCATACTGACCACACTTTCAGGGTTGTTGGCTGCAGTGATACTGCTCTCTTCATTTAAGATTTTCACAATATTATGTCCCATTAGACCCTCTAAATCCTGATCCATCTTTTCATTAATCTCAGGGATGCTGTCCTTCACATCCAGCTTTACATGAAGCTTGTTTGCCCGTTCCTTTTCAGCTATTTCACTGATTGAGACCCCATCTTCTGCCTCCTCTTTTTTGTGTGTGACCCTCGGGCAACTGTCCTCAGCCTCTGTGAGTTGAGCCTGAGCTTCATCTTCTTCTGTCTGCTGTTTAACTGAAGGGTTGCAGCTCTGAAATTCCATACTTTCACACATATTTTGGTCTTCCACATTTTCTGCCCCTTGTCCTTGCACAGGGTCTGACAAAAGCCCAGTCCCTGCTTGTTCATGTTGGTCCTGCTCAAGCTCCTCTTGGCCTGAAGTGCTGAGTTTGAAATTCTCATTTTGAGGGTCTAATGGGGGACTCCCAGGTTCTTCTTCAGCCCTGTTGGTGCTGTCTTCTATTTGTTTATGGTATGTTTCTTCCAACTTTATGAGGATATTTCCTGGAAGATGTTCAGTTTGTGTCTCCTCTTGAACTTCATCATAGCCTGAGACCATCGCCTCTTTTTTTACAATCTCTGTATCAACGTTGAGTTGCTCTGAGTCCGATGAAGGCTCCTCTTCATACTTGGACATTTGACCAACCCTTGCCTCAAGCTGATTCAGGCAGACCTGACCAACGAGCTCATGATTCCTCACAACCTGCAAAGCCAGAAGATAAAACCCAATTCAGCCCACTTCCACAGCAGAAAACTTCATAAATTCCCAAGGAACACTTCAGTAGCCAGTGTTTAACCAAGACCCCAGTAACACGGCTACAATATCATTCATGCCCTGCCTGTATCCCCCCAGAGAGTTCAAAGAATAACCCTAACTTTTTCATCATTTATACTTCAGGGACTAAAAATACAAAACAAAGAAACGGTCTCAAAGTCTCTTTACTTTTCAAATTCCAGTACCACAAAACTTAGGGTGACCACAGACTGAAAGGGATTCCAGCAAAGCATGAAGGGATTAAGCTACAAATCCTCACCTGATGCTTATCACTCAGGTGTGCCTCCAAGTCGCTCAGCCTTGTGCAGTCGAAGAAGCACAGTCGACACTTGTAGGGTTTGATGTCGTCATGTTTCATCATGTGCAAACGTAGGTTTTCAGGGCTGCCGCACGTGTAAGTGCATTTGTGACAGCGGAAGACGATGCCTTGAAGGTAACGGGACAGCTTCGGGCGGCGCACCTCGATTGGCACCAAACGTTCCTCTAAGAATGAAAGAAGCACAAAGAGTGAGCAAATGACTGATGAGTGTTTGAGATCACAGATTCAGAGAGTCGGTTTTACCTCGATGCAGGATGATGTGATCGATCATGCTGTTTTTGTTCTTGGTTTGGTAAAGGCAGAAAGGGCAGCTGAGGTGTTTCTGATGAGTAGGCTCTGAGTGGTGGGAAAAGTGACCCATCTCCATGTGCATTTCCAGTCTCTTCCTGATAGAGGCAGAAAACAAAAATCGCTATGACACATGTGCAGCTAACACGTGAGCAATTCAGATACTGTCAACTTTCTCCTCAGGTTTGCTCTGAATGATGTGTTGGATTTACTCCTGAGGTTCAATTTTTTATTGTGGGTTAATTTTGGACATGAACTGCCTGCGAAATTGTAATATATGGTTGCTGTCCAATAAGAAAGACGTATCTCCAAAATGTTTTTTTTTTTTCAGGAACATTAAGAAACATTTTTTTCATAAACTACCCTACAGGATAAACCAAAAACACTGTATTAGGACACAATTAGGACCCAAAATCAAAATCTATATTTACAGTCATCAGTGACTTGATTGATATTTTAAATGGACACACGTGCTTTGGGTTGTGAGTGGTAGTGGGCATACATGTTCTTTTTATAATGCACTCCAATGACGGGTCATTTACGAGCTTCAAGTATCCTCTTTATGTCCCACTATGTTGATGAACTATTGACTATTATTGAAAGCGGGCTTTTCAACATTTTCACATAGCACAGTGGTTGTCAACCTTTTTGAGTTGCGACTCCCAATTTAACAAGAAAACAGCAGCAGCTTTGCCTCTGGGATGAACTTTGGCTCAAGAAATCTAACGTACAAATAAGAAACACTGTCATGGTGAGAAAAAAGTTTTAGGTCGGCATCAGTCGATGTAAGGACGTTAGTGTAGCATTACCCTGGACCGTAATGAGTCTGTCACAGTGTAAGTCTGACATGACAAGGCAGGGCCAGGGCGGGAGATACATGCTTTGTTGACACTTCCGAAACCCAATGGAGATGCGTGTTTAAAAGATGAGGTTATAAAATGTCTTTCCATCGGTCATTTGGATACCCAAAACTAGGGGTTGTGAAGGAAGATTATGGACCATGCATGTATTGAAAAAAGTCCACATCACTAAAAGTGGAGATATGTGTTTTTCATTGGACAGCGACGATATGTTCATGTTTGTTCAAAATATCAAAATTATGTTGAAGTTGTTTCCTAAAAAATTAAAGTAGGACAAGATAAGGAAAAAATACGCTTGTCATAGAGGAATATACTCATAGTGGTTAAATTTTACCTTGAACCAGTGAAAAAACTGCAGTCCTTGCACCTTAACATCTTCTTTCCGTGCCGATTATGATAGTGTCGTCGAAGACTCGACTGGTGTTCAGTGTTGAAGTTGCAGAGATCACAGTAAAGCACGCTACTCTCCAGCATCATAGTCTCCTTCACAGCAGCTTGAGATGAAGCCCCGCCCTGTGCCAACATGTCATACTGGGTCAACTGTCGCTGCACATCTGGGGGCTCTGAGTACAGCGACCCTGTTAGAGTACAACACAAATCAGAGGGTTTAATACAGATTCAGTAATTAGATGCATATTTATTCTCAAAAAATAATGAAAGGTATGACCAACTTTTATGTGTTTCAGGTTTTTCATGATGTTCAGGAAAAATAATCCTTTCTTCAGATAAATTAGGGGGCTCTGTGTCGCTCTGAGCGCTGTCCTCCTCTAGGTCTTGGTCAGCCGCAGTGGGATCCGTAAGAACATCTGAGCAAATGCATGTTGGAGATAAACAGACTCAATGAAAGATCAATTAAAAAAATGCAAAATTACATCTCAAGTTCTGCATGAGTGCTATATGATCAACAATAATGAGTATCACAGCTGTTTGAGGACTGATCCCTGTTCCTTAAAATCTATTTACAGCTGACACTCAAGCCAGTAGACTAAATATTTAAAAAACACGGATAGGAGGATGGGATACGGCTCATTTTCCATGCAGGTTTAAAATTTTTACGATATTAGCACTGCAAACAAAAACTCCAGAGGCATGATACCAATGCCATTTCAAGTGTGAGTATGGTGTTGTTGAAGTTTATGCGGCCCACTCACCATGATGATTTTTCATGAAATGTCTTCTCCACAGGCCCATGACGTTAGTTCGATACGAACAAAAACTGCAAACAAAAGGCTTTGTGGTGTCCGGTTTGTAAATGATGTATTTGTTAACTCTGTAAAAAAAATAACAGTAAACACATCCAGTGAGAACCAACCACAGGGCAGTGAGTGTCCAAGAACACCAGACAGTATTTTTAAAGCATCCGTAATCCTTTACAACCAAACATAAATCATCTTATGTTAGTTGCTTCCTTGATGTCTGGTCTAAGCATGAAATAATAACAAATCTAAAAGTCTTCTTTCTTACTTGTGCTTGGGGAATGAGTAAGGCAGGGTGTGTTTCCTGATGGCTGCCAGCGCCTCATGGCTGCGCTCATGCGAACGCAAACCTCTGAGTGACATGAATGTCCGGCCGCAGAGTTTGCAAGTCGGTATGTCGTCCACTGAGTCCTCCTCTGGATGTGCTGGTTTTGCGGGAGACTTGAGAGGGCTTGTTGGCAAAGCCAGGGTCACTACTGGTGTCACATTCCACTTGGACAGCTCCTCCACAGTCTCCAGCATGGGCACTTCAGCTTGCTTAAAGATTAGAGACAAACACAAATTTAAAATGTGAAAGGACTGAGAGTTTATTTACCATACTGCCAGAGTTAACTTACCTCCACAGGTTTGTCCTTCGGCACAACATCAGAAGTCTCTGTCTCCTTATCCTTGACATCCATGGCTTTTCTCTTTGCAATCTCATTGTCTCTGTGGCGGTCCAGGTGATGAACCATCTTCCTGATCCCGTTCAGCTGTTTGCTGCAGTGGATGCATTTGTAAAGCCCTGTGGTCCTCTTGGATCTTCTTGATAAGATAATGAAATCCAGGACCTGATTTGAATTGTGAGCTATTCTGAAGTGGTCAAGAAGCAGCTCAGGTGAGTCAAACATCAAGTCTGGACACATCTTACATTTGACGGCTTCACTTCCCCCAGATTGAGGACTAATGGTTTTCCGCTTGTTATACTTCTCCAGTATGTTGAAAGTAGTCAACACGTCCATCTTGTGAAACTTTCTGTAGTGACTTTGTAGGTATCTTCTAAAGAAAGCTTTATAGGTACAGATGTGGCACTCATACAGCCATTCCTTGTTCTTCTCTGGCGTTGTGGTCTGTTGATCCATCATAGGCGTTTCCATCTGGTGAGTGAGGTCAGTTCCTGGACCGCTATCTGCTGGTGGATCATTTTTCAAAGCGAAAGCCTCCAGTACTGAGTGCTGGAATTCATGATCCTGTTGCTTTTCTTCAGTGTCTTTGATTGACAGCTCAGTAGCCCTTTCTGCAGTCCGATTGTGGTCTCTCTCCCAGTGGGTTTTCAGTTTTTTCACTGATGCATAAATTTGTGAACACTTCTTACACCTGAACCCTCGAGCAACACGTCCTCCCTTTGAAAAACCCACAACGTTGGTTGGAAGAATTTCCACGGCCTTTAGTTCATCTGCCCTGGCTACGAAGTCTGGGTGCATCATTTGGCAGTGAGTGAGGACTCCATGGTGGGTAGCATTCACATAGGGACAGCATGGACACAGTAAGACCAGCATTTTGTTTTCCCCTGTCTCAGGGTTTGAGACGCTCTCTTCCGAACTATTTCCATAATACTGGGAGAGAAGAACGTCCTGAGACGATGGCCAGGGCTTCTTTTCGGCTAGCTCTTTCAGAGGTAAAAAGTATTTTCTGTAGCTCTCTTTTCCATGTTTGGTTTTGTAGTGACTACCCAGATGTTTTTTTCTGGAATAGCTGCTGGAGCACAGGACACACTTGTACACTGGATCCACACTGCCTGCTCCAGTTGCCTGACTGTGGTAAAGAAGGATGTGCCGATGGAGTCCAATTTTTGTGGTGGCCTTGTAATTACAGTGTGGGCACTTCACCAATGTATACATTTTCTTTCTCAAAACAGAAGCTTTTGATATGAACCCATGATTGCTTCGGATCTTCACTTGTGTTTTTTGGGGACCAGTTGACAGTTCAGGAGGGGGTGTGGACTTTGTCTCATCGTGGTTCTTCGAGTGATGTTTGTTCAGCTTCTCCAGTGTTGCGCACATTTGTGGACAGGTGTTGCACATGTACCCACTGACTCTCAAACCCTGACCAGTTTTTTTCAAACACCCCTTCATGTTGCTTAAATGATCTCCATCAATGTAAAGACTACCTGCCTCAGACCTGAGGTTAGGGTGCCTCATCTGGCAGTGAGTGAGAACTCCATGATGGTTGGTGTTCACGTAGGTACAATACAAACACTTAAAAACATGCACACAAGATTGCGTTTGCTTTTTTTCAGGTTCACTTACACTCATCTGTGCATGGTCAGGATGTTCGAGTCTGAGGTGGATGTGAAGATTATGCTGGTCAGGAAACCTTGCGTTGCAATGATGGCACTTGGTCTTTTTGGAAGATTTTGTCACTTTTTCAGGTGAATCAGAGAAGTCTTCAAACTCAAGAGGCTCTTGATACGAGTGTAATGTGACATGTTTGTTACTCTGATCTTCAAACTGACTGCTGACACTAGACTTCCTGCTGTGCATGACATCCAGGACTGAGCCGTCTTCTTTCACAGACCAAGGATGGACTGCGCGGTAGTGGTGCGTCAAATTTATCAGTGAGTCGCTTTTAAATGAGCAGGCTTTGCAGGAATGCATCTTAGTGTCACTGTGTCCAGGACTTTGAGATGATAAACCTTCAACCATCCCATTTCCCTCACTTGGACAATCAGCTTTCTTGATTTGTAGTTTCTTCCTCTTGTTTTTGGTTGAAGTGGGGCCGACATGTAACCGAGTGACGACATACTCAAGGGTATGTGGTTTAGGGTGTTCTTTCTTGCAATGGTCAAAGACTGCTTCAGCTGTTTCATGAGAAAATACACACGTTTCACAGTGATAGCCTGCCTTTATGGTTCCTTGTTCATAACACATTCTTAAAACTTCTGTAACTGTGCGGTTTACCTTGTGGATTTGCCACATGTGCCGTTTCAAAAGATACACATGTTGAGTCTTGTAGGAGCATTTATGGCACTGGATGATCCTCTGTATTTGAGGGGCTCTCAGTGATGACTCTGAAACTTTGAGGTGCACCTTTGCCTTTTTCTTTTTATCCTCTTTTTTCCTAAGGTGGGAATTACCGATCTTTTTGAGAATCCTAGACGAATACAAACGGATCTGTTCCCTCTTGACCTTATTGCTAGGATGTCTGCCAATGTAATGCCTTATTACACGATCCAAAGAAATGGCACTATAATTGCAAAAGTGGCAGAAGAACAGATTGTTTTTGCTGTTACTTATATTAGGAAGAGGTAGCTGAGCAGTAAAGCCATTTTCACTGGATTTTGACTTTTCAATCTGATCTCGAATTAACGCTGTGTAATGTATGACATGTTCTCTGTCAATCTTTAGCAATTTGTGAACTTTGGATTGATGGTTCAATACTCCTTTTACAGTCAGACTTCCAAAGTTGCATTTTTGACAGTAGAACAGGTTTTCTGGGCATGCAAAAGGATTGGGTTTCTTCACTGATGCCTCTTTCACCTTATCCTCTTTGAGTTTATATTCGTTCCTGCTGGAATCAGAGGGTTCAGTCTCTGTACCAACCTGCATCTGGGATTTCCTCTGCTCCATCTCAACACTATATGAAGCAACTTCTTCAGTATCTGTTGGTTCATGTCCGTAATGCTTGGTATTATGATGTCCAACAACATTTGTAATATTAGTGCTTGAATAGCTGCATCGCGGGCAGTGAAACAATTTATTCGGTGGACTGCTGGATAAAATGTCCACGGGTGACTTTTTCCTTTTACTTCTGTCCTCTTCATGTTCCACTGTCATGGCTGTGTGAGACTCAAGGTAAGAGTTGACAACTTTAGGGATGTGCATAGGATTTCTCAAAATCAATTTGATCCTTTTCTTTGACGGCCCATCTTTAATTCCTGACTTTTGAGAATCCAAGTTGCCCTCAGTGGGCAAAGACTTAACGTTTTCATGGTTTGGAGACTTGTCTGATGTCGTTTGTGACTTTGTAAGTGATGCGCCATGAGCTGACTGTTTGAGAGTGTCTATTGAGACAGCTTCATCTGGGTGGCTTCTCTGGTAATGCACATGCATGACAATAACTGACTTATGAGCAAACGTGCAGTTCTTGCAATGGTACATGGCCACATCGGCTTCCATTGAGGTTGGAGGTTGGGACAAAGGCGTTTTTTGGGCGTCCTTACTTGCTGTGCTGACTGGAGGAATTTTTCTGGGTGGTTCCATACTGGGTACTTTTCCGCATGTATTCAGCTGTGATTCATTCCCCTCTGGGGATTTGCTTGCCAAATACCTGCAGTACATCAAGAAATTGTCCACTGTATGGGTTGGATGCTTATTCTTGTAGTGTTCTTTCAAAGCCTTTGATTCATCTGTAGTAAATGGGCACACAAAACATCTGAAAACCAAGTTGAGTTCGTGTGTTTGCATAGTGAGAACATCTGGGGTCTCTGGATGACTTTCTGTATAATGTGTCTTGAGTTTAACTACATTTGAAAACTCAATCGGACACTTCAAACAACGAAAGGTGGCACTCTGATCAGTGGGGTCCTGGAGATACACAGCATTGAATCTTACATGAGGGTGATAGTTTTGGTAGTGGGTGGAAATAGGCCCGATGCCCACAGCACTGAAGTTACAGTGCTTACAGACACAAACCTTTGAGCTTCCCATCTTTCCTTCAGATTTTCTTTCTTCTTCTTCTTCTTCACTGAATTCTAATGAAAGCCTTGGGTTGCTTGATGGCTGTTGTTTACCTTCATTTGCTTTCTTGGGATGTTCTTTTTTGGCTTTTTTCAAAGGAGGGCCATCTGAACTTTCATTGCTGGGCCTCTTGTCAACACTGTTCGGTGGTGTTTCTCCAGACTGTTCTTGAGGCTTTGGTTGCTTCGAGGTGGCATCGGGAAAGGAGTCCATAAGCAAACATCGAGAAGAGTCCCTTGTGGTCATGTCAATATTGGGCATTGCAGTAACTTTAAAGACACCACTGCTGTTTGGGCGAGAGTTAGAGGGAGATTCTTGCAAAATAAGAGTTTCTTTGGTTCCAAGAAGGGACATTGAGCTATCGTCTAGCTGTGTTGGGGCTGATGGAACTAAAAACTTGGTAATCGTTTGCAGTGGTCTCTTGTATGTTTTCCGATCCTTTGATGAGCTCAATGTACATGTAACTTTCGGGGAAGATTTTACTGGGCCAACTGAGGAAATCTCTTCATTCTTTTTCAGAACAACAACTATTTTGGCCTGATGATTTTCAGAAATTATGTTACTTTGAATCCCGTTTTTCTTCACTACTTTCTGTTGACACTGTCTTTCATGTTCCTGTGAATCATCTAGACTAACAGCTTTGAATTTGCAGTTCTTGCATTCAAAATAATTGCTGTCGTCAGTTACCGTTTTGTGAGTCTCAGAGTGCTTTAAACCAGCATCTGTCAAAGCAGCACCGACATCGAAGCGATGAACCTTGTTGAGGTGTTCAAATAAGAAGACCTTGGATTTGAAGATGAGAGAACAGTGACCACAAGGTAAACACTTTGTCGGGGATTTCTGAGCGACAGCTTGACTGGGTATCATTGGGCCTGATGTAGGAATGTGGACTGAATCTGAGGGGACAAATAACAATAAGAACAAGTCGAACATCCAATGTGAAAAATTTACCTCAATTGGTATTTTGCTGTTAGACCGTAGACTGTCATTATACCTTTTTGCATCTTGCATCATCTCGGAGTAGAGTCACACAGAAAACCAATGTGCCACACCTGGAAGATTGAAAACATTACCCCATTGCTAAAAATAGAAAACAAGCATCACATCTTTGGTTATCTGCCTATTACCATTACTTTGTGGACACCTAGAGGTTTGACCCAGCTGAGAAGCTGAGAATAGGGTATAAGTCAATACTCAAAGACTGATTTATATATCTGGATTAAATCTTTACCATAGTACACCATAGTTTCCCTTGTCTGGACGGAAGTCTACTTGTGTAGCATTACTTTGAAAATTGTAACTGGAGACTGAAAACCTGGTCTGGGAAGCTTCACATTTCCTGCACTTACAACATGACTGTTTAAGATTTGTCCAGTCCTCCGCCTACAAGGACTCAATGACCATGGTCTGGGCATACCATCCCTTTGCCTTATTCTTTATCATATTTTAATTAGAAACAATTGCAAACCAACAACTCAAACTCCAACATGATACACTTGGATGCTCAGTGTGATCTGCAGTGTAATCACAGATGACAACTTGCTGATGCGAGGTAGCTCCACGTATCGTAAAAACATAAAATAAAATAAAGATTTGTCAGCATTTAGTTTGCCATTGCGGTGCACCACAATCAGTAACATGGAGGGAAACCCTGATGCTTGTTTCAATGGTGCACAAACAACCAGAAGATGAAGTGGTAAGTGGTACTGGGAACTAGCAATATGACAAGCAAAGGAATTGCATTGTAGACTGTGGAGGGCACAGGCACTCTAACACACAAGTATGTAGAGCTGAAAATGGCGTGAGCCTCTACTGTGGAGCAACAACTTAGAGTTAGAAATAACTCTTAGGTTCTTTTGAAAGAAACTGACCCATCAGCATATTCATCTCTGAATGATTGCAGCAGTGGATCCATATCTAATGCATCATAACTAATCTATGGTGCATAATTAGGAAGACCCATGTAATAGGAATGTAATGTTGATGCTTTTGGCAACCAAATCATGCATCGACAGTATAACTGAAGGATTACACCATACATAATTGTACTTATTCATCATTTATATTTTTTATTAATTCACTAATACGTGCATTTATGCTGTTCACGATCTAACCATCATTTATGTTATTAGAATTTGACATTATTTTGTTTATTCACAAAAGAGACGATTCAACAGAAGGGCTTCTGAATGACAACAGGCCAATGGAGCTTTTGACATATGACCAAAACTCTCCAAAACACTACTTCAGGAGAAACATGGTTTAAAATAGTATTTTGATAATCAGTGTAATTGTATTTGCACTAACAAGATATTGATAACAAATAACAACGTTGCCCCTTTATTCTCGTATGTAAATTCTGGATCAGACTTGGATTCATTGACCGAGTCACGGAATCTCCTCAAAGCTGCGTCGGTATTTGCAAATCTCAGTCGTTATCAGTCCGGATTTTTTTCTCTATTGCTGCATCTCTAGTTACCAAAATAAACAAACGCCGTTTCTTCCGATTGCAATACGTCTAACGAACTTCATCAGTGCAGAGAAGTTGCAGAGAGAGACTTCGGCATTTAACTCAGTGAGGGACGATCGACGGGGAGGCGTGAAATCCCAACGATCGCTCTGCAGACCCGAACTTTGTCAAAAACACAGTAAAACCCGATCGAAACTGAAAACGAACCTGTGGAACTCCATGGAGGATCATTGCCCAAGAAAAACATGTACTTACGCATGAAGACGAACACGAAATGCGGACCTGGGGGCAATGTTTTGAACCCCCGATGTGGATGAAGAGTTCTTCACAATTCCGCCATTTTTCCCGCGAGTACAGCTCTCCCCGTCTCGTGCTTCCGCTCCAGCAGCGACATCAATGTCATCCAAGTGTGCGTTAACTTCCGTTCAAAACCACCAGCTCTTCAAAATAAAATCACAAATCAGACTCCAGTAGTTTTAAGCGAATCCACGGTCCCTGTGATTCTCAAAACTTGTAAATAAAGCAAAAAGAAGAGAACCTATCCCCATTATTTTTTCATCAAAATTGAGAGAGTTTTGAGCTCCTCTTTCTCATCTTTGCACTTTACACAACTCATTTCTTATTTCGAAGCCCATGCCTTCTGACCACGGACTGTACATAGAATGGACGCTGTCTGTCTCCTCGTTTGGAGAAGCCCTGAGAACAGCACCCTCTGGTGACAGGCTGCAGTAGGCCTATAGGTCATAAATCCCGCCTCCTCCAGAAATCCCTATGTAGCTGTGGACGAAACTTAGAAATTTATTACACAGAATATAAAATTTTCTCCCCCCTGGTTGAGGTGTTGACACACAGCTGCTGTAAGACTAGTTTGTGCTCAAGTTCTCTTTTTTCTGTACAGCTCAATTTTTAAAAGTTATCAGAGGTTCATGTTTTCTATGATTGACACATGATACAGCCTATGTGCGTACGAAGATTGCGTTGCTCACCCGGGGGATGCGCTGTTTGAGCCGAGTGTCATCACAGCGACTCTCCCACCAAATGAGTACAGTGCGACTGTGCAAGTGGTGAAGAGTGTACAATGCTACTGTACAATGTTGGTTTCAGGAAATGAAAAAAGATGGCGGAAATACAGAGAGTTTTTCGGCTTCAGATCTGTATACTGGCAGAAGGCGGAACCAAGTTGTTGATAGGCTACAGTAGATGCTTCTGACCCCTGTACCCCTGCTCTATTCTATATGACTGATAGACATCCACATGTAGATAAGACTAGGTCTAAATGTTTTTGATTGTATTGTATTGTATTGAATTTTGATTGTACTGCAGTGGTCTTAGAAGGAAAAGCTGAATTGATTAGCGGGTATCATTCAATATTTATGAAAGGAGCCATGATTTTTGAGCATATGTGATGTTCCTCTCCATGCATTCATACTGGGTATTTAATGTCAAACACCCTTTACACCCCCAAGCCTTGAAAATAGACACACTGCTATAGTTTTTGGCTACATATACTCTATAAAATCTTTTCTGATGCGCATTTTTTCCAAGTTAAAAAAAGAGAACACTCGTGCTTTTAGTGTGAAATCAGACAGGAAAGACTAGTTTTTCGACTTGTTTTTCTTCGCGTTCCTTTCCTTCGTTAGAAGTAACACTACCTTTTGCCGACCTTTATTAAAATACAGTTATTTTAACGTATGCTTCGTGATGTTTTGCTATTTTCAAAAGCCAAATACACGACTCAACACGTGGTGCATCCATTATCTGAGCCACCAAATAAACGTCCCATTCTTATTGCAAATAACACTTGAAGTACTGTTGAGGGCATGTCTTCTTTTGACTGAATCACTTTTACAGCTGCTGAAACGTTGACATTTCTGTCAGATTGTGTCAGCGTGTTTGTTTTCCCAAAATATCCTGTTAATCTGTACTTTTTTTTAAAATTAGCAATACAAACATACATTTAGATTTTTTACTCAACCAGTGGGGTACGTAAATGATTAAGATTAAGTGTGTGTAAACGATAGAAGGAATGATAAATTACGTTGGAGGTTGTAATTTCAATTTCTGAATGAACCTGTCGTCCCCGTTGTTTTTTTTCTTCTTCAGTTGTAACCGGCGGCTGTCATTGGTTCCGCCTAGACACACTTTCCTCCGGAACGCTTTGTTGAGCGTACCAAAACAGGGGAGCACAAGGATAGTGACCTGAATGATATCAATACTGTTTCTTGTCGCTTTAGTGAATACACTTTAATCAACTGTGACCCTACAGTGTAAGTATATCTCACAGGCACATCACACTGCAAACTGTCTTACTCTGCTGCTGACAAAAGCCCTTTAAAACGACTAAATGAAGAGCTAGCTGCAGGGTTGGTTCGTACCTTTCAATAATGATAATAATAATGATCCATTTAATGGGAAATCAAGACCTGATATTCAAGTGTGTGGTGTTTATTTAGAACCAGTAATTGGCCGTATGTTACAGCTTTATAGGCTGAGGTACAGCTCTGTCTTTATGCAGCTGGTTCACTCCAGTACAATAGGAATGCATGTAACAGCAAATCAGTCCTCTCCCGTGAAAAAGCCATTGACAAACTATTGTGTGTCTGCGTTTGTGTGATCAGGGGTGCAACTATCTGAGGAAAAAAGAAAGATGATACCATTCTGACCTTAAACATCACCATGCTGCCTGCCAAGCTGACCAGCCGGTTGACTTTGACTGCCCTGAGGAGGATTCAGCTGGGAGCTTACTATCCCCTTTCAAACTGCCTCATTTACACAGATGGAGGAAGGACAAGAAATCATCCCCACTCTGATTCCAGTGTGTCAGGAAGAGTGTGGTACAACCGGAGCCCAATCTGCCCAACGCATAAGCGATATGAGACGCAGTACAACAGCAGGAGATGTTTCAGCATATCAGCTGCTACAGTTGTGAATTCAGCGCCAGCGTCTGTGCAGCCATATCTGCGATTGATGAGGCTGGACAAACCAATTGGTGTGTACATTAATCTTATGTAAATCACCTTTTTGTTCTTTTGGAGAGTGATTTTACAGCCACATTTAAACTGTTCATAAACATTTATGGGAACCAAGTTTTTCTGTCACTTTTACTACATTTATTAGCTCAAAAAAATCCATGTTAAATTACCATTACTCGAACACATTATCAGGTAGGCAGTAGGCGGAACCAAGTTGTCCATAGTTTATACAGTCTATGGTCTAAACAGAATACAGGTACTACAAAAGTTGAAATATATTGGATTTAATATGTTGTGGCGGGTGTTTTTAGGGAGAATCCAGCAAGAATAATCATTCATTTAGTTCATGCTTATTGTAATTAACATGAAGCTTTCAAATGGTCTCACACTGATTAAACATTGTTGGTTTTAGCTATACTGTTAAAGTCCTGGACAAAGGCATGGAATAATATTTATAATATTATATTTATATTTATATTGTTACACTGTTTATACTGTTATGGTGTTTAAATTGTTATCTTTCTTTTGTAAATTGAGAGTATTTAAGGTAGTCTTTTGTTTAACTTAGGTGTTTATTCCATATTTATACTTTCATAGTTTTATTCTTACAGTTTATTCTTATGCACTGTGGGTCTGAGAGGACTGAAATTTCATCTGTGCTGTATGTGTAACATGTATAGCATATTTGACAATAAAGTAGACTTTGACTTGACTTTGAATAAAGGCAGCTTAGCATCAGTGACGTTGTCCTGCATATATTTTAAAAAGATTTTCTGTCAGTCACTGTGTGTTTTTGTCTCACAGGGACATGGCTGCTGTACCTGCCGTCTACTTGGAGCATTGCTCTTGCTGCTGACCCTGGCTGCCTCCCACATCTGGGAATGCTCACCCTGTTTGGTACAGGCGCTATGCTGATGAGAGGGGCGGGCTGCACTATCAATGACATGTGGGATAAAGACTTTGACAAAAAGGTGTCTGAAATTCTCACATGGTCACACAACTGTAAATTCAATGCTTCCAAAGACATTAACAGTACTAAATAAGATGATTTCTGCCCTGACTGATTGAAATTGATGCTTTTCTACAGGTGGCCAGGACAGCCACTCGGCCAATTGCAGCAGGGGAGATTTCTCAGATGCAGGCACTCGTCTTTCTCGGAGGGCAGCTCACTTTAGCTCTTGGAGTTCTCTTATGTCTCAATTACTACAGGTAATATTTGGTTCAAGTGAGTCTCAACTCACACTGGATGAAAGGAGGAAAAAAAGACTTGTGTATTGATTATCTGAAATGTTGGTCAATATCCTAAGATAGCAGTGGAAAAAATATTCAAACTTGATGAACAAGGAAGAGCAAGGGATCTCTGTATGACACAACAAATCAATTTCCTCCTAACTTCTGTTCTCAGCATAGCTTTGGGTGCTGCCTCTCTGTCTCTTGTCGTTACCTACCCTCTCATGAAGAGGATCACATACTGGCCACAGTTTGTACTGGGTAAGCACTGTAACCCTCTTTAAATGTATAACTTCTTCCGATCTGTAAAGCTCAATTTGATTTCTTCCACCACATTTTTACAGGTCTCACTTTTAACTGGGGAGCGCTGCTTGGCTGGTCCGCTGTAAAGGGCTGCTGTGATTGGTCAGTGTGCCTTCCTCTGTATTTCTCTGGAGTGATGTGGACACTGATATACGACACAATATATGCACATCAGGTGAATTATAAGGGTGTTTTATCGGATCTTAAATATTATTTGGTTATTTGTCTGTTTGAGTAATGAATACATGAGCTAAATTTGTAAAGATGAGGGTAGCTATAGCAAACTAAAACACTCTGTGCCAAATAAGCTCACGTCCAAGGTCAGGGTTACTTTATTTTCACTGTAAGTTGACGTTGTTTGCTTAATTCTATTTTCTAGGCAGGGATTTTGTTGCTTTGTTTACAAAACTTGGACTCAGTCTGTCTTTGTTCATCTTCATTAACAGGATAAAGAGGACGACGTAAAAGTAGGAGTGAAATCTACAGCGCTTAGATTCCAGGAGCAGACAAAACCTTGGCTCAGTGGCTTCACTGTGGCCATGATGTCAGGACTTGTTGCTGCTGGGATCAATGCTGAACAGACTCTCCCTTATTATGCTGTGCTATCTGCAGTGGCCATTCACCTCACACATCAGGTGAGAAACATGGTACCTTACATTCTCCCTGCAGGAGGTTCATGGTTGTTGTTTGTAGACTCATTTTATATCACAATGAGAACTGTTGAAGTTAGTGTATAAATCGATACATGTTATTTCATCTCCTTTTTTCAGATATACACACTGAACATAAACAGACCAGAGGACTGCTGGAAGAAATTTGTTTCAAACAGGAACCTTGGACTATTATTATTTTTAGGGATTGTCGCCGGCAATTTGTGGAAAGAAAGACAAGAGACTTTGCTGCAAAATGAGGAAGCGCCCAGATAAGTGAGACAAGCAGAACTAATATCATTTTGATTTATTTACAAACATGCTCAGCACCTAGATCATTGAGCAAAACTCAACAACAGATCAGTTATGTACCTTAAGACCCCTGATTTTAACTGAAAACTGCATTCGATAAGTGTCTTTCTTGGCGAAACATGATCTGGTTGGAACAGATTGAAATGAAAAATAGAAGAAAAATTTTGGGGACATAAAACTATAATTCACTTTTATATTAATTTGCAGTTAAGTAAGGCTTGAGTTAGTGCTGACATAGGCTTAAAAATCAGTATCATTTGTTGAAAGGAAGCATTGTTAATTAGGAGAATTGTAACTTAGTATAATATCTAAGCTGCATTGAGCGTATTTTCCACTAGGGAGCAGAAAAGTCCAAACCTCAGCATCTTAAATCTCATTGACTAAAAAATGGTGTTTGGCTGCCAATTACTGCAAAAAAACATGCAGGCAGAGAAAGAACCTGCCTTAAACATTTAATGTCCAGAAATCAAAGTCCATATCAACCATTTTTGGTCGACAAAACCAATGAAAAGTAATTTGAAGAGTCTCCTCTCTTTCTGATTTGTGGACCTTCAAACTCTGTCTATGACACCAAGTGATGGCACCAAGCCAAGCAAAAAATGGGTGATAAATCAAGTGACTCTGATTTATATTGACAAGAATTTCATCCAAAAGAAATTTTTATCCATCAAAAGTTTTTGCATTTTTTTAAAGGGAACTTTTTTTCCTGCTTGCAGCTTTAATTTCATATTCTAGAAAGAATAACTTTGGATTATGGACTGAAAGGGGGGCTCTACCATATGAGCCTTTTACTCTTTTTCATTTCAATCTTATAAACCATAAATCTATTTTTTAAAAGTACAAACAGTTGTAGAGTGTCGCTCATAAATTCAAATAAAATTCAAACAGAAGTGGAAAAAGATGTTGCTTATTTTTTTCTCCCTCAATGGCTCATTAAAAGCCAATCAGTGACTATCATTAACTGCAGAATAAACACACTGTGTGAGGCATCTGGTGCCAGTTGTTCTATAAAAAAAGATAAATATACATTTGATTTAGATTGTTTTGCCTAAGTTTACATTTAAGTAATGCTTTTGTGTACCATTAGCTCAACAGACTGATGATAAATTTTCCTTTATACTAGATCTTTCAGCACAGTTGTATTCATAAATCACATAGTCGACCATATTTCAATAATTGAAATCCAAAGAGCCTGTTCCATGTCCATTGTCTGTCGTTTTTGTCTTGGAGAGCACAGACCTCCGCCAAGCAGCTCATGTCCCCCCTTATATTGCGATTCACACCAAAACTTTTACTGTTACGTGTCTTTTATTAACTTTTATATTTGTGTTTAAACTGGTATGTTCACTGTTCATAATGTTCCTAAAAGAAGAAATGCCCTGACCCGGATTCAAACCCAGGACCTTCTTGCTGTGAGGCGACAGTGCTAACCACTACACCACTGTGCCACCCATCTACACCACTGTGCCGCCCATTGGTTATCTTTCAGCATTGAAAATTCCAACGACACCCTTATTTTTGTGTGTTCTGGATCACAGTATCCGGATCTTTGTCTGGGTCAGGATCAACCTTTGACACCTCATAAAACTCACTGAGATCCTTTTGTGTCATTTTTTACTAAAGACTCTGGACATTTTTATAGAGTTAAATGCAAAAATTCCAAAATTTGCCCTATCTCACAATGACAAAGAATCCTTAAAAAAATTCCTGGATCCAGAAGGCGATCTGGATCACCACCAAAATGTAATGGGATCCTCCTGGGGCTGAGGCGCACCTCTGGTGAAAATTTCAGGTCAATTCATCTGTAACTTTCTCCATAAAGTTGCTAACAGACAAACAAACAAACAAACGCTACCGAAAACATGACCTCCTTGGCGGAGGTTATCATCCAGGGCACCTGTATTATTTTGTTAATCAAGTTACTGTTAAAAGTTTCTTTCATTGTCCAGACTCAAGAAGAAAATCAGTGTTAATTGATTGTTTCAAAACAACAAGTATTACTCAGCTAATAGTAAATCACAACAGGAGAGAAAATAACACTTTTCAGGACAGCCTTGATGTAAACAGGGCAAGAGTGACAAAGGTCAAAGATAAAAAAACAGTGACAGCCCCCTGATCCGTGACATTTTGTACCCTAATAATGAACAACAAACCCTCAAAATTTGCTCCCAAAGCAGATGTTAAGTAATGTTATGGATGCTGCAAAGACAAACACAAACAAATCTCTACGTGAGGGAGCTTTCCCCTGATTACAAAACAAAAGCACTTTCACCGATCCTTGAACCTGTTTAACCAAAACTAGACCTGCATCCAGAAATGGACTACTTTTCCACAGATGACACCCTGACCTCATTATGGTTATTTATCAAAGTCTTTTCCACTAAAAGTCAACCTGAGGGGTTAACTCTGTCTCTTGCTTTCTTCACTGGTGAGACACTGTGTTCAGTTTCTCTATTTTAATCCCAGAGGGCCATATCATTTTTATTCACTTTGAGAGCACTACAGTGAATGCCTCAATTTCAATTTGCCTTCTCTCCACTCAGAGGTCATGTGTTATGTTTTCTCCGATGACAGGGGGTACAAGAGGGCATGTTTTCTGTTTTTAAATGGAGAGCACGCTTAAAAGGGGGAGGCACTGAAGAGGCATTTAAAAGGGCACACTCAAATGTTTTCTCCACTTATTATTTTGTCAGGCATTGGATTGTGTTTTCTCCACTGAAGGGCAATGTATGAAACTCCCAATTTGAAGGGTCTCCCTCTCATGTTTTCTCAACTCAAAGGACATACCAGGAGTCACTTTGTTAATGTCTTCATTTACTGGTCACTGGTGTTTTCTCCAATGACAGTTACAGGTAGAGAACATGCTGGATCTTGAACAAATCTGTGCACTGAGAAGGCGCCCTAGATGATACATTTCATGCTATTTTAAGAGCATCTCAAAAGGGACATGATGTTGTTTTCTCCACTGGAAAGAATGTGAAAGGCGTATTATTTCTTGGCGGGTCACCTCATAGTACACTGGATGGCATGTCTCCCTTGGAAGAGCACTTCAGTGTCTACATAAACATGTTTTTGGCAGATTGGGCAACCCTAGAGGGCACTAAAATACACTTTCCTGCCAGGCCACTTTGAAAGAAGACACTCTCGCAGTCAAAAATTGAGATACAAAAAAACATTTAATCAAACATTTAACGGCTCTGGGCAGTTAGTGAAAACTTTAAAGGTTCAGGAGCTGAGTGGTCATGTAATGTCATATATGTCCCATTGCTCCTGCAGCTTTACTACCACCTGCTTTTTCACATTATCACTGAGCACACCTTGATGTTCGAGTCTGACTCAGTGTTCAGAGTGGACTTTGTCGTTTAGCCGTGCTGTTGTAATAAATCGGAGGAACTTTTGTCTTTTTCTTCTTTCTTCCCTCCTCTTGGTCAGTGGAGGGTGGGCACGTGAGAAAGTTTAGCAGCTGTTTGACCGTGGCTCCTCGCCGCGTCACGGAGCATCTCCTCTCTGATTGGTCCGCTCTTGTGCAACTGTGCAGTTGTATAAACTCTGCAGTTTGAAGGAGTTGGCAGAGTCTCCTGCAGGGATCGCATCAGTCTCAGTGGGGGGAAAACTTTGCGGAGCGAGGGGAGGACAAGGCGTCACTAGTTTTTGCAGACTTGTCTTGCAAAGTGATTTAGAGATGCAGAGCTGCGCCAGGTCTTGGGGGATCTTCCTGGCCAAGTCGGTGAATCCCAGCGCACCGTGCAGGCATCTGAGTGACAAGAACCGCGTGGTTTGGAAACTTCAGTGCAGGATCCGAAACAGCGGGGCATCCCTAACAACAGCAGCCCGGGGTCTGAGGACATCTGCGGCGGTTTCCTCCAGGCAGATCGAGAGGATTTTACCCAGACATGATGATTTTGCAGAGAGGCACATCGGGCCAGGTGAGAGGGAGAAGAGAGAAATGCTGGATGTCCTGGGAGTTGAGGTAAGATTTACAACTCATCCTCATGGAATTGGGCGCAAACACGCTTTCCCTTCCCTTTAACCATGTCTTCATATTAAATCATTAAATCATTTTCTGATGGGCTATTTATGCCTTTATTTGCTTTTGTTATTATTTATAGACGATCGACCAGTTGATCGAAAACACAGTTCCAGCATCCATTCGCATTCAGAGGAGTATGAAAATGGATGATCCAGTCTGTGAGTTTATTTCTATTTTATATAACAGTCTCATTCAGTTTATTTCAACATATTTGCACTTGCGTGTTCTGAAACTGAAAGCAAGACCCTCCTCGATGTGAAAGTGGCACTGCCAGTGTGAAATGCTGAATTTCATGAAAAATAGCAGATATTCCTCGCAGCCGTCTCCATCTATTCTGCAGGGTGAATGGGGCTCTGAATGGAGACAAGTGAGAGGCTGAAATGTAGGTTGCACCTCTATTGTGCGCCGCGGAGCGCTCTCCCCTCTGTTAAGTCTTCCTTTGAACATATTAGGAGTTGTTTTTGCGAAACTCGGCGAGCAGCACCAATCTCCTGTTGGGAAGCCGATGCTCATAGGATGGCAACTGGAGTGTAAAGTTGAGCCCTGAGCTCCGGTCTGAAGTCCAGTTCAATCTGGTTACAGCGTTCACATTACATCACAGCCGAGGGGGTTCCTAATAAGGTGACTTCAGTCTGTTTTGCATGGTATTAGCTTGGGTGTTTTCCAGATGTTGTTTTTTTTATATTGTCTTCTACAATATGTGTACATCACAGCAGAATTCACACAATGTACACTCAATGTTCCTGTGAAACGAGTTCATTTAGTTATTTATAATGTGAAATATAGAAGGTAAAGGCAGCAAACATGACAAAGATAAAACTGTGACCAAGCTGTGATTGCATATGTGGACCAGATTAGTAAATACAGATGACACACTTTTTATATGCAAATGCATTTTGCTTGGAGTGAGGCTTATGCTAATTAGATAAGCACGTGCTGCTGTTATAGCTCTCACTCTTTAGGGCACACATGTGCAAAATATAGCTGCATGCTGAAATAAATATTTTTTGCAATTTAAGTTTTCTCCCAAAACACTACAAGATACCTCAAATGTTACAACCACATTCAATAACAACTATCAAATTGATGCCAATTTGAACAAGTGTCTACATAGCTACAAAAACACAACATAAACGTTTTTTTTTTAACCCTTTTTAAGATACAGGTTAAACAAAATATAGGAGAGAGTGGGGTAAGATGAGCTATTTTTCATATTTCTGATCACTACATCAAGTCAATCATAGTTTTGTCTCTAACTAGTGTGTCTGCATATATGTCAAGATGTTGTGCATCCCTGCAAACCAACAGAATGAGTGTAAACATAACTGTCTTGATAATATAGCATGACAAAAAAAGTGGTCTCCTATGGTCAACTTACCCCGTGTATGGGGTAAGTTGACCATAAGAGCGGGGTAAGTTGAGCCGTATCCCTACTACCCCCCCACTCTCCACCCCAGCCCTCCCTCACCTTCTCTCTCCCTAAACAACAGTCACAGTTTGAACACAATTCTAATAAAACTTATGACAAACTAAATTTACTTTCAAGAGTGAAAAATGTTTTTTTTATAAATAAATGTCTAACCCCTTCACCCATGTGCTTCTAACCTTCACAGACTCCATGAATTGATGCCCATCTCCTAAATATGTGATCACATGATCAATTTCTTTTACCATTTCTAAGCAACAGGCGGTGGCTCAACTTACCCTTTGGCTCAACTTACCCCGCTCTCCCCTACTTGACCACTGACATACTGTATCATAAACTGTTTTAGCAATCACAATAGCGCGATAAATAAATGCTGACACAGCACTTTTGCTAGACTCTGCAACCATAAACTGATACGACTGCAAAAAGAAAAGTCAGTTATCTTTAACACCAGGAAAGCCAACATTCAAATAAGAAGTCCCTAATCCTCAGGTGCTCTGGCTTCACCATGTCACCTAGTCTTTCTGATCCTCCCTAATGTCACTTCCTCCTCTTTGAATCTCCAACTCTGTCAGGTTTCATAATGCGACAAGCCATGCTGAAAGAACAAACTGGAGGCTGTGCTGGTTTTCTGCTTGTTCAGCTTTGGAGGGCTTCAGTTTGCAAAGCCAGCGAGGGATTCTCCCCTCAACAATAGACCTCCTCGATGGTTCTGAATCAGGCTTTTTTTGCTGCCCTGTAGAACTCTGGGTCCATGGGAAAGCAGTCCTCCCAGCTGAAACTAACACACACATGCACATGAGTTACAAACTAGCAATTCACATTGAACCTCCTGATAGTCCCTTGCTTCTAAATGTTGTTTTCTGTACTAAATCTGTCTTTATCCACCAACTAAACCTTGATAAAGAAACTGTAAATATCCACTTGTGTACTGGCTGCAGTCTCTCTCACCACCAGGGACTCTGAGGTGTCTTTCTTTTCCCAAAAGAAGGAGTAGTCAGGACTCTTGGTTCAGACGGGCAGTATTGTCCATTCCTCAGAGTTGCTAGGCAGCCAGGAAAGCCAGAGGAATCTCAGAGGCTGGTTGTGCATTGGCAGAGCTTCCTTACAGCACTGGGGAATGGGGCTAAATAACTGGCTCTGAAGGCGGAAACCTTGGATTTAGTCCCTCTATTGACTTTTTAGATTAATGAAAATACTTTTTTTCATGCATAGCCTTCTCATACGTAAAGTGTTTTTCTATCATGATATCTCATCAATTGTATTTATTTAAGTTTCACTTGAGAAAGAACTCCCACGTTGAGTGTCCTGAGAGGACTCTACAGAGTACTGTAGCTGATGGCATGCCGAACTCATCTTTATTATTGAATTACTTCCACAGCCAGCTCCTCACATGAGAGACCAGATGCTGGTCATCAGATCTTTTGGCAAATGTTGTGTGGCCATGTTTATTTGTCTGTGTCACACAAACACAAACTTCTGAGGTGTAGATGTTTGTTTTTCCAAAAAGTTTGTGAAGCACTAACCAGGTTTTTTCCTTTTTCCTTAACTCAAGATACCTGCTGATATACAACAGCACTTATTTCTTATCAAAATACTCTTAACCATGCTGCAAAAAAGATTCAAATTCATACAGACACACATATGCTCTTGTCTTCAGTGAATTTGCTGATATCGATTGTACAGACCCAATAGGGGCGGAGCTTCCACAGACAGAAAAGCATCTTTCTCATGCGTGTATTGATATAAAGCAGAGGTCACTGATTCTTAAATGTACAGGACAAACAGGTTGGGACTGTAACTGAATGACTAATCAGCTGTTTGTCTGATAGCTGGCACTTGTGGAAACTCCTGAATTGGTCTGTCAAGTCCTACAGTAAACAAAAACTATTTTTACTTGCAGGCTTTCAGTTTCATGAATGATTCTTTAAAACATAAAATCTTAAAATGTGCTGTCATGAAGGCCAAAATACAACCAGAAATCATCTTGTCTTGTAGGTGAGAATGAGATCCTGGAGTCCTTACAGAAAATTGCATCACAGAACAAAGTATGGAGGTCCTACATCGGGATGGGATACTACAACTGCTCAGTACCACCACCTATCCAGCGCAATCTCCTGGAAAATTCAGGCTGGTGAGTTCCCCTCAAAGAGGACCTTTTGATGAAATTTGAAAGTGCAGTGATCTTGTTTTCTCTCTAATCCCATCACAGATAACTAACCATATTCATCCACATAGTTTGTTACTCATTTAGAGCTTAGTTGCTGCATCACAGGGTAAAATTCTCTTTAGAGGAGGTCTTGTGACCTGACTAATGGAAAAACTGATGATGTGCTTCTCCTCTGCCTCATGCTGAACAAGAGCTTCCTCCCCCCTTAATCCAAATCCACCATCCTTACCCTCGTTTTGTCTAAAACCACAGGGTTGTGAGGGCAGCACAATGCATTCCACTGCCCTGGCTCTATTCCTTGAATACCACCAGCTTTTTGCTATTGTCCCTGTGTCCTGACTTACTGTAATGGTCTTATCCTCAGGGTGACTCAGTATACTCCCTACCAGCCAGAGGTGTCTCAGGGCCGCCTGGAGTCACTCCTCAACTACCAGACCATGATCTGTGACATCACAGGTTTGCCTGTGGCCAACGCCTCCCTGCTGGATGAGGGAACAGCCGCCGCTGAGGCCATGCAGCTCTGCCACAGGTGCTAACAAACTGGCCCACTGAGCATCATACACTGCAGACCAATGCGTGATGCTCAGACAGATTTTAGTTTTTTCATCATATGACTTATAAGGTCTTATATGGTCCATATGAAAAAACTCATGTTCATTCTGACCCTATTTTATGTGAACTCCTCACAGACAGAACAAAAAAAGGATTTTCTACATTGACCCGCGCTGCCATCCTCAGACCATCGCTGTGGTGCAGACCAGAGCCAAGTATGTATGATCCTCACATGCTTTCAGTTTATAAATTGTCCTGACAAATCAAAATCATGTTTGTAGAGTTACATAGATGTTTAACAGAGACAAAACTGAAGTCTGAATGTTCGATACTGTGTTGCAGCTACATCGGGGTAAAAACTGTGCTGAAGCTGCCTCATGAGATGGACTTCAGTGGGAAGGATGTGAGCGGCGTGCTCTTTCAGTATCCAGACACTGATGGCAGGGTGGAGGACTTCACAGCCCTGGTGGACCGGGCTCACAAAGGAGGGGTGAGAGAGCTTCAACAATAGAAGAAATCAAGACAAAATTCATTTTCAGTATTCAAATTCCCCAATTATGATTATAGAGAAGTGGGACGCTTTTATATTGTGGTTAGATGTGCTTGAACCACCATTAACATTCTGTTTAGGTTGAAAACCTTTTCTATAGACTTTTCTTGCATTAATTACTGTCATGGCTCCTCCCTTATCCAGGCCCTGGCTTGCTGTGCCACAGATCTGTTGGCCCTCTGTGTGCTGCGTCCTCCCGGAGAGTTTGGTGTTGACATTGCCCTGGGCAGCTCTCAGAGGTTTGGGGTTCCTCTCTGCTATGGTGGTCCCCATGCTGCCTTCTTTGCTGTTAAAGATAACCTGGTCAGGATGATGCCTGGCAGGATGGTTGGAGTCACCAGGTAAGGTTTTTTTATATGATAAAGAGAGACCAGAAGAGCTTCATTCAGGCACAGTCTGAAGCACTTTACTCTTTTAAATTCTAGGGATGCAGCTGGTAAAGAGGTGTATCGGCTTGCTTTGCAGACCAGAGAACAGCATATTCGTAGAGACAAAGCAACCAGCAACATCTGCACTGCACAGGTATGATTGTTTTCCTCATACGAAACAGTCAAATTAAAAGCAAAATTAAATAGTTGGTATTTTGACAAGATTTCTTACTTTTTACCCATACTTTTCTACCTCTGTCTCCCAGGCTTTGCTAGCCAATATGGCTGCCATGTACGCGCTGTATCACGGTCCTCAAGGGCTCAAACACATCGCTGAGAGGACTCATAATGCCGCTCTGATCCTTGCAGAAGGTAAATATATTGTTTTTAACCTGAAAAAGAAAATATCCTTATTTGTGACAGAATTACCTTTCAACGACTTCATCACATACACTGTGGATACTTGATTATTTGACCATCTCAACTGGTTTGGATATTAAGAGTAGACCGAGACGGTATTTGACTGATCACACTTTGTCTCAGGTCTAAAGAGAGCAGGACACCGGCTGCACAGTGAGATGTTCTTCGACACTCTGAAGATCAACTGCAGCGTCGCAGCCAAAGACATCTTTGAGAGAGCCACGCAGCGGGAGATCAACCTGAGAGTCTACAGCGAGGGAGTGGTGAGAGTTTAACTCGTGTCCTTAAGACCTCTGAAACTGTCTTCTCAACATTCATAAGAGTTAAATGCACCACAACATCACATGAAATCCTTAAAATCAGAGACTTTCTCTTGTTTGAATTTGTTTTAACTCTTCTCTGTCAACAGGTGGGTGTCTCTCTGGATGAGACAGTGACTGAGAGGGACTTGGATGATTTGCTCTGGGTCTTTGGCTGTGAGTCATCAGCTGTAAGTAGTTCATTATTCACCTGCTGCTGTGATTTAAATACAGTTTTAGTTTTATCCTTGTGTTTTGCTGTAGCAAAACTGTTGACTGCCAATCCAGAGATAAAAATGTCTCCTCTTTGAAATCTCAGGAGCTGATTGCTGAGAAGATGGGTGAGCGGGTAAAGGGGATTATGGGAAGTCCTTTCAAGAGGACGAGCAAGTACCTTACACATCAGATCTTCAACAGGTTGGTGTTCACAGTCAGAATTTAAGGAGATCTTACAAAAACAAGATCTTAGAAACCTGCACAGTATAGGTGCAGTTGTACCTATAACAAAGCTCTGCTGCTTTTTCTGCTGGCCATATTAGTTTTGATTAGCTTCATAACATGTGAAATGCCTAAATCTTTCCTAAAGGGGTTTTTGAAAGTCCTCAAACGTAGACTTTTTAGACAAGGGTCATGTAAAACCTCTGCTTCTCTTTAGAAACACCAAACATGTGCCAGTTTCTATGTTCACCGATCATCCTACAAGATCGTATTTGAATAACTGTATGAAAGTAAAGATGCACAAAACACAATCTTTGCAAATCTTTAGGCATTTGAAAACTATGTATGTGGTTGAAATCATCAATAAGAGCCTTAGAAGCAGCCCAGTTATGTCTCATTGCTCTTGATTGTGGAGCATATTATTTTTTATTGGTGCAATAAACATAGTCAGGGATTGAGGCCTCTAATGTCTGGAGTTCACAGTTTCAACATAGTTAAAAAAAGGCTTGGTCAGACCTTAAACTAATGAACTCAGAGGGCAGGTAATTGGTGCAGATTTCAATCAAATATCTAATACTGATATCAAAGAAAACTAAGTGCGACATTAACCCATCATCTGTCTCTCTGGTTGATTTTTGTCTCTAGTTATCACTCAGAGACCAACATTGTGCGGTACATGAAGCGTCTGGAGAACAAGGACATCTCTCTGGTGCACAGCATGATCCCACTGGTCTGTTGCAGCTTGAAGTCTAACAAGATATAAGTTTATATCGACCGTTCCTGGGAGTTTTGTTGTGGTAAAGTGTTGTCTTTCTCCTATAGGGCTCCTGCACAATGAAGCTCAACAGCTCTTCAGAGCTCATGGTTGGTAACTCAGTGAATCTGTGATAACACAGTGACTCCTCTTTTGCAGTCAAACCTGCAGGTTTAACTTGAAGTGATTTCACATTGTTGTGTTTCTCTTTTGCTCCTTTAGCCAATCACTTGGAAAGAGTTTGCCAACATCCATCCCTTCGTGCCTTTGGATCAGGCAGACGGCTACCAGAAGCTGTTCAGACAACTGGAGAGGGACCTCTGCGAGGTGACGGGCTATGACAGTATCTCCTTCCAGCCAAACAGGTTAATCCCTCTTATTGTGCTGCTGTGCACCATTATCCATTTTTACACCACTTCCTTCTTCTCTTAGCCCTGCATACCATGATAATCATACTCTAGTATATGTCTCATATGTGCATCAAAAACCAAGACCGAGCCTGAGACTTTGTGGTGAAGCAGCATAAATCTCCATATTAGGTTGGCACTGATAACGCACACACCCACCTCCTCTGTCTATCACCACTTATCAGCAGCAAAGACTGTACGAATAGCACACCATGCAACATTGACCAAGAGTTATCATGCTGCTGGCTTTCCATCCCAGTGTAACCAGTCCCCTTTTGGTAATGTGTGCAGGTTGATCTTTGAACTGTGCTGAGGTAAGGGTGTGTGTAGTTGTGCAGTACATGACCTCTGTTTCACTTGTGTTTCAGCGGAGCTCAAGGAGAATACGCCGGTCTGGCAGCCATAAAAGCGTACCTGAACTCAAAGGGAGAGAGCGGGAGAAGTGTAAGTGCGCTATCAAGTTATAAAAGCCCAATAACACCCTAGGCATGCCAAAAAAGCTGGTGTAAATGGAATTTTTTCGTGAGAGATAATAGGGCAGTCCAGGGTTTTATAATATTCTGTTACCTAATACACATTGAGTAGATTGATTGAGGTCCAGATTATCTGCACTTCGGGAAAAACAACTCAAAGAAATGCTGGGTCAGTGAAAAGAGAGGAGTCGGCATATCTCCAGGAAATCCCTGCTGTCGTGCAGAAAAAAGTCCCACATAAACTCATCACTTAAGACATTTCAATTTTCCTGTTGATACATAATAAATTAAAACAAGAAATTTAATGAGCATTCTGGATGAAAGTTAAGGGATTATTGAAGCATTGGTCAGAGCAGATGTCATTAGATGTCCTAATAAACCTGATTTGAACAGGAACTATCAAGATCATTAAAGTGCTTTTAAGAGCAAGAAAGGTTTATCTATTAATATAACAACAGGTACATGACTCCTATCTAAGAACAATTTATCACTGGCAGCGTCTGTGACTATGCTGACTGAGGTTAATAAAGAACATGAGAACTCACGCCCTATCAGCTTTAGTTCCTGACTGTCAGGTTTATTGTTCCCCAGCTACTGCAGGTCATTTTGACATCACAGAGGAGCATGTTTCAGGGTTTTATGTAGAAGTCCCTGTAGTATCCAGACTGCCTTGTTGCAGTGTTGTGGGTACACAGAGTGATAAAGACAGATTAAAGAGCGGCTGACTAAAGTATTTTTCTCCAACTTTAAATTGGCCTCTGTCTCTCTCTCTCTCATAGTTACATCTTAGATAGTGGCCTGATCTCTAGAAACAGTCAAGGTCCAAACTAACAACTGTTTGTGCAAACAGAGGGGTTGCTATCGCTGTGGTCTCACTATAGGCTCCCTGCTTTCAAGATGCCATATTTGGAGGTTTAAGACTTTGCTGAGCCGGTGACTTGCAGTTCTCTGCGTTTTTTTCTGTCAGTTATTTGTCAATGTTTCCCAACCCCGCAGGACTAAATGCCCAGTTTCTCTTGTGTGACTAAGTTGCAAAATGTCAGAAGTGTCACCCTAATAAGGGATAAAATCAATTAGTGACCTGCAGGCAGGTTAAATATTAGTGTCAGAGGTGGGTGTTAGCTGGATCAAAAATCAACCACGGGGAGTTGCATCAATTCGACAAATAAGCTGCTCCCTTATAAACCTTGTTCTTTTCGTGTGTTTTATTCCTCATTTTATGGAAAAAAGAAGTGATACCAAATACCAAGCTTCCTTTTTTTTGATTTTGGTGTTGAAATATTTTAATCTAGGGTTTCTATCCAAAGCCACATTGCGTAGGTTTCAACTTGCTCTGGGTGTAAAAGGTCAGCTGCAGGAATGTGTAGCCCATTTAGTTTAAAACCATCTGTTTCCTGGATAACACCATATTTTTAAGTCGCCTGACTAAAAGATCTGAATTGCATCACAGCCTCTGTTGTCCTCTTTTTTGCTCTCTGTGCTGCTATACTGATTCTGTCTTATCAATACCAGGTCTGTCTGATCCCCAAGTCAGCCCATGGCACAAATCCGGCCAGCGCTCAGATGGCTGGTATGAAGGTTCAGGTGGTGGAGGTGGACAAAGACGGCAACATTGACCTGGCACACCTCAAAGCCCTGGTGAGAGCTGGACTGGATTTCCTCTGCTGGTTTCAAACATGAATGCACATCTCCTGCTGCAGAAACAGCTCAATGACAGTGTCCTAATAGTCTGAGGATGTCATGACTCTGGTGATCTTAGTTCCTGACTTCTCTGTCCTCTCAGGTGGATAAACACAAGGCCAGTCTGGCGGCCATGATGATCACCTATCCTTCCACTTTTGGTGTTTTTGAGGAGCACATTGGAGACATTTGTGCTCTCATTCATGAAAATGGGGGTCAGGTGTATCTGGACGGTGCTAACATGAATGCACAGGTGAGTAAAGCAAAAAGCAGCAGCAGTGAGATATTCAGGAGTCTGAATGCTGCTCTTGTTCAGTGTTACCTGTGGAAACTGAAGGCTAATAGTGTAAAGGTTTATAGATGTGTTATCATGCTGTAAATAGATAACCTTTGTTCCCAGTAATGTGCAGATGAAGATTTTTACGCCAACACTACCTCAGCCAATCAGTGACAGACTTTCAGACCCTGCCCCTTTTTGACTTTTAGGATGCCAAACCTCTGCCCCCTCTCATGTGATTTTATGATCATGTGACTGAATAAAATCAGGAAGAATCTGGGACTACTTTAAATACATTTGGATGTTTTTGAATAACAGGTTTTAAAGGTTCACAATCTGAAACCAAACATATTTGTGGGAGTATTTTAGTTTGTCATGGTTTCACTTTAGCTGCTTAGGCTTGCTTTGAAACATGACTGAAGTGATTTGTGGAACAATTCCAAGTTTTTTGTTGTTTAGACTATAAAGATTTATAAGAAAAGCACACTCAGTTAAAAATTAAGAACTTTTTTACCCAGAATCTCTCTGCAGCATCAGTCAGTGTCTGTCTGGAAACGATATTCCAGAGTAGTGGATTTTCTGGTTTGGCTACGAATGACTCCTGTTTTCTTTGGCAATGTGATATCAAACAAAAATAGTGGATCTGCCAGCCTCTGTAGAAGGTTAAATCTCATGTTTCTCAGGTGGGTCTGTGTCGCCCTGGAGACTACGGCTCTGATGTGTCTCATCTCAATCTGCACAAAACCTTCTGCATCCCTCACGGTGGGGGAGGACCCGGCATGGGACCAATCGGAGTGTAAGCCTTAGTATAAACTGTTGTGTTTCACTCTGTTAAAGTGATGCATCTTTTCTGCAAAGTGTGCAAAATATGTTATCTCGTGACAGAGCGCACACCTGCACGCTTAGTCTGTTTAAACATAAACTCTCTGTTATCAAATTTAGATTATGAGACTTGATAGCTTTTCCTCAAGACATCCATCTTCTCAAACAGGAAAGCCCACCTTGCACCCTTCTTACCAAGCCACCCGGTGGTCCCCATGCACTCAGTCAACACTGGCAGCTCACTGGGCACCATCAGCGCCGCTCCCTGGGGCTCCAGCGCCATCCTGCCGATCTCCTGGGCTTACATCAAGGTCAGTATTTAAATTATGAAATAAATTAAAATTGGGTTCTTGCTGTTTCGATTCACAAATAGCATGAAGAGGGTTGGATGTTCTAGCTCCGCTGACATTTTCAAAGCTGTCAGTCTGTCCACATAAACTTTTATTTTCTCCCTCCATTCTGTGTTTAGATGATGGGATCTAAAGGACTTGTTCACGCTACAGAGGTGGCCATCCTTAATGCAAACTACATGGCCAAGAGGCTGGAGGCTCACTACAAGGTGCTCTTCAGGGGAAGGAAAGGTAAAGCTGTAAAAACATTGCAGGAATGTCTAGAATCAAATTTCTAAAACATTTCAATTTCTGAGAAATAAAGTTGTTTTTTGGAGTAAGGTTTTCTCATTGTTGTTTTTTGTATTTATCTAAAAAGGTTTTGTTGCCCATGAGTTCATTCTGGATGTGCGGCCATTCAAGAAGTCGGCGAACATTGAGGCTGTGGACGTGGCTAAGAGGCTGCAGGATTATGGTCAGTTGAGGAGTTAATTAAAGTGTCTTATTTTAGGTTTCACAAATGCAGTGACTTGCCCGTTATTCAGAGTGTGGTGGTCTTGGTGTTGATTTGATTTGTGATTGTGTTCAGGTTTTCACGCTCCCACCATGTCGTGGCCGGTGGCTGGAACCCTCATGATCGAGCCCACAGAGTCAGAGGACAAAGCAGAGATGGACCGCTTCTGCGACGCCCTGCTCAGTATCCGACAGGAGATCGCAGACATCGAGGAGGGGAGGATGGACTCCAGAATCAATCCACTAAAGGTGTGTTACAGGTTTGGTGTTGTTGGTACAAAAGTGAGAGAATTATCCCAGCAGTTAGTAAATGAGGTCCTCCTGTGTGTTTGTGTCTGTGTGTTTGTTTGCAGATGGCTCCTCACTCTCTGGCCTGTATCTCCTCCTCCACCTGGGACAGACCCTACTCCAGGGAGCACGCTGCTTTCCCCCTGGTAAGTGTGCTCTTCGACTCTCACTCTGTTCAATCTGGAGGGTTAGAAATCAGACATTTGTCTGTGTCGCCCTCTAGTGGTGAGAATTAAGAACTGCTGCTGAACGATAGGATTCAGAATTCAAGTTTGCAAATAAAAGAAATGAGTCTAAGTGTGTAACAGAAACAGAAGGCTAAAGGGACAAAATAACTCCAGCTGTTCAGAAACGAAAGAACAAACCAAATCTGTCTTTCTCTTATTTTTGGTATAATTATCAGAGGGAGAAAGAGATTAAGGAAGTTTATTCAAATCACATCCCACCACCACTATTAGCTTAGACCAGTGGTTCTCAAGTCCAGTCCTCAAGGCCCACTGTACTGCATGTTTTGGATATTTCCCTGCTCCAACACACCTGATTCAAATGATCAGCTCGTTATTAAGCCATTACAGAGCTTGATAACGAGCTGATCATTTGAATCAGGTGTGTTGGAGCAGGGAAATATCCAAAACATGCAGGACAGTGGACCTCGAGAACCACTGGCTTAGACTGTACGCTCTACCTCCCCCTACTCCCCCAATTTCAACAAGGAAAGAGAGGAGGGATTTTCAGATTGTGGAGGTCAGACACTGTGCTTGAGTTTAAGATGTGTCAGCTGAGCTCACAGGTTTAGAAAATCTGATATGGTGTGATATATTGGCTTCATTGATTCTCAGATATATGGCAACCATACATAGTGTGCCATCCACCTTTCTTACTGAGAGCTTGTATGGAGGCGATCTGTGCAACTGGTGGTAAAGCTGGTAAAACGTCTTTGTTTCATCCTCTCAACACATTCTACATTTTTCCTTTTTAAATTTCAGCCCTTCATCAGGCCCGAGACCAAATTCTGGCCAAGCATCTCCAGGATTGACGATATCTACGGCGACCAGCACCTGGTGTGCACCTGCCCTCCCATGGAGGCCTACGAGTCTCCATATGAGGAGAAGAGAGCGTCCTCATAGATGCCCTCATACTCTAGTCTCATTGTCCTGAAACCTCACACACTTGACACCCACTGACTCAGTGACAGTGTTGGAGTTAAAAACTCTACATTTAGTTCACTGGAGGGGGGAATTGTGATGTTCATATTTCATGCATGGTGACTCTTGCATACTTTTCCACAAAGCAGAGCGCCATGAACTCAAATTAATGATTTCAAACCTCCCTGTCTGTAATATTATCGTCCTGCGTGTTGTGAATGACTACCTTGTACTAGCTATGAACAAAAGGTCTTGATATCTGATCACATGTGGGTGTCTGAGTCTGTGAGGTGGACATTGGGACCAGGCTACATGAGGTTTTACCTGAACTCTTCCAATGGACCAAAAGGTGCAACTTTTGCTCTTTAGACTGCAAAATGAGAGCACCCTACGAGACTGAGGCGGCTTTGTGACACATCTCTGAATACTGTGCTAAAAGCAGGGTACAGATAATTAAAAGCTCTGTGTGCCTCAGTTTGTGTTGTGTAAAATAGCTGCCTTGAATTTCCTTTTTTCAAAAACCTGATAAAACATAGGTGATACTTTACTGTAGGCTGTTTTTTTTAATATGCATCTGTTTTATGGAAATGTTTTAATGTTATTCTGTCTTTTGTTGTACGAGTAGATGAGAACAGTCTTAATGTTGACTTTAAATTAATTGTCTAATCTTAAGTGTTTTGTCTTTACAGATGTGTTCCAATTAAACATTTTTTGTCATTAAGTGTATGTCATGTGTTACATGAAGACAATCCTGCCACCTAGTGGTGACTCTTCAACATCACACAAGCTGTACTCCGGAATCACCTTATAATAAGCATAACAACCATAGACTGTATTTAAGATGGACAGAGTCTGCCTCCTTGCTGGGTGAAGCCACTCCAAGAACAGCACCCTCTGTTGATGGGCTGCAGTATAGGTCATAAATCCTGCCTCCACCAGCAAAGCTTATGGAGCTGTGGACAAACTTCAGAAATTTATTACACCGAACAGAATTTTTTTCCCCCCTGCTTGTGATGTTGACATGTAGTTACAGTAAGACTGGTTTGTGTTCAAGTCCTCTTTTTTCTGTGAAGCTCCGTTTTTAAAAGTTATTAGGGGGTTCATGTTTTCTATGATTGACACCTGATACAGCCTATGGGCGTTCAGGGATTGCGTAGCTCACCCGGGGGGATACGCTGTTTGAGCCGAGCGTCATCACAGCGACTCTCCGCGACTGCACGGCCGAAAGCGCGCATCGCTACTGCGCAGCGCTGGTTTCAGGAAATGAAGAAAAATCCCAGAAATATCGAGAGCTTTTTGGCTTCGAATCCGTATACAGGCGGTAGGCAGAACCAAGTTGTCCATATTATATACAGTCTATGATAACAACTCATAGCCATGTTTAAGAAGTCTTAGACTTGTCCTATTAAGTCTTATAACTTAACTTAAATATAAATTTTGAATTATCAGATGAGACAAGAAAAGATGGACAGGAGTCAAGCTTTGAAAGTAATCAATGCAGTGATTTATTTGTTGAGGTTTTCACTGTTACAGGACCTGAGTTCATGCTGAGGCAAAATCAGCAGTCATTCAGTTTAACCAGCAAAAAGGCACCAAAGTAACATGAAGCTCAGAACAGATTTAGGTAGAATAGCTTTAAAAAGTACATTTAACGAGTAGACAAAAGTGTGTGACTATTGATAAAACAGTGCTTTTTCAAAATACAGTGATTAAAAGCAGATAAACCCTGTTTATCTTTTGTAATTCAATCTTCAGTCTCTGTGGGAACTGATTTAATTGTACGAGGCAACACTAAGACTGTGACACAGCCGTGACAACAAGACGGATGATACAGAGCAGTCAGCTGAGTTTGTCAGATGTGAGTGTGAGGGTCCCCGACACAGTCCACAAGTACAGCGTCTTAAAAAGTAAATAAATTAATACATGGTGTTTTTTATAAAATAAAAAAAGAAGGGTCATATAGGTTTTAAACATACTTGCAAGATGTTTTCAAGCAGTGTTTCTAATCTGAAATGTGAAGTTTGAACAGTTCAGACTGTGTGTGTGTGAGTCAGAGTAGCTTCCTGTTATGTGGCGAGACAAACAAACAAATGAAACAAGGCGCCAGAGCTTCACTCTAATGAGTTTTTTGCACAAGCTCAAGATAGTTTCTGCCTTAAAGTGCATTCTAGTTGTGAATAATAGCCCAGAGTGGATTTGTAATGTTCAAGGAAGTAAAACAAGTGTTGTTAAAGACAGTTTTACTGGATGATATTTCCAATTGTCCTCAAAGCAAAATGACTCTGAAGTAAAAAAACTGCACATGTGAGTGAGTTAAGTAAGAGCAACCATCCATCATCTTGACCCCTTATCTTGTTTGAGGTCACCTCTGATTGGAGCCTATCCCAGCTTTCACTCAAGCAAAAATTTCTCCCATACAAGTCCACAGGAAAAGTCCTCATGTAGTGCGCAGTAGTTAAGGTTTTACACCTTTAAGTAAAAAATAATGACCATTTCTTGGCAAAACAACAATCTTATTTATCAATTTAAAAACAAGTTAAAAAATACTTACAAAAGAGGAGTAACAACTCATTTAGGTAGAGATGTGGTTTGTGACTGAGCTCATACTGTGTCACGGTAAATGGGACTGAAAGGGTTAACCTCTAAGTCAAAGCACCCAGCAGCTGACATGAGTTTAACACTGAGCAGGCCAACAAAGGGTACCTCTGGCTCCTCATTTGTTGTGTAACAGGATCTCTTGATTTGACATTCCTCTCCCCCTGCTACTCGTGTTGGTCACCTGATGAACTTCAGCCTCCAGGACTTTCCTCCTCTGAACCAGACAGTCGACCACGATGACAAACATGGCTGAGGTGATCAAGCAGAGGCCTGAGAGGTAGAAGGCAATGCTGTAGTTGTTCATCTCGTCCACCAGCCAGCCTGAAGGTGAAACATGAGTTAGATCATGAAGTGCCACAAGGAATGAAGAAACAAACAGAGGAGCTTGTAGACCTCCTTCAGGACAAAAGCTATATCAGTGTTACCTGTACAAAGAAATACACCACAACCTTAGATTATCTGCATATCTATTCGATCTTGTATGCGTATGCGCATTCTCTGTATTTGGTGCTTTGTGGCAATTTCCCAGTGTCACCTTTAGGCCGAGCGTATGTACTACAGGGTATTTTGCGTTGTCATGTAAATGCACTAAGCCTACGTACAATACGATGTGTAACCAGTGATACATGTTTTGGTGCCGACGCCAAGACAATACGGGGCCGTCCTCGTGTGAGGACGGACAGGAAAGTTTGTGTTTTTACATCCCTTCTTCCTCTGGCAAGGTTTTGTTTACCCCCCATCTTTATCCAGGTATGTTAGTCTGACTATAAGAAGCGCAGCTTTGAGCAATTTCAGTTTGACTAACGTGTTTACATAGTTTTTTAAAGTCCAGTTTCAGTCAGGCTAATACAATACATTGCCTTGTTTTGTTTACATGAAAACTTTCTGAGTGATGCCTCCTGAAACCTTCAAAGCAAACAAAACTGATGCTGTATGGAACAGGGCATCACCTCATCCACAGGGGGCGCTAGAACCGACACAAACCAAAAGTTCCTGACTGGAGCTTTAGCAAACAGTCAAAATATCATAATGAGAGTGATGATATTTTTTTCATACTAAAACTAGAATTTTTTTTCATAGTATATTAAGACAAATTTTTTCATACTAAAATTGAAAATTTTTACCATACTACAATATGACATCATATTTTATCATACTATACTATGAATTTTTTCAAAATAAAAATGATTTTTCTTTCATACTATCCTATGACATTTTAATCAAACAATACTATGACATTTATTAGTATTTAATGTTTATTTATATTAAGTGAAAAATGTGAAATTTTTACACTATATTAAAACATTTTTTATTCTAAAACGGGAAAAAAAATTTCATCACACTATATTATGACATTGTTAACATACCAACTATGACATCTTTTTATACCAAAATTAGATTTTTTTTTGTTATACTAAACTATGACATTTTATATCATACTATACTGACATCTTTTTTATACTAAAATTTGACATTTTTGTCATACTTAACAATATTTTTTATCATACTGTATTATGACATTTTTATGATACTAAAATTTTACATTTTTATCATACCATACTATTATAGCACAGTATGATAATGTGAAGTGACTGTAGGTCTAAGGACACTGAAGCCAAATGAGATGTCTTTTGTCTGCACTACATTTCATAAAAGATCAGTGATTCATGTTGCTGCTGAGTGCAGATTACTACAGCAGCATTGTTTGTCTCTAAAAGTGTCCAGTCACAGCTCACAGACACTAATTTCTACTTTTCCAACCACACAGACTTAAAAAACTATGTGCACAGACAGGCTTGTCCAGCAGGACCTTGTTAATGATGTTCTGGTTTTGGCCAGTAAGAGACTCAACAAAGTCACAGAAACCTGAATCCTCTCAGGACAGGTAGGTGTGCAGGAGGAGCTTAAAGAAGAAACTTAAGCATATCCCCTGAGTCATGTAATTGTAAGACTAGAGGAACCATGTTTATAACCCACAAACTGTAGTACTGGATGCAAAACCTCTCTCTTAAATGACACCCAACACTTAAAAGCCTCTGTTCCCCACTGAAATTTTGCATTTATGGTCACTAAACAAGCACAGACACATTTCACTGATGCAAATCTTTACATTCCTTCTCATTTTCCTTCACCAGAGGCCGTTAACAAAGACTGCTCACCTGCAGCAGGTGGACCCACAAAGCCCCCTATGCTCCGAAAAAGCATGAAGAGCCCCAGCCCGTTGTCAAATCCCTCCAGTGTTACAATATCCACGATAGAGGTGACATGAATCGCCACCACGCAGCCGAACAGGAAGCCGTAAAGCAAAGCAAAAGTCACAATGGCCCAGTAGTTCTGACTGATGGGCAGCAGTAGGAGGACCACGCCCAGCAGAGTGACCATCATAGAGAGCAGTTGTAGGTTCCTGCACAGCCTCATGTTGGCAACCCACCCGCAGATCAGCCTCCCGGCCAGGTCGGCAAGAGCCAGAGTGGAGAGAATCATGGCTGGCCAGTACTGATCGATCCCCAAACTTTGAGTAAAGGGGACCAAAAACAGAGGAGGGATGAAAAAAGCTGCTGCTGCAAAGATGGCAAACAGGATGTAGAGGAGGAATTCCAGCTTCCTCATCAGCCCACACTGGAAGAAAAACTTTCTCTTTGGTGGGGGAGCAGGAGTATCACCTTCCAGACTGTCTTCTGTTCCTTGAGGCGGGATCTGGACTATCTGCAGGGGTCTCATGAGAGCGCCACACACACACAGGTTGAGCTGAAGGCCTCCAATGATGAGCAAGGCCCCCTGCCAGGTGTACATGTCGATCAGCCACTGGAAGAAGGGGCTAAACATGACGGCGAAGACGCACTCCCCTGAGCTTGCGATGGCGTAAGCGATGGGACGCCATCGTGCAAAGTAGTGGCTCACCATGCTGTTGGCAGGAATCCAGGAGAAGGAAATTCCCAGACCTAAAAAAGGCGGGAGAAATCAGATTGAAAATTCCCCTTTAGAGATGAAAACTAGAATTATATCAGGCAATATGTTTGAGAGATTCAACTAGATTTCATTTTCAGTATTAATTTAAGTTCTCTGGCTGTTTTAACAAGAAAATGTCATCTCTGTTAGTTGTGCTTCTATAGTAGTTAAAATTTTCAGTTGGACCAGTTTCACCAGTTGGACACTGACCAAAATACCAGCAAGTGTCTTATTAGGTAACAGATGAAATTCCTGAGACCAAAGCAGATCAAACTTTTGAAAGAAAATGAAAACAGCCTCCAAAAGTTCAGAGTTAATCCTGAGTGTTTTACCTTGCAGGACACCCATTGTGAGGTAGAGCCAGGGCAGACTGAGGTCCAGAGACGCTAGCAGCATCCCTGAAGAGGCCAGAAGACCTCCGATAATGATGACAACTCTCTGAGAAAACTGCAGTGTCAGCGCACTGGCCAGTGGAGCTGAGAAAATAACAAACAATGATAAGACCATCTCAAACAACTGATGAGAACAGCTCATGACATCAAGTTGTATCTGTACCTCCCAGGTGAAATGTAGCAATCGTGGTGGAGGTGACCCATGAAGTTGTACTGGTTGGGACTTCAAAGTGACTCTGGATGTCCAGGAAGAAGAGTCCAAAGTTCTTGAGGACAGCTGCAGTGAGGCCCATGACAAGGAAGGCGGACATGACCACCACCCAGCCATAACCTCCATCTGGAGGTCCAGCTCTGCAGGACTTCATCTGCTGTTCTGCAGAATGCTCTCCTGCCTGAGCTGCTGAAGGGCTGTCAAGCAACAGAGTGATAAACTTTAGAGGAGAAAATGCAAATGAGCATGCAAAATGTACCTCGATATATGGACTAACAGTTGCAAGACGCTGCAAATAGGTTGAATATTTACGTTAAATAAAAAAAAACAAAGAAATAAAACCTCTTCAGTCATTCTTTTTCATGCATTAAACATAAAAAATCTAGTTCCATGCAACAGTAGTCTACTAGAAACCACGGACCCCAAAACTTGGCCCCTAAAGTTTAAGTGAACAAAGACAAACAAATAAGTTAAAAAAAAATATGTAAGAAAGTGTGAACTTCTTTTCCCGTCACTACTGTCGTTTCCCTGAATCCAAGCATTAACTTGTAAATGTGAGTCTCACCTTTCCTCCGTCACTGTTTGGCTCCTCTCGTCATATTTCTGTGTCTGCTGTAGAGACACTTTCCTCTTGGACCTCGATGGAGACGCGCCTGTACTGTCAATTCTGACCGTGCGCTCCCATTTTGAAGTTACGGTAATCCCATTGACAAAACAGAAAACAAGCTAAAATTAGCATCAGTGTTTGCGAAAAACGAATATGCCATCCCTTCACACCTACAGACACGCTCAAGAGCCGACTCACAGCACACCGTCTTTCAGTCTACATCAAGCAGCTGTTAGATATTATCGTCATTATTGGACCAGACGTCAACCGGCACATGCCTCTGGGACTTCAGTAAAGTTGTAGTCAATCCGCAACGAATGGAACATCCGGGTTACAAAATAAAGTACCGGAAGTAGTGTTTCCTTTATTACGGTTTTTCTGATTCCTTTTATATTTTGGCACAGTGGAAGTTTAAAACCATGGTTTTAATTTTAATAGAGGACAATATTTTCTCCCTTGCTAACATAAAAATTCCCTGTAATAGAACCCCGAATCTGTTCATTAAGAGGCAGCAGCCTTGTTTGCTACACCACAGCTGAGTTTGCTTTTTTGGTGTTTTTATTTCTGTCTCATTGTTTTAAAGCAGCTTAAACTACATGTGAAGAAAGCAAAAACACTCTTTGGGGCGTTTTATGCAGGACTTGCTTGTGTAATTTGATTTTTTTTCTATAATGTTGCAGGGCTCTCAAGTTTTGAACTAAGCTAAGGGTGAGATTTCCTTGGGGTATGAGGGCCACATTAAGAAAAAAAACGTTTTTAAATCTTCGAGAATAAAGCTATTATTGAGGAGAATAAAGTCATTGATATATAAGAATAAAGTCGTAAAGTTACCTGTTGTGCAGGAGAGTTGTTAAAATCAGCACTGTGAAGCATTTAGATGAATTGTATAGGTTTCACAAACATGGAAATACTTAATCCTTTGGTACATGAGCGTTACACTGTCATCATGACAGTCCACACTGTGGACTGCATGATCACCATCTGGTGTGAAAGGCAGTTCACTGTGGTCATTCTTTGAGTTGTAGGAGGAAATCAGTCCAGAGCAGCACCAGGTGTGTTAGTACCTGATTGGCTTAAGTGAAGTCAGGTTTGGGAAGGTGATACAAGTCCTTGAGCTCCAGTGCAGAGTGCTGAATCATTGTCTTATTCTCTGTTTTAGTGACAGATTCTCTCTGTGCTCCTCAGAGTTCCGACCACAGACTGTATATACTATGGACAACTTGGTTCTGCCTTCTGCCAGTATACAGATTTAAAGCTGAAAAGCTCTCAGTAATTGTGCGTTTTTCTCCACGTCCTGAAACCAACATTGCACAGTAGTGTTGTACGCATTCTGCGGGATAGTCACCGAGAGTCGCTGTGATGATGCTCAACTCAAACAGCACATCCCCCGGGTGAGCTATGCAATCTCCGTACGCCCACAGGCTGTATCAAGTGTCAATCATAGGAAACATGAACCTCCTAATAACTTTTAAAAATAGAGCTGTACAGAAAAAAGAGGACTTGAGCACAAAACAGTCTTACAGTAACTACATGTTAACATCGCAAGCAAGGGGAAAAATCTGTTCTGTGTGATTAATTTCTAAAATTTGTCCTCAGCCTCTTAAGGAAGGCTGACAGGGATTTATGACCTATACTGCAGCCCGTCATCAGAGGGTGCTGTTCTCAGAGTGGCCTCACCCAGCGAGAAGACAGACACTTTCCGTTTTGATTTCCACTCCCCGTCGGGGAATCGAACCCCGGTCTCCCGCCTAACAGGTGGGGATACTCACCACTATACTAACGAGGAGAATGTGTTCTGACTTGATATGATATAATATGGCACAATATGATACGATATGGTACTATATGACATGATATGATATGATATGATATGGTACAATACCATACTATACGATACGATGCAATACGATACAATACTATATGATATGATACTATACAATATGATACGATATTATACTACACAATAGGATACAATACGATACAAATATGGTATTGCGACAGCGTTTAGCTAACCATATGTAATTGACATCCTGAAAAGCCGACAAATGTATCCCATGCCGCTTAGAAAAACCAAATCAGAGAGCAGACAGAATGTAAAACTCAATAATTAACACTTGTATACTTGTACAGTTAACAGCTCCGCCCCACTCTTTACCTTAGTGCCCAAAAAATTAGATTGATAAGTAAGGTGTAAGGGGGTGAGTAAAACTCAGTATATAGTAAATCTACTACCCATCATCAAAGGTCTATTTGAGCCACCCTTAGTCTGATCCCTCTCCCAGGACCTGTTTGCCTTGGTTGACCCTACCAGAGGCATAAAGCACCCAACAACGTAGCTCCTGGGATAACTGGGACACGCAAACCCCTCCACCACGGTAAGGTGGTGGCTCGAGGAGGGGAAAAATTTGTGATTATTTTTTTATTTTTATTTTTTTATTTTTTTTTATTTATTTTTTGTATAAAATATATATTTATTTTTTTATATATATATATAAATATATATTTATTTATTTTTTAACTTTTTTATATAAAAAAATATTTATTTTTTTTATATTTTTTATTCTTTTTATATAAAAATATATTTTTTTTCCGATGTATATTCTTTATACATTTAAAAATATATATATTTGCTTCTTTTTTTTGCAGCTTTTTAAAAAATTTTTTTTTTTTTTTAGTTTTTTTAAATTGGAAATTGAAGGAGGGTTAGGGTTGGGATCATTAGAAAGGTGAAATGTTGGTAACAGAATGGGAAAAGGGGGTTGGAGGGGTTGAAGGAAAGGAATGAGGGATGAGGGATAGGTGAGGGGGTTGAGGAAATGTCAGAGGGTAGGGTGAAAGGGTCAAGGTAGGGAATGAAGAGGGAGGAAGAGGAGCTAATGTTCCTCGACATCAGCTGAGCAACCAGCAACCTCCTCCACCCGGGTGTTTCTGTTTTTCTTCTTTCTTAAGGTCCACAGACCTTTTTTGACTCTCTTCTTCCCCCTGTCTTGGTTTTTGCTTTTCTCCTCTTCATATTCTCTTTCCTCTTCTTCATGTTCTCTTTCCTCTTCTTGTTCTCTTTGCTCTTCTTCTTGTTCTCTTTCCTCCTCTTTTTCTCTTTCTCTCAGCTGCCTTAATTCCTTCTTCTTTTCTTTAAGTTGTTTTCGGAGGGTTTTCTCCTCCTCTGTCTCCTTTTGAAAGACTCTGGACAGGAAGCGTCTTTTCTTTAGAGAGACAAGATGAGTCAGCTCCCTCTTCTCCTCCTCTAACTCTTGAATTCTGTCTGTCAGAGTCTTTTCCTTCTCAATCACTCTTTCTTTTGCCATCTCGGCCTCTTCAACTCTGAAGGTCAGACTTTCCTCCTTTTCCACCAGATCTTTGTTCATTTTCTCCAGCTCACTGACTCTGGTCTTCAAGATCTGGTTCTCCTCCTCCAGGTCTTTCCTTTTTTTCTTCTGGAGGGTCTCGTTTTGCAGCTGAGTTGTGGTCTCAATGAGTCTTTGAGTGAGACCCTCTTTCTCCCTCCTCAGCTCCATGATGTGGTTGTCCCTCTGCTCAAGCTGCTGTTTTGTGAGCTTTAGCATTGTTTCATTGTTCTTGCTCAGAGAAACAGCCTTCAGCTTCTCCTGAGACGCCTGAAAAAGCTGTTCTTGGAGCTCATGAACTTTCTGTCTCTCCTCCTTAAGTTGAGCCCACATCTTCTCTTCCTGCTCCTTCTGCAGGCGCTGGATAAGCTCCACCTGCTCGTCTCTTAATTTGAGGGTGCTGTTGAGGCGTTGGATCTCAGCCTCCAGCCTTTCAATAGTCTGGACATTAAACTGGAGTTCTTCCTTGAATCCATTTTCTCTGACGTCAATGAGTCCCTCCAGACGGTTCACTTTGTACTTCCCGTTGTGAATTCTGTAGCCCAGCTTTACCCTCTCATCCATCCATGCCTCCCAATTACCCCTTTGCTCGTTTCTAAGATTTCTAATCTCAGCACGAGCACTGGCAAGCTCCTGTTGAAGTGGTGCCATGGGCCGGTGGCCCAGCGGTCCCACAGATTCAGGTGTGAATGCTCTGGACATGGTTCTTCTGATTAGTCTTCAGTCGACTGCTCTTAACTGTTGATCGTCTCTGTAGTATAGTAGCTCCTACGTGACTTAACTGTTGATCGTCTCTGTAGTAGCTCCTACGTGACTCTTGCCAACAAGTGTGTGCGTTCTGAGTTGATCTGCTTTTGAACATCAAAGGATCAGAGCTAGAATGTGATGTCATCGTGTGACATCACATTCTACATGTCATTGTGATGTCACAGCCCCTCAGTGGGGAATTCCCCCAGAAGCACCTGCCTTCTGAGGGGAATTCCCCTTTCTCCATCTTGCAGAAACTGGTGCATATGAGAGCCAGGGTGTGGACTGCATGATCACCATCTGGTGTGAAAGGCAGTTCACTGTGGTCATTCTTTGAGTTGTAGGAGGAAATCAGTCCAGAGCAGCACCAGGTGTGTTAGTACCTGATTGGCTTTTTGGGGAAAAAATTGGGGAAAAATTTGTGATTATATTTTATTTTTTAATTTTTTTAATTTTATTTTTTGTATAAAAATATATATTTATTTATTTTTTTATATATAAAAATATATATTTATTTATTTTTTAACTTTTTTATATAAAATATATATATTTTTATTTTTTTTATAAAAAATATATATATATTTTCAATGTATATTCTTTATACATTTAAAAATATATATATTTGCTTCTTTTTTTTTGCAGCTTTTTTTAAAAAAAAAAAATTCTTTTAGTTTTTTTAAATCGGAAATTGAAGGAGGGTTAGGGTTGGGATCATTAGAAAGGTGAAAGGTTGGTGAAAGGGTCAAGGTTGGGAATGAAGAGGGAGGAAGAGGAGCTTATGTTCCTCGACATCAGCTGAGCAACCAGCAACCTCATTGAGCATTTAGATGAATTGTACTTTAGTATAGGTTTCACAAACATGGCGATACTTAATCCTTTGGTACATGAGCGTTACACTGTCATGAGTATCAGAACTTTAAAAAAAATATATGAGAAATGCTGCTTTTGTGGAGGGGAAAATGGCTGGAAATGGCTGTACAGAGGCTAAATTCATCAATACAGCTGTTAATAGCAATAGCTCTGCATGTATAGGTTACTGACTTACTGTAATCATCGGGTCTATCTCGTCCTTATAAAAACCTGCTCTATTTCTACCCGGATACAGACATGCTGCTTTTTGATTGGCTGTTCAGTAGATATACTTTATTTGATTGGCTTGCGCATGGCACGCAGCTTCTGAACTCTTGGAGAAACTCAGTTGATTTCTACCTGTTCTATTGTTAAAGAGGTGTATCGTGATGGACATCACCATGTTCATTTAAATGCGTGAGAAATACAATGTGTGGCGTGTGAGCGTGTGAACAGTTGGGAATGCGTGTGTCACACGCTGAATGCGTGAGACTTGAGAGCCCTGATGTTGTGTTGATACAAAAACATGGTCTAGACCTTAGCTGTAGGAAGCTAAAACAATGCACTTTTACTGTACCCTTGTTGCACCAGGGCATCAAAATGGCTGAAAATTTCCCTGGCACTGAAAAAAGTGTATGTACACTACAGGCCAAAAGTTTGGAAGCAAGGCCATTAAAGGCCGAACAGTTGGGAGTAACTTCAAGTTTTTGTTCACAATGCTTTTTTCAAAGTCCAGCATGAGTTTTATGTATTTTGGGATGTATTTACTCCATGATCACATTGTCACAGTTCCTTAAGTAAGATGATAGTTAAAGACAAAAACAAGAATATGCAGATCAGCTCAGTTTTGGAATTTAACAGTTTAATGTTCACACCACCTCTCACAATGAAAACATAAAACAAGAACAGATTTTTTTTTAAATCACCTGTGTTTGTACTTCATTAACACTGACATTTTTCTGGCATGTCAAATATAGTTTTTCACTGTATTTTCATTTTATAAAATTATAAAATTTTTCTGGACATATTTACACAAATATACTGTTTGTATTTACACACGCACACACACGTAGAAAACATTAAACACTATCAGTCCATTTCTCTTCAGGGAAGGGGACAAAAGGGATGGCGGAAGCTAGCCCTGCTAGCTGTTTGTATGGACACACACGTACACACACTCACTCTCTCTCTCTTACACACACACATAAATTTGTACACACACAAAGAACTTGTTTGACACAAGCATCTCTAGCTTTTAACCTGGCAATAATCTCCTCACAGTCTCTTCCTCTTAAACTTTATCCTGTATATTTGAACACTTTTTCAACATCTACAGTCAGCAGTTTCTTTCATCCAATCTTCCATTTCTGTTCTGCTGCTTGTTACCTAGCAGCTCCACATTAGAAATGGGGTTTAAGTGCCTTGCTTAAAGGCACATTGGCAGTAGTTTTTCATATGGTCCTGGGTTTGAACCACCACTCTTCCAGTCACAAGCTACATTGCCAGGAGCTAGCACTGAGCAGAAGAGAAACCTCTTTTTGGCCTTTGTCCCTTTGTCACGAACAGGGCGACAACATTAAGAGCGACTCGGTTGCAGAGGAGCAGGGCACTTTGGGTGATTGTTCTCTCTAAAACTCTTTACTGTCCCTGAACAAGTCAATGCGCAGAGCGAGCTCCTTAAAAGAAGGACGCAAGCCGGGGTCGTTGTCCCAGCACTCCTCCATGATTTCATGGATCTGAGAGGAAAAAGAACAAAACGACAGATGATTGAATTTAGGAAAGAAAATCCAAAACAGTAACACAAGCATGATAGAGAAGCTGAACTGACATGTTTGGTATATGCCTGTGTTTGTATCAACATACAGTGTTAGAGTTAGCAGATGTGTGTGTGTGTTTAGGGTTTCTGATCAGGTAGAAAACAGCTGTTCAGTTCGTACCTCAGTGGGACATCCCAGAGGTTGAGGCAGCCGGCTGCCTGATTTGAGGAGCTCGATGAGGTGATAGACGATTAACTGTCCCTGCTTGTCGTTTCCCATCATGGACATAAAGACCTGAGGAGGAAAAAAGTGACAGCAAAGACATTAAAATTTAATTTTAATTTGCAAAAAAAAGTGAATTTTATGATTTCCAATGAATCCAAACATGTACACTGAGCAAAAATTATGTCCTGACAAGTCTTTAATAAATCTGTTCTGATCAAGAAGACACAAAACCAAATATATGATGGTGAATGAATTATGTGTAATTATTTGTAATATGAATCACACCAGACTTTTGGCTCTGTAATCTCAAAGAAACCAGAAATATCGTCTGTGTATACCCAGACACAGAAAACTGATGGACAAGGGAGGAAAAGTTTCTCTGCAGCAGGGCTGGAACGTTGATATTCTTTCCCCTGATACGAACAAAAGTTTCTGATGTTAGGAGCAAAAAGCATTAATGAAACGTTAACAAAACTGTATCTCCAGGTCAGTTTGTTTCTTTAACTTGAAGATTTCCTTTGTGTCTCTTCATGCTGTTGACATTTTAATAAAAGATAACGCTCTTTTGATAGATTCTTGTGTGCTCACATACCGCTTTCAAGTCTATCTCTGAGCAGATATTTTACCAAGTAACACTTTAAAGTTCTGTGAAAAATCACTTGACCACTGCCACACAGATTAAGGAAGATAAATATCTTAAAACACAAACGGGATCTGAAGAGGAGGCGTACGCAGTCAAGGATGTTTTTAGATGAGACATGTACTTGAATCTGTTCTGTGCGTGCTGTCCCAACATGTCAAAATAAGCCAAAAGCCACCGTGCTTGTGTGTGAGGGTGTGTTATCACTTACTGCTGGAGGGCTGCTGTTCTTGTCGCTGTGAGTGAAGAGCTCGTACAGCACCACTCCAAAGCTCCACACGTCTGACGCCACTGAGAATTTACTCTCAGTCAGTGACTCAGGAGCGTACCTATAAAGACAACAGACTGAGTGACTGTATGTCCCTGTTTTACCTTTTACAGAACTCTCTGAGGAGAGTGAAACCTTAAGATGATTATGATGGACTGACCAGAATATGGGGCTCTCTCCAGGCTCTCTGACCATGTAGTATTCTTTATCCTGAGGCAGAACTTTGGTGAGGCCAAAATCTCCAATCTTCACCCTCAACTCACTTTCCACAAGGATATTTCGTGTTGCCAAGTCCCGGTGGATATACCGCTTACTTGACAGGTACTCCATACCCTGTAAAGACATTGGCAAATCCTGTCACTCCTGTTGCTCTGATGGTTAGCAGCAATAGAAGGTGTGTAGTAGGAGCAGGTAAAGCGGGGAGGTACCTTGCAGATCTGAGAAGTGTAATGCACAAGCTTTCTGTGGTCAATCCGCTCCCTGTTTTTCATGAGGTAATCTCGCAGGCTGCCGAAAGGCAGATATTCCATGATGAGACGGAGATTGCGTCGCCCTGGGAAAACCAAAATGAAGAATAAGCACTTTTGTACAGCAATGAAAGGGCTTGAACCGCAATATCAACTCAAAGTTTCGTTACTTAATCGAAAATGAAACACACTGGTATCAAACGAAACATATTTTGTAGAGTAAATCTGTGATACCAAAGCTTCGGTGAGGATTTTTCTTTACAGTAAAAGCTTTTTTAAAAAAAATGGCCTGTGATGAGTGTGGTTTTAACTGAGTCATTTAAGTGCTGTTCTGCTCATCACTGAAAGCAGTGGAAATAAAAACCCTACCAAGCACGAGTTTAAGACTCTAATCTAACAACTACAAGTATTAATGACAGGTGAGGTGTACCTGCACTGTAGCAAACTCCTTTGTATTTGACGATGTTCTCATGCTGCAGAGATTTCAGGATCTCGATCTCTCTCTCAAAGTCTCTCAAGTGCTCGGCGGTGCTGTGCTGGAGTTTCTTCACAGCCACCACCTCACCAGTGTTGTCCTGAAGAGGGTCATATCGACACATCTCCACACTGCCAAAGTTTCCCTGAAAGAGAAGGAAAACTCGAGTGGGCCTTCAAACATTTACTGAGTTTGAGTTCTATGTCAAAACTTACAATATAACATATATTCTCCCCAAAAATGTGATCAACATGTTTTCTTTGTTTCGTACCCTGTAAAAAAATACATGTTCCAGAAAAAGAAAGAAGAGAAGAATATTCCCTTCAGAAAGTAGTTATAACTATATAACTTACAGCTCCTATGAGTTTTTCTTTTTTAACTTTGAAATTCATACTGATACTTTTAATGATAGAAAAACTAAACAAGACCATCAACGACAAGATCGATGACTTACACATTCTGATGTTTAACACCTGAAACCGGTGCAAGGGAGATAGGCATCAGCTGAGCAGCAGAGAAACAGGCCTCCTATTATATTTTTCTCATTTAATATGCACTATAATTATAAATTTGACTGTCAAAAGTTAGAATGATGACATTGTTGGTCAGAAAGCACTACTTCAGCATTTCTTGGACCACATAAGCAACGACTCTCTTGTCCACAGGGAAGCCAAAGCTGACCCAAACTAAAAGTTCCTCACAGGACCACCGAGTCTTGTTAATGTATACTGATCTGTTCTCATGGACTCAGGTTCGGAGCGTCTTCCTACCTTGCCCAGCTGCTGTAAGAATATGAGGTGTCTCTCTTCAAACTGAGCCGGCTCCTGAGACTCGAGGCCTCCAGTCGCCCAGCCTGAGCCCGTCGTCCTGTTTGGCAGGATGTCACTGTCCACGATCAGCTCATAGTCTGAAAATCAAAAACCAAAATTATCGACAGCTAAAAAATAAAGAAGCCCTCTGAGATCAAGATCAGTCCACATTTGATTGATCAGATATATAAAAATACTGACTTAGTCTACCTGACTAACTATGAGCAGAAAAAACATGTATCCTTATAATCCTTTTAATGCTGAAGAATTGGCTTTATACACTTTTGCTCTATTTCTGATGTTATTCATTTAAACAAGCAGCTAATGAAGACAGGAGCTGAGTCTCTCTTTACACTGACATGTCTCTGAAGACACCATGATAAATGTGTTTGTGTGTGGTCAGGGGTGTGTGTGTCTGAGGACATTTGAGATTCCACACTGGTGTGACCTAGATTCCTTGTTGTGACACTGCTCAGCTGATGTGCGGCTTAGTCACCAACCTGGCGTGGAGAGGCTGTGGAGGTCACGGATAATGGCCCGAAATGTTGGCCTGAAGGTGGGCTCATAGTCCATGCAGCTGTTGATCAGATTGGCCAGCTCGGTCCACTTTGGAGCGGGGAGCTGGTGGTGATCTTCGTAGAAAAGGGTTTTCTGAGAGACAAAATGAAGGGCATAATAAGATTCAAGGCTTAAAAGGGTGTTTAACCACAAAGAGTGACACTGCCAGAGCTCTGCATGTCTTACTGTTATATAAACACCAATTCATTCACATATTTTGGACTGTTATAATTTTAAACTCATTTGGGTTAAAGGAAACACTTGCATAATATTACATTGAAGAGCAGTGAGAGAGAGATAAAGTAGGTGAGGTTGTGCAAGCCTCGTCATGCAAAGACGATATTTTTCAGCTTAATGACTTGTGTGAAATTGCGCTGCATGTTGACACCCAGTTTGGAATCTGCACTCGATGCAAACAAGCGGTGCATTGTTAAACATGAAGTGTGGCAAACTTGTTGTTTCATTTTACTATCACGGCAATGCAGGAGAAGGACATCCCGCCCTGCTCGTTACTGTTACTACACGAAAGCACAGTGGGTCACAGAAGAGGTTTGTCAACAGTTATTTATAACTGACCACACTGTGAGTCTCCAGGATACTCCCAGCCCTGTACCATTCCTAAAGTCAATACAGGAATCAATTTGTACACCCTGATATACATTGTGTTATTACTGATCTGTACTTCATACTTCCACTGTCTCTTTCTTTAGTCTCTCAACACCCAGCCCTACCTTAGAGTTGTCAAGTGTTGCCAAAGGTTTCTCCCCACCGCTGCAGATCTCCCATAGCGTGGTGCCAAAGCTCCACTTGTCTGCAGCCAGGCTCAGGTTGGCAGGGTCCTCGATACACTCAGGGGGCACCCAAGGGATCCTCTCGATTAGGACTGAACAGAAAAACAAACATTTAATCCAGTGCTGATGGCTTACTGATTGTTCTTTTTTTAAAACCAAAAAGTCAAGTTTTTTCATCCTCTGCACAAATAAGAAAGAGCTGCTTCAAAAGACGCAACCTTGTCTGATTTATCTATTTACAGCAGATAACATCCAACACAGACAATCCTTGGACTTGAAAAAGAAAGATTTGAAAGGCTTTAGACCAAGTGGATTGAATATGTTAAACCTAGATGGCTGGACTTGCATCAAAAATTTTGCTCTCACTATATTTTTATTTATTTATTTTTATATAATAGGAAGCTTCCAATGTTTATTTGTGAATTTAAAAGAAAAGGGTTTCTGGGAGAGCTACATCATAAAAAGATTAATCTCATTATGTACTCTAATGTTTATCTTAATTTCTTGGTGGAAATGTGAACCTATATAGTTAGTCATTTGAACACAGTCTTACAGTCTGTGATCATGTCATGTAATATTTGTACAAAATTGGATTTAGTTTGCTTCTCAGAAATAAAAAAGAAAAACAAACATGTTGATTTGACTCCTTTACAGAGAAATCAAGGACCTTTAAGACCTTTAAACTCATTGCTTTTTCTTTTGCTTTGCTGCCCCCTGCTGTTGAAAAGAGGTGCATTACAGTAAAGCTGATTTGGACTCACTTTCTCTTGGCAGGACTGTGATGCTGATGCCAGGGTCACTCAGTTTGATGAAGGGCGGGTTCCCAGCCCGCCGGTCCTCCTCTCGGATCAGGAGAACGTTTTTAGCGCAGACGTTCCCGTGGACGAGACCCTTTTCTTCCTGCAGGTCGAGAAATTAATGACATTCAATCAACTTTTGCTTTAAACACACAAAACTTTTCAAAAACAAACCTGAATTTCCAAATACGCAAATTATTTTTTTAAACATTTTCTCTGTTTGTTTCTGAATGATAATCTCTCCCACAGTTTGTGGAAGAACTGGGATCTCTGGGATTCCTACCAGGAAGTTCATGGCCCAGGCCAGCTGCTTGGCCACCTCCAGCTTCCACAGGATGTTAATCGAGTTCTTGTTCTTCTTCAAGTAGGTGTCCAGAGATCCGAACTTCACAAGCTCCTGCACCATGATATCTGCAGGAAGACGAGGATAGAGATGCTCCATTACAGTCACCTCTGCCCTCTCAAACATATCAGTGTCATGTCATCCTGCATAATGACATTATCATGAGCCACTTTGCAAATGGGGTTAAGCAAAGCCACTACCTGCGTGACAGCAGGAATTATGGCAAACACAAAGTATGTCAGTGTCAGCCACAGTTACATTACAGCTGTACTAACTATTTCTCTGCAGCTCTGATTCAGGAAACACTTAAAGCTAGTCTTGACAAAAGCAATTATCCAGAAATTCTTATAAAGGTGACTAAAAGAAGCTTATAGGAGCTCGACAAGGACGTTTTTAAACCAACTGCACACCCAGAGAGATTTTCAGAAGCTTACAGGCTTCCAACAGTAAATTTTACGTCTCAACTCACGAGCATACTTCCACCAAAAAGCGATCGACAGAGATAATTGGAGTGGCAGCAGGAATCTTGTGAGGTGAAGAGGGCATGAGGCAGGTCAAAGAGCTTCTGGTTAGGGGACTCTAATCCTCCTCAGAATAGCCCACCACCCCCATCATTTAATCACTGCTCTGAGCCACCAACTGATGAAGTCTGGTCAAGATTACAGCCTCTACAGTAGACTCTTGACATCATTACAGCGTAATGACATAAGCTCATAATGGTCGTCAAATGAATGCGTGTTGTTTGTTAGTTGTGTGTGCGGACGAGGGGTCAAATGAGGACACACACGAGTGTACAGCGAGTGAGTCTTTTAGGTGGACTTACTTTCTTCTCCGCAGACACACACGCCATAGTTCAGGATCAGGTGCTTGTGTGATAACTGGCTCATCATACTGGCTGCTTCAAAGAAAGACTGCAGAGAAGAAAAAAAAAACACATTTACTTTAACACCATTCATCATTTCATCAGTAAAGGTGCTCAAGCCTTTCTGAAATCTCAAAAACTGACCTCGGAGTAATTCCTGTGGGCTTGGTCCAGGACTTTCATGACCACTTCAGTTTGGTGCATGAGTCCGTAATCTCCCAACTCTTTGCGGACCCCTTTGAAGATTTTTGTAAACGTCCCTTGACCTAAACTCTCCATCTGATAAAAAGAACGTTGATTTGGTTTTCATTCATTTTTATATTAAAAAAAAAAGATTATGTGGGTTAATTTGAAGCATGAGTTAGTAAAACAGAATAGTAAGTAATGTAGTTTTGCATGACTACAGTCGCTCAGAGTCTTTTAGTCATTATTTTAGTATAGCTGAGGTATATGAGACCCCCCTGAACATTAGGGGTGTCCCGATACGATACTGACATCAGATATAGGTCCGATATTAGCAAAAAAACAAATATCGGATTATATCGGCCTGCATTTAAAATCTTTGAGATCAGCACTCCGATACAAGCAGTCCATTCCAGACTCCGCCCTGGCACCTCTATCTAGCAGCGCCCTGATCCAGTAAGCGGCGCCCACAAAATCACAACAACAGTGTGTACTAAGGTACTAACAAAGTAGCAAGGAGTAGGAGTGATGTCGGCCTTGTGGCAGTGTTTTTTTGTTTAAGTCTGAAAAAGACACTGCAGCTGAGTGGATAACTTGTCGTGCACAATTTTGTGCCGATATGGGATCAGTCAATATTGAAGGCAACAATATCGGTATCGTATCTGAAGTCAAAAAGTTGTATCATGACACCCCTACTGAAGATGCAAACTGAACTCACAAATTCCAGATCTTCTTTCCTAATCTTGTGAAACACCATCTGACTGATGTTGTGTCGATGCAATGACGGAGATGGAGGCACTTCACAACCCTTGTTGCTCCTGCACACGAGGAGGCACGACTTTTCTGCAGAGACCAAAAATGATTTTACATGACAACGACAATTTCCAAATGTGAAGGTTGTCAAAATTTAAGCCTAACTAACTAACTGAGAAACTTGGAAATCCACAACATGAAGATAAACACTTTTTACATGTAATAGGCTTTAGGTTGTAGTGAGTCACATGTGGGTTAGCTGTGCAGACATAATGACTCCTTATTTTGGGAAGAATGTGGCTTAACAGGATGTGAAATGATATTTCTATATTTGGCAGCATCTGAAGATCAAACTCGTACAGCTGGAGGCCCATTGACACCAGGCGGTGTTTGTTAATGCAGACCCTGTGTTTAAGCTGGCAGTCGGCATACTCAAAAATCATGGTTGAATAAGGATAAAAAAGTGGTTTTTCCCTTCACGGATTTTTAGCAATTTTCATTCATGCTTTTGCGCTTACAAAACCCGTCCCCCTTAGCCCTTTTTAGAAGTGTCTGCAGCTACAGTTTTGCATTTTAAAACAGCCTCTCTGGAACGTCCATGTATGGTTGGAACATGCAGCAACCTTCATCTAAAAAGGCAGACAGTGGTTAAATTTTTACAAAAGAGCGTTCCCACCCTCTTGGACCTAATCAAGAGTCGCTTTTACCTTTGGATTTAGGAGGACAACACTTGCTGAACTGGAAAATGACGCTCTCGGAGCGCACTGTCTCCTTTTGGTAGCAGCTGAGTAGTTCTTGCAAGCCGCTGAAGTTTCTTTTGGTTCCGCTGAGGTTAAACTCCCCGCTGTCAGACCTGGTGATCTGGCAGTGCTTATACTCTACTGCGTCATATACCTAGCAGACACAAAGAGGGAAGCAAACACATCAAATTAAGGCGCTAGTTCAGTTTCTTTCACTGAATTGATAGAGAAACATTAACATAGAAACAGCCTGGGTGGTTTGATTATTTAATGCAAATGACTTTCCAGGAATATAAAAGACACTTCATCCTAACAAAAATAGAAAAAAAAAAAAAAATCAATCTCTGTGCATGTAGCCTGTCTGAGCAAACTGCAGTGCTTGTGCTATGTAACATGTGAAGGTCAGTCTAGTCTGAAGCCTTATCAAACACAAAGCCAATGCCCAGCAGTTTATGCTTACTTTATAGGTCAACTTTACCTCCTTTACAGACTTCATGGTGCAGGCTGAGAGAAATTCAGTCTCCTGTGTCACAACAGTTCAGAAAGTTTTATGCCATAGCCTTTTCCATGTTCATGCCGCTGAGTGAGGCGGCTCGGATATTAGTCTGACTACGGCCAAAGTCTTGTTTGCATATTTCTACATCAGACAGCCACTGATTTCTGACAACTTCTGGTGTGTTTTTTTTGTAGCCAAAGTGCTGTTCTCAACAATATCAAAGCTTCCCTTCCACAGAATAATGCTGAGGACTTCTTGTCCCATTTTTGTACTCCATTTTCCTTCAAGTTTTTCTTCTAAGTCTCCAACTCAGTGAGATATACCAGATATCCAGAGAGACCTTCACATACCTGAACAGGGAAAGTCAGAAAAAACTTGTTGTAATCTTTCGGGCTGCATCTCAAAATGTACAATCCTCGCTTGTTTCCACATTTCTGAAGGCGTGTGATGGCAAACTCCATTCTGCGACCAAACACACAACATAAAGTTAGAATACAGGTATGTTATTTTGAGAATTTCCCAGTTTGGGATCAATAAAGTATATATATCTATCTATTATTTACTTGTTTAAAAATCTACTACACCACACAAATTTTTGCAACAGCTGCATCACATCTGGTGCAGCTCAATGGTTAACACCATAATTAAGGATGAATAATGTAAAATAAGAAATAAAATTTGCAGCTGTGCTTTTTTACGCTTCTCAAGCTGTGCTAGTCCCTGAGGATGGGATGCAGTGTGACTTGGTTTGACAGCTTTGAAAAATGAAATTAGTTTAATATACAAGTGAGACAGTGAGGGCACAACAAATCAGACGAACAGGAGGTTGTAAAATCATTCTTAAAATAATACAATTTTCCAACTCTTGACTCCTGCTTGATATTTGATAGTAACAGTTTAGCGTTTCAAAATAGAATAAGCTTTCTTTGTTCTTCACTCACGAGATCGGGCCGTAGCAATGGGATGCGATGGCCTCCACAAGCCGAGGAGGAGCTACTTCTTTACAAAGGTAGTGATGTGCATCTGTGGTCAGGCGATAGTAACCGTCGATGAGGGACGCAAAGGAGAGGGCTTCACACAGACTCGAGAACTCCAGCTCCTGAAACACACCAGCGCACGTGTAAGAAAAAAAGATGCGAACTTCCACCACTCTCAAACTATCCTCTGATTCTGAATTATAAAACTCATGTTGCATAAAGGGCCTAAAATGGAAACCCTATTCTTAAAACCATTTGCCCATGGCTGCTGAGATTTCCCTGTTTGGTTGTTAGGTTACCACCTTGTAAAAAGACAGGCATTCAAAAAATGTAATTACCAGATTTTTGCCATCTTGTTTGTTGATGGTGACCACCCGGCTCTCTGCAGTACCCTCCTTGTTGACTTGTTTGATGTTGATGTCAGTGACATCAGGAAAGTCACAGAAGGTCTGCGGCTCCTAAACAAAAGGGCAGAAGAAATCACTTTTTCTTATCTGTTCTATTGGAAACAACAAAAAACTGTTTTTGTGATACTTAATGGACTTGAGAAACTATTATGACCCCAATCTAGGTAGCCATGGCAACTGTCTGACAATGATGCAGCTGCTGGGGGAGAACCTAATGCTACGTTCGAGTTACCTCAGAAGTCAGATGTTGGAGCTGAAAATGACATACCCGAGTTACCAGCGTTTCAGTTACCAAAAATGACAAAAGTCATTTTAGCGCTTGCCTTGTCTTGGTTATATTAGGACAAGGCAAGCGCTCAAATAACTTTTGTAGATGTGGTAACTGAAACGCTGGTAATTCGGGTATAGAGTCATTTTCAGCTCTGACATCTGACTTGCAAGGTAACTCGAACGCAGCACTACTTTTCTGAATTCCCAGTGCAGACAGTTGTTAGCCATGAGTCTCCGTAGCAACTCTGAAGGCAAAACCGTGTTGAAATTGATTTCCAAGTACAGATCGTTCAGTGACGATGATGTTCCATGTCTCACGAACTGAGTGGATTTTACAGCAGGCAGTTAAAATTTTAGAGCTGTTATTGTAAACACAACAATAGCTGTATACACCAGTGTTAACCCCAGAGAGTTAATTCCTTAGCCCTACCTATAAGACCCATCCAATGATTTGAGATGTGTTTACTGGAAAATATATTTATATCTTCTTTCTGGGTCAACATAATTGCTGACTGAATCCAGATCACTTCCAACACTCACAGTTTTGTCATTTGAGAACAGATTCTTTGTTGACACAGAGGAGTCCTTAAGAGAGATCAGTCTAAGTCATGTATTGATGTCTCAGGAAGGAACAAGGGCTCTTAGTGTTGTTTTTAAACCTAATTGCTCTGTAAGAAAGTCAGCCCACCAACCTGCTCAGAATCTTTCAATTTCTCTTTGCTCCACTGGATGCCACTGTCTGCTGCCACCAGGATGATGAGCTGACCTCTGGACGGTTCCCGGACCTGAAAGGTTTCCGTGTAGAAGGCCTTCTCCAGGGACTCCATGCTGATGAGGTACTTGAGCTTGAGGTCTCGAGCTGTAGTGCGACACTGACTGAACTGCTGGATGAAGCGTTTGAAGCGAAAGCGGATTCGTTTGCGTGTCAGGAAGTTGCAGTCTTGGATCTGCGCCCTCACGTCCTTTGGCAGGAAGGACTTATAGCTAATGGCAGACAAAAGGGAAAGTGTTAACGTGTATAAGGACAGATCACATGGTCCAAATAACTATTTGAAAAGTTAACACCACAGAAGTGACCTGGACTGGATACAAAATGATTTTAAGGAAAAAAGCAATCACACAGAAAGACTTGGGTCTGCAGCCAGCTCTTCAGACTCAATCCTCTGCCAAAAGCTTTGTTTTGTTCCCCACTTATGTGAGCCGATATTCCCTGACTGGAACTGAACTTTGCTGGCATCTGCCTTTTTGATTTGAGATATCATAAAAGTTCATTACAGCTGAGACAACATGACACATTACACTGTTTAAGAAGAGCGGTTTGTTTCATAAACAAGGTTTCAAAAAAGAAAAGTAACATGTCAATAATCCTAAAATAAATTATGTGCAGAAAATCAGGTTTTGTAACAGTAAAATAACACTATTACATCAAAGGGTGCTTAGCAGGAGTTATTTCCAGATAAGCTCCTCGGAAACCTGCCCTTGTTATTTCATTGTAGTACCTTATAGTGTGGTAAATGTCGAGCGGCGACATCTGTCTCTCCTTGGCTGTTCTTGTCATGTCGAGGACGGCCATACCGAGGCACTCTTCCTGAGTCTCGTGAGAGTTTGGGATCTTCACCAAACCGTTGACAAAGTCATTTCTCCACTGCACACACAGAGAACACACAATCAGCATCAGCACTGTCTCCATTTTTAGATACTTGGGTAATGTATAAATGTATAAATAATAATAATGTATAAATATGTGGAGAAAACAGGCTAAATTGTTCTGTATATGTCAATACATTCATAAGCAGTTTTATTCATTTACAGGGGCACGCAAGACTACTGCTTTTTGGAGCCTAACTGGCGCCAAACAAGAAAGAGCCCTTGATGCATTGGCCGCCAGTTTAACTCTCTTCTGCAGCCCTTTGTTGTGTCTATCATAATCTGCTCCCCCTCTCTGTGCATTTTTCCCTCTCATTTGCCGGTGCTATCCAGTAAAAAGTCCTTTAAATTAATTATGCATCTGACCCAGCAGATTCAAAAGCTATTATCAAATTTATTTATCCACTAACCCAAGCCTCATTCACTGTCTGGTTCTATACAGTCCTTGTAACTTAGGACAGGCTCACATTCACATCTACATCTTCATCAATGTCATGAGCTCCTTGCTACCAAATGAGAAGATGAGATAAATAATGCTTCTCGGGACATTGAGGCATAACATGACTTGTCTGTAACTGGAACAAACATTGTTTCCATTTTCCCATGTAGGTCCATGCAGCACGGCTGATAAAGAATGACGGCTGACTGCAAGATAACCCAGGATCTTGTCACTCTGTTTGACGTCATGTTTGTAACTCTTGTTTTGATTGATTAAGTTAGTGTGAAATCTGAACTATTTATTGTAGCTTTGGTACACATTACATAAGAAGCCTCTACAGAGTAGGATTTGCCACTATCCAAACCATAAAGAAATCAGCTTCAGTTGTTTTATCACGTCACCTTCGACTGATGATGTTTTAAGACAAGGTTTGGATGAACATCTGCCTCAGTTGACAGCTGACACAGCTTTTTCCACACTGTTTACTTTGTCTTGCCACATCGAAGACTTTTGCTGTTTACTTTTTTTTTGGGCTGTTCTCCTGTTTGTTCATCTGGCAGGCAAGTGCAGAGACACACTTCCCGTTGCAAGTCATAACAGCCTGACTTTATCGCAAACACAGGGGGGCTCTGTGCTGGGACAAACCGTGAGGAATTCCGCATGTCCTTCACAGAGCAAAATACAACATCTGTCCAGAGTGAATGCAAGCATGTCTAATGGCTTAATGGATACAAACACACATTATGCAGCACCCTCGAGTGACCCCCGCAGCGGTGCTTCCCATCTCTCTTATAGGCTTTTCCCGAGCCACAAACGCAGATTTCCACAGGCATAAATCCACATAATCCCTCAGTTCACTGGAGGTCAGCTTCAGTCATATTACTGGCTCGTGTAACCTTGGTTCATCTACTATACAGACCCCTTTCTATTTCAGGGAGGTTTGGACACACACATTCTTGATTGAGGGCTGCAGGACTGTGATGATACAACTGAAAAAGTCTCTGTTCTACTTTTCTCTTCCGGCTCTCAAAAATAAATTTACTGGGCGTTTTTTTTTTTTTTTTTTTCTGTGACGCAAAAGCACAAAGAGAAATACTCTGGCAGAGGCGAGGCAAAATTCAAAAATGTTCTTCATTCATAACACAAAACCAGAGCAGACTTAGCGTAACCTCGATCATGAGTTTGTTCTACTAACTGAGATGAGGTCCATTAACCTCTGGGGTATCAATAAAGTAGTAGAACTGTGCGCCCATGTGACATCCGTGGCCAGATTAACCTGTAAGGAAGACCTGAGGCAGAAGTGCTCAATGGGCTCATACTAATAAAAACTCATTTATGATTCACAGTGTAATCAGAGTCATAATTATTTTTTTTCTGTGAATGCTGGCCACCTAATACTGCTGATATTTAGATCCCAGAAACACACCAACTCGGGCTGCACGATTTTGGCAAAAAATAAAATCCTGATTTTTTTCTCTGAAAACCCAATTTTAGATTTCAATTTTGTTTTTTGACAACTTCATTTTAAAAATAAGTTTTTCTATCAACTCTCAAAACAAAACCACTCAAAACGATGTAGTGCATATGCCAAGCCCCTAAGTGGTGCTGTAACGCTGTCAAGAAAATGCGCAAAAGATAGAAGTAGAATACAGAGAATGCGTATAAAGGTTGTTTTAGCCAGACACACGCAGGCGCCATGAAAGAGTTATGCTGTGTGTCACATAATCGTTTTGGGAGATAAACAAATGGTATTCATTTTTTAATGTAGCACTCTCTGACCCATTTTCAAAAAAGTACCATATTTGACGCCGTTTTTGTGTGGATGAAACGCTGATGCGTCAAAAAACTGTTTCGTTTTCTCCTGAATTCATGGACAGGTTGATACCGCCTTCAGACAGACTTTGCAGCGGGGAGTGGTTTGCTCTTCATCCAAAACTACGAAGCCGTACCAATTCCACACAACTGACTTGCTCTTGCCCTATTTAGCCACGCAATAATCGCCTTCTCTTGCAAATGCCATGTTTGTTTACACTGGTGTGTGTGTGTGGGAACTGGGGAGTGTATGCCTATGGTGGCCTGGAAGAGCCATACATGATAAGAGAGGAAAATCGGTTTGACAACTTTTTTTTTTTTTTTAATATTCAAAATCAAATAATCCGGTTATGATTTAAAATAGATTATTTGTGCAGCCCTAACACCAACCACCAACCAATAGTCAAGATCCTGAATGTCACACTTCCTACCATATTAGTGGTAATGAGAAAAGCAGCATAACTCACTGTACAATACCCAATACCAGTTAATTCCCCACAGCAGTGATAAATCACAGCTAATCCTCGATAATTGAGTGATTACAGGACAACTCTAAAATAATACTACACGATATCTGATTGATACAGAATTTTAAAATACTCCAAAACAGTAAAGTGCGGGGTTGATGTCATCTGATCTGCTGCCAGGAATCATATAGTGTGTCAGTATATTCACATGTACAGTCATGTCGAACGACAGGTAGAGCTCAATTGTGGGACATCCCGGAGTACAAGCACCAGGCAAGAACCGGTTTATTAATAAAAGTCATTTCGCCTCCTCTGCGAGAGGTAGCTAGTTACAGCTGGACTGTCTGCTGGTAAAGCCATTAAAGTTGTTTCCATCGATGTGCTTATGCTGCTCGACTTCTGTGTCAAAGTCTGGCATATGAGTAATGAAGCATGTACAGAAAATGCATCCCCAACTGCATAACTTAGGTATGTACAAGAAATTCAACTTATGCAATTTTAACCTGATTTATGCATTTACATGCGTTTTAATAGCCCAGTTTCAGTGAACCAATTTTTCAGCGTTATGTATCTTCTTAAACTGAAGGACCCCTTTGAAAGCACTGAATTGTTTTTCAAATTCCAGATCGGGGTCTTTTGCCGGCCATCAGCATAGACACTAGTGATATTAAGTTAAGAAAGAGAGCTGTGTCTAACTCTTAATCTGACAAATAAAACAGGTTTTATTATTTAAAGCAAGGAATAAAGCGGGTTTTATGTTGGTAAATTGAAAGTGACATTTGTTTGATTCATCTCTGCTCATGAGAGCAGCGACTGACGAATGTCTTTACACACATCAAAGTTCTGCTGTACAAAAGTGAAAGCAAAGAGTCTTTTTTTGGGGATATTTTAAGAAGATGTGAAGAACCTTTCACAGTCATATAGAGTGAATATTTTACTTCATATTAGTCACTCTTCATCAAACTAGGCGCCCACGAATGACTTTGATCCTCATGCCGTCATCAGCGGTTTCTCCTTATATCATTCTGTTTCTAGATGTTTACAATTTGTTTGTGCCCCAAAAACACAGATTCACAGAACTGCACAGTGTCGGGCTCAAAAACTGAAGAGCACATCACTTGTTGCTGCTCTGGTGACTTATATAACTCTGTGATTAGCCAAACTATCAGCTAGGAGTGGGCTATCATATGATCGTGATAAATCCCAGTTCAATCATGGTGATCAGCTGTGAGCATATTTACTCAATCAAACATAGTGGAAATGTGCTAGCAACAGCCAATCAGAGTCAAGCTTTTCCTGCTCACTTCTGTAAGTTGCCAGAGAAAGAAAACAGATTGACCGAACGTGGAGCTAGACCCTGAGCGGAGGGCAGCAAAATAGATGTCAGCCATGACTTTGAGTCATCCCCCAAAGATGCTATTGTTGAGAACAAAAGTTGCTCAACGTCGTTTGTGTGGCGGTGGTTCAGGTATCTCTAAAGTGACGTCGAGCAATTAAGCCAATGTGCAAGGTATGTCAGTGCCCTCAAAAATCGGCAACACAACAAATCTGTTTAATCATTTGAAGAAGTACCTCCCGGGTGGATGCGGAAAGCATGAATATGAGAGCGAAGTCTGCACAGCCTGACACTGCTGACGGCACTAGCATCATTGGCAGTTAAGCCACAACTAGCAGTGCAGCCACCAGACCAAAGCAGCAATCAACTGTATCATCTACGTTTACATCATCTAATGTTTACATTTTAAGGCGTTTTCATAATTCCTGAAGGGGTGATTTGTTTATTTTGGGTCTTGCATGCCTGCAAACATACTCAGGACTGTCCACTAGTTTACTTTATTATTTAGTATTTATCTACATTTATTGTACAGTTGAGTTAAAATGAGTTTTATATTTTTCTAAGTTTAAGTTCAATTTGCTTCGTCATTTACTTTGTATGTTAATAAAATGTTGAACTAATCTCTAGTTTCTTTAGTTTTTAGTACAGATACTTTAAAACGAGATCGAACAATATGACAAAATATATCGTGATCAATTTTTTTTGCCAAATCGCCCGGTCCTACTATTGGCATAGGAAAAGGCTTGCAGGGCACACAAAAGACTAAGAATAAGGATGATGTTTTTGTTTTGCTTTCTCATTCAGGTTTTGCTCTCACTGAGGTATGGATTTTTGCATGCAAGATGATGCATCAACTTCTGGCAAAGACTGCAACCCCTCTCACAGAAGAAGTCTGACTGTCCTGGCTGAAAATTTAAGAACTTGTTGGTGACACTGTCTTACACTGGCAACCCTCATTTACAGATCAGACCTCAGTGTGTGTTACCAAAGACATTCAAAAGGTTCAAATAAAGAAATGTGCATCTCCATCTGAATCAGAACAGAATTTTAAAGATGTATTTTCAACAAGCACTGTAACAAATGATCACCTCATGCGACAAAGCTAAAAAATCCATTACTGGTGGGCAACTTATTATGCTGACTTACAATGACATGTATGAAAAAGTATACAACGTGCTGGTGAAGAGGGCAGCAACTAACCACAGTTTTTATTTATGGTGTTGGAAAATAATGAATAATACACAAGGGACGTCTTCAGATTGTTTGATCTGTTTAAACGTGAATCCAGAAGGCAAAACTTTTGATTTACATCCAATAAAATACAAAGAGCAGCAAAACCTTATTTTTATTTTCAAGAAACTAGAAACAGCAGAGCCTGATTTAAGGCTAATACTTATTTGTTATTTCAAGGCAGGATATTTATGCCCTTTAAAGCCTGATGGATAATGAGTAAGGCTCCTGCTCTTACTGATGCATCATTTTTCGGACCAAATAATGATTCAGCTGGTATACTTGGTATTAAATCTTAACTATTAATTGTTAATCTCTTGGTCACTTTGTTGACGACCTACAATCAATACACCTGCTTAAAATTACAGTAAGCAGCCACAAGGACTCAAATTTAACACTGAAGCATTTTTATGACACTGTTTGAAGTTCCATTCTCCACAGTTGAACTCTTACCTCATCTTAACCAGCTGATGCTACGGTATGTTGTGACTTAGGCACGTTTTCAGCATGTAGCCTATTCTTGATTGTATAGTCCATAATAGTGTTGTGTCGTTCGCGTACGAGTCGTTCAAAAGAACCGAATCTTTTAAGTGAACGTACTGAACCGAATCACTTCCTCGAGTTAATTGGAACAGCACTATGTGTGTGTGTGCGTGCACAAGCCTTTCCCTGTCTTGCTTCCTCTGTGAACTGTGAAATCCCACACTGGCAGGTCATTATGTTACTGCATGTGTAAGTACATAGGTGTGGTGATGGTGAAACTTCATCAGGGTGCTGTTGCAATTTGAGAGTGTCTATTATTGTATGGAAAAAGACTAACGCACAACATTGTTCATCACAAACGTTTAAAAAAGTGACCCACATATAAAAAGTGCTCAGCTCCAGGTTTCCCTGATCGCTATTTTCTGGTTAAATCTGACTTGGCTCTCCTTGTACAAAGTTAGAAGTATTTGTCCTTTCTTCTCAGCGCCATATTTAACTCTCCTCTCAGTCTAATGGGTCTCATGTATAATAACTCACACCTGCTCTCACCAAGACATTAAACACTTCCAGCTCATTAATCCATTGTTTGTTTTTTCTTAAGTCAACAAGATGCAAAATTGTATTTAGCCGGTGAGCTAAATCTTTAAATATATAATTTTGCAATCCCACCAGCTCCTACAAAGACCACCAAGGAGACATGTTTACCACTCTGTTTGGTCATTTACTTGATACAGTAGATCTTTTTAAATCAAAGGATTTATTGGTGTTAAAATAATCTTTGTGGATAATTTGGCTCCTGGTTTAAATCTTGAAAATGACACAGCTGGAATTAGAGGAAAAATAAATTGCAGGGATTCCACTGATAAATACTGAGCTGACTGGTGGTCCTAACCGAATATTTGACATTTCTACACCTTTAATTTAGCCTTGGCTCTGTACTCACCTGAGAGAAGAGGTATGACATTACAAAGTCATCAAGGACAGGGCTTTCTGATCCCTTGCTGACCCCATATCGATATGCTCTGGATGCCCCACCACTGTACCAGCCAGGGAAGTAGTACCTGTGGAAGAAATTACGCAAATGAGAAAACATTCAAAATCCAACTGGAGAAGGTACTGAAGATGTCACTGTCATGTGCTACCTTATTCTGAAATAAACATCCTCTGAAGCAGATTCATCGAGTTGGAATACGTGGTTGGGTGAAAACCACAAGTGGTCTCTCTCTCGAAAGAGACCAAACAGGTTGCAGTACAGAGGTGATATACCTACAACAGACAGAGAAAAAGAAACCACATTATGTTCTGTAAAGACAATATTCAGTGTGCTGAATACCATATTTTACAAACCAGGGTAATGGCACTGTGCCAGTGTTTCCCACAGATTCATGGTGTACCTATGGCAGCGCCAGTCTTTAAAGATATGGCAGGTTAACAACTGTGCTGTCAATTGTGGCATGAAGCAACAATTCAAAACCAGCATGATACAATCACAACACCCAGCTGCATTTAAAAGTTTAAAAATAGCAGCACAAAAAGGTCAGTATCAAATAGGATACACGGGGCATATGTTAATGTACAGATAGGAGGGGCATAAAAGAGGACAGCTCTCTCTGGCCCTCATTTATCAAACAAACGTACAGCAGAAAACTGTTTGTACGACCATTTCCACACAAGGACTGGCATTTATCAATTTGGACATGAGTGTGCGATACGATTAAATCTCATGATAGGTCTCATATTGTGTACGCAAGTTTGAGTAGGTGTAGATTTGCGGTGCAGCAAATGTCTGTCTCAAAATAATTAATAAACAAACCTCAAACCTGTCATTAAGCACAAGCAGTCATATCTCATTAAAGATGAATAAATAAATAAAATTAACTAAAATAAATTGGTTATGCCCTTTGTGAATAGGCCTATTTGATAACCCCGCCAGCAAACACTGCCACAGAGCAGGAACACCGTTTTAACACACGCACATGCGCCACAGTGGAGCGCTGCTTTTGACTCCTGAAAGGCAGGTTTGTCTCTGTCTTGGCCCAGCGGTGGGAGCGTTGTCGTACACTCGAAGGTGTGGGACATCATTTGGGCGAGTACAGTTTTGAACAATGTTACTCCGGCGTATGGAGTGCTGTTGGATGTGCCGGTGCAACGCCAGGACCCAGTGCCCAGAGAACGATTACAAAAACAGACTCCACAAAAGGTGCTGTCCAGAGGAGACAGGACCTTATCCATGGATTCTGACATGTGAAGTACAAGTTTTAAAGTGCTCTTGCTATTGAATCAGTGATAAAAATCCAATAAAAATCCATAAAAATGTGCCTCAAGGGCAGCAACACACCGTTTGGTGAGGTTAATAATTATTTTTGTTAAGCTTCTGTCGGACTCTCCAGTCTGCTCTACATTACAAAGACGCAACAAATTAAAACTAAATACTTTCAATAATAGGAGCGACGTACCCTATGTTATGGCAATGAAAAAAAATTTGAGGCGTGTTTGAGATATTAACTCATCATCATGAGCCAATTATTGACTAATGATTTCTTCAAACTTCAGCCACTGTCCACTTTCCCGGGGCAGCGCTGTTCAGTGCCACCATAATCGAGTTCTCTTGACTGCTTTTATACCGGTTTTGACGCTTCCAAAGAGAAAATCCTTGTTAGTTTCCATCACAGACGTGAGAATATCCTCTTTCAGCTCGGAAAAGTTTGGCATCTTTCTAATATTTCTCCTCTTACATATTTGACTCAGTGGGCAAGCTCCTGAACCATGAATAATTAAGAGCGTGAACATGTTAATGATGATCGATTTTAGCCACCATATTTATAAAGACACGATCACACGTACGCTGGGATTGGTCAGATACGAACCCTTTCATAAATCTCACGTGTGTCCTATCATACAATGAATCCTGTGCTCAGTTCTATGCAAGATTAATAAATGAGGGCCAGTGTCTCTCTGCATTCGTGTTTTCTCTGTTCAAAGTGGGGTAGGTAGGATCTGAGGAAGTGCCAGTTTTTGGGAGAAATCTTGAATGTAAACACTACCCCTCCCAGTTTTCCCCTTAGCTCCTCCTCTACCCTCCCTTTCTGCTCCAGAAAGCCCCGCCCACAAACAGACGTTCCTGCTCGCTTGTAGCGTTTAAATTAAATTTAGATATAATGCAGATAAATACTTTAGATAATTACAAATGGGGCCCAGTCAATGTGAAAGTAAAAAGCATTGGTGCTACTGTAGATGCCAACAGACTACCAGCAAACACAATGTTTGCAGGACTTCTACAACTAGGAAAAAGTGACATACTCCAGGACCCGAGGTTAACAGTTTGGCGGTGCTACAACATGCAGCAGGTCCCGTTTGACAGGAAACACTTCTGTTACAGACATTTTGCTTACTCTGTTAAAGCGGTTTACCTGTCCAGCAGAAAGGTTACAGGGTCCTTAAGATCCTGAAGCGTCCCCCATTGTTTATGCTAGCTTCACTGATGTTGACCCAGCTTTTAAGCTCTTGTCCGGTCTACCTCCTTTTTAAGTGCCCGTTATTCCGCCACAGTCTCCAGTATTTACTTCATTTTCTTGCCTGTGTTGGCAGTTGTGGCCAAAGGAGGATTCAGACAATCTCCCAAACTTTGCTCTTTGTGTAAGAAACAGTGTAATTCTAGCTTGAACCACGACTCCTCGTTAATCTGTATAACTTTAACTGAAAATCTGATTACAGCATATCTGCAGAAACTGTTAAAGCTCACAAACAGGAGGAGTTTCCGGCAGATTATGCTTTACATACGATACAGACAGTTTCTACCACCAACAAAGGTGAACAAAAAGGTTGACAAAGGCCGTCCTAAATGTCAGCTGTGTTTGGTTTATCATCAAACACACGACATGTCACTCCTGATACATGCAGGTCAGTCTTGTCCACCACCTCTGCGTGGCTCTGCTCTGTGTTTCAGTTGCACAATACTTTTATGGACTCTGAAGTTCAATATTGGTAAAAACAAAAAGCCTCTATGACAGCAAAGTGACCATATTCTTGCTTATCCTTATACAGAGCACATGAAGTTAAACACTGCGTAAACAAAGCCTTGAGCACACTTTACAAACCAACGATTTATCTGCTGATTAGTTTCACTGTGGCCTCTTGATAACCTTATCTCAGGACCTATGCCCCGAGTTACAGCACAACACATGTATGGGGGTGCATGATGCCGGCCTGCACAACTGCAGTACTTACTGCACGCCTTGGCTGCGTCTATACACAGCTCCTCAGCCCCATAGTCCCCAGGCGGGTAGCTGAGAAAGGTGCAGTTGGCCTCGTCTTGGCTGCTGTGGTAGAAATGAAGTCTCATAACAGCAGCAGCGGGACTAGTGTCTGGAGATTCCCGATGGGCGGTCCCATTTTGGTGCACTGCAGGGCAGGTGTCAGTCTCAGTGTCCATGGCTGGCAGGGAGACCATCAACAACAGGCAACCTTCAAACAGTCAAAAAGATGAAGTCAGCAGAGGGAATGGTGGCTTCTTTTGTCAGCAGAGTGTGAAGAATTAAACACCGTGATCAGCTAGGGTACATGTTCTCCACTGTTGCATAAACTGTTACCAATTCAAGCGTTGCATAAAACTGAGTGCAGAGGAATCATGGTCTGGAAGGAGGTTATAAAATCTGTAAATCTAATTCAAAAACAGAGCTGCTCTCAGTGTCAGTTATAAAATTCAACCAGCAGTGCAGAGATCTTTAGTTCTTCTGTGTGGAATCTTTCTGGAAGGTTTTAAGTGTTTTGTTGTTTTTTTTAAGAAGTTTTTGATCACAGCTTTAACTCTGAGATGTAAATGTTTTGTCTTGAGCAGAGCTGCTGCTATAAAGCCCCCCTCCTCCACTCCTCTCAAAGACAGTATTATATCAAACTGAATACTGAATGATGGGAATCATATGAGTCATGTCATTGGTGGTGTACTGGTAGTGATTACCAAAACTAACCAGCATGTTTCTTCCTATTTTTATCCTAACTTAAAAAAGATTTTTGATATGTGATGACGTCTTTGTCCCGTCAGATAAACTCCTACTGTGTGGGAGGAGAAGAAAGATAGAAGACATTTCGTAATAAAGAAAGGGGAAGGGTTATTGATTGAGGATCACGGTTATACGTGCTTGAGACAGATCAGCATATGATCAAATCTTGTCTCACTGGCTGCATCTGTATGACAACAGGCGGAAAAGTCCAAATATGCACATCTGAGACAATTTTTGCTGGCCATGGTGCCTCCTCCAAATGTAGTTAGTGTTATTTGTGTTTCATTAACAGGCAAATTGAGAAAAGCTTTTTATAGTTCCAAGTATATTTAGAGGGGGGACTGTCTTCTTTGTCCAGTGTCCACATTGGAAGAACGGGGTAAACCAGGTTTTATGAATATCATTTAGAGGGGGCTGAGGCCATGTAACATTCATCACCCACGTTGATTTTAAAGCTGTAAAAATCTGGGGCAAATGCAGTTAGTTTTAGTGAAGAGTTTTTATCTGATCATTACTCAGATGGTGTAGTCTATAAAATGTCTGAAATAATGCCAAAATTCCCATCACAATTTCTCAGATCCCAAGGAGCCCCAGGAAATTGCATCAGTCCAAAAAAAGACATGATTCAATTTACAATTTACAACATAGTAAAACAGAAAAAAACAGATCCTGTGATTAGAGGAACCGAAAATGGCAAAGGCTAACCATTTTCACTTTGTATGTGACTTTAGTTGATCACAGACTTTACTGATGGTCTATTTTCAATCCTCCACTTCTCTGTTACTAAACAATGTCGTTCTGCAATTTGAAATGAAATGCTTTACTGAAAACGTAGCATACATGTTATACTGACATTCCCACAGACACAGGGATACGACAGGCCTGCACATGATCTTGACTGTCAGTGTGTAGATTCACAACAAACGCAACATTAAAAAATTATTAAACCATTTTTTTTTCCATTAATGCTAAACTAAAATACATTGAATGAGCACCCATAGTTTTTTTTTCTTCTGTTGTGTAGACCTGATTTTTAACCTCTGGCATGTTTGGAGGGTTTGCTCTCAACTTCTAACTTCATTCAAGAGGACTATGAACTGAATGTTTGCCATAAATGCCCAAACTAAAAATGCTTTATCCTCATGTCACTAATTTTCACAAAACATTCTCTGTCTAACTATGTAAAGGCAACTGACAACTACAGCTGGATACTGCAGGACAATTTTAAATAAGAAAACCAAAGGAAAAATGCAACAGCCCCAGATCCTTGTTGGTTCTGTTCTTATGTTTAGTTGGGAGCTCACATACAGGCTGTGATGCCATTCAGTTCATTTAGAGTCAATTAAGTCAGTAAATGTTTGGTTTATATTAAGATAATTCATGAAGGCCCTGGTCTTGTGGGCTACCGTTAACTGACGTTATAGCAGCGGTAGATTAAGTTAATGCTAACGCTACACAGACCCACCTCTATATGGGTTAACTGCCATACAACAAGGACACGCAGTGTATTTCAGTGACTTCAACAACCAACTCCTGCAATTTATCTCTGTTGACCTTGAGATAAAAAATCAGGTACAGCTGTCAATGAATTCTCACTGAGTTTGAGCACTTACTTTGGTGGATGAGCAGGACGTGCGGCCAGCTAGCTAGCTCGCCGCTAGCTTCCTAGGCCAGCGCTGCAGCCAGAACGAGCGACAGTTTGACAGCAACGCCCAGATATACCGCTGCTTCAACTCTCCGAGATCACAACTTAAATAACCTCTCGGAGAAATGGCAGTTTATTTAAAGGCCGAAATACATCTTGCGAAATCAGTAATTCCATGTTGCTCTCAACAGGCGATCCTTCTACATAGTGTTCCGCTGTTGAGCCTGGCGTTGCACATATCACTCCAGGAGCAACTTTAGCCGTCTATTTTGTCAATCTTGTAACTTCAGCTAATGCTAGTAAAACCACGTCGGGCTCCGGTGTAAAATGGTCCAAGAAGACGAAAATCATTTGCAGGCGAAGTTCTCTTGTGCCGGCTTCAGGAGAGTTGCAATCCTGACATCTTGTCAATTGAATATCTTTATCTGTGAAGAGGTGGTTCGCTAGTTTACTAGCAACAGCTACAGCACAGCCGAGAGCACCAAGTCAGTCAACAAACCAGCCTCTCCCACCATACCAATGCTGCTTTTAAGGGCTGTCGGAAATGTCATAATCATACGACTTGTATAACTGACTAAATAGGCTAGGGCAAGGCAATGAAAGTTTAGGCTTATGTATAAAGCACAATTCATTCACAGTGCGGATAAAGTACTTCAAAGACTTCTAATTTTTCAAACAATTAAAAAAAATGTTGGATTTTGAGGTGGGTGGAAAAATATTGGCGTGTCAATATTTTGTCCTCCTGACCTATAAAATACAAATTTTATGTAACTTGAGGCCAATTATTTGAAGCCAGTTGGCTGGATAATGTCTACACTGTAATAGAAAAAAAACTCTCAACTTCCCTCATGTGAAAATATTTTGTTGCACTTTACATGAGCTACATTGACCTGATAGATGCAGATAAAAGTCTTATTTCAAGCCCCAAAACTCTTGATATGATCTTTGAAGTAAGTGTGACATTTTGTTTCAAGAAACTTGTCAAGAAAAGTTTGCTTGCAGCATTTAATAACAATTTCAGTAAAAACACTTTTACATAAATCTGCCCTCTCACTCACCTCATACTTTAAATTAACTAAAAAACTGGTAGTTTTACTTATACTATAGAAAAATGTCAATCAAGTAACTGAACTTTTGCCAAGGTAAAACATTTAAACACTCTTAACAACCCTGCTACTTTGTGACTGCTTGAGGCACAAATCTGTCACTTCACCTATCTAGGGTAATTCGTGTTCTTCAGCCAAATAATAATTGATTTGCAGTTTATCATTTCTGGCAAAACGCCATAATATTGAAGCGCTCGTGGGAAATGTGTTGAATAACATATTGTAGCCCATTGTGAGTTTACCCTGCAAGTCACACCCCTATTCGGAGCCTACAAAATACTCTGTGGTCAAATAAAGTGACAAATCTTTACTAGTTCTTCAAACATTTCCTCACAAGCTCTTACATTAAGTTGTACACACATAAAGATTTTTTTTGACAAATCTCTCTCTTATAATTGATTGTCTGACTCAAATACTAGGAATTTGGAGGTTATGAAAGGCCCCTGAAGGCAGCATCCTCACATTGAATCAGCCCACTCTCAGACAGTTATCAAACCGGCAACTCCACTAATACACACCCACTCAAACCAAAGTTACCACCACAGGCACAGATTACAGCACATTTTTACAGAGCAAAAGCGCTGCAAACAAAAGTGATAAAGCCTGTAACATATTAGCTCTAAGGTTGATGATTTTAAGAGTTAATGGAACAAATTCTTACTTAAACAAATAATAAGCACACATTTAGCTCCATTTGAAAGTCTAGGTTTTTTTGCAATGCATCCTTGGTGACTCAAATGTAGATATAAACATGTGATTAATTAATCAATGTCATAACCACAACCACAACCTCAGAGCAACATTCCAAGTGTCAGCTTCAACAATATTTTGGAAACCAGCTGCAGGGACTTGCTCCATTTCATCCTCTTGAGCACTGGTGAGGTTGGTCACTTAAGGGGGGTGATAAAGCACCACTTCTTCATTATTTAAGGTCTTGGTCACTTGTAGGCTGAGTCAGGTCAAATCCTTTAACCCAGTTAAGAGGCCTATTCATTTACCAACCTCTTTTTCGGCAGGATATTGTTTTTTTTTTGGAAGGGGACAACTGCCCTCCCACATTGTTGGATAGAAGTTGGACAATGTTGTCCAAGAGCAGTTATCTAAACCTTGCGTGACCTGTGGTATTGTGTAATCAGACTCTCTGATGTTTGTTTGTTTTTTTTTTTTTAGGGAATTTACACAACTTTACAAGACTAGGCTGTTCTTAGGATTAGCAGTTCTTTCAGAAAATACTACTATCAGCTAATTCAAACCGAACACAAATCCTAAAATGCAGCTAAGCAGGTATAACAATGACTTTTTGCAGCATGTTAGTTTGCTCATTCTGTTTAAGTCTAATCTATTCAATCTATTACACTATCATTTGCCAATCACAAGTTCAACTTTGTGGATCCTCCCAGACATCTACATCTCTCCCTCTCAGTGACATGTCCTGCTATACTTCCTACAGCTTCTTTCTGCCTGTCTGTTTCTGCTCTTTGATAATACTCATCAGTGGACTGCCCAAATTAAACAACTAAAATTATTAATGTTGGTTATCACAGCAGGTGGACAAGGCTTGATTATAACCATCTAAAACTGATAATTGATCATGGTCAGTGGTCATGGTCAATGAAAAATAAATACAAATGAGTGGTAAATATGATTGACCAGCATGTCTGCATCCATGGAAGACTCTGAAGTACTGTACCAACTGCAGGTGATGTGCTTGCTATGGTGTGGTCAGATGCAGAAGGTTATGCATGATAAGATTAGACATTTATCTGGTGGTGTAAATAAGCCACAAATATAAATAAAAGACAGTTCATAATTCTCAAAACTCAGGTCTGAGTCAAATGTCAAGGTACCCTGGAGGCATTTTAGGTATTTGAATGCTTCGATTTAAAGTAGCTATGATTGGCTGAGACATAAAAAGTTGGGTCACCCCATTCAATAAAGTCTGGATCAGCCCCTGATGAAGATATGCATGTGGTTTCAGAAGACAACATGCGAGTGGATTAAAAATGTTTGAGGACGTTCGCCATAGTTTAGACTATGGATCCTCTAGCTAATTTCCTCATCACTTAAAGCTCCTGTGAAGAACTTTTTACTAGTCTCAGTAGAAAATACTCAATAGAAAATAAAAACTGAGCACAACCGGTTTAATACAGGATCTGTGGTTGAACAATGACACGTTGGTTTGTAGAGTGTGACTAACATTAGAAGAGCTAGTACAGCCTTGGGTCCTCCTCGCAGGTCCCACATGCTTGTGCTGGTTACGCATTGCTCCAGTTAAGTGGTTACGTGCCAGTTTAAGCAGACACAGCCTGCTTACAACTTTATCCCCATGTTCATGTTAAGGTGGAGCCAAACCATGCCGGGCTATGAGATACTATCTATTACCTGCTTGTTTTCTTTTAGATAGTAGAGCATGATAGCATAATGATTATACCTATCTACCATTACCATACTTCCTACATGCATGAACATACAAAGGCAACTATTTCTGTAAGTTGTTCATGGCTCCAATCACAACCATTATAGAGTTTAAAAGAGGTCGAAAGTTGACACTGATTTTTCATATTTTTATCATCAGAAAGCTTCATAGATTAAAAGCTGCTGCAAGGCAAACATTTGTATCCCTTGGTGAAACCCTTGGGCAAGCACCTGATACACATGCACTCAGACATCAGAGGAGTCCCGGGGCATTCAGGTGACACTTGTCCCTGCTGCTGCTGCTGCTGCTGCACACACACACACACAGACACACTTAAAGACAAAAACATTCCTACAAACACACACTCACAGAGAAAAATATCTGAAGGATGTCCTCAGGTCTTTGGGTGACAGCACTCATACATGCACACACGCACGCACACATACACAAAATGTTTAGAGCAGGAGTCTGTTCTGCTCCAAACACTTTTCCCTCCAGTGGATCCACGACAGCATCACAGCTAAGTTGCCGAGGGCAGAGAAAGGAGGTGAGGGGAGGAAAATAAGAGCGAGGGAAGAGACGAAAGCAAAAGAGGAAGTTAGTGGAAGATGGACAAGGAGGAACTGAGAGAAGGATAAAAAACAAGGGTGGGGTATGGAAGAAAGGGAAGTTAGGCGGGGCAGGGAAAACAGGACATCTTAAAGAGAAGACAACCCAAACTTGATGTACTGAGTTTATCATTTAGCTCAGGTTCATGTTTGTGACCTTTTGTTTTAACATTTATGTGTCACCCTTTCCTGAGTGTATCTTAATCTCAAAGAATTGTTTCTCTCCCACAACTAATACCTTTGAACCAATTTAACAATTTGGGAAATAGGCTTACTGGTGATTTGAAAATTAGTTCGATGAGAAGCTTATACCACTCTAAATTATGTGTGTTAAGTAGACTTTTGAAACGGAGTCAGGAGGGTATCAGAACAACACAGCTCCCAGACTGTAGAGAGAGCCAGATAGAGATGATGACATCTAGCTCCCTTGAAGAAAATAAGTCAACTTTTACATTTTTTTTAGTGGGTGAAGTGTTTGGTCCGGAGAGAGTTAACATGTCATAATGTGTGAGTTTTAGGAGACTTAAACAAACAACCACATACAGGCCAAAAAGAAAGAAATAGAATAACAAAGAGGGCATAGCAGCTTAAGTCAGTAATTAAAGCTCCTATAAGGAGTTTTTTTATGTTTCTGAAATAGCTTGAAATTCACAGTGATATCATACAGTTACATTTTTACATTTAGAGACTTCAGACGCCACGACCAGGCCTGAATTTAGGGAGTGTAATGTTCTGGTATACGTTTATGATGCATTATAAATCTTCCAGATATGATGGTACTTGACTTTTGAGAGCTGTGTGAGTCAGAGGAAGGATTTTATGGGGAGACAGTGTAAAGAAGCGGAGAAATGCTCTTTTTCCCTGGATGTAGTCAGGACTTGAGCTACAGTCTTTTGGACTAGTTTTCAGCATTATTCTGAGACAGGATACACATGATTTTTGCAATCATATGTAGCTAAAAAAAAAGGCTGTCCTTTAAATTAGTTAAAAGTGGGAGCTGAGGGAGAAATCCTGGCCAAAAAAGACCGCCCCTAAAGCTCAATGTGTGTTTTGGTAAGTAGCCTGACATCTGACATTTACCTTTCCATGATTAAGATTCTTTCCAGACATATAACCACATTAGGGCAGCTGATAAAGTGCCATTTATATGAATCATCACTAGATGGAGCTAAGTGAACACAACTTTTAACAAGCAGTGATCTGAGAAGGAAGGAGAGAATAAAGGAAAAAGAAGGGCACGGAGTGAAGAGGAGGGTTGGTATGAGGAAAAGAGAGTGATGACGAGAGCAAAAAATAGAAAAAAGAGAGGTAAAAATGTTTTTATTTTGGTCCCTGGTGGTTTGAACAGAGTCTCCGACGGCTTTCCATGCCTCAAACTCACCACCTGCGCC